CTCACCATCCTCCACCCCCCCCCCCCCCCCCCCCACGACACCCTTGCTCCCTGGACGCACGCACCACCACCAACTACCACTCCGGCGCCCCCGCACGCCCGCTCCCAACATACCAGCAGACCCAACAGGTTCAACAGGTGACTCCGGCGTTGCACTGTTGGCACGTTGGCACTCCTCCATCGTTCTCAATCCACAAGTCGTCGCACTCTACGCCCTTCCTTCCCTCCCTCGTCTGCCCACCAACTTGCCCAAATCGGTGGTCCATCTCCCTCTCTCGAGCTCTCAACAAGACACTTCTTCCCCTTTGAGGCCTTGGACATTGTCCCCTCAAATTGCACGAGGGTTGTGACGCTCAGTGATCAGTCTGCCACAGCAGACGTCTCCGTCACCGCCTCACGCAACACTCTGCTCTTCCCCTTATCCCAACACTCCTTCCCCCCCCCGGACTCTCCCCTATCCGACTCTCGCCCCTCACTCTCCGTTCTCCATTCTCCGTTCTCCGTTCTCCGTTCTCCTCCCACCCCACCCTCTTTGACTCATCTCTCTCTCCTTCTCTCCCCTCTTATCTCCATGTTCCGCAAGCCAAAGTCGCCCAACCCGACTAAACGCCCGCTACCTCCTCCATCACCACTTTCTGCCACCTCGCCCACCTCATCGCAATCAAGCACTCATCGCGGATCGTCTCTCCTCGACGTTCCCACTGCTGATAACGTTCGCTTTCCAGAGCCTTCGTCACCATCCTCCCCAGTTCCTCGCGAACGCTCACCTTCCTTGTCTCGCGTTGACCCCTTCGCTCGAGTCTTCCCACTTCCTCCCACCACCTCTCTCTCTCAGCCGACCATTCGCCCAGGCTCCGTTCGAAGCGTCACTCTCGAGCTCCAAGACGCTGCAGAAGACGCCGGCTCTATTCGGTCACGAAAGGGCTCCATCAAAAGTGTACACGGATCCTCTCCTCGGCCTCCTTTACCTACTCAAGCCGAACTTGACATGATGCCCACACGCAACGGTAACGGCACCTCGATGGCCCCACGCGCGCTCTCAGATGACGCGTCGGAGGCGGCCGATCGTCTCAGCGCGCTGGCCTCGCCAAACGACAGTGTCGGCGTTATCGGTTCCTTTGACAAGCGCCTCAATCACTCGGTGATGAGCCTCGGTGCAAAGGTCAAGGAACAAAAGGTTCTTGGGGTGGACCCCCAGCCCCGCTTTGCTTCACTCTACCTCGTGTCCGGATTGGGCAAGGTATGTTGACACTCGAGCCCTGTTGGTGGCGCTGACCGTCCAAAGGATCCCACTCAGTGGGCTCTGAGCGACAAGGATGCCACTCTGGGCGTCCAGCCTCTCGAAGACTCGCTCGGCGTGTTTTGGCGCCCCGACATGCTTGGTAACACGTTCAGCGGCGAGAAGGGGGAAGACTTCAACAAGAATGGTAAGCCTGCCGCTCGTAGCAGCAGTGCCACCCGACGCGACATCCAAAGCAAGACCGTCCCAGGGGCCGGCCCCGAGGGCGCATCGCGTTTGGTCGCGAGGACGATGAAGTTTGCTCACCCTCGTGACGTTGAGGTTGTCAACTCGGCCCTGGCGCCGCCAACGACCTGCCATACCTTCTCCTTTAGCGTCACACGCCAGAGCACGCTCACCGCTATCGCCGCTCAGGCGACCCGCGGCAACAAGTTTGGCCTTCCTCCCGAGTCGTACATGGCTGTCACCTCTGAACAGCCCTCCGCTGCGCCCGCTCCTGGCCAGGAGCATCTCCGTGGCACAACTCACTCCTCTGACCTCGTCTTCTACGGCGTCACGTTGACTGTTTGGTCACATGCCGACAAGGACCGCGCTATTCGCCTCAAGGAGTTTAAGCAGCGCACCCAGCGCATGCGCAACGAGTCGGCCACGTCAGAGTCGATCAAGAAAGACGCGTTACGTCGTCGCGGAAAGACGCCCTGGATACCGCCCAAGAAGGGGGCGACATCGGATTATACAGCCAGTGAGACCGGGTTTAGCGACTCGGATCTCGAGACAACCTTCACCTCGACGTATGACGCAGATTATTCGGCGGATGGCATGTCTGCTGCTTATGGCGAGTCGACCGACGTGTTCTGGCTGCCTTACGCTCTCACCCTGGGTATGTCCTCTGCGCTGAATCAAGCTGATGTGCAGTGTCGCGCTACCCCATCTATGATGTGATGCAGGACTACCTTCGCCTGAGCGTGAGTCATATGCTCATTATTATCAGTCGCTGACTGCAGTGGGCCCGTTACTCCAAGGATGCTCGTGCACACATGCGCCAAGTCTTCACTCTCCTGAATAGCGATGCGCCTCGCCCCGGTGACCTCTTCCGCCTGCCTGTCGGCACCCCCTCCGACGAGGAAGTGACCATCGAGGCGACCATGCCTGGAGGGATCGACTTTGAAAAGGGCACGACCAAGGTCGACTTCCAGATGTGGCCGCTCTTCCAGGCCCTCGACCTTGATCACATCTTGACCTGCATCGAGGTCGCGTTGGCTCACTCCGGTCGCGTCGTCTTCTGCTCTCGTCACCCTGCCTTGCTTGGCTCGGCCGTGGAGACGCTCAAATACATTGTCGAACTCCGCGGGTGGGATGGCATAGCGCTGCAGAACATCCACATTCGCGATGTGACCTTCCTCATCGAAGACCCAGGACCGTACATTATTGTGAGTCTCTCGGTTGAGTCTATGACTGACAACAGGGTCTGTCCACTGAGTGCCGCTATGTCATCACACCTCCCAATGAGGTCGTCGTGGTTGATCTCGACCAGAATACCCTTACCTGCAAGTCGCCACCTGCAGGCATTTCGACATCGCACAAACGCGACAAGCAGCGTCATAAGCTCGCTGCGGCGATGGGTCACGGATTCCCCGCCGAGCGTTCCGTGCCACTCGAGTACCGTGTCTCCTTCCCTAAGGGCGCTTTCCGTAACATCAACCGTATCCACCACGGCCCCACTCGCCCTCGTTACCTCGGGGAGCGTCTTACGTCCCCTGCCTGGTGGAACCAGTCAACGGTGATCGCCGTTCTGGATAAGATCCTGGCTGACAGGGTGAGTACCAGAATGGTGACTGATCTGACGCGTCAGCACAAGAAGCCCACCCTGTTCCAGCGTCTAATGAAGACTGGTAATGCTCGTGCTCAGGAGCAACTCACCATCAACGAGCAGATCGCCAAGGCCATGATGCGCAAGCGTGCCCTTCACTACGTGGAGAAGCGCGACGACTTTGAGCTCAAGGTCGCACGTATCACGCGTCGCCTTCAGAAACTCATTCAGGAGGGCGAACATTGGAAGCAGAAGTTTGAGATGTTCGAGAAGTACGCCGAGCGTCTCACTCAGGAGTCCAATGACCTGAAAGGGCGTATCGACAAGGAGCAGCGTGAAGCTCGTCGCTTATCGAACAGTGAGTCAGAAGGTCCCAGCACTTGCTGACCGCAGTCAACACGGAGCAGACCAAGCTCAACGCCGAGCTCCAGGAGAAGCTCAGTCAGACTGAAGGTGCCCGAGCAGAGGCCATGCGCCAGCTATCTGACATGCACCACTCGTACGTACGGCCATTCGGCTCTTTCTGACGTGTAGGATTCAGGAACTGGAGCGCGAGCGCAACGATATTATGGACGCTATCGAGATGCAAATCACGACGGCCATCGAGCGTATTCCGTGGGGGGAACATCACGACAAGGAGTCGCTCAATGGCCTCGAGTCGCCGCCCACGTCGCCCAAGGCGGGCGCCTCGATCCATACCGTCAAGCGCAAGTCCCGGCCCACCACGCGCGACTCGGCACAGACCATTGGCACCTTGGACTCGTATGCTCACTCCAAGACGGCGATGAGCATCATTGGCGCCCTCCACGACGGTCCCGTCAGACGTGGTCTAGGTTCCATCTTGGACAGTGATCAAGTCAGCAACACGGACCGCCTTATTTCGCACAACCGTCTTGACAGCATATCGCAGCGCGTGGCCATGATCCAGGCCAAGCTTGAGATTGCCCTTGCGCCGATCCGTGATCAGATGGAGGCCGAGGAGGAGGAAGCTGCCGCCGAGGAGGGCAAGGACGGAGACGACAAGGACAAGGAATCCCGTCCCGGCACACCTGACACTGTCACCACCGCCAAGCCGCCTATCATCAATGCGCCCGAGGGAGATGGTGTTGATGGCTCTGGTGACCACTGGGATGAGGCCACTCCTGTTACAGACACGGACAGTGCAGAGGACGTCGAGATCCCCAAGCCTCCCGTCCTTCGCAAGTTCGTGCTGCGCCCGCCGCCGCGCCGCGTTATGCAGAAGCGTAGCTACGAGTCGATCAAATCGCACGAGTCACCTATTACCGCAGCGCCCGTGAGCATGGCTTCTGCCGCCCGCGTTCGTGAGGACGTCGCGATTCAGCCGACCCCCATTCGTGAGGAACTCATAGTCACCTCCCACGAGAGCCCGGAGAATCTGCACCACGACGATGGCCTCAATGTTCACGCCAGCAAGGCGCGGCCCACGAGCGTCGGGACCATTGCTTTTGGCACGCCTTAAAAGCACCAATCCGCAACACTCCATGCCTAATCCATATACCCGCTGGCCGCAGGAGTGACGCCCCCATCTGTGTATAGCCCGATTAATACCAATAGTTTGATCCCCAGGAGGGATTCGATGCATGTGAGGAAGCCTACGATGTACACAAACGGTATTGGTGGTGTCGTGCACATGACAGGCAATGTTGGTCGTCATACATGATATGCGGGGGTGGAATGATTGTTGTATGCTGCCTTCTTCATCTGCCGAGCCCTCGCTCAGTTGAACAACGAGGCAAGCATTTCACTCTGGTACTGTCAGCACTGATGACTCAACAAACTCACCCGTTGCTGCATGAGCTCCGCTCTAGACATATTCTTGAGCGAGAGGTTGGCAAGCTCAGCCTTCTTCTGCTGGATCTTGTTGAGCTTCTCCTCCACCGAGTCCTTGATCATGAGCTTAATGGCAAGAACCGGGCGCGTCTGTCCCATACGGTGGATACGGTCGATAGCCTGCGCCTCAACCGAGGGATTCCAGTACGGGTCAATGAGGTAGCAGCGGCTCGCGGCGGTCAGGTTGAGGCCGACACCACCGGCGCGCGTTGAAACGAGCATGACTTCTATGCTCTTGCTCGTGCGCAGGCGCTCGATCTGCTCGGCACGCTGCTCACGCGTCATGGTGCCGTCCAAGCGGCAGGTCTGGATGTGGGCCTCGTTCAGCATGTCCTCGATGCGGTCGAGCATTGTCGTCCACTGGCTGAACACGATTGTCTTAGTCGCGAGCGGCGTCCCGTCGTCGCTGACCTCGACCGGGTCGTCGTCATCGTCCGGACCGACGCTGAAGGGGTCGTAGTTGGGCGAGTTGGGGTTGCGTTTGGAGAGCTTCATGAGCTCATGCAGCAGGTACTGCATCTTCGTGGACATGTTGACCGCCTCCAACGGGTTGCGCTCCCACTTCTTGCGCGTCACCGCCTTCTTGGGCGCCTCGTCGGCCATTTCGGACGGTGGGCAGACCTCAATGACGTCCCTGCCGAGATGGAGCATCTCATTGCAGATGACACATGGGCGCGCTTGCCCGTCCACAGCGCGAGGCCACTTGGGGTACACGCTACGCTTGAAGCACGCTGAGCAGTAAATGTGCTGACACTTGGTGAGGAGGGGACGCAGGCTTTTGGCCTTCTTCTCGGTCGGCTCCGACTTGGCGTAAACCTCGTCGCCGCCTAGTTCAATGGACGGGAAGGCAGGCCCAAAGTCGTGGTTGCACTCGCTGCAGAATGCGCCGCCGTCAGGCATGTCCTTGTACGTACAGATGACGCTCAGAGCACGCTGCTGGGTGAGACCCATCTTCTTGATACCCTCCAGGGCGATCTCGTAGTTCATGATGGTCCCGTCATAATCCTCCTCGACGACGGCACTGCTGGGCAGGTCGACGTGATCGCATGTCTGGCGCAGGCGCAGAAGCTGCTGAAGAACATGTGCGTAATTCTTTGTCAGCTGCTTGGTCGCCTTGAGCTCATTGATCTCGGAGCGCGCCTCGTCGCGACGCATGTCGTAAATCTTGCGCTCGTCGGGACGCAAATCTAGCCACATCTGCAACTCTTTGCGTGGTGGCAGGGAAAGGATCTTCTTGCCATTGTCAGTCGTGTCCTTTGTGCGACGCAGGCAGCAGGTGCGCATAATGAGCTGGAGACGTGCGACGCCGACCTGGTCACCGCTCTTGCACGGCGTCGAAATGTACTTGTTGAACATGTCGCGCTCATCGATCGGACTGACGCGGAGGAACTTGAACAGCGCCCACACGTCCTCAATCTTGTTCTGAATGGGTGTTCCCGTCAGAGCAATGCGACGGTCGGCCTCGAGATAGCACGAGGCCTTACACGCCACCGTTGAGGCCGACTTGATACTGTGTGCTTCGTCCAGCACGACTCGGAACCAGTCTATCGTTTGAAGAGGACTGGGCTGATCCGCCGCCGGGCCGCGCTTGCGTTGTGGCTTTTGCTTGCGCTTGAGTGCCTCAGATACGTCGGAGGGGTTGATGCCTGATCCGGGAGTGGTGGCCCCACGTGCGCTGTTCGTGCCGCTCGCGTCGTCATCCGAGTTGGCCCTCGTGTCTGCCGGTGTGGACTCGCCGTCCCCGCACGAATTGCAGTGCTTCGAGTACTCGTTCGCGAGGGTTGAATAGGATGTGATCACAATGTCAAATGTGGCAAGGAAGCGCGGGTCGGCCTTACGACCAGTTCCGTGGTAGATATACACGCGGAGGGTGTCCTCAGGATCGGTCTGCTTCTTGGTACCCTTCTTGGCCGGAGGGCTTGTTCCGCCGATGACTTCAACGTCACCATCCCAGTGCTCCTTGATCTGGTCTTCCCAGTTCGTAATGGTCGACATGGGACACACGAGAAGCGTCGCTTTGGAACGCTTGATGATCTGTGACCGGCGCGTGCGATTCGCGACCTGCTCCTGCTCATCAAGACGGCGCTTCTTCCCCTTGGGCGTGTCTGGTTCGGGGCTGGCCTCGGGCATGCCAAACACGCGTGTGGACATCGCGCTCAAAGAAACCTTCTCCTCGTCGGTCTCCTTCTCTGGAACGGCATCCACCTTCTCCAACTTCCGCTCGCCCCATTCCTTTGCAGCGCTCTTCGTTGCAGCAATGAGCGAAACGACCGACAGTGTCTTGCCCAGACCCATCTGATGTTAGAATGCCCGACACCAGTCGGCTCTGTACTCACATCATCGGCCAGAATGGCACCCTTGAACTCCTTGGGCCGCTTGGCACTGCGCTTCGTTTCGTTCGTGAGCTTGTTCTTCCAAACCCGCCCACGGGCCTTGTCATCGACATGTAGTTCCCACAATGAGCGAGAGCTATCCGCCTTAAAGTCTCGCGACGCTTTCTTGTCCTCCTTGTCCGGCCGCTCTTCGGGAGTCGCTGTTCCAGACGCGCTCTGGCTGCTAGCCTTCGCCTTTTTCAGCTTCTTGTCGGCCGCCTTGCGTGCGTCCTTTAGACTTGTCCAGTCCTGTTCGGCCTGGAGAAGGAAGGTGAGCGCCTTGCGCTGGTGAGGGAAGAGGTTTGTCTTGATCCAAGGCCCCGGATCTGACTGCTCAAGCTCGGCGCCGCTCTCAATGCTCTTGAACACGGCGTCGACCTGCTGGCGCTGGACCTCGACCTGACGGGCCTTGTCCTGCTGCGGGTTGTAGTGACTACCGCCGCTCGTCGTGTACCGCTGTTGCGACGCCAAGTACATCTTGTAAGCCCTCTCGCCGCCGCCATGCGCGTTCTGGTAGGCAGGGTGGTCGTTGTGGCGCATCGGGTCGTACGGAGGCATCGGGTCGAGGAGGAAAAGGTTGTGGGCGATAAGCGTATCGGAGATGTACTGGATGTTTGATGGCAGAGTGAAGAGGATCACATTGATACGGACTTCGAACATGACCTGCTGTCAGCGCGGAAAACGAGCCGGCAAAAGCTCACCCCGTCTGGTCTGAGACGCATTGCGAAGCCTTCCAGGCGGCAGAGGCCGCGAGAAAGCATAGGGATGAGAATCTCGGCAACATGGCCATCGATGTCGCCGATGTACGCGCCATTGGCACCGCCGGGGTACGTTGTGACCTGGATGGTGTCCTTGCTGACGCCAGTCCACGGCTCGTCTGGGCGTGGAGGATCGCCGGCGCGGCGAAGCTGATGTGTTAGCATTGCGACTCGAAACGGAATGGAACAGGGTGAAGGCCGACGCAGGCAGCTGACTCATCCACCTCCGCCACCCACTTCGGCGACCGCGAGCGATGCCTCATCCCCGTCCCTCCGCTCGTACGAGGACTCACACGTAGCTTGACATGGATCATCTCAGCGCCCTTGAACGTGACGACGGTCCAGCGCTGTCCCGGCTTGGGCTTGGCTCCGGCGACGGCGGCATCGTTGGGATAGAGCATGATAGCGCGTGTCATAAAGCCGCCGATGCACACCGGCTTCTTGGGATTGAGGGGTCGCGATTCGGGCATGTTGTCAACGTCTATGGGAGCGGCTGACGATCCGTCACCGGTCCCGGCCGCCGGAACTGGAGCCGAGGAAGACGTCGGGAGCGACGGCACCCAGCTGCCAGTGGCAAATCCGTTGCCGTTGCCGTTGGCGATGGTGCCCGCCGACGCGCCGTGCGATGAGCCGTTCGAACGTGCCATGTGTGCAAAGCCAGCACGGTGAGCAGCCTCGCTCGCGCTAGCTAGTGATGAGCCCAGCGTCGAGAACTGGGTGCCGCTCGGGCCAGCGACCCCCGAGCTCGAGGAGAAGCTGCCGAACATGGGGTTTGCGGGGTGTTTTGCGGGAGTAGATGCGGTGATGACAATGTCGTCGTCGGACTGTGTTGAGAGTAAGCAAAAGATTAAGATAGGGGATGAGGTGTGAGGTGCGAAAGAAGATAGGGTGATGGTGAGATGGATGTGTTTATGGGATGCTCGTCCGCCGATACGCCCCTCGACCCTTCGCCCCATTCCGCTTCCCTCCACCCTAGACACCTGCTCGCCCGCAGTTTCGCGTCGGCGTCGCTCTCACGCGGCTCGCTGGGAAGCCTCGGCTTCTCGCGTGCACGGCGTTGCATGGGTAGCGTCGGGTGCTGCTGAGTAATCCGCGATAGTTGATCGTGATGATCTGTGGAAGGGGCGAGGAGGGGCGCATAGCGCCGCTCACAGAAACCGCAACGACAATGTAGCATCCAAAAGTGCCCACTCACCTCCTTCGTACTCTCTCTCAACCTTGAACCCGGCCTCACAGTCGGCGCGCCCGGTCTCCGCGCCGCTAATCCTCCGACGGCTGACGGCCCCGCGGCGGAGATGGCGACCGCGCTCTCGTCGCTGTCGCTCAGGTCTGTGAGGTCTATCGCGCGCGCTCGCGCGCTGATCGCCGCGGCCACGAGCGGTGCCCGCCGCCGCCCTAAAGATGAGGGCGGGCGCGAAGGACCGGCCGACGAGTCGCTGGAAGGGGATGGGAGGGCTGGTGTGGCAGGTGTAGTTGGCGACGCGGGGGTCGCGGGCGTCGCCGGGGAGGCCAAGGACAAAGGGGTAGACATCGAGCCTGGACAGACGTGGAGGGATAGGCCAACAGTATAGGACCTATATGGTATCCTCTAGCGCCGCTCGCCGCTCGCTGCGGGGCTTTGAGCTCGTAGGCTGGAGGGAGAGAGGCGATGCGCAGTTGTTGTGGACACTGATGAGACGGGGATGGCTGATACGGAGCTGGAATGAAACCTTTTCAGGGTGACAATGCAGCGACTCATGTTGCCCGCGTGCCTGGATGGTCAGCTGACCACGGCCCACTTGAGATACCCCAGAGTGCCGCCACCCAGGTCGTGAGACTTCGCTGACTCATCACCGACGCTGCGCTCTCACGAGCACGCAACCCGTGATGTCCATGATACAACAATTGCATGCCATGCTACATGTCCTCCGAGGGCACTCTCCATCTTGGGCGTACAATGCAGGCGTGGTCTCAAGCAATGCAAACAATCTCTCTTGGAAAGGGAGCGCATTCACTGCTCCTGTCCACTCTTTCGGCGTCCCTTGACTTCCTTTCCTGATGTGCTCCTCACATTCTTGGCGGGAGCCTTGCGCGCTGGCGCGGCCTTGCGTGGTGCCTTGCCGCCAGTCACCTGACGCGTAGACCCCGTGGATGTTTTCGAGCCAGTGCGAGGGCGCTTGCTTGCAGGACGAGGCTCCTCCTCTTCCTCCTCGCTTTCGTCAGATTCTATTGATATAGGGTCGTTGTTGGTTCCTGCTCCCTTGACAGGTGTACTATTGCGAGGGTTCAAGCGCTTCACCTTCGCGGGCGTGGGGGGCATCACCAGCGTCGGTTGGTCGCCCACATTGCCGTCCTTGCGGGCATACAGGATTGTCGCGGCTTGACGTGCGGCGATGGGTTCGCCCCCAAAGCCGTTTCCGAGGTTGCGCTCCGAAGATGCGTACTCCCACGGATGTTCTCCTTCACGTGCGGCGTCGGGGACCTCGTCACGCACCAACTGCGGCTTGAACAGGGCTATAGGGATCGACGATGTGTCTTTCAAAGCCTTTGAAGTGAGGAACATATCGCAATGCTTGAGAATCGGCTGGTCGACCATTTGCTCAACCATCTCCCATGGTCTGTCCTCGAGGGCCATACCCATGTCGCTGTCTACCAGGCCAGATGAGCTGCACATTGACATGGCGCGGTAATCCGTCTTCGGTCGCGGGAGGGCGCTGGCGAATGACGGCGAGCGAGCGAGAAGATCTTGCACAGCGGGCGTTGAGGCCTCAAATACGCGCGCGTGATAAACGGCCGCTTGGCTGTTTGCCGGGACTGAGTCGACAAGGAATATCAACAGATCGCGCATTGATTCCATATTAGTGTATCCCTGCGAACGGGAACACAGGGCCTGAGGTGTGAGCGACGACATGAAGCGCGTGCTTACAACTGCAAGATGCAAGAATGCAACGACCAGAGCGCCGAAGTCAGGTTTGGGAGACGACGGGATGTGGATCTCAGTTGAAGGGATTGAGAGGACGAAGCGAAGGAGGTTGAGAACAGCCTTCAGTATCGTGCCGGGCTCGGGTGGCGTAGCGCCCGGAAGCATGTGCACGTCGTCCTCGTTGGATACGTGTCGTTCGAGCGATTGGAAGGCGTCGGCCAGGAGGTTGAAAAGACGGTCCCGAGCGGCGGCCGCGGCTGCTTCGAGTCGATCCTGACGCCCAATGCTGCTGATGACACGCAGCACAAGATCAATGCCGCTTGAAGTTTGCTCCACCTGGTGCTGGTCCTCAGCGCCGAGCAAGCGGCGGAGGAGGTCGCCGAGACGCTCTAGCCCTACAGCCAAAATCTCCTGCGCGACGACAGAGTCGGCGCCGCGGAACGCCTCAACGAGCAAGTCCGTATCATCGGGCGTAGCCTCGCGGTCCAACGACTGCTTGACAATCTGCGACAGTTGCTTGCGAGCCTCGTGCGGCTCCTCGTTGTTGGCGATGCGCATGGTCAGACGCTTGAACTCCACCCTCATCTCGAGCACGATGCGCGTGTACCGCCATGCGCTGTACTTGCCGCCGCCCTCGAGCGTGGGCAGACTCTCTGAAGACTTTGAGCGCTTGTCCGACATCATGAGCTTGAGGCCCTCGACCATGCCAGTCTCCAGCGAGGAGTCGTTGGAGCGCTTGATCCAGTCATTGGACAGGAAAGCGTCTTTGAGCACGTCGAGATTGCGGAATGCAGCGGTCTTGAACTGTGGCAACTCGGCGAGGCCGCGGAAGATGACGCCGATCTGGTTCCGCGTCTTCTCGGGAACGAGCTTTGAGCGCTCCAGGACGACGAGGACGGGTAGGTGCTGGATCAGGTTGGGGACGTTGGAGGCGTGGAAGGCGGCCGCCCGGGCCGTCTGCACAACATACGCCTCGCGTAGGCTGGCAGGTGGCAGACTCTTGTGGGGCGTACACAGAAGAAGCTGCTGAGCGAGGGTGACTGCCCACTCGACGGCATACGTGCGTTTGCTTGACAGTCGCGGATGTGAGGCCGAAACGAGAGATGCAGCATGCTTGAGCTCCGGGAAGAGGACTTGCTCAAGGAGTGTGTGTGAGCCAAGGAGACGCCTGACAATGAGCACGAGCAGCATGCGGACAACCGGCGGCACGCTGCGCCTGCCAAATAGGTCAACCCGAGTGCTCGGGGTAAGAGACGCGACCCAAGTGACGAACACGGGCCTCAGCGACCCGTCACCTGCCTGGTCAATGACCTCGGTGATGTGCGCCACCGCGGCGTTCACGGCGTTCGGCTTGCCTGCCTCGCCTGCCTGAACGGCTTGGATAACATTCTGCCACCAAGTCGTCGACCACAAGTCAAACTTGCCGTGCCGGGTGAACATCTTGGGGGCCAGTCCGACTGCTTTCTCGGTGTTGCCTGCGGTGATGACCTGCCGCAACCCCTCCATACTCTGGTCCATGTCGACCGCGATGGAAGGGGCCTCCGGCGATACGCGTCTATGTCGTTCTCTGGCTTTGAGCACCTCCGCCTCGGCGTGCGGGTCGACCAGACGGTGGTGCTGGACCAGCATCTGGAGAACGGCGACGAGCGGGGCGCAGAACTCGCCACGTCTCTGCATAGCGCGAAAACGGGCCACGAGCGCAGCCGTGATCTGATTCCACCTATCGATGGAGGTCCAGACGTCGGCATCGCGCTTGATCGAGTCCAGGATAATAAGGAGGATCTCGGGGTCTTCAGTGCCGGTGATGCCCTTGACGAGGAACTAGTGTCAACTCACGCCATCAAACCAGCGACTTACATCTGCCAAAGTCGAGTATCCTCGGCACTGCATGAAGACGTTCATGACGCGTGCGTACGTGCTGGCGTCCATGGGTGGCTGTGAGCCTTGACGCTTGAAGTGGTGGACAGCAGCCGCAAACAGCCAGAAGCGGCTGTGGACAAACTCAAAGCGCGTAATGCCCGCCGCCATGGGGATCTGATAGTCGATGCTCTCGCGGATAAATGCACTCTTGCCGTATCGCCGCAGGCCGAAGACCTCGGGTACGTACTCTTTCATCTCCTGGCGGAAGGTCTCGAGCTGATGGTCTTCTTCGGCCTGCTCGCGCTCTCGATTCTCACCGTCACCGCTGAGCACGAGGCGTCGCTGCTCGAGCAGATCGGGCGCCTCGACGAATATTGGCATTACGCGGAGGAGCTCGAGGTGGTGCGACGGTGGCCCCTTCCCCTTCGAGAAGCGGGCGCTGTGGCCATGTGAGATAAGGGTGTTTAAGTACCGTCCGTACGAGAAAAGGCCCTGGCGCGTGAGCTCGCCGAAGGAGATACCGATCGGCAGGACATTTTCCGCTTTGCGCGCCGGAACCGAGGTATCCAACCACTTGTACAGGATAGGAAAGAAGTCAAAATGGTCGTTTGGCCTGATCTCCTCGTGCCATTGCTGCCACTTCTTCAACATGGTGTACACGGCGTAGGGCCTGTGCACGCCCATGTGGTACAGGCCCATTGCCCAGTTGACGAGAATGAAAACCTTTTCCTCGAGCTTTGACACGTCGATCTTTGGGCTTGTTGGAGCGCAAGGCCCACTAAAGTATGCCTTACAGAGCGCAGACATGTCCGTCTCAGCGCAGATCGAGTCAAGCATGTGGATTTCGGCCATCTGTTGTCGCCTAGGGCTGGCCCCGGGGTCTACCACGATGGGCTTGAACATCAGGGCGTTGTTCCGGCGCTCAAGATCCGCCCAGAGAGGAGTAACTGAGTCGACGATCGATCCCACGAGTGGCGAGAAGCGAACCCATGTCGTTGGGGAGAGCATGACCTCGGGGTCGGTTTCATATAGAACGCGGATGATCGTGGTGAGCTGCTCGTCGACCTTTGTCATTGTCTCCTTCGCCGGCGAGCCCCGTATCTCCTTGAGCTTCACACACGCAGAACGCACGCAATGCCGGGATATGCTCGAGCTTTCCGCAACATCATTGAGGTTTTCGTGGATCAACTGTGCGACGAAGCCGACCTGGGCCAGGTTCGCTTGGCCAAGGAAGTCAGCGAGCCAGCCGACCAGTTGCCGTTGAGAAATTAGGCGTTTCCGGTTCAGTTGCTTGAGAAGGGTGTTGGAGTACTGCCACTTGGCAAGCCATCGTGTGCGGCTTTTCTCGTCGCCCAGAACGCCTGTGGGCGTCTTGGGAGGTGGCAGTGTCCCACCACCTCCTCCCGCCTTGGGCTTGGTGGGTAACACAAGTTGCGCTAATTGCATGCGCAGCCATGCAGTAAAAGCAGTGGTGAACTCGGCAGTGTACCAGTCGTTCGAGTTGAGCGGCAGCGGCACTGGGGCGGAGGTGGCTGTTGAGCTAGGCGTAGCTGCAGCTGGGCTGGGAGCCTGCACCGATGACACCGGTTGAGCTCGTCCACGATGTGCGCTGATCTCGTTTGCGCCGAGGATCCGGATGAACCACAGCGCCCTATCGATCGGGATTGGTTCAGGTGGGGGCTTCCCCGCAGCGCTGACGGTGCCGGGGCGCATCCCAGGCTGAGGGGGATGGAACATGGTCTCGAGGAGCTCGACACCCTTGAAGCCGTGGGGAACGGGATTGCGCATGAGCCGCGTAACTGGAATGGCAGGGTTGGCGAGGTCGGCGATGAACTGTGACCGCTTGGTATCGTTGTATGTCACACGCACGGGGATGCGGAACGCCCTTTCTCTGTGTGTGTTAGTGTGCGTGTGATGGCAGCATGACGTCGCGAGCCTGCCAATGGTCGCGACGCGATGAGCGACGCGGCGATGACCCGAGACGCACGGCAGCATCCGGCGCTTGGCGGACCAATGCGAGATCGTCGCAACTCACTGGAAAGAAGGCATGGCAGCATTCCGCTGCGCAATGATCTCGCGGCCCAACTCCATCAGCCGTTCCAGGCCGCCGGTCTGGAGCTGCTGGTACACCGGGCCATGCATGGAGAAGCTCTCCGCCTGGCATAAGCTTCATCCCGAGCGGTCTCACCGTCACATTAACAGCCGGCTTGAGGGAGAAGCCGGACTTGACAAAGGTGTCGCTCATCTCATCTTCAGGCTGGCCGAAACCGGGCCGTGATGGATAGAAGTCCGGGTATCCTATCTGTCAGCGATCGGGCGTCTGTGCGCGGCTAGCGAAACAACAAAGGGCGAGTGAGCGAGGTGAGATTTTGCCACGCTCGCCCCCCGCGTCGAGCTCACTCACCGAGGTCGGCACGCGAGTTGAGGACGGTTCGCCAGGCTGGCGGAGGAAACTCCTCGATGGGCACGGGGTCGGCGAGCGATACATCGGCGGTGGGCTGCCCGCTGGCACGCCGTTTGTGTGGAGCCTTGTTGCCGAGCGACGGATGTGCCGCGCGCAAGCCTGCCGGGGGGTAGCGCGGTGTTGGCATGGCGCGGCGAGATTGAAGGAATGGGGGTCACGGGATGTGGGGTGGCGGGGAGCTAGAGAGCGAGGAGTGGCATGTGGAGAGACGGAAGGAGGGCGAGGGTGTTGAGGAGAGAGTATGCAGTGACGATGCAGGAGAAGATGATGGAAGATGCAGTGGATGGAGAGACAAGATGAGACCAAGATGGTGGATGGATGCTCGGTGTTGTCGGCGACAGTGCTGCCTGCGAGTATCCTTCTCCACCCATCCACCGGCCGCCCAAGCGAAGGCAACGACCACTCACCGCACGCCCTAAAGGCACCTTCACTTTCAGGCACCGTCCACTAGTCCCGCCGCCGCCGCGTCCCCTCCACCACTCTTCTTGTCCGTCATCAGTCAATCATCACTAATCATCAAGAGGTGTCCCATCGACTTCTCGCTTCGCCCTCCGCCCTTTCCGGCTTCAGTCTCACATCGCGCTGCGCCCAGCCGCGTCACAGCCCCGTCTTGGCGTATCCATAGCCAAGGCATTCGCGCCTCCCCCTTAACACCCCCACCCCCATCATCTCCTCCAGTATGCCCATCGAGTGGCCAAAGGACTCGTCGCAGTCCGATATCGACGACGACACCTCGTCTCTCGGGTCGTACCTGTCCTCATCAGACGAGTCGTTTGACAGCGAGGACCAGTCCGCACTCATCCAGGAGGAGTGGGAGGAGAGCATGCGCCAAATCGAGGCCGTGCTGAGCGTCATCATTCTGCCCTTCTTCGGCAAGTGGTGGGGGCGACGATTTGCTTTCTGGGGTGAGTTGAATTGACGCAGCATGAGTGACATCGCTGACAACAGCGTATGACCGCTACAAGATCTTCGGGTGGACGCCCGCCATTGTCGGCCTCTCGCGGTAGCGCGCACAGTGTAACACTCCGGCATATGCATAGTAAAAGATAGTGGCAGGGTTGTGATGCAGAGATGTGTGTCTAGTACTATTCTATCGTTGACGGGAACCGACCAGCTTGCGCGCGCGGTCGATCATGCGTTTGAGAGAAGGTCGTTGTGTCTGGAACGCGCGGCGCTCCATCTCCCCCAGCACCTCCTTGACCTCACTCACGCGCTTGGCCTTGACCAAGGGGTCTAGAATGATGCTGTACGTGTCGGCATTGGGTGCTCCTCCCTCGCGCACCATCTGGCGGAAGACGCGAATGGCTGTTGAGCCACCGCCTTCTGCATCACCCATGCCAAAGAGCACGCGATTGTTGGCTTCAGGAGCGCCGCTCTTGGGCCCACGCGTCAACTGCTTGAGAATGATGTTGAACGCCTTGTCGTTCAATCGGTGCCCGCTCGCCTTCATCCGTTTGATCGCGTCCCAGCCGTCCAAGTCCCACCCGCCGCAAAAGTATCCACCGACGAGCGCCGTCCACATCGGTAGCGTCGTCTTCAATCCTCGGGCACGCATGTCACGGATCACGTACTCGGCGCGACGCAAACCTTCGGCCGTGCCGTCCGACGCCAGGTCAGCTACGAGCATCGACGCCATCACGTCGTTTGGCTCTATGCCGCGGGACCGCATGGCGTCAAGCGTCGCGCGGGCAAGGTCTGACCGTTCTGCTCGCAGCAGGCCGTGCACCATGGTCGTGTAAGTCACAATGTCTGGCTTGATCTTAAGTTTGCCAGCCGTAGCGATAACCTCGTTGATCATTTGAATATTGGCGAGGTGGGCTGCCCATCGCAACACCGTGTTGATGGTCACCACATCAGCGACGAGCGATGTCGAAGGGTTCACCGCTGCCTCGAAGAGCCGCATCCCCATCTCAGCTGGTCGGCCACCAATCATGAACGCGGACGAAAGTACTTGATTGAACACGAGTGTTGGAGGCCACACTACTGTCAGCTTCCATTTAAAGAGCCAACCCACCCATGCGCTCTGCTTCGGACGGGCTCCTCCCCTGTTCCGCCTCGAGCTCCTCGAGCCACAACTTGCGAGTTTCCTCGTTGCGGACGAGATCGTCCCAGATCTTGAACATATCTCCTGACTCGCCGTGATACCCCAACAGGCGAAGATATACCGAGTACGCCTGTACGTCTGGAATGACGCCCTCCATACGGACCACTTTGTCCCACGTCGCCTTCGCGCTAGCGAGGACGAAATCGCGGTCCGCTGCACGCGGGTTGACCTCGTCGGGGTCGATCTCGTCAGGGTCGGCTGGTCGGGAAGCGCGGAGCATCGCGTGGAACACGGGCAACGGGGTAGGCTCGGGGACACGCGCACGAGCTGCCTCCAGGATCGGCAGGAGAGCTGCGCGATCCTGCTTAAGTTCATTCCGCCACGGCGAGCAAGCCCAGATGAAGGCGCCGAGCGCCGCGCTTCCCCCGTCGGCCGTGAGCCCATGCTTCTCCTTGCGGTCGAGCATGCCGGTGAAAGTCTCCCACATGTTGGCGATGTGTGTCAGGTTGCCGTCCCCGCGGAGGAAGGCAAGGCGACCCTCGAGGCTTCTCGCGGTGCTGGGAAGCGTTGCGATCGCGTCGTTGGAAAAGAGTGCTCGCGCACTTGCCTGTACTTCCGGAGCGTCTTTTTCTCCACCGAGTTTGACGACTTGTCCCATCACTGACGCCAGCGATGGCATGCGGAGCCTGATTTCTGTTGGTTCGGCAATCCCCAGTCGGGCGCGGAGAAGGACCCACGCAGCCGCCTGGGAAGGGAAGACAGCGCGCCCGTCGCCCGCCTTATCTTCAGACGACATGGTGGCGAGCTGCCGCTCAAAGGCATCGAGGACGATGCGTGCACGCGTCTCGTCCCGCCCAGCCTCGGAGGCCATCCACTTCGCGTAGCGCACCACGAGCATGTAGTGCTTCAGTTTGCCTCGCGCCGAGGTCGCGTACACGCTCTTCGGGTCGCCGCAAATGGACCATAGTGCGTCGGCGAGCGTGGAGAGTTGCTCTTCTGGTGCCGCCACGTCCGTGTAGTAGCTGGAGAGGAGCGCGGAGATGGCGTTCCGGTGCGTGATCGGCAGCTCGGCACCCGCGTCGAGGTAGCTCCTCACAGCGGCCAGCACCTCGGCGGGGTCTGAGGTGGAGGCCTGTCCACCGTGAGACGGAGGACTAAGCGCCGTGATGAGTGCCGCATTCAGACGCGGGTTGCTGCCCCCGAAGATGTCCGTCTGCCATCAGAGAAATACCTCGAGAGGAAGGCTGTGAATGCCAACTCACCGACTTTATCTTCCCGAACGGATCGGAGTGCAAAGCGCTAGTGCTCGCGGCAGGCTGTGCCGCAGCCGCATGCGTCGCAAGCGTACTGCGAGCGCGGCAAACCGCCCGGGGTCGCTGCTGCGCGGCGCGCGCGGTCACCGAGCCCAGGCGACGGAACATTGATATCGGAGTCGGTGGAGGTGTAGATGGAAAGTGACTTTGCTAATGGAAATTCAGGATATCTCCGCGTCTCCGCCTGTCAAAAGTTTGTTTTCGACATCACACTTGCCACCCACCTCATACTGCCATGCCCAACAATCGCAAAAGCACGCTCAAGAAGATCAACGGGCGGGATGGTGTGCATCCCGGCTCGCGCAAGGGTGCGTATTCGCGAGTTGCGAGCTGGCACGGACGCTGGATCAGCTCAAACGTCGCCAGCGCTTCTGCGTCCTTGTAGAGGAGGACTGACCCCAGCCGCGCAGATCAACCGCGTGCACCTCCGCAGCATCAAGCTCAAGTCGCAGGCGCGTGATCGCAAGGATCTGAAGATGGGGAAGCGTGCGTTGACCCGTGATGCCACTGACAGCAGTGTTCCGCCCGCAGTTCTTCATGCACTCCCTTGAGAGCCCCGACGCGCTCACACTCCCGCAGCTGTGCGCGCTGATCACGGACACGTTCATTGCGCGGAACGACGAGCGGATTGCGGAGCTCAATGCTGAGCGCCGCCCGGGACGGCCGAAGGTCAAGGAGCTGCTTGAGCTTGAGGAGCTGCGGCGTGTCGAGAGCGCCGAGTGGGAGACCGGGTTCGGTGAGTGCCTGAGGCGGGGAAGTTCTGCTCGATGAGCAGGGAGACACCGTAGCTGACGGACAGAGGTGCCTAATCTCACCGACGCGCGGGCAACAAAGCTCATGTACGGGTGGGTTGAGTCTGGGACAATCATCAAGTCTGCGCACATCGACCTCCTGCCTTGGATCCGCATTGCGAGGGCGACACCGGACGTGTTTGTGGTGAGCCGCAAGGGCAAGCTCGATGGGATGGGGTTGGGAGACGCCGGGGCTGCAGCTATGGCTGTCGACGACGAGGGTGAGAGTGCTATGCAGGAGTAGATTTAGATGTTGTATGAATACCGCTAGACGCAGACGATTTACGCCAAGGACGGACGGCAACTATGGATGCAGGCGATCAGGATTGCGCTCTCAACGGCGTCCCCGCACGTACACCACAGACTCTCGGCTCTATTTCGTTCACGTCATCACACATCCAATCGCCAGCACGCAACCGCACTCATCAACTCAGCAGCGCTCGTAATAAGGGAATTACATCCCGACTAGTGTACAAGCGATAGCCCACCGGGCACTTAGTAAGCAGCCTGCTCGGCGGGGGCGGCCTCGGCCGCGGGGGCGGCAGCGGGGACGGCGACCGGCTGGGGCTCCTTGTGCTCCGAGCGGATCTCGATGGGGGCCTCGGCCTTGGGCTCGACAAGGGTGACCATGTCGGGGATGGGGCGCGAGGGGCCCATGCGGCCCTCGGGGTCGTGGGGGCGCATGATCTTGACCTTGATGCCGAGCACACCCTGGCGGAGGAGAACGTGGCGGACAGCGTAGTCAACGTAGTCAATGGCGGGCTGGCCGGAGTGGAGGAGGAAGCCGTCGGTGAACTTCATCGACTTGGCACGGGCGGCACGAAGCTTGCCCGAGACAACGACCTCGCAACCCTTGGCGCCGGACTCCATAACGTAGCGGAGGACACCGTAGCAAGCACTGGGAGTCAGTAACGAGTCAAAAGAAGAATAAGAAGCCGGATCCGTTCGACCGGATCCGAGGGGCGAAACTCACCGGCGCATGGCAAGGCCACCGAGGAGCTTGTAGCGGAGCGACTCGGCCTGGGCGACGGCCGAAAGACCGCGGTACTGGACCTTCTCGGCGTAGAGCTCGAGCGAGTTCTCGGGGAACTTGAAACGCTTCTCAACGAGAGCCTTGAGCTCACGGATGCGGCGGCCCTGGTGGCCGAGGACCTCCTGGGTGTGGGTGGCACGGATGATGATCTCGGTGCGGGCGTGGGTGACACGGACCTCGCAGCCCGAGTAGCCCTCCTCAGCGAGCTCGCGCATGAAGAACTCGCCGAGCTCGGCCTGTCTGTCAGCTTTATTCTTGCCGTTTTGGGATCGCCGCGCATCGCGTCGAGATGTTTCCTGTTGCTACGCAAGTTCCATCTAGGGGGCGCGCAGAGCAGCGGCACTAACCTGGAAGACACCGTCGGCGACGAACTTGCGCTTCTTGGAGATGTTGAGGGCGGAGGCCATTTTTGCTGGTCTTTTGGTGATGCTTGAAGAGCGAGGATGAGAAGTTGGCAGGACGAGGGTTTGAAGGTGGAAAGGCGGAAGCAAATTGGAGGATCAAAGAGTTTGACGGTGGAAAGTGGCAATCAATTACACATACTTTTCTCTTGTGATCGGCAGTCGTGCCTGCAGCCATCACCTCGACGTGATGCAACACACTGATCCGACAAGCGTACCAGAATGGATCATGTATCGTAGAGCTCTGCGACCACTTTGCTTATGAGGCCTTGTCTAGAAGCCGAAGGAAGTTACGCTAGATAAGCTCTCCAGAGCGTGGAAAGGGTTAGTTTATCAACTCGGGCTACGTGATGTTCCAAGCCCCCCCCATTGCTCGCTTCCCGCCAGCCGCAGTCTGCTGCTTTATTCGAGTATTGCCTTACAGTCACGCGCTGCAAAGAAGCTTAAGGAGTCGTGAACTCGCCGACATCAGCTTGCGCAAGCGGAGCATGCAGCGGAAGAGGCAGGTGTTGTCGATCTGCCACTCGCACGTGCCAAAGCTCGGAGATCTTCCGCTGTCCGAGACCGCGATACGTTCCTGACTGACGAACAGCGGGCGGTGCCAGCTCTTGGTATCGTGTTGGGTTCCACTCGCTCTTCCCATCTTCATCGTCGCTCATCTGCCGCCTCGGGATCCTCGGGCTCATCATGCGGCTCTCCTTTCGCCGCGTTCAGCCGGGGGCCGTCTTCTCCTCGTTCTTCGGCATCCTCGACATCAAGCTGGGCTGCGAGATCATCTTGCTCTTCGCTGTGAGTTCTGAACGGTGGCGCATGCCTTCAATGTTCTCCCCCGCCTTCCTTTCCTCCGCTCTCCAGTTGTCCATTATTGTTCGGCTTTCACGCCGGCTCTCATACCCATCGCCCTCCTTGTTGAGCTTTGCTGACTCCAGCTCATCAACAAGGTCGCCGGCGTCTATGGTCTCATCACGGTGATTGTCGGCGGCTCCTTCGCGCAGATCACCTTCTACGCCTACTCTGTCATTTCGCTCTTGGGTCTGCAATGGGGTCTCAAACAGGTCAAGGCTGTAAGTGTCCTCGAACCCTCTTTACCACTGTAGGGCTGCGAAAGGCTGACAGCAGGAATCATCCCAAAAGGTGCTCCTCGTCGCCCACCTCTACGTGCTCGACCATGTGATTCAGCAGGTCTTCCACTACCTCTTCTTCTACAACTACTGGTATATTCAGAAGCATGAGGGACAGCGTGATTTGAATTCGCAGGCGCAGAAGGACATCTTCAACCTGGCCGTCTCCCGCAACGAGGTGTCGGCCAGCGACGCGAACCCATCCGAGGCAGATGCGCAGCTGCGCGCCGGCCAGGCGATGCAGATCTGGAACCATGAGAAGGGATACGCGCTTGGCGTTATCATGCTCGGATTCTTGTTCAAGGTGAGCATGGTGCGGGAGGGCGAGAAGTCCGAGGTAGACCAGGATTGTCGGAGGAAGCGGAGCGGACAAAGCAAGAGTGTTTCTTGCGCCGTGGCGGTCCTTTGCGTTTGCGACAAGCTGTTCTCACCAACACCCGTTGACTCTAGATCTACGCCTGTATGGCCTTGTACTCGTACGCCGCGCACCTGCGGCAGAACACATACCACTCCCTCCCGCTCACGAAGGACGCGCACGCGGCTCGCGACGCGATAATCGCGAGCAGATCACAGAACGCCTCTCCAGTGGAGGAGGATGAGCTTGCGCTCGCCGAGGCGGAGATTGCGCGCGACCGCGCCCGCGAGAACGGGCCCGCCCGCTCGCCTCGGACTTCGCCAGCCGTCGAGGCATCTGCACTGCCCAGGACAGACAAGGGCAAGCGTGCCTCGGAAGACTTCAGCTGGGACTAGTCATCTCTATGCATCCACCACATATCACATAGAGCCTCGCGTATGTATTCGATATTGTGCGCAGAAGCCATAATACTATACAATGGGTGGAGTGGAGGTCATGTTTCACAGTGGATTCCATTTGCCACTAGCGTCGCCGGCAGCCGCCGATCCCACTCGACGTCATGTTTTAAGCGTGTTTGTAACTTGTCCGTCTCTCAATCTCCAACACTCCACATTTTCGCTGCCTCGCAAAACCACCACCACCATGAGGCTGGCTAACAAGCAAATCGAAAAAGACGGCTCGGTGAGTGGGCGCCAGCCGCGCTGACCGGCGCGCACCCACCTCGGCGCCGCTCGGCCACCACAGCCTGCGCGGCTCCAGCTAACGCCAGGGCTGGGTCGAGCTCATCCCCGAAGACGAGGAGGACATGTGGCACGTCTACAACCTCATCTCGGAGGGCGACGAAGTGCGCGCGAAGACGGACCGCAAAGTCCACAGTACAAGCAGCACAGGCACGACGACAAGCTACCGTGTGCAGCTGAACCTGACGATTCTCGTCAAGCGGGTGGGTCTGGGGAGGGGCGGTTGGAAGTTGACGCCAGACCATGTTCTCCGCAGCAGCGTCGACGGAGACGAACGGCGACCAGTCGACGCACCGCGCCGTCATGAGCATCACGGGGCAGGTGACGGAGGCGAACGACTATGTGCGCGTCGGCGCGTACCACACGCTCGAGCTTGAGCGGGGCCGCAAGTTCCGGCTGACGAAGGCGACGGGGTGGGACAGCGTCGCGCTCGAGCGCATTACAGAGAGCACGCGGCCGGGGCGCGGCGCCGAGATCGGCGCCGTCGTCTGCGGCGAGGGCACGGCCGCCATCTGTCTCCTCAGCGAACACATGACGGTTGTGCGGCAGCGCATCGACGTGCCTGTGCCGCGCAAGCGGAGCGGGACGAGCAGCCACGACAAGGTAAGTGTCGGAGCGGAGGAGCGGCGGAGCGAGTGGAGCGCAGGCGATAGTCGCGCGGCCGTTGCGGAGCACACGAGAGCTCACACCAGGCCATGGCGACCTTCTTGAGCACAGTGTACGCAGCAATCCTGCGCCTGATCCCGTTCGAGACACTCAAGGTCGTCGTGCTCGCCTCGCCCGGCTTCACCAAGGACACGCTGTACGACTACATCTTCCAGCAGGCGACCGAGACGAACAACAAGGCGCTGCTGGGCGCGCGCTCCAAGTTTCTGCGCGTGCACTCGAACACGCCGCACGTGCATTCCCTCGTCGAGGCGCTGCGCGATCCCGGCGTCGCCAAGATGCTGCAGGGCGCAAAGTTCGCCAAGGAGGGGCTCGCGCTGGACAAGTACGCCTCACCCCGGATCGCGCTGATACAGATTCCACAAGATGCTGAGTACGGACGAGCTGCGTGCGTGGTATGGCCCGCAGCACGTGGCACTTGCGGTCGACCGCGGCGCTGTTGGCACGCTGCTGATTTCCGACGACTTGTTCCGCGCCGCCGACCCCGAGAAGCGCAACCACTTCGTCCGCATGGTGGATGAGGTGCGCGCGCGGGGCGGTGAGGCCGTCATCTTCTCGTCTATGCACGAGACGGGCGTGCAGCTCAACCTCCTCACTGGCATCGCTGCCATCTTGACGTACCCACTCGACATTGAGGTTGTCGAGATGGAGGAGCGCGAGGAGCGTGAGCGCCTCGAGCGCGAGGCGGCAGAGGCGGCATCCGAGGGCTCTACCCCCGCCGCTAGTGGCACCACCACGCCATGGCGCACCGACGGCATCTAGATCCACCCACTGGCTCGTCCACATATTGCCTCTGTACTGTTGTTACTCGCCATGCATACTTCTAGAACACACACACTCTCTACACGTCATCGTCGAGGGTCTCGTCCGACTCCTGAATCATCTGGGCAATCTCCCTGTCGCGCTCGCGCGCGTCGGCCGCCGTCTCAAGATCCTTACGGTGCACATTGGCAGCAAAGCGCATGCCCTGCAGCGCGTCGTTGTGCATTTCCAGCGCATACTTGAGGCGCTGAGCGATCTGCTGCTGGGGCTCGTCTGTCTCATACACGTCCCTCTTGACCTTGGACTGCATGAACCCGCCCTTGTGGTCGATAGTGGCATCAATCACACGGTCCTTGATCGCCTTGGCCACAATGTACTCGGTGTCCTCCTCCGAGTCGAGGCCAAGCTTGAGGCACACGTCACGCAGCGAGATGCGCGAGTATGCGAGCGTGATTGTCCGCAGCGCGGTGCGGATGACGAAATGCCGCAGTCGGAGGATGAGGAAGTGAGTCGAATCAGCAAGGAACGCCTGCTCATGGGTGGTAAATGCGCGCTGGAAAGCCGCGACGTCGCCAACGCGGACGGCTAAAATCAGCTCGGCTTTGATACTATAGCTCACCCTGCACGATCTGGAAGTAGGGAAGGAGGGCGTGCTGCAACACCGGCCGGCGGAACATGGCGCGGTCGGGGATGCGGCCGGTGAGCATTTCCGTGACAATGTAGAATTTGTGGATCTGCGGGTCAGCTAGGGTTGTGGGAGGTTCAGCTCACAATCTGCACAAATCCTGGCGCAACCTCGTCCTTAGGCGCACGACGGATGGCGGTGAGGAGGAGATCAGCAGCACCAGCGTAGTTGAGCTGCACAGCGCGCAGGCGCGCAGTGTAGAACAACCAGCGGGCGGTTTGGGCTGTGTTGCTCGACGTAGGCATCTCGATCTTGGAGAGCAGCTTGTCGGCCTGGTCGTATAGGTTGGACTGGAGGTAAGAGCGAAGGAGGAGGTTGACGACGGTTATCTCGAGGTTCTCGTCCTTGCGGAGACGGGCCGACTGGCGTACGGCGAGAAGCGTGCTGCTGTCAGCTCCGACACTTCTCAAGACACTCACGGGCGGAGCTCAGCAAGACGGCCCTGCAGCTCGTACGTGCGCGCGAGGTAGAAGTAGACCTTTGCGGCGATCTGGTCCATGGTGCGGCGGTTGGCGGTCTGGATGATCTCGGTGGTGGCCTTGGCGAACGCGCCGGCCTCGGCGACCTCCCCGGCGTCGAGGGCCGCCAAGATAATTAGGAGGCGGAGGTAGACGATGCCCTCGGGAATAAGGTCCTGTCGCGCCGCGTCGAGCGGCACAACGTACTTCTTGGGCGCGGGGGCGGGCGTCGAGCTTTCCCCGCTCTTGCCCTTGTCCTTGTCTGCGTCCGTTGACGCCTCGTCCACCTCCATCGACTCGTCTGTGACAGGTGGGTCTGGCAAGGTCTTGAAGACGGAGGACGCGAGGAGCTGCTGGCCGGTTTTGGCTGCGTGTCAGCAGGGCGGAACGGGGGAAGGAGGTGGAGGACAACGTACACTGCTTGGGGAAGGCGCGCTCCAACGCGTCCTTGAGCGCCGGCTTGGTGAGCTTCTTCCGCAGGTGCGTGAGGGTGCGTAGAACACGCGTGGTGTACCGTGGCTCGGCGGTTGCGACTGTCCTGCCAATGAGAGCGATATTGTTGAGGATTTCTGGTATTAGTTAAGTTGACAGCGAAGCTCACCATCCTCGACGGTCAGCACCGGCGGCGCGGGCTCCGCCTTGGTCTCCTTGGAGTCGACGGCGGGGGTGGGCGAAGTCTCCTTCTCCTTCGCGGGTGCAGAGGTCATGGTGAATGGTTAGAGGAGCGAGATGACGAAAGGACGAAGATGTTAGAGGGAGGGCCTAGAGCAAGACAGGCGTTGGCTGGAATGGCGACGCGCAAGCAGGAACCGTCCACGTGGCTTTTCAAATCCCCGATGACCTCACTACAAAATCAACATCCACCTCTTTCAAACCAGCCCATGTTCTTCATCAGATGCATAGATGCAACCATTTTCTACTTGGCTACCAAGCGCTCAGAGCCTAGAGCTCCTCCTTAGCCTTTCCAATAACCTGCTGGCCGTCGTTGAACAGGTCGTTCTTGAGCTCCTCAGCCTTCTGGGCGACGAATGCGCCGAGAATGTTGGCCTTGACCTTGATCTCGTCGAGCTTGGTAGGCGCCATCGAAGGCGAGGCGAGGAGGTTGGCGAGACTGGGAATCAGCAATGTCCGCGCAGAGGCAACTCACCGAGCCTGCTCCTTGGTGAGCCACGCGTCTCCCTTGGCCTTGATCCGCTCCATCGCCTTGACGTAGTACGCGGCGGCGGTGCGCGCGCGGGTGTCGAGACCAGCCGACTGCTGGGTGACGTACGCCTTGGCGTTGTTGTACACCTCCTCGCGGCTGGGGAGCTCGGACCAGTACTTCTGGGCGAGGACGTCGAGGTCGTGGATCTTGCCCGCGATGTCGTTCAGAAGGCCCGAGGGAGTGCGGTTGGTGCCGCAGTTCTCGTTGAGGAACTGAGGTCAGCTGCGATCTCCACCACGCGCAAACTCACGTCGACAAACTGCTGCTCGCTGCGGCCAGAGTTGTACGCCACAGGCTCCTTGGAGCCCTTGGGGAAGAACTTGATGGTGGGGAAAGAGCGGACCTCGTAGCGCTGCGCGATGTGCTTGTTGGACATGTCGTCGGCGTTGACCTGGGCGACGATGACGTCCTCCTCGGGCGCAAAGGCCAAAGCAACCTTCTCGTACGCGGGCTTCATGTTCTTGCAGTGGCCGCACCAAGGGGCGGTGAAGGCCACGAGGACATTCTTCGAGCCGTCAACGACGTCGTCAAAGTTGCGGCCGTCGAGGACCTTGGCGGCAGGAGGGGGAGGCGGCTTGATGTTCGACTTGACACCAGAGTTGTCCTGGACGAAGGCGACGAGAGAGTCGAGGTCACGACCCGAGTTGTACTCCTGGGGCTCGAGCGAACCAGCCGGGAACCACTTGAGGGCTGATGTTAGATGGGACTGGGAGGAAGAGCAGCTGAAAACGTACTAGGGTACCCCTTGACCTCGAAGCGCGAGCCGAGCTCACGGCCGACACCGTCGGCGTCGGTCTTGGCGATGATCACCTCGTTGATGTCGAAGGCATCGGCGAGCTGCTCGTACACGGGGGCGACTGAGGTTAGTAGAGAGCTCCATCAGCCCCGGAAGACTCACGGTTCTTGCAGTGGCCGCACCAGCTGCTTGGTCAGCCAGAAACCCTCACGAATAGGTCAGTTAGTACGTACGGAGCAAAGCTGCCTATCAGCACACATTCATTCTTCAATAAACAAAAGCGGTCAGTTCAGAACTCACAATTCAACAAGAGCTGGCCTGTCCTTGCCAATAAGCTGTCAGAGTCAGCTCAGCACGCGTTGGTCACCAAACGATGAGACCGGAAAGGTGGAGGTTTAAACCCTGTCACCGGTCTGTTACAAATCGACACACCTGGTCAAAGTTCTTTGAGTCGAGCTCGACAACGTTGGAGGCAGTGACTAGGGCTGCGAGACCGAGGAGGGCCGCCGGGAGTTTGAAGGAGAGCCTCATGGTGAGATGAAGGAGAGCAAAGTTGGACGCGGATGATCTCGAAGGCAATATTCGTTCGGTGACGTGGCGACGGCGGGAAATGACAGGTGGTCAGGGCAACACCCTTCGCTCGGCGACGCGTCACAGGCTGCCTTCATCATGCGCCAGCCTGTAGCTTGCAGCCTGCAGCCTGCAGCCTACGCATGAATCTCCGCATCTTGTTGGCAAGCAACTCGTCACGATCGCCATCACCATCACCCATCACCCATCACCCATCACCCATCATCCTGCAACCTGCATTTCTTGGCGGATCAAATTACTGATGCACGAATACTCTCGGGGGCTGACGAAATATGAGAAAGATTACACACGTGCATTGACCCAGGTGACGACCTAGTCCCCGTTGTGGGAGGGATTAACAGAAATGATTACAACAGGTAGATGGTGAAGGCTCACAGAGCCAGCTAAGCGTACACAGGAGGCGACAGGAACTGATTACACCTTGACAGCCTCGAGACGCTCGGAAAGGTCGTCCTCAAGACGGGGGACCGGCTTGCGGCGGGCACGCTTGGGGGCGGTAGGAGACATGGGAACGGAGCGCTCAGCGCCAGGAGTAAGAGGAACCTGGGTGGGACGGGGAGACGGCTTGGGTGTGGGGTCGACGTCGAGATGGGGAATTTCTTCGACCGATTCGCCCGCGATGGTGATGACGCCGCGCTCGGGCGAGAGCGAGATGGGAGTCGTAGGCGTCGCAGGTGGGCTGGCGGACTGGACCGAATGGGCACTGCCGGGCGGCGAGTAGCTCGAACGAGAGGCGTGGGACGAGTGGGTCGATACGCGGGGCGTAGAGGGCACCGAGACGGGAGGAGATGAAGCGACAGAAGCGTAGATCAGACCGGCTGGACGAGGGTACTGGTTCGTGTGGTTTACGAGCTGGGACGACCTGGAGGGAGGGGCAACGGAGCTGTCACTAGACATGCGCTTGAACCCAGCAAAGGTGCGAGGACGCAGCCATGAGGAGAGCACGTCCGGCGAAGTAGGCTGAGTGGCCGAATCGGCAGATGGCGTTGGGCTCGGGTGTGACTGCGAAGGAGAAGGACGTCCGCCAGGGCCTGGGAAGGTGGAAGCTGCAAAAAGTGTCAGTAACGATAATCAATATCTGTAACGCGCGTCGCAGTGCGTAACGCGGGCCGACGTACGAGTGTAGACACCACTGGCACTTTTACGCGGGGGACGGTGGTCGCGGACCTTGAATGGGTCGCGATGGTCGTCGTAGCTGGCGCGCTTGTGCTGCGAGGCGCGAGCGGGGTGCTCATAGCTCAACTGGCGCTGGGGGCCAGGGCGGAAGTTGATAATCTCTTCTACAGGCTCGGCAGGGCCGACGTCGGACATGGGCGGGGCGACGTCGAGAACGTAGGGGCGGCTTGGCGAGCTGCGACCGGAAGCCATTGGGGAAGACGAGGAAGAGGCAGTTGATGACGTTGTGGCGTAGGTGCTGCGGAGGTGACTGCGGGGAGGGACGGCGGGGGCACCTGCTGCGTTGCGAGACATGGTGAAAGAGAATGGGCGGTAAGACTGGGGAGGGAGTGAGCGAGACGTGCTTTTGTAGTGGGTGTGGATGCAATGAGAAAGAGGAGACGAGTGTGTGGATGAGAGAGATGAGGGCGATGAGGGCGCGAGCAAGTGCGAGTGAGCGTTTGCGTGTGTGTGCGCGTGCGTGCGTGGGCTGGGCGGTGGCAGATGTTGTTGTGATGACGTCTGCGAGGAGATGGTGCTCCACCACAGGTGCCTCCCAAAATGATGATATTGTGGAGTGGGAGTTGGAATCTGAGACAGATGCAATGAGACGGAGAGAGAAAGAGAGATGGAGAGATGGAGAGATGAAGAGATGGAGTCGACGAGTGTTTGGATCATGAGGAGTAGAGGCAGCGAGGTGTCTAGCATGGTATGAATGGCGACACCTGCAAGAGAGCGCAAGGAGGGAGGAAGGAGGGAGGAGGACACAATTCGCGAGGACGTAGGCGGCGTATTCAACGCAGCATGGGCCTAATCCACTTGAATAGTCCTAGTCTAGGGCCCTGGACCCAGTGGCGCCTCTGCTGCTTCTCCTGAGACAACCAGGTGCACAGCCTAATCACCCTAATCGGCAGGGAGAAGGATTGTCATCCCTCCCATACACCCTAAATCTTCACCCCCTTACCCCAAAGACCCTGCCCGTCTTGACCGCCTCCTCTGCCCGTGCGCCCTCCATCCGAATTTGAGGCTTCTCGGGACCCTTGCTCCCCCTCGGTGCCTGCGCAGTGCCCGTGCCCCCCGTGCCTCATAGAATATCTTCAAACCCCCCTTCCGGTTCCGGAGTTCCGCATTCAATCTCCGCAGAGCCCCGTGCCTGGCCCCATACTCTTCCGGGCAGTCCCCCAATCTCCTTTCCTCCCCCCCACCCTCGATCCACAATGTCTCCAAAAATTCGGGCCTCGCTCTCGCGCATCCAGACCATCTCGAAACACGGCACTTACGTTGTTGTGCGCAGAAACATGCGGCCCCGAGATGTACGCGTCCAGCGACATGCTCATGCACCGGATTGTCGGCTCCCCGCCCTCGTCGGACCGGAAGTGGATCGAGGGACGCGAGAAGAACGCCGTGTCATTCAAGTCGTAGTCGAGCACGCGGCCCAGCATCGGCGCCGCCGCGCCGGGCGGCAGGGACATGGTTGTCTCGGGGGACATGGTGCGGCGGCCGGTGTGCTTTGTGCGCCGAGTTCCGATCGGGTGGGTGCCTGGGACCGTGCGCTTGTCTGTGGGAGCAAAGTTGGACGCCCAGCGTTCGATTATGCGTTTGGATAAGGAGCGAGATGCGCGAGTCCGAGGCTGTGGAGAGTTCGCGGTTGGAGAGGATCGAGAGGTGGCGAGGTGAGAGAAGGGGGAGGATGTAGACTTGCTGTCGAGCCAGTCGGGCAGCACAAGCCAAGATGTGGGGCGGTCGAGAGAGACGCGCGCCTTCTTATTAGGGCGCGGGAGGTGGAGGAAGCCCATTTTGGTGACCGCACGGGGAGGGTCGAGGCGGTAGGCCGGTTAGCTTAACGTCGGCGTGGCGTTCTGGAATGGGTTTGGGACCACGAGACCTCGAGTCTTGAGTCTTGAATCTGCGAGACTGGCACTGCGAGGCTGACAAACTGGCTCGGTGGCTGAGGCGCGCGCGCGACAACTCAACTCTCCGTTAGCCAGCCGAGGTGGACGTAGGCGCGGTGGAGCGTGAACGTGTGTCGTTCGCGTACTCGCGTGGTCGATCGGAATACACCGCAGAGCCAGAGTTAACCCTAAGCTCCAGCCGAGGATGCCGGAGAGGCGTAGGGAGAAGATCGAGGAGAGGTGAGGAGAGGAGAACGCTACCGGAGCGTTCTCTTGCTGTAGCGAGGGACTGTCACAGACAAGGTCGACCGTCTAGGCCGTTAGAGAGTGTCGGGTGGATGAAGATGCGAGCGCACCATCCACTTCTTTAAAGAACGCCATGACCGTCGTTACCTGGCCACCTGGCAACCCCATCCTGGCATGGCACACGATCCTAGCTCAAGGCAATCAAGGCAATAACGGGTCGCGGGGAACCAACCACGCTCAAGAATGACGTTAAGAACATTGCGGGTGCGTTCCTAAGCCGTGTAGTGGAGAACGCACATCTGCGTGCATTCTGGCACGCCCGCCCGCCGCAGTTCCCGCTGCTCTCGGAGGCGCCGAGAATATTTGTGGCCTGCATGGCCTGCAGCAGCAGTTAAGAACAAGCATACGAACATGACGGAGACGTCGGAGCGCAAGAGCGAGACCAGGGTAGAATTACGGCAGGTGCCCATTGAAAGTTCTGGCCAGTAAGAGGCGCAACCCCGGTTTTCACCTCGTTGCTCTCGACTTGCACCCACCCTCCCCCACCCATGCTTTGCATGCCATGACCCGCCTATGCGCCATAAGCTCAAATGCGCCACCCGCCGCACCGGGAGGCGTGGCGCCTTTCCGTCCTTGCCGTTTCTCGAGTTGCTCGACTGTGTGCTGATCTGATTCTGCGTGCCCTTAGCCTCCCAGGCCTCCCAGCTCCCAATGCACGAGGAGGAGGAGGCTCCAGCGGCGTTCTTTGCCGCTTTGGCCCTTGGTTTTCTGCTCCTTCCTGAGTGTATTGTACTGCTGAGTTTTGGTACGATGCGGGTGCGCGGGTGGCGAAGGCCTGATTGTTCACACAGGTGTCACAAAACGAAAGCCCATGCCACTGCCAGCCCTGCCCCACTCTCTTTCTCCCACGTTAAGATCACGTGGTACATCCCCCTGTCCGAGTGGGGCGGACCATGATAATTCCGCAGGAACCACCCAAGTGGAGGTGTTGACAAGCCCCAACCCACGACCTCCACTTCCACTCGTCAGTTCATTGTCCTAGGATTCCACTATTCCATCCATCCCATCATCCCACCATCCCTCACAACGGGAAGCGCCGCCATGTCGCGCTTCCCTCCACGCGCGACATTCAGCCGCAGCGAGCGTGTCGGCGGCATCGCACTCGCGCCCCTCGCCGAGTTCCTCTCGCACCTCCACGACGCCCCGCACCTCATCAAGCTCGCCGACATACTCGAGCGCTACCGCACGCCCAAGAGCTACCACCGCTTCGACTTCCGCATCGCCGACTCCTCTGAGCTTCCTCCAAGCCCCGGCGTCGTGGACGACGAAGAGGTGCGCAAGCTGTGGGAGCGCGCGCGCGGGAGTCCGATCATCGTCGATGACGCGACTCCGGGGGATGGTGTTTTGGCGTCGGCGGCGGAAGAGAAGGCTGAGGGCGATGAGGGTGAGGTGCGAGCCTTAGTCGCAAGACAGGTCGAGCAACGCGTGGACGACGTGACGAGGAGCGTGGACGGCGCCAATGGCGTCATCGCAGAGACAACGGGCGCAGACGACGGTATCGCGGAACATGATTTCGCAGGCGAGGCGAATGCCGCCCGGCAAGACGCTGTCCCAGCTGCATCTGGGTCTAGTGACGCCGCAATGGCACCGGTGCGTTCCGTCGTTGACGTGTGCTGATGCTAGCCGACTGCGCGTGATGGTCCCACGCCGCCTCGTGGCCAGGCAGATACGTGCGCGAAACTGGTGGCGCCAAGTGTCGACCTTCCCTCAGAGACCGATCCACCCCGTTGCTTCACTTTTCCCGCCCCACTTGATACTGTGACCGCCGCGGCCGTTGGTCCTCCGGACGCGACGCCCGCGTCGCTCGATAAACCTCCCGCGACGACCAACGCGTTCGCCGCAACGCCAGATCTGCTCTCCGCCGCTCCTCATGGAGAAATTACCGCCGCACCTCACGGAGAGATTACCGCAGCACCTCACGGAGAGATTACCGCAGCACATGAGGGCGCAGCACATGAGGCCCTCCACGCTACATGCGATGCGCCCCTCACTTCACCTCGCGGTGAGCCCACCGCTGCGCCTCACGCTCCCGCCGCTGCGTCTCAAGCACCCTCCACACCCACTGCAGCAGCCGATGCACTCGCTGCTCACTTTCCCGACGTCGCCGGCTCACCATTAGGTGAAGCCGCGGCTCTCACGCCCAGTGGCCAGCCCCACGAGGGATTAGAGCCGAACATCGACAACGCACCTCCATCACTGGGCCCAACAGCCCCAAGCAGCGGGACCTCAACGGCTCTCCTCACCGCCCCAGCTACCCTTGCAGAGGCAATAGCATCCTCCCACGACGGCTCGGTCTCTCTCACCCTCCCAACCTTCCTCGACACTCCACCTCTCGAGGCGAATCCCCAGCCAATCGCGCAAGTCACAGATGATGTCGTCCCCGTCTCTTCTGACCAGCCGCGGCCTGTAGCTCCCACTGAGCATGGTGACCCCGCCATTGGCGAAGCTGACTCTGGCGAGGAGAGCAGTCCTCGGTCGCGGTCGCCATCTCTATTCACCCCCGACTACCCGCCGCCACCGGGCGGCAGTGCTCACTGCGTGCGCGAACTGCGCCTCGATCTTCGCTCCCTCGATGTCGCAGCCATATTCGAACTCGAGATTTGGCGTCGTGAGGTGTTGAACCTAGAACCCCTCGACATGATCGTTCCCGACTCGAAGTGGTACAAAATTCCCAGCCCCCCTAAGAAGAAGCGAGGGCGACCTTCAAAAGCCATGACAGCTGGCGATGGTGCCTCTACCGCCAATGGAGCCGAGATCCGGGATGTATCCTCCTCCCGGTCATCCACGCCTGATGAGCTATTCCCAGACGTGCTGGACGACAATGCAGAGGCAGACCCAGACTTCATGCCGCCCAAGCCATCGCCGGGGCGATCTCGCGCAAGAGGACGAGGACGAGGGCGCGGAAGGGGTCGGGGAGGACATGCAGCACTGGAAAGCTTGTCCATGCCCACTTCTGCGGAGGGGGAAGGTATCGATAAGCCGAACATCTCGACACCACCCCTCTCTAGAGGCCGGCCGCGCGGCAGACCTCGCGGCAGTCGTGTCTCTCTTCTTGGTCGCTCTGCCGCAGATGTCGGAGTGGATGCGGCTTCGGTGATGACCACCGACGCGGTGTTCGACAGGTATCGCAATGTTTCTGACCCCTTGGAGGCCGGGTCCCCTCGCGGTGGAAGACAACCACGCGGTCACGAGAGCCGAGCACGCCGAGCTGGCGGCGGCGCTGTTCCACCTCATGGCCATGGGCACACGTCGTCCAGCTTGCCACTCGATGCTTCGGACTCTTCTTCTCCACCACCGCAACTGAACGGCCAGCTGCGCGCCCACGCCGCTCATAATGTCACTGACGAGACATCGAGGGTCGTACATGCGCCGAATCTCCATACATCCAGCCCAAGCGACGCCAGGAGTCTCGTGGATGCTGAGTCGACTGTCACTGACCTGCTGGCCCTCGATCGCTATGCGGCTGCCATCGCTTTCCAAGATCCAGACGCGATGGATGTGGATGTTCAGGCGAGAGGGTCCCCTTCCTCTCACTTGCCTCCCTCCCGTACTGAGGCCGACTTGCCCCTCCGCCATGATGTCTCTTCCAGTCCTTCCAGCCGCCGCTCCACTAAGCGTCGCTGGGAAGACCTCGAGTCAAACTCATCGTGCGATATATTCGCCGAATCTCTCATATCCCCACCAGCGTCAGACCCCAGCCCTGAGGGTGGGGCGCAGAGGAGGAGCAGTGAGGCACCCCGTCGCCCGCGGCAGGTCATCGACTGTATCTTGATACCTTCTCGCCGGCGTCGTGCGCCCTCTCCGGCGCCAGTCCCTTCTGCCATTGATCTCCCAGCATTGCTTCACGATCAAGCGCCGGCCTCTCGTAGAGCCAGTCGGGCGAAGATGTCGGCAGTTCCTCCTAACAGTTCTTCCACCCCGACCAAATCTCGGGCCCCACGCCGCCCGCGGCGACGCGCAGGGCCAGCTGTTCTGCTCGAGGCTGATGTGGACGCCCCCATGAAACCTCCTCCTGCACCCATCGCCTCCGGTTCGCACTCTCGTTCACGCCGGAGCCCCATCGAGTCATCAGAGAGCTTGGTGCCCCCTCGTGAATCGCAGATCTCCCCGGCGAATGTCCTCCGGTGGATGGAGCCAACCTCTGCCGTCGACGGTGAAGCTGAGCACGACGATATTGATGCCTCGGCTGATGCTGACGAGGAGTGGGGAGACTTCAGGGGTATGTAAAATCGGAGTGTACGGCACACGCCCCGCACCAGCGACCTATGCAGAGTAACGGCGTGAGCATCAGGAGGGACCTCCCGCTGTGACGCACTCACATCGCGTCCAGCAGCCATGATGAGACCCTTCTTAGGCAAAGTTGCGCGCTGGACATGTCCAGCTCAACCGCAGCAACATTCCGTGGCTTGGTAAGGGAGAAGCGTTATCCGGCGGATCCCGTGTCTGCACTCATCCACGGCCCGTTCTCGGTCCCCCACCTCGAAAGCCACAAACAGAGTGGCCCGAGTGCCCGCCCCGTTCATATCCCGGCCCATCTCCGCCATCTCCGCCGGCCCAGCCAACACTCCGACGTCACCCTCACTACCGTGCGCTCGTCACTATCTCCTCGGCCTCCACCACCAGCCGGATCCGCCGCCGCCACTGTGGTCAGCGGCATAGCGGCGATCCAAGCCTCGGCCGCATCATGGTCACGAGGGCTGAAGCGGCGGTGATGTATCCGGCCCGAGGCATGTGACCAGGCGTGTGGAGCCACCTTATTAGCGACTCGATGACTCGAATTCGTTCACGGCTTGCATTACAGCCAGAACCGCCGCCACATTACTGGTGGCAGAGGCGCGCTCCACCCGAGTAACCCCCCGCCCCTTCTCACCAGGAGCGGGGCTTGTGGCCATTTCGGTCTCAGCAATGCATGTGACCAGCTGTGGGAAAGCATCCCCGAAAACTTGCGCACCATTATGGCAGTGGCAGTCCTTGCAAATCAGTCGCGCAGTGCTAAGGAGTGTCTTCGTGGCCAGGCGTGGTTCTGCGCAGCGAACTTTAAGCTACAGCCCAGGCCTCCCCTCGCCTTGAAACACATCCTAGGCCTATCACCATTGACTGTACCTAACGCGCAACTTGGCCCTCGTCCCCGTACCTCGTTATCAGCCACGTTCTCATCCTCACCCCCGTCTTCGGTCTCAATCTCGCACTCGTACTCGTCCTCGCACTCTCGCCGTCAGCCCTGAGCGCCCCTCCTGCAACAGGCACCAACTTTCTCGATCTGCGACGAATTTAACAGATCCGAGAAGCATGAGGTCGCCACGCCCTTAGCGGCCCTCGGTGCTAGTTTGCGTGACGGCCGCGGCGGTGACTTTGCTTCGGTCTTGGGGCTCCGGGAGTTGCGCTGTTCCGGATTCCGAGCGCTAGCCGTTATCGCGCGCAGGGACGCGATGTTCCTGGTGTTCGCGCCAGAACTATCGTAGGGTGGAGGCCTGGACAGTGGCCGCGCTAGGCGAAGCAATGCCGAACATGCGAAGTTGTCACCTTCACACGTGAGAGGAGGGCCGCTATCTCATACGAGTTACTCTTTCGTTCAATCGGAGATGACTGACATCGATGCCCACCGCACAAGCAACAAGGATGACGCAATGTAATATGGCGCCGGGCATGCCCTGCAGACAGCCTCACCGGACCGACCCCGATGCGTCGTAAAAGCCATTTTCGGGCGCCGTGATGGAAGCAGGTGACGAGCAATGAGTGTTCTTGCAGAGCATCGGAAGAGCGGGTCAACGTTAGGAAGAACCGCGTGCGAATACCTGCCCGCGTCTACCAAACACGTGGAGTTCTGGAGAAGCCACGATGGCCATGCACGGCTCAATACGCACGGCCTGAAACAACTCATTAAGTGGCCGTGGCGTAAGCTTTCGCTCTCGCACCTGACTTGCAACTGTACATCAGGCAGATCGGTTTCTCTCTGAAGGCACGCTATCAGGCTGAGGGTCTGAGGTCTAGAAGATTGGACGAGTGCGTACCCCTATCTCCACTGCCTCCCCCGCAGCCCCGCGCCAAGTCGTAAGCCTGGCCCATTTCCGTCCGCCGGATCGACAATCAGTGATCTCCAGTGGGGTGGGGCGAGAGATGAGAAAAATGAGATTGATTTGATGGGCGGATGAGATCTTATGTCTCGGACCGCGCAGTCGGATCGCAGGATTGCAGGATCGAGCGCGTCGATTAACACCGGTTTGTCACTTGACGATGGCCTGGATCTCATATGCTTGAATCGCCGGCGAAACCCGAGAACGTTCGCTGCCTCCGCTTCACCGTCTCCGGGCGTGAAACGGGGTGCAAGAACCGAGGCTCTTCCAACGAGCTCCTCGGCGCGACGTGGTGGCTGCCTTGGCTGTCCGTGGGTTGGCGGCTCTCACGGGCGTGGCAGACATAAATGACTGCCACGAAAACGCCTCGGACCTCGTGACTTGAAAGGTATGTCACCTGTGGCGCTGGTTCTCGCAAGGATCGCAGGGCGAGACGGTGGCCGTGCCTTTTCCAGGAAGTTTATCAATAGAGTTAGACACAATATCAATTGTACCCACCCTGTGGCCCCCGTCTCCGACCCTCGCACACAAAAGCCGGTATTCTTGCTCCAGGCAGCGAGCAGAGACGTCGGAGCCACCAGAGCCACTCAGAGCCGCTCGTCATGCTTCGGACGCGCCTGCCCTCAACCCCATTTCGCAATGTTGTCTCATGCCCCGCCCTGCGGCGCCGCCAAACCCTCGATCAACTGAATACCGACACATGGGCGATTACCATTCACGCGCGGCCATTCACCATGTCTCTCCGCCGCCGCCGCCGCCGCTCTGCACCACAGCAATTGCGCGCTCTCGGTCCTCAATCCTCGATCCTCGATCCTCGATCCTCGATTCACAGGTACTGACTTCTGACCTCATCCTGCGTCGTGCTCCTGCACAGGACAGGAGTGCGCCAACGGGTGTGCGCCGCCAAAAACTGGGTCCAACTAGCTCATCCGACCTGCACTGGAAACAACACCAAGCATAAAGCCAGTCGAACCAGCTCTGCGCGCCCCTCCCCTATCAATCCAACAGGTTGTCACTAGTTTACGCCACTGTGCCTCACAGCTCCGACGCGACACTGGGCCTACGCAAAAGCAACACATCCCGACGCGCATAAGTAGCCCCGATGCCATTTGCCCCCCTCACGCTCTCGTTCTCGCCTCCTTCCACGCCGCCCTCGCTCCGGGCATCCTCCGTCTACTCCCAGTCGTCCGGCGACTCGATATTCCCCCCAGAAGTGTGGGGAACGCGCGCAACAGCACCCCCAGCACCCCCAATGATACCCATGTCCAGCAAGATGGCCGAGCGCCTGCGCGCCGTCGCCGAGCACGAGATGTCCCCCGCCCTCCCCGAGTCGCCCGAGGTCATCATGCTCGCCCAACGTCCTCTCCCACATGTGCCCACGAGCGGGACGCGTCCCGGCCCGGCGCTGGGACTAGCGCTCGGCCAGCCCGCGCTTCCCCTCACCATGCCGTCTGGCCTCCTCACCCCGCCACCGACGGAGCATGCAGACTCGCCGAAATCCTGGACCACGCACTCCACCCACGCAGACAGCCCTATGTCATGGACACAAGACTTCAGACCGATTCAGGCCGGGCCGCTTCCCCCGCTTCCGTCCACCCTGCCCCAAACTCGCCCGCGCTCCCTCGGCCGTAAATTGCCTCCGACTCTTACGGAGAGCCTTGAACTTCTTGTCCGCGTCCAGGAACACTGTCACAAGCTGGGTGCGAGCTCCAACCTCCGGGCCGTGCCAGAAGAGGTCTCCACCCCCTCGCCCCGCGACAAGCGTGGCAGTCTTCCACCAGCGCGTGTGGCGCGGCGTGCTACAGAACCCTCTTTTTCCTCATGCGTTAACCTGCACGCCGTCCCCGAGCACATGGAGGCCCGGCCACCACGCCGCCTTACAGCCCCGGCACCTCTGCAGCGTACACACTCGGCGTCCTCCGCCTCCAGCTCTTCCGGGGACTGGCCCGAAACACCAAGGACGAGCACGTACACCAGTAATGCCACTGAATCCGTGCATTCCTCCACGTACCGTGAAGATGTCCGCCCTCAGCGGCAGGCAATGCGCTCCGTCGTCGCGCTGGACAAGTACCCCGTCTCAGCGGCGACGTTGGCGTATGCAGCCGAGCTCGAAGTCTTCGACGAGACGGGAGTCCCGCTGCGCTTCGGCGACCTCCTCGCCGCGCCGCGCACGTTGGTCGTGTTCGTGCGCCACTGGCTCTCGCCCAGCTGCGCGACATATCTCCGCGAACTCATAGCGGCACTCACGCCGCCGCTGCTGGCGCGCGCGTGCGCGCGCGTCGTCTTCATCGGGCACGGCGCGGCCAACATGATCCGCGGCTTCCGCCAGCACCTCCAGTGTCCGTTCATGGTGTACACGGACCCGACGCGGCGGCTGCACGACGTGCTCGGCCTCGTGCCCAAGGGCAGCAAGGGCTTCCATCTCAGCAAGGCCAAGGAGCTGTTCTTGGGCGCTGCGCGCATCGGCCTCCGCAGCGGGAATAGAGCGCAGATGGGCGGCCTGTTCATTTTCGAGGGGCATGACATTGCGTTCGTGCACCGCATGCGCGCGGACAGCGACCACGCCCCCGTCCCCATCGTGCTCGATGCCATCGGCCGCCGCCCACCGCCGCCACCTCCGAACGCTCACGCCCCGCACCGCCCCAAGCGGAGCTCGGTGTATGTCCAGCGTCCGGGAGGCACCCATAAGCCGCGCGGCGCGCACTCGTGCACGTCTCTGGTAGACCCGCCTCCCCGTTTCGTCTTCCCCCTCCCTCCGTCGTCGCAGACGCGCAGGGACTCGCACAAGCGCATGACTTCGGCGTCGCGCGACTGCGTCGCCGTCATTCACCCCGACGACATTGACCGGATCAGCAGTGAAGTGCACGCCCTGCGGGTGTGAGAGTTGTACCTTGTATTTGACTTCTTGGTATAGTCTGGATACGTACCGCCCTTGTAATACTTGTTGTAACCGATTATGAATGCTTGCGAGCACAACTGCGCTAGAGTATGCCGCCCCAAGTCAAAGTCAAAGTTAGGGCCAGTGTCAGTACACGTGTCAGAACTTTACAAAACAGATACATCTCCCATTATGCGCGCCGCGCTGAAATATCTATGAAACACTAGTACTGAACCGCGTCCTGATGCAGCGCCTATCCCAATCCTCCCCACGGCCCGCGCAACCGCCGTGCAAGATGCATGTCCTTGACCATGAGCGTGACGCGCTTGGCGTGCACCGCGCAAAGGTTGGAGTCCTCGAACAGGTGGACGAGATACGCTTCGGCCGCCTCTTGCAGGGCGAGAATGGCGCTGCTCTGCCAGCGCAGTTCGCCCAGTCCCGCCGAGGTCATATTGACTGCGATCTCTCGAACCTGGTGTCAACATGCGCACACAGTCCCCATGCTTGCGTGAGGGGGCCTCTCCCCACGCAAGCCACGACCAAGGCATTTCCTGGACACTTTGCGGTGACTCACCACTCGCGAGAAGGGCAGCTTTTGCAGCAGCAAATCCGAAGTCTTCTGATACTTTCGGATCTCACGAAGCGCAACGGTACCAGGGCGATAGCGGTGCGGACGCTTGGGCTGTGCTACTTGTGGAACTGGGGTTAGTCACAGGTGTGATGGTCGCGCTGAGTAGGCGGGGGAGCGCAAGTAAGCAAGAATGGAAGCCATCAACTGCAGAATACGCGCCGAGCCTTTCAAAGGAGGACCAGAAAGGATGATAGCGGTCAAGACGAACTCACGCCGCTGAATCGCCTTGCCACCTGTACTCCGGCTCGCAGTCTGCTTGACTTTGCGAGGGCCTGCGTCTGGTGCGCGGCCGCCGATCGAGGCTGTTCGGGCCATAATTCCGCAAGTGGTGGTGGCCGGTAGAGACACAAGTGGGCCTTCAAGGAGGAAGTGGAGGTGGGTGACAGGAGTGGTGTGAAGGGGGATGCAATGTGGTCGACGGGCAAGTGCGACGCGCGCCGAAGTGGGCGTGTTTACAGTGGACGGCGCGCGGGCTAACTGTCGCGGGCGCGGGCGCACGGGTAGCGCGGGGTGGTGGGGATAATCGGCGGAGGTGTAGGATGAACAAATCGATGAAGAGAGGACAAGATGAGGAGGATGGAGGGTGATGGATGCAGATGAGTTGAGAGATCAGAGAATGTTTGGAGATGGCTGGTCGCGTCATCTCCTGAAGAAGTCATGCGCCCACCCAGCCAGGCACCTCCACCCCACGCCTCCACTTGCACTCTGAGCCACATCATCCATCGCTCAGCGACCCATGCATAGTACATCTACATCTACTCGATCTTCTGGGCCACAAGATCGAGAATCTCGCGCGTCGACTTGCCCACATTCGCGAGGTCCTTGGCCGTTGCTTGCCACACTGGACCGTGGGAGGGCGCTGCGGCCTCGGCTTCACGAATTACTGCCTCCTGCCGTTCCGGCTCGCCGTACTCGCGCTCAAACTTAAGCCACCATCCCCACGCGTCTCCCCAGTCCTTGTCCGCGGTAATAGCGTTGCGCATCCACGTCCGCGTCTTCTCGACTTGGCGCTCCATCCAGAACAGGCGTGCAACGGCAATAATGACGGCCGGGTGCTCGCCCGCCTTCTTGAGGGCATCGACCGAGCGGCCCTTGCGCTGCTGCCGGTTCTCCATGAAGATGGCCATGGACCAGAGGATTGGGGAAGTCGGGCACTCCTGCATGGCTCGAGACAGCACGGCCTTGGCTTGTTGCGGGCTGCCTGCACGCTCCTCGATTTTGATGCTCTCGGCCCACAGCTGATCGTTTTTCGGATTGTGCAAGCGCGCCTTCTCCAGCAGCGAGCGTGCCTTGATAACGACACCGGCCTTCTCCTCAAGCCGTGCAGCAAGGATCCACAGCGGGATCGAGTTGCGGCACTCACGACACCCCTGCGCATATGCGGCGCGAGCACCTGGGATATCGCCCTTCTGCTCCAGCACCTGCCCGCGAATCATGTGCAGCTTGTCGAACTTGGGGAATTTGGCGATGGCCTCCTGTAGCGTATTCAGCGCGTCGTCGAGCTTGCCCAGCTGGCGCTCGAGCACGGCCGACTTCATCCATACGCGCTCGGTGTTGGCCTGCGTGCGTGCTTTCTCGAGAATCTGTAGTGCCGCTCCTGTCTCGTTTGTCTCGGCCGCGATTTTGGCGGCTGCGAGGAAGATAGATTCCGAGTCCTCGTTCTGCTCGAACGCCTTGCTAAGAATTTGCTGGGCACCAACGACGTCGCCGCTAACCCACTTCTCCTTGGCAGCCATGAGCCAGAGAACCTCAGCGTGTGGGCAGTGCTCAGCACCCTTCATGAGAATGTCCTGGACCGCCTGCGGTGTGCCGTGGGCTTTCTCAAACTCGGCCGCTTTGCGCCACACGCTCGGCGAGTCAGGAAAGTTTTCGATAAGCACGACAAAGATGGCGCGCGCAACCTCGTAGAACTTGCCGCTCTTGGCGCGCTCAGCGTCCTCGAGCCAGACCATTTGGCGATCCTCCTCCTCCACGTCGAGATGAACAGTGGCCTTGACGATGGCCTGGGCGGTAAGGGGGCTGCCGTCCTGCTCGCACTTCTCAGCCTCCTGAAGCCACTGCTCGCGCGTCAGAACGGCCTGGTGCTTCGTAAGCGACGAGACAGCGTTCTTGATAAGGCGGTCCACTTGCGACGCCAGCTTCTTCCGAGCTTCAGGGTCGTCCTCCACTTTGACACCTGCAACGGCGGAGGGCGTCTGCTCGGCAACCCGACTAGCGGCGATCCAGATTTCGTGAGAAGTGGGAATCTTCTGGCGTGCAGAGTTAAGGACCTGTTTGGCCTTGGCGGGCGTCTCCAAGCGTGCAAGTGTGAGCCACAGCTCCACCGACGTCGGAATGACCTCGACAGCTCGTGTAAGGAGGATGCGAGCGTCCTCGTGGTCGTCCTCGAGATTGACAACCTCCTTCCACAACCTGACGGAATTGGGAATGAATTCGAGCGCCTTGCGCAAGACGCGGCGCTTGGCGTTGACGTCGGCCTCCAATGACGCGGCCTTCAGCCAGATCTTGACAGACTGGGGTACGTGTTCCACCGCACGCGCTAGGATGCGCTTTGCGTTCTCGGCAGTGTTTAGCTCAGCCGCGTGGAACCACACGTCCTCGCTCTTAGGGCACTTCTCGCAGCCCTCAGCGATGATCTTGCGCGCTGCGACCATCTTCTTCGCGTGCACTTCCAAAGACGCCGCAGCGATCCAGCCAGGCGCGTGTTTCGGGTTACTCTGGATGAGGTTCTGGAGCAACTGACGAGCTTGCTTGATGTCGCCGATCTGTGCGTCCGACTGAAGAACCTGGCTGTTGAGCTGGGTCATGTACCCACGCGGGTCGATGCTAGTGGACGTGCCGCCGGTTGCGTCCGCAGACGCCTGATCCAGCTTGAGTGACAAGACTTTGTCACGCGCATTGCCGATGGACACAAAGTCAGTCATTGTACCATCGGTCGCGGGCGTCTGGAGACCCTCCTGCATGTCGAGGTCGCTAACCATTTCGTTGCGCGCGAGTTGGCCAGCAATGACTGAGTCAGAGACGACGTACGAGCGCCCGTTCTGGTTCTCCTCGAGACGAAGGTTGTGCTTCCGCCTCTTGCCAGTCATGTTGCCAGCGTCGGGGATAGCGGCCCAGTCGCTGTCCTTGAGCTCGGACAAGCCGCGCTTCAGGTCGGCGAACTGCGTCTGCAGCTTCGGGTTGTTCGCCCGCTCCTTGGCGGCAATCTCGGCCTCCATAGCCTCTCGCCTCCGCTTGCGGCGCTGGTCCATGCGCTCGTCCACGGCTTCGTAAATGCGGTCCGCCTCCTCGTCGTCGGCCTCGTACACAGTGCCCGCGAAAAGGTTGCGCTCGTTCTCGGGGTCCTGAAACTGGTCGGGGTCGGGAATCTCCTCGCCGCGCTTGGCCATCGCCTCGCGCACCGTCTCCTCGCTCGGTCCTTCGCGGGCTGGACCGATGTCGGAGCGTGTGGTGAAACCAGACGCGCCTCGACCGAGACCCGCGACGTAGGACGCCGGCGCCTTCATGTTCAGGAAGGCATACCGGTGCTCCTTCGGGATCGACTTGACCGTGCCGATGTGCGACATTGTGATAGCGGAGTGGGGTGTTGTGCGCTGGCGCTTTATGTGCAGAAGCCTGCTGCGCTTGGCAACGCTGTCGCCGGTGAGGGGCTCGCGGACGACTTGGCGGCGTAAATATAATACGCTGGACTCTGCCTTGTGCAGTGTAGCAGATGGCGCGCTTTTAGATGTTTGGTTGGAATTAAGAGCGGACTGAAAGCTGGATTGGCTTGGAATGGGTGGCAAATTTGGGGGAGGCTCGATTAAGCTTCGACGAAAGTCCAAGAGTCGGTCATGACCAAGCATCTGCGATCTGCGTACACAAGCACCACCTCATCCACCATGTCTGACGCCCTCGAGACACCAGTATCGCGCCGCCTCGCCTCGGTGAAGAACATCATCATCGTGATTTCCGGCAAGGGTGCGTACACGCCGCGCGTAGCTGACAGCAGGCGGAGTCGGCAAATCCAGCTCCTCGGTGCAGCTCGCGCTGTCGCTGCTAAACCAGGCGCCCGGCACGCGCGTCGGCCTCCTCGACCTGGACTTGACAGGCCCCTCCCTCCCGCGCATGGTGGGCCTCGACATCCCCGGCGCGACGGTGCACCAGTCCTCGGCCGGCTGGGTGCCCGTCTACGTGGACCGGGAGCGGCGGCTGGGCGTCATGTCCATCGGGTTCTTGCTCAAGGACCGCGGCGACTCGATCGTGTGGCGCGGGCCGAAGAAGGACGGCATGATCCGCCAGTTCCTCTCCGAGGTGCGGTGGGGCGAGCTCGACTACCTCGTCATCGACACGCCGCCGGGCACGTCGGACGAGCACATTTCGCTGCTGACCCACCTCCACCCGCTGTTCACGCCGACGCCAGAGCGGCCGACGACACCCAGCGCCGTGGTCATCACAACGCCGCAGCAGACGGCGTTGAATGACACGCTCAAGTCCATCTCGTTTACGCGCAAGCTCGCCCTGCCCGTACTCGGACTGGTGGAGAACATGGCTGGGTATGTTTGCCCATGCTGTGACGAGATCAGCGATCTTTTCGGGTCGGGCGGCGGTGAGCGCCTTGCGGAGGAGCAGGGGATAGGGTTCCTCGGTCGTGTCCCCATCGACACGCAGCTCGTCAAGCTTCTGGACGCCGTGTCCAAGGGTGAGATTCCCGGCGCGGATACGGACCAGGGCAAGGAGGCCGATGGGAGCAAAGACGAGTTCCCGCTCTTGGACAAGTACAACGCGACTACATCGTCCAAGGTGTGGTCGGGCATTGCGGCGCGGGTCGTCGAGGAAATCGAGACAAGGCGGGCGACCATTGCTGTCCGCCTTACCACGGTGTGAAGTACATCATCGCATTGATCATAGACTGTTGTACACTCTTAGAGCATGCCACTGGTAGTAGAGCGCCAGATTGTCGGTGCTGTTCACACCATCAAACTACTCGCTGACCACATCTACCAAGCCATATCGTACCAAGAGTACATCCCAACCGATGCGGCTGCCTACAGCAGACCGCGAATATCTACCCCGAGAGGCGTCTACGACGTGGGGGTGCCGTGTAGGACGCGGTTTGGGTGCGAGCCTGTTCAGTATTACCCAGGCTTGCGGTTTCCCCCCGGGGCGTCTAGTAATGGGTATCACTCCCCCTCCCTCGACTCGTCTGGTGGTGCGTAATGACCGTGTTTGGACCTTTTAGGTGCAGCGTTGTATGCTGCGACTTGGTGCATTTCCCTCGCACCCCCTTGTCATGGGAGGAGGGTGAGCTTGTTGGTGGCGGTGGGCGAGCGCGGCGGGGTCCAGCCACGGCGCTCGAAGCACGCGAAGAGGAGGTCGTAGCCCTCGAACTCGTAGATGATGCGGTCCTTGCGGGTAAACGCACCGTCGAAGAGGTCGGCGCCAATGACCTTGGTGGCGGGGGCGGCAGCGGCCGGCGAGTCCTCGCCCGTCGAGACGAACAGCGTGATGGTCAAGCGGTTCGGCTGGAAGATGTCGACGACGCGGCGAATCAGCGACGGCATGTCGGGGCGCCCGCTGGGGTCGTTGGCGCGCAGCGGCAGCGGCACGTTGCACTCGAACGACGCGTACGACCAGCCGTCCTCAGGTGTGACGTGGATAGTAAAGTATCCGCCGTCACCCTTGTTGCAGTTGAGACCCGAGCCGACGACCGCGTTGGCAGAGTAGCCACAGGGCTCAAAGCCAAAGCTGTCGAGCGTCGTCTCGCTCTTGGGAAACAGGGTGTCGATGCCAAGCTGGGCCGAAATGTCCGTACCCAGCTCGTGCCCTGAGCGCGACTCGGGCGGCGAGCCCGCAGGAAGCTCGGGCAGGAAGAACGGCGCAGCTCCGGCTGGCGTGAGGTGCGACATCAGAATCTCGAGCGTCTGGTCGGGCGGCCCAGTGCAGGGTGGTGGGAGTGCGAGTGGTCTCTCAGGCCCAGCGGGGACGAGCGCGACGGGGTTCGCCCCCGTAATGTAAAGGAGCCAGTTGTCGCGGTTAATCGGGCCAACAGTGTAGGCGGAACCGGCGTTGCCTTTGAGCGTCAGCGAGTGCACTATTTTCCGGCAAGGTGGTGGCAGTCGAGGGTGGGCATTCCACATTCGGAGGAGTTTCAAGGCCCAAGTGGAAAGAAAGGCACACCACTCACCAAAGACATTGTCGAGGAACTTGACCTCTTCGGTCCAGTCGCGGTGCGGCCCCTGCTGGCGCTCGGGGAAGAAGAACGACTTGCGAGAGTAGAAGCACCTGTTGGATCAGCAAACAGATCTTGGCGTTCAGTGATCGTGCGACTGCGACCCGTGCGTCGCCGCACGGATGCCGCAAAGCCTCGGTCCCGCCGAGCCCCGCGTTTCCGCCGTCAAACAGTGTAGTCACGGTGGCTACACAAATGCGAGAAATCGGTCCGCAATGCTTGAGAAGTACGGATGCGCCCTTGTGGTGGCAATACACCGGTGGGAGTGGCGCCGGCTGCGCGACGGATGCGTTTGGGCGCAGCTCGGAGGCTTCACACGGTTCAGGCACTGAGACTCACCGGTAGACGCTGGAGAAGCCGCAGTACTCGCGGGCAATCTCGAGGATGCGGTTCAAGCCGAGGAGGTTGAGCGTGGTGCCGCATGTTTTGAGTATGACGACATGGGGAGCGACGAAGAGAGACGACTCGCTGTCATGTGAGCGGGTGTTGACACGGGCGCGCGGAACGGGAAATTTGGTCTCTTCCAGGGCGGATTGGTCGAGCCAGCGGTGTGTGTACTCACGAGAGGAGGTAGCTGTCGAGGTCGTCTCCCTCGATGACACTGAGAACCTTGCACTTGACAATGTCAAGCATCTCCTCCCACACTGCACGGGGCACGGTGCGGAGGCCCTGGAAAGGTTGGCCATTCGAGGAGACGCCCGCACGGCGGCGAGCGCTGGAGCCGTTGGCACTGTGGCAGTTGCTTACGCCGTTGCCGTTGGCGGTGGCATGGTGTGAAGAGAGGGGCGACCCATGGTCCACGTGGTCTCCGACAAGAGCGTCGGGGGTGGGTGCGAACCAAACCTCCAGCAACCTGGCTGTCAGCTCGTTTCGGTGAGAGGAGGAGGAGAAGGAGCTCACTTCTCTGGTCCTTCGAAGGGGCCAGGCGACGTGTCGGGCTCAGAGAGGATGAGCGGCGAAGGGGGCGTCGGAGCAATAGTCTGGGCCATGTCGGCGGCGGCGAGGACCCTCCCTGGTCACTGGCGGCCTGCTTTTAGGAGGTGTTATCAGAGGTTGCGGGAATGGGTGGCAGTGAGACGGCTCATGATGACCCCGGTTTTGTCCAGCCACTCTTCCCGCCAGCCCAAAATTGGGACTAGAGAAGACAGTCACGTGACTATTAGAATCCTGGCATGTTGTGTATTGCAACGGGAGCAAACCTGCTAATGAAGTGTCAGGTCGAAAAATTCTGGTGCACGGCCCCCACAGCGGAAGAATGGAGCAGAAGAGCAGAAGTTTCAATGTCGTCACACGACCTGCGCGACCTGGCTCCCCCACATTCTATCCACCGCAAGCGGAAAGAACATGCACCACGTTCTAAAAGCTGCTAATAATCCATTGACGAAGTGGATCAAAGGCAAGTAGTGGCAGCAACCTTCTGACTACTGCATAGTTCTCATCGACGGGTGGGCGGCGGCCACGCAGGTGCCACCCATATTACTGCAAAGCCATCACTCAGGTCCCATCAGGCCATCTCTGTTCATCCAGTCTCTGGCCACACACATGACCGCACATCGCCCACGATCTGCAAATGTGGCAGTCTCAGTTTGGAACTAGAGCTGCGCAGGTTTCGCACAAATTATTGCAGAGTTCATATAATGTCGGGTTCTGGGATACACAGCGCTACTGAATAACAGGATATACTCGACAAACATTCTACCGGCGCAGCTTGAGCAGGACCCAGAGTAGGATGCGGTAGACGACGAATATGCCGACGAGGATGCCGGCGTAGCCGCCGACGGGGATGCCCGCGTATCCGAGGTACTGGAGGACATCTGGATATCAGCTGAAACTTGAGAGAGAGCTCACCTTCGCCGGATACCTTGCATTGGCCGTACTTTGCGAGCGTGGCTGCCGAGGGCGGGAAAGTGCATTGGCACGAGCCGTCAGGCAGCACACCGGTGTTGCAGTTGAAGACCTCGCCCATGAAGTCGTTCTTGGCGAGGATCTCGAACGCGTACGTCTGGTAGTCGGCCCAGTGCTGAAATTAGCGCCGCAATCGGGCAGTCGTAGCGGTGCCCTGCGCGAATCATCGCAGAACTCACGAAGCTGTAGTACCAGAAGCGGGGGAGGGAGCGGGCGCGGATGAAGTAGCCTTGCACGCACATCCAGAAACCGTTCACAAAAGCGCTGAGGGCAAGCGCGGCGATGAAGATGGGGACCGCTCCGGCGATCAGCTGGGCCTGTCCGTCCGCCACGATGATAGCGAGGAACAGGAACGAGAGGAAGCGGAAGAAGTGTCCCGCACCAGGATGCAGGCCCACGGCCCAGTAGGTAATGACACTGAAGACGAGGGTGCAGGCGAAGAGGAACGGCAGCGAGATGAGCGTGTTGGAGATGAGGAACGCTGTGGGGCCGTACAGCCCGTTCCGGCGCTCGCGGATGAACACGGAGCGCTCCTCGAGGAACGCGGGGATGCCGGCAACACTCATAAAGGCCAGGAAAGCGACGGAGAAGAAGTGCACAGACAGGCGGTCGTTGATCTTGCCGTCAGAGTTACCGAGGCGAATCCAAATCGTCGCGAGCATCAAGCCCATCCCGAGATACATGCCCATGCGCACGCCGTATGCCAAGAGGTTGCGGGAGTAGTTGAGGACCGTGCGTTCGCAGAGCACGCCGACGACTGCAATGTCGTGGGTCAGCGGCTTCTTCTGGGTCTTGATGTGCTGGGGCTTGTCGTCCTCGCCTTGGACTGCCCTGTCAGTCGCTTCGACCTCCATCTGTGCGGTATACAGGGCTTCGATTACAGGTGTCTTGTCCGCACCAAAGTCGCTCGCCACTAGGTCGAGGAGGTGGTCCGCGGGGTTCTGGAACGGCGGCATTGGGTATCCGATGTCGGTGCAGCGCGCAGCCGCCTCTGCCATGGTCCCGCGGAACGCGGTACGCCCCTTTGCGAGGACCATCATCTGGTCGAAGAGCTGGAGCGTGTCGACGCTCGGCGAGTGGATCGTCGCGATGACGATGATGCCTTCCGCCTGCGCGATGCGGCGGATCGACGCCACGACCTCGCGCGCTGAGGCTGAGTCGAGGCCGGAGGTGGGCTCATCGAGGAACAGAATGCGCGGGTACGTCACAAGGCCGGTGCCGACGGTTACACGGCGCTTCTGGCCGCCCGAGATGCCGCGCTGGATCGGCGTCCCGATCTTGAGGTTGGCGCACGACTGGAGACCGAGGGCGTGCACGATGTCATCGACGCGCTGACGGGTCTCGGCTCGCGTCTGGCCCGTGTTCGTGAGCCGGGACGCAAAGCCAATCGTCTCGCGCACAGTCAGGACGCCGTAGTGCTGGTCGTCTTGCTCGACGAAAGACGAGACCTCGGACATGGTCGTGGCCGTAAGAGGTGTTCCATTGAGGCGAATCTGGGGTCAGGCACACGGCACACTTAAGCATGTAACTCACGCTGCCGCCCTCCATCGCTTTCTTCCGGAACGACATGATGTCGAGCAGCGTCGATTTGCCCGCTCCGCTGACCGTTAGCGATGCCCATGCTCTCCAGAGCCATGCACTCACGAAGGGCCGAGGATGGCAAGCATCTGCGTATGGTGAGCTGTGCCTGGCCAAATGACTCACTTGACCCTGGGCGACCTTGACGCTCACATTGTCGACGAGGCGCGCGGTGACGTTCTTGTTCTTGACCTCGAATGAGAGGTTGTCAAAAGTGGCGACGGAGCCCATGGGCGCCGTCAATGTGCTGGGAAGCGGGCTCATTTCCATGTTGGTTGGGTGGTGTATGATGAGCGCACCGAGCTTTTTATGTCAGTGCGATCTGGACGGCGTTTGACCGCCCGGCAGCTCTTCGGTGCGGTGTTTGCTTGCGCCGTTCCCTTGCTTCTTATTCAGCTGCTCGTGTAAGACTCACGGAATTCCGAACAGCCTTCGCCTCGGCGACTGGGAGCGGGGACGCGATTTGCGTCACTCGACGGGCTCCGAAAGGTCCAAAAGGGGTTCCGCTCAGCATCAGCCGGTAAACCGAGGTGGACTGCCGATCACTGCACATCCTTAACGTCATACACGTGCCACAGAGGCGAGAGCTCTTCCATGTACTGTACTGCCACTTCCCGTCCAAGAGGAGCGTAATGTAGAGAGCTTCGCAGGTCGGTAGGCTGGCCCGCTGGAGAGACTTTGGCAAGACAGAAAGGTACATCACGGGAGAGGAACCCGGAACCGGAGAGAGGCACAAGCGTCACCTTGATATTGAATGAGGAGTTCACTGTCAATGCCAGCCGAGGAGCACACCTCGGCATGCAATTACGCAACTAGCCAATGCTGTGACCCAAATAATGTTACATGCAAGGTTACAGGATGACCCGCTTATTGCTGGACGAGCCGTCCGGCGTGGCCGGCGTCACAGTTGCCACCACAGTTGTGTGGGTCGCCGCAGGGATGACGCTCCGCGCCCTCAGATCCTCGAACGCCCCAAGACCGAGCAGGTTCCGGCGCACGGTCAAAGGTCACTTTTGTTGCATTAGTGCGAGAGAGTCCCAGAGATTCATGATGAAGGGTGCGGGCGGCTAGTGCAACTCAGTCCGCCATCGCAATCATTGTTCACACGCTGGCGTCTGCGGCCCATCATCGCCGACCTTGCCGCTGTCACCGTGTCTGACCGAGTCGAGCAACTGTGCAGAATCTGTGCGCTGACTCTGGGTAGACTGTGAAAAGCTCGAGGCCCTGCCACTCCCCACCACAGAAGGATCAGGTTGAGCCGCTGATCGACGGAGTACATCGACGGATCCAGTGCCAGTGACTTTCTGAATGTGGCAGTCTCCGTGTTTCTGCGGCTGGAAGTGGCTCTCGTGGCCTCGCCGCTGACAATCGGAGTCCTGAAGATCGTGAATGGCGGTTGGCATGGCAAGGCTCGACGAACTGGGACATCTAACACTAACCACACAAGTCCAAACCGTATCGCCTAAGGCATGGCTATCGCGGCACCGCAGCGAAGTGGCCCCGAGAATCTGCGAGAGCCTCGGGGCTCAACACCATCGAGACCACACCACTTTGAGCATTCGCCGTCTTTCGGAGGCAGAGAAGCAGATGTCTATTCGCAGCATTCGGAGCGGAATGCCACCGACACGTGCCACTCGCACCCAATGCAGATGTGGCGCTGGTGCAAACGCCGAAAAGCAACACCATAATTCGGATACGCACTGTGACGCTAACATCCACCGGCCTCCTACAGGCTACAAACTCATACATTATCGCAACTTCACAATTGCTGCGCATGACGGGGCGCCTAACTCTGCTCGAGCGCACTGATGTGCACCCCTTGCCCGTGTCCGTCCAGCTCCTGCCCGTCAGCGCTGTCGCAAACGGTACCCACCTCGCGCGTGTCAAAGTAGAGCCCGCACAGGCGGTTATCGACAAGCCACTTACACTGCCACGCCTGTGCCTCCTCCGCCAGCGTGGGGTCCGCCGCGGGGCCCGCCGCGCGGTTGTCATCCGGCACGAGTGTGGGCATCGCGAAAGCGGCAGGCTCGTCGTCGTCGGACTCTTCGACCTTGTCGAAGGCGCCCATCAAGCGGCCACGCAGCTGCGCGATCTGCGCGACCAGCTCATCGTTGCGCTTCGACAGCTCGTGTGCACGCGTGCGCTCCTTGTGCAGGTCCATCTCGAACTGCGTCCTCTCTCGGTGGAGATGGTGGTGCTGCGCTGCCTTGCGCCGTATCGCGTCGTCCGTCCGCCGGTTCTGCTCGAGCAGGACATTGACCTGCCGCCGCGCCTTCTCTGCATCGAGGCGCGCCGTGGCTACCGCCGCCCTGTTGACCATGTCCTTCTGCTTGAGGCCCAGCGTGAGCTGCTCGCGAAGCTTTTTGACCTCAGCCTCAAGCTCTTTCGCGCGATTCACCTCGTGCACGGCGCTGGAGGAGGCGGTCTCGTACTGAGCGCGGATAAACTCAAGGTCTCCCTTAGTCGTCTTGTGTGCCTTCTTGCTGCGTTTAAGCTCCTTGCGAAGGTTGGTAATGATAGTGTCTCGCTCTACTATTTGCTCTTCGGCGGGGGCGTCTGCAGGGACGGTCACCGTTGTGCTCGCTGTCGTCCCAAGGTCGTCAGTGTCGCTCTTGGCGCGAGCCTTGAGCTCAGTGACCTGAGCTTCAAGCCCCTCAATCACAGTGTTGCGTTTCATGAGCTCAACCTCAGTCGTCTTGACCACCATGTCGAGCTCAACCGACTTCGCGATGCGCTCGTTCAGCTCTGCTTTAAAGTCCTCAAGCTCCTTCTGCGCCTTCCCGAGCTGCTTCTCGTGCTCGTCGATAGTAGCCTTGAGTTTCGCATCGAACTCAGCCTGCCTCTCGTTGAGCTGCTTGGTGAAGTCGCTGCGAGCTTCGGCAAGGGCCTGAGCTCCACGGATCTCGGTGCTCTTCACATTGTCGCGTAGCTCGGCGTTCTCGGCTTTGGTCCGCGTCAACATCGACTTCATTTGGGCATGCTCAGCGCGAGAAGTCTCGAGTTCCCCAGTGAGAAAGTCGAGAGTCCGCGCGCCATCCCCGCTCTGTGTCGACCAGGATGCCGAGCCTGCAACCGAGTGTCGCCTGCCCACCGCCACTGGGCTGCCGGCAGCCCCGTCTGCAGTTGCCTGGGTTCCATGCTTCTCTTCTGACAGTCAGCTTGGGTGGAGTAGCGAAAACTGACCAGGCTTCGGAAGAGGAGAGCTCCCCTTGCCCTGATCTTCCTCATCGTCGTCGTCATCAAATATCTCCAACTCCATGCCCTCATGAAGCACACGCTTCTTGCTCGGCGGCTCCATTTGGGTCTGCGGCCCGAGACTGGAGCTAGAGCTGGAGTCTGGATCTTCGATAGATTCAACCTGAGAGGTCTGCGGCGCTTTACCAGCGAGTCTGCGAAAAACGGCGGGCGAGGGCTGCGGGACCGGCTGGAGTTTCATACGGTTCCGCGACGTGCTCGGCCCAGGGCCGGCTGCGCCAAGCGATGCGCTCGAAGACACCACGTCCAGCACTTCGACTTCGCTGTTGCCGTTCTCGCTCTCGTTCTGGTTGGCCCGGCGCGCTGAGGTGCGGACACGAGGCGTCGGCTCCGGCTCCTCATCCAACTCGTCATCGTCATTTGCTCGGGCTCGTCGACGCCGAGATGTCCTCGGGGAATCAATGTCCACAGCCTCGATCTCAACCTCGTCCTCAAGGTCTGTGGGCGCTCGTCGCGCGCGATTTCTGGTGCGAGGTGTTGACTTGGGCTCATCATCCAGCTCATCGCCATCGTCGGCCTTGGGTCGTCTACGTTGAGATCTCCTTGAGGGGCCAATGTCGTCACTCTCATCATCATCGTCATCGACGTATATGGGAGACGAACGCCCGCGCCCTGAAGCGCGCGCTTTGGTTACCGGCTCATGTTCAAGCTCGTCGGTGAAATCGCGGTTGAAACGTCTAAGTTTGGGCTGCCTCGGTGGAATGATGTCGAATCGCGGTGACCGCTGGCTGGCAGTAGGCGGTGCTGGCATAGGCCGCCCTCCTGTCCGTCTCGCCATAGCCTTCTTTGGAGTCTTGTTTATCGGCTCGGGCGAATTCAAGGCCATAGATGTGGATGTAGACCGTGTAGCGCGCAGGTTGGTTGTGGAGGACTCGCGAAGACGATGGCTGGTCCGCGTCTTCATCGGTGGGGTCTCACGCACTGCCCAACCCGGCCGTTTGGGGGGTGGAGACGTCTCATTCTCCTCAGAAGATAGGTCGCGCACCCGTTTAAATCGACGAGGCGGCATAGCGGCGAGAGTAATGGTGATGTGAGATGGGCGATGAGGAGAAGCAACAACACGAAGATGCGGGTATTCCAGTTGGCCGAAAGGATCGACACACGACGACATTCCGTCTCTGTCACGTGATCCATTGTGTTGGCACGTGGCTTCCTTCTGAGTCGAGCATGCTCCTCCTAAAGTTGGAGATGGATGACTGTTGTTGAATGGCAACTCGACTCATCTCCTTATCTCCTTCACACTGCTCTCTCCCACCCACGTTCACTTTCTCTGGACATCCGTTCTCCTTTATCCTCCCCCATGCCACCCAAGTTCGACGCCTCCAAGCCGGAGGTCGCCGCGCTCATCAAGGAGTTTGAGGCATTTGGTCTGAGCACCAACTCCGCGACCGAGCTTGTTCGCACGCCCAAGGCCGGCAACGCCTTTCGCGCGCTCATTGACGAAACTGGCCTCACCGGCAAGTCGTTTGAGAACAACCAGGCCAATGCGATCGTTAAGCTCTCGGCCGTCGGCACCAAGCTCTCTCCTGACGCACGCAAGTATGTGCTCGACCGCATTGTGAGCGGCGACCTCAAGTCGCCCGACCAGGTAGCGGGTGAGTAGCAATGTGGCGTGGGAACCGATAAGACAAAGTTGACTCGATAGCTGCCGTCAAGTACCTCGAGAAGAACCCTTCCCTCCCCACTGATGCTGCCGCTTTCGACCGAGCATCCGGAGTCGGTGAGTGATCTGGCACAAAGCCGAATTGACACCAGGCGTCAACATTACTGCTGCCGATATCCCCGGGTTGCTGGAGGCTCATGTTGCCACTCTTTCCTCCCCACTCAAGTCATGGCTTGATCAGGGCCCCTTCATGGGCACTATCAAGAACAGCGATGGGGCTTTGAAGTGGGTCTCGACGACAAGGTTCATCTAACAGCAGATGGGCCCCTACGTCTGATCTAAAGGCCGCCGTGGATGCCTTCTTTACCGAGCGCTTCGGGTCTCGGGAAGCTGCCAACAAGGCTAGAGCTGAGGCCACCGCTGCCAAGGTCAAGGCCGCTAAGGTGAGGTCGCCGCCTGACGTCTGAACTCACACTCAGGAGCCGAAGAAGAAACCTGTGGCGGACAAGTCTGCTGAGACGACATACGAGGCATCCACTTCCACCTCCCCTTACATCCCCACGCGCATTTTCCAGGAGGGCTTCCTCTCAGAGTTCCATGAGGTTGGCGGTAACCCGCAGATCAACCCCAAGTTGAAGGAGGAGCATCTGAAATGGACTGGCGGAAAGGTCTACACCCGTTTCCCGCCCGAGCCCAACGGGTACCTGCACATCGGCCACGTGAAGGCTATCATGATCGACTTTGGTTACGCCAAGTTCCACAACGGTAGAACATATCTGCGCTTTGACGACACCAATCCCGAGGCCGAGGAGGGCAAGTACTTCCAGTCGATTCTCGAGACCGTGCGCTGGCTCGGCTTCGAACCCTGGAAGGTTACCTACTCCAGCGACAACTTTGACAAGTTGTATAACTTCGCTGTGGACCTCACCAAGCGCGGAGGGGCGTACGTGTGCTTCTGTGATGCCGAAAAGATCAAGGCGGATCGTGGCGGAGGCAAGGGCAACCCGGTGGCGTGCGAGCATCGGGATCGTCCCATCGAGGACAACCTGCGCGACCTTGAGAAGATGAAGAACGGCGACTACCAGGAGGGCGAGGCCTGTCTGCGTATGAAGATGGACCTGTCAAGCGGCAACCCATACATGTGGGACACGGTCGCTTACCGTGTCAAGAAGGCGCCTCACCACCGTACGGGGGACAAGTGGAAGATCTACCCGACGTACGACTTCACGCACTGCTTGTGTGACTCTCTCGAAAACATCACCCACTCGCTGTGCACTACCGAGTTTGTGCCCGCTCGCCAGTCTTATGAGTGGCTCTGCGACGCGGTTGAGGTGTACAAGCCTCGCCAGTACGAGTTTGCGCGTCTCAATCTTCAGGGCACATTCCTGTCGAAGCGCAAGGTGCGCCGTCTCGTTGAGCAGAACCTGGTGAAGAGCTGGGATGACCCCCGTCTTTACACCATCATTGCGCTGCGTCGCCGCGGTATCCCTCCCGGCGCGCTGCTCGCGTTTGTTTCGGAACTCGGTGTCACTACTCTTCTCTCCGAGACCCAGCTTCAGAAGTTTGAGTCGACCGTCAGGAGATACCTGGAGGACACGGCACCCCGGCTCATGATGGTGCTGAAGCCCATCAAGCTTATCATCGACAACGTGCCTGACGACTACAAGGTGCCCGTGCAGGTGCCGCTACACCCGAAGGTGCCCGCCATGGGTTCTGTCGAGACCATGTTCACCAAGGAGGTGTACATTGACGCAGACGACTTCCGCACCGAGGACTCGCCCGACTACTTCCGTCTGGCTCCCGGCAAGAGCGTGGGTCTCTTCAAGGCGCCTTACCCTGTTACGTGCACGTCGTTCAAGACGGACTCGGACGGCAACGTGACCGAGATCCACTGTAACCTCGACAACGAGGGTGAGTTCAAGAAGCCCAAGGCATACATCCAGTGGGTGCAGGCTCCTGGCGCAGTGCACATCGACGAGGTGCGCTACTTCCACCCGCTGTTCAAGCACGACCCGCCTCCTAAGGACTTCGAGAGCGACGTCAACCCCGACTCGCTTGAAGTGTTCAAGGGTGCCGTGGTCGAGCCGGCGTTCTACGAGCTCGCGAAGAAGGAGATCAACCAGGCGCGCGCCGAGGCACACGCACGTACCCAGAAGGCGGCGGCGGAGAATGAGGTTGCCAACGATGAGGCCAAGCCCGCGGATCACGCCCCCGCTGCCCATGGCGACGAGCCCGTCGTCACGGCTGATCAGCTTGTCGGCATGGAGAACATCCGCTTCCAGGCTATGCGCCTCGCCTACTTTGCTGTCGACTCGGACAGCAAGCTCCAGTGCCTCGACGAGGCGGCCGACGCCAAGCCTGGCAAGCGTGCCGGCGACAAGATCGTTCTCAACCGCATCGTTTCGCTCAAGGAGGACGCCGGCAAGAAGGCGTAGTAGATATTTCATGGTAGCTGTCGAAGTACATCACGACTATGCTATCGTGCTTCAGCGCGATTGCGGGCGTTGAAGCTGATGATGAGCAAGGTGACTGCGCCTGATCGGTAGTCTTCTCTCGTCGCTTCAGTCGATGATTAACAAAAGCTCGTGATTGTTAATGCACAGTTAAGATGTACTGTCCATAGTGTCTACCAAGCGGCCATCCTGCCTTCCTGTCTATCAATGACTACTGAAATTATAGGCATAGTCCTCCTTCGCCTCCCGACCCCCGTCCTTCCCCCGGCAAGAGAAGGCGAGAGTGGTGGGCCACCCTTTCATGTAGCATGTCGGGCCGTAAGCGTCTCAAACAGGAGTGTGAACCCTGGACGAGAAGCGAGAGCCCGTCAGCGGCGTCGAAGGCTCTTTCACGACTGTGCCAGCCGTATAGCCCAGCGTCAAGGCAGCGAGGTTTTTGAGTGCGCCCAAAGCCGCAAGTGCAAGGAACCCGAACAAGCCGTACGGAGGCGAGCCGCAAGGTAGGGAACGCGAGCCGCTGCGGAGTTGCTTCAACTTGGATGATGACGAGGCTGAAGGACCAGCGGCCGGTCCAAGGAGGTTACCGGTCTTGAGGCTGCCCGCTGGCAATCCGTACCCGATACAGACAGTGTCGTGCTGGACGAAGATGACCACCGGCACCCACGCCAGCGTATTGGTGACGATACCGTACTTCGTGCCAGCGGCCCACGCGTAAGCGGCGGCCTCAACAAGGAAGTAGATCGCCGACCGCAGCGCCGGGTCGCCGTTGTCCAAATGCGACTGGCCTAACGCGCGACGTAGAACGAGACGCGACTGTGCCACGCGTTCCGGAGTGCGACGAAGGCCTCGTCAGGCAGTCGTGAGTACCGCTTGACTTCGGCCACCGCACCCAGGTACTGCTCCTCGCCGGGGGTCGCTTCTTGACCTTCTGTCATGATGCGACTCGACCGAGCGATGCCGACGTCCGCGAAAGCCGTCCCGCTCCGTCCGTACTTCACGAGGCCGTTGCACCATACAGCTACTGCAGCTTCGGTAAGACCTGTATTAAACCCGCTCGTTGTGAGTCAGCGTACCTCCAAAATAGCCGGCAAGGACGGCAAGGAACACTGAAAGGTCGGCCATTAGTCGCCCTTGGGCCTGCGCCTCGTTGTTGACAGCCTTCCTCAAGTGGTGAGTTATGAGGAAAGTTGTCCTCAGGGCGTCCCGGTGACTGTCAAGGACGTCACCTTCAACATGCGCCGCAACCTCTTCAAGGTCCGCATAGACGTCGGAGGGGATGATCTCAATGGAAGGAGTCGATGCGGTCAGGTGTTGTCAGAGGAAGGCCTCTACGACATCTACGACAGGTTTCGCCTCTTCCGTCTTTGGGGAGGCCAGATCACTCGTCTGAATAAAAGGGTGTGGGAGGTATAAAAGGTCGCTCACGCGGAGGCGACCTCGGTTCAGAATGTTGCTGGCAACATTTTATGCCTGAGGAAGAGCCTCAACTCTGGGAGCGGCGCCCATGATGAGATGATGAATGCGATTGAAATGTGATTGACAGTTAGAGGAACTCACTGAATATGGGGAATGCGGAAACCACAAATGGTCACGTGCCAGGAGATTGCACGTGACACAACTGCGCAGCCACGTACGTAAGTGATCGTCACTCATCACCTGAGTCAACTTTGGTAGTTGACTACGCGACAACATCGTCTTCGTCCACTCCATCATCCCATCATCCTCTCCATCCACTATGACCATTAACCCCATCGACCTTTAAACCACTAATCATTGACCTTCAGTTATGCGCACCCCTGTGGTTCATGCTGATCACGGCTCGCGAAGTGACAGCGGCATCGACGAAGACGATGAGCGCCTCACCTTTCCTCGCGATGATTGGCCGCGCTTTACGTATTACATTCCTCGCGTGTTGGGAAACCGCATTTTCGACGATGATATCCTGTTTGCTGCGCAGCAGGCCAGCCGCAAGGTCGCACAGAGTATTGGTGCTGGCCAGCTCGATGGCCTGGTCGACGAGCTTGACTTAAACATGGCTGTGCTTGACGTCGTTATTCAGATGTAAGCGTGCACGGCGCGGAAGCATTGCTAACTCCCTCAGCAACGACGAGTTCCGCGACGAGTGCCGCGCTTCCCATTGCCGGGTTACCAACACTGTTGAAGAGTGGCGTCAGTTGCTGCGGGATGTGGCCAAGGTCGTGGTGGAAACTGTGCGTCGCTTTTCTTTCCCCCCTCTCTCTTCTTCACCTCTAGCCTCCTTGCTTTGCCCCTTTTCCCCTAACTACCACAACCCCCCTCCTCCCTCTCAGCCACACTGACGTCCAGGCGAGACAGACTCTCGGACATGCTCTCGGCGCCAGTGCCAGTGCCAGCGCCATCGCGACCCTCGACCACTGGCACAATGCCGCAGAAGCTCGCGAAGCGCTAATCGTCACTTGCATGGAACAGCTGTGGTCCCCGCGCGACACACTTGAGAAAGTCTCGTGTCCAGCACCGCGGAGCGCGGTTCTTCCTTTCATCGAGCGATACGGTCCCGGCGAGCTGGAGAAGGCCCATCTCTGGTACAGTTGTGATTACGACCCCGTAACCCACACGTTAACGAACTACACCGTGACCTGGGACGGCATCCGTTCCCCCGCCACCCCAGAGCCCATGGTACCGTGCCTTGAAGCAATGCCTGATCTGAGCTCGAGCGTCGAATCGTTCCCGTCGTCGGGCTTCCCCTCACCTCAGAACAGCAACGACAATGTCGATGACGACCATTCTGAGCAGAGTGTTGTGGTCAACCACAAGATCGAGGATGGCCAAATTGGATCCGCCCTCAACTCTTCCGCCGGCTCCATCACCCACTAGTTCGCTGTGGCAGTAATCCACAACCTAGAACCTCCCGCTGCCTCAGACTTCTGTAACATTATAATCAAAGTCGGGGTGCCGGCCTGATATCACACCCACGCCATGTTCAACTTGAATACGATCCGCCCCCCGCCCTTGGTTGTATATAAGAGTCGTACCCATCACCCCGTAGCTTTATCGATGATTTCAGTGGACTCATGTTTACCACCTATGCTACCTAGTCCACAGCCGGATTAGCGCCTGAGAGTCAAGCGCATTCTCGACTTTCTCTCCCGACTGAACTCCAAACGACATCTTCATATGCGCTCGCGCTCATCCTAAGCGGCCTCGCGCCCCCACTCCTCCCGGCCGCCACTTTGCCACTCCACAAGCTCTATACATGGGTAACGCATGCGCCAGGGCGAGACATGCACCGCCACAGTGGCCCTCCCTCTCCTCTCTGCTCGCCTATGCTGGAATGGCCGGTTGGTCGACGTCCATGTCGTTTCTAGGCGCTGCTGGGGCAGCCTGCACCGGTGGCGGGAGCACCGAGTTGTACACGTCCCCCGACATTGGCTGGTCCTCGTAGCCATCAGCCCCACCCGCAACCTCCGAATCCCATGGATTCTGGAATCTGATGTCAGCTGGTGTTGCGTCGCACCATGCGTACCGTGTGACCTTGGGCTTCTCGATCAGGACATTGCGGTACAGCTGGTCCCAGAGAACCTGCTTCGGCGGGTTCTCTTTGAGCACCTCATCCTCGTAGTACGTGTTGACGTAGTATCCGACGCGCACGAATTCCTTGTCACGATACGACGCGGTGATGATGATGACGGTGACACCGAGAATGTCCTCGGCGTCGACTGAGGGGAGGAGACTGTGCTTGGGCGCAGGGGCAATGAAGTCAAACGCGTTCACGCCTTGAGGAATGGGGCCGACTTGCCGTCAGACGTGCAGAGGAAGAGTGTACTCACCCATACATGAGTCGAGCTCCTGGTCAAAGTCCTCGGTGTTGGCCGAGCCGACGTAGATGAGACGCCATTCGAGGTCTGGCGATTAGCACGCGCCCATGCGACTGCATGGCGCCACGCCGCAGTATTACTGGCGGCGGTGCGTCGTCGCCTACTCACCCTCCGCAAGTGGGGCTATGGCCTCAAACTTGATCTTGAAGTGATAGTCTTCATCAAACTTTGCGGGGTTGTTGATGAGTTCGATGTTGCGGATGTTTACCTAGGGGTGAGCACAACGCTACTAGTGCTGTGAGCACTCACAATTGACTAGAAGGCGGAGACAACAGGTAACGTACGAGACGCGTCAGCAGATGGCATGGAGCAGGAAGGAAGGAAGGCGGGACGTACCATGACGCGTAAAGTCGCGTGTACGCGTTGGTGTGCAGGTTGCTAAGTGTGGATGGGATGTAGTAGCCGCGGGAAGGGATGATCGCGCTCTGATGGTTCGGTGATCGGTGAGGACGACGAGGGAGAACGATTGATGGACGTGGATGGACGGGAGATTGAAGGATGGAGGTGGATTGAGGGAGGAGGGAGTGAATAACAGGTGAATGTAAGGTGGAAGATGGAAGATGGAAGATGGAGGATGATCGTTTCAAGCCGAGAAATGCGCGCAGCTCATGTTGACGCCGTCACGTCACGGGATCACGGGGGGATGTCCTTGCTCCTTCTTCCAATCGCCCGCTCCGACCTTGCACCGTCCGCCACGGCCGCCACCCTGCACAGGCGCCCCTGGCTCTCATTTCGACGCGTTGGTCATGACGCCTTGTTCCCCCCACACTCCACGCGACGCGCCGCCACCACAACATGACAACAACTTCACACGTCATTATTCTGGCGGAAGCAAATGCTTCAAAAGAGTGGGGCAGGCAACTCTCGCCTGTGGCCGGTGGAGGCACTCAGGCGCTGGAATTTTGGCAACTTCACAACAGTCACTTGGGCACCCTCGACTGTTGATGCTCACGGCCGCACTCAGCTGCACTCGCACTCGCATTCCCACTCGCATCTCAGTCCTTGCTCCCCTCCTAAGACCAAGAGCTATGTCCACCTCTATCCCATACACCGTCCCCATCGACGGCGGCATCCCCGACACTCATCGGCCACACACCGAGCGGACCACCACTATCCTGGTCCCAAAGGATGATTCCGCTTTCCTCAATCCCGTCCAGGAGTACAACCGCGACCTCTCCGTGTCTGTCATCCGTGCGTGGAACGAGGAGCGTAAAGACAAGCTCGAGGCGCAATTCCGCGCGCGAATGGCCAAGAAGCGTGGCGAGCCCGCGTCTTCCAAGATCGAGAACAGCGAGACCTGCGAGGAAGATGAATGCAACGGCCCAAGGCCGCCTATGGTGATTGTCTCCGAGGTCTAAGGCTGACATCAGACCAAGTTCCGGGCACCTAAGATCACCATTCTCGAGGCGTTGTCCGCTACTGGACTTCGCTCTATCCGGTACGCGAAGGAGATTCCCGACGTCAATGTCGTGCTCGCGAACGACCTGTCTGCTTCTGCGTGCGACGCTATGCGCCGAAATGTTGCGCTTAACGGTGTCGGGGAAGGTTCGGCAGAGGAGGGAGAGCAACCCGACGTCGGCCGCCGTGAAGGCTGCACCGGTGTTGTGCGTGTGAATGAAGGTGACGCCTGCGCTCTCATGTACAACCACCGCGACCCCAAAAAGCGTGTTGATATGGTCGATTTGGATCCGTACGGCACTGCTGCGCCATTTGTTGATGCCGCGATCGGCGCCATCAAGGACGGTGGCCTTCTCGCCGTGACTTGCACCGACCTTGCTGTCCTCGCGGGCTCAAACTATCCGGAGAAGTGTCTTTCAAACTACGGCGGGGTTTGCTGCAACGCCGAGTACAGTCATGAGGTCGCGCTGCGTCTTGTCCTCAACTCGCTTGCGCAGGCTGCGGCGCGTTACGGGCGCACTATCACGCCGCTCCTCTCCTTCTCGATCGACTTCTACGTTCGTCTGTTTGTGCGCGTCGATACCCAGGCGATCAACGTCAAGAAGCTGCTCGTCGACACCGGCCCCGTGTACATTTGCACGTACTGCGAGTCGCCGACGGTGCAGCCGTTTGGGCGCGTGATCGAGAAGAAGACCTCCAACAACATCAACCGGGTGTACAAAAGCGTGCAGGCGCCCACCGCACCGCAGCACTGCACTGAGTGCGGACAGCCGCATCATCTCGCAGGCCCGATGTGGCTGGGTCCTATCCAAGACCCAGACTTTGCCGCGCGCGTCCTTAAGAGCATCGAGGGCGAGCAGGACAAGTACGGCACTTGGCCGCGCATGCACGGCATGCTCACAATCGCGCAGCAGGTACGTACTCAACGTTGACTGTCTTAACACCCGCAGGAACTGCCAGACCCGTTCTACTTCACTTCGAACAAGGTCCACGGCTTCGGACGAGCGACGTCGGCCCCGTTGAAGTCGGTTGTGTAAGTCTAGCCCAATGTCGGAAGCTCGTCTGACATCCAGATCTGCTCTCTTGAACGGTGGTTACAAGGTATCGCGGTCGCACGCTTCGTCAGGCTCGATCAAGACGAACGCCCCGCGTTCGTTTGTCTTCGACATTGTGCGGGAGCACATCAAGAAGAACCCAGTACGGATGGACAAGGTTGCCGAGAACTCGCCAGTGAGGGCGTTCGTCAACAAGCCCATGACGTGAGTCTGCTGTTTGGTGATGTCTAACTCTTCCAGCCACACCATCGACTTTACGAGGCATCCTGATTCGAAGGCTTTCGAGAAACCTGAGAAGACAGTGCTGTATCAGCTCAACCCGCTGCCTGGGTGGGGTCCAGCCGCGCGCGCCAAAGACCTCAAGTCCAAGCAGATTGAGGACAAGAAGCGCAAGTCGGAGGAGGTGAGCGAGCTGGAGGCCAAGAAGGCCAAGGTTGGCGAGGCGAAGGACGAGGAGGAGGCCGCATTGAACGGATAATCTGTCAGAGGATCAGAGGGGAGTAAGCGAGAGAGATCAGAGAGCATGGGTTCAACACTGGCATTACATAGATTACACTCTCTCACAACATGTACCATTATGGGGTAATCATCACATGCGCCCGCCGGCGTCCATGCCCCAAACCGTGGCCCAGTGAAGCTCGCGCCGATTGCGCGCACGCATTAGGTCGAGCTCGTTGACCACATACTCGAATTCGGAGCGCTTGTCGGATTCGTCGTCACTCTTCAGTCCGGCTTCCGCGAGCGGTATTGTGGGTTGCAGATGTGTCGTGCCAAGCATAAGATCGGGGAGGGAGGGTTCTTCATCTGATTCAAGCGGATGGGGCGGGGCGGGCATGACAACGAGGACGGAGAATGCGCACTCGGGCACGTTTGATCCGGGCGCATAGTACGGTGCGGCTGCGAGAGGCTGAAGTCAGCGCCCTTCCACTGCTCGCAGTACTAACCTGCGTCTCCTCCTTATCCATGTCGAACTCGTCTTCCGGCTGGAGCTTGGCGATGTCGACGTCCCACATCTTCGGCGGGGGGCCGACGGCGCGCCGACGCACACGCACCGGCGTCCACTCCATACCCTGTCCCGGCGCGAAGAGAAGGCCCCACACGCCGCCGTACCGCTGCCACATCGAGGCGAAGTCGGATGTCTGGCCTTGTGCGCGCTCGCGGCGCACCGCGCGCGTCACGACGACGACGCGGATGAGAACGACGAGGCCGACGACGAAGAGCGCCGCGCCAATAAAGCCCATGCCGAGCGCAACGATCGTCGTGCTGCTCAAGCTCACTTCCGAGGTGCGCGCGGGCGCGCTGTATGAGTGCGTGCGTGTGGGCGCCGCGACCGTCGATGTCATCTTAGGTCATTGCTGTCCACGAGAGTAAGAGAGAGAGAAAATGGAAAGAACATGCACCGTTGCCACAGAAAGAGGAGCGGGCCATGCACTGCGATCGTGTCGGCCCTCGGGTCTGGTGCGGTGCGTGCTCGGCCTGGAACCGAGAAGCGCAGGCAGGCACATGACTCCCGGCAATCTATGCGAACGGCTCAGATAGTCACGCTGGTACGTACAACGAGCAGTCGTGCCAGCGCGACAGCACGCAAGAGAGCGCGCCACACGAGGGCATTGATCGGAGACCGCGCTCGTCCCCGCCTAATGAATGCTGACTCTGCGCATGTTCTGAAACGTCCCGGACGCCAAGACTGGGCCACTCGCCACCAACGTCGGGCAGAGCGGCGGTTGCCACTTGACCAAAGTAGCCGGTATAACAGCCGTATCAAGATAATGATGTGTAATACACGACCGTGGGAACACTCGGACACATTCATCCACCTCCGTCGTCGCGCCTGCGGAGATGTTTGTCACGTCTCCGTTGTTGACATCCATCGACCATGACCGACATGTTCGACAACGAGCATAAGGAGGACGACCGCGCTGCCGCGTCGGCGGCCCTCTCCAACCTATTCAGCAGCGAACAAGGATACAGCATCGAGCTGGGATCCTTCCCGGAGGGCGAGGCTGCTGAGTCGCGCGTGGCGACACCATCCGCCTCCAAGCCCGAGACGCTGGCCTCGGCATCCCCGGCCATGCAAGTGGACATGGAGACGGGCTTGGATCCCGCGCTCGCCGAGCCGATGGCAGAGCCGCTTTCCGAGCCGCTCGGCGAGATGGCCCAGCCGCTCGAGCCACTCGAGCCGCTCCCGATGCCCGGCGACCCACCGCGCCCCAAGCGCCCCGGCACATCAAGGCAGCACATGCTGACGCGCGGGGGCGCGTGCGAGTTCTGCAAGCGCCGCAAGCTCAAGTGCACGGCCGAGATGCCGCAGTGCGCCGCGTGCCGCCGCTCGAACCGCGAGTGCGTGTACTCGCAGAAGAAGCAGCGCAGTCGCATGAAGCTGCTCGAGGATAAGGTGAACGAGCTCGAGAGCCGGCTCGCGTCGGGCCCAGCGGCCCCGGCTCCGCCGCGCCCCGAGATGCCGCCGCACGACGGGCTGTTCACGGCACAGGGCGTGCAGGCGCACGCGATGCAGCACGAGGCGCCGAGCGCGGGCGTGGAGCTCGCATTCCTCGGCCTCGGCGAGCACTCGTCGCTCACGCTCGCGGACATGAGCCTCACGCCGGGCGGAAAGCACAATGAGGAGCCCGACCTCATGACTCTCGCGGACGTTGCTGCTGCCGACACTGACGGCCGCATGCCGTGGGATGGAATGGAGCCGCAGGCGATCGCGGACGAGATTGTCAAAGCTATCATCGGGCACGAGCGTGGCGGCGTCGGCGAGAAGATCTGCGCGCACCTGTACGTGTGCCGTTGGGAACGAACTAACACACAGGATCCAGATGTTCGTTAGCCAGCCCCAGTCTAACCTCGTGCACTGGCTCATCTCGCCATCTTACCTCTGGGCACGCCTCACCGGCCGTGGCGGCTCGCAACCCCACCCGGCGTTCCTCCTCGCACTCATGCCCATCCTTCTCCCCTTCTCCCCAAACCCCATGCTGTCTCACCACAAGACGATCTCCGTCGTGACGGACACGGTGTGTGTACCTTCCCGCGCGCTGCAGCAGCAGGCACTTTCCACACTCGACTCTCGTGTCCTCGACCTCGTATGCGCAGCCACGCTGCGTTCCCTCGCTCTGTCAAGCGCGGGCCGCTTCGTAGACGGATGGAACGAGAATTCCACCGCCTGCTCCCTTCTCTGGGCAACCGGGCTCGGCAAGCTTGGAGGTGTCGGCGAAATGTTTGTCGCGCCTGAAAAACGGCCCGCCGACCGGGCCATTCGTGTACAGCGCGAGCTGCGCTCCCGCCGTGTGCGTGCCAAAGGACAGATTGTGCCACCGCCCAGCGATGCTCAAGACGTTGCCGAGCGTATTCGTCTTTTGTGAGCTAATGAAGTAATTTTTCGAGCTAACCGCAGCTGGTCAGTGTGGATCAATGACTGCGTCAATGGCATCGGGTGGAACTGGCCGTGTGACATTGCGCTAGAGGAAACGACCACACCCCTTCCGCGCGATAGCTACGACACCGACGAGGATCTGTGTGACAATACCACACTGCACGACTTCCTGTCTGAGCGTGTGCACAGCTCGCCGAAAGATGGCCGGTTCGCAACTCTGGTCAAATGCCTCGCGCTCGCGTACGCGGCATCACGTCAGCTCGACCGGGCACCTTCCGTCGCGACGCCAGACACGACAGCACGCCTCCTGCGCATATGCCGACGCCACATGACAACGCTGCGGCCATTCAATCCCACGTCAGCCGAGGAGGCCAAGCAGCAAGGCCCCGATAACCAGAACTGGATGGCCATGTACACTGCGCTCATGCTGCTGTACGCCAAGGAGGAACTGGACGCCCCCTCGCCAGCAGAGGAAGCTGAAGCGCGGGACAAGATGATTGAGGCGGGGATGAATGCGACACGGTGTATTCAAACGGCCATTGACGCAGGCGACACTGAACTCGAAGGCTATGACGTGGTTGCGCCCAACTTTTGGTTCGTCGTCGGACGGGCGCTGCACCACGCCGCGAACCGAATCGAGGCGAGCGAGCCTCTTCGTGCTGCCGAGTTGCGCGAGCGCGTCCGTTTGAACGTGACTGCCACGGGCACCTGCGTGAGTTCTCCCGCGCGTCCCACCCGCGCGGATCGCCGTCTGGCTGACAACAGTGCAAAACACTCAAGCTGAACGACGTGTACTACCAGATGATGTTCAATGTCAGCATGGACCAGGAGGTCATGCTGGGCGAGTATCGGCGTCCGGACAACATGGACTTTGAGCCGCCGCATCGCGCGGGCGCCGCGTTTTGAGCCATTAATGTTTTTAGCCTCATGCGATGAATGCGCGCGTGCGAATTGGCTGACGCCAACGCCGTCAACACACCGGGCCTGATGGAAGTCTGTGCCTATCTGGATCCGGCGCCACAATCAGCGGCCGATCAAGCAGCGAACTGGCTATCTGGCCAGAAGCGCGAGAAGATGTGCCAGGGTGAGCGGACCTGGCAAACCTGGCAAACCTGGGAGCCGGCAGACCGGCAGTCCTCAAAGAGGATATCGTCGCGTCCGGCGCGTCTGGCGTCTCTCTCCTCCTGCCGGCGTTGCATGCTATCCTGGGGGTTCGGCGTCTGCAACTAACTCTTGCCTGACGTGATCGAGGGCTGGACACTGCTGGTCGCAGCATACCTCGTTGAAACGCGCCTGACCCAATGGCTCAATGAGTCTGTTCCTAGAACAGTGAGAATACTAGCGTCGCCGTCCCTGCTGCTGAATGGCAGGCCCAGTGAAACGCGCCAATCATGAGCCCTCACCCATGTCATGTAGGGCGTGTCATGTACACAGAGTGTCCACACAAGTAGTGTTCACAGCGCGACTGTGATGGACTCGGTAGCGACGGTTCTTTTCGGACTTGGCTCCCCCCGATTTTTTTCGGGCTTGGCTTCGCATCCACAGTGCTCCACACTGTACTTGCCCTCATCCCTCTACGTGCCCTCGACGTACGTACTACGAAAATTGGCCCGATGGCTCGCGGTTGGCGCGACTAACCCTACACACGATCATGAGCAGACGGAACATCAGAGGCGGCGCATCGCCGCCACATCCTGATCCGCCACACCAGCCACCTCGCCACCGCCCTCCTCAATTCGTCGGCTTCGTCGGCTCTGTTGTACCTGCAGCCCTTTCTAGAACTCCGCCGCAGGGCCGTGCCAGCGGTATTCCCGATGCTCTCTCGCTCACATTCTCGACGGCAGGGCTCGTCATCGCCTGAAGGCCCGACTCCTGTGGCGGTGGCGCACAGGCCGCTGCCTCCCTCTCGCCTGGACGATCCGACGGCGCTGGGCGCGCAGATCGCGCCGCAACAGCCCACGTCAGCGGCGTGCTGAATGGCAGCATGGGCGCCTCCCACAATCCCCCCCCCCCACGCCGAGCATGAGACTCGATGTCCGAAACTGGCCCATGCACCCCTCAATGCAACCTTACTGACAATCTTGTAAGCGGATAATCTGGTCGGCTGAATGCTGCCTGGCGTCCCTGGTCCAGCGATCTATCAGCCCTTGGGTCTGATGACGATGACGACGGTGAGTCACCGATGGAGGTGCCTGATGCGCAGAGTGGCAGTCCTTTCCTTGGGATTGCGGGGCGCAATGTGGCGACAACAACGACGAGATCTCGACAATTAGCGATTAGCGAAATGGCCCGACGCACAGTCGAGCGTCTGCGCTCGCTTGGAGCTTGGCCTCAAGCTCCCCGCATCCGTGCAGACCGGGACATTTCGTTTCGGCAGTGGTCGGGCATAGATCCGTCATTTGCCGTCCAGCGACGTCCGGGCCGTTTGCCTCTGCATTCTTCTTCTTCTCGTTCTCCTCTGTGCCCTGCAGGGCCTAGTCCTTCCCTAGTTGTGGTGTCAGTCTCCCCGAAAGATGTACGACGCTGCTGCCAAAACGCCTCCGACGTTAATCCGCTCTCCGGCCCGCTGCACTCCGCACCGAGACTTGGGACGCAATGTTCGCAGCGCAGAGCACGAGCACATGCTTGCCGCGTGCCGCAGACAAGGTTCGGGTCCGCAGCATGTTCTGCACAGTCTTCACTCCACGACTCCAAGGTGGGACAGCACATGACGGCTGCCCGTTGTGCCTCGGGCCTGGCACAAGCGCAAGTGGGCATGTGGTGCTTGGTGGTCGCCAGATCTGCGCTGCGCGAGCCGCGGCGGACCCGACCGGTTTCCGGCGAAGTTGGCAATTGGCGAGAGACGAGAGGCGGCGTGCGACAGACGATTTGTGCATTTGTGCAGTTGTGCATTTCTGGCATGTCGGGCCCGCCGTGGCCCAGGCATTGTCCCTTCGTCGACCCACGCGATATCCTGTCTCCTGGGATCGCTGAGGATCGGGGATCAGACACGGTGCTGGCGCGGATGGTGGCTGCTGATAGTATTGTGCTGCTGGTTATTTTGGTGGTGGACCTTGGCGTGACGCTTAAGGTTGGACTGGACGGAGAACTTGCGGCCGCACGATGGGTCTGGACAGACGTATGGGCGTTCTCCGGTATCTGCAATGTCAGCGACGATGTAGGCTAGTGGGCTAAGACGTACGGCTGTAGGTGTGAATGCGTAATGAACTGGGCCGAGTGAACGCCTTCTTGCAGTACTGGCAAGGGTACTTGGGCCCCGTCGATCCCCCAGATGCCCTTGCCGGGCTGCCGGCCGGTTGATCGTCCTCCATGCTGTCCTTGCGTTCCGCATCAGCCACGCGGCGTGCCGACTCGGCAAGAACCTCCATTCCGCGCATGCCGGGGTCGCCGTTTGTTTCAGGTTCATCTTCCGAGACGGGCCCGAACGAGGGACGGCGTGCCCCTCCAGACACGGGCGCAACCAAGGCAGAACGGCGGTCACGTCCATGAGCAGAACCCGTCCGCTCCGGTTCCGCTATCAAGTGGTTGACAAACGAGGCCGATGTGTTGGACATGATCGATTCCGTCGACTCGCGGCGGCCAATGTAAGGGACGTCGCGGTCGTGCTGGATATCGGGGGTGAAGAGACGCCCGCTCTGTGCCAGGGCGACGTCTCCGCTCTTGACCATGATCTGTTCTGCCAATGATGATCGCCGAGGAACCGGGGCAGTCGGCTCCGGTGAAGGCGGACGTGTCAGAGACAGGCGCTGACCCGGTTCCCCAGCGGAACGAGGGGCGCCGCTCGGCGTCTCGCGATTGCTGAGCTGGCCAACCGACTCATTGGAGAGCGACGGCCGCGGGAAAAGCGATGGGCGCCGGTCCGTGGGCGAGCGGGCGCGCAAGGGCGTCGATGCCTCTGACGGCGGGCTGCGCTCCCCTGCATGGAGGTCGGCGAACTTTCGCGACAGCGGCCCCGTCATTGGCGAGCTGCGCGACGACGCGTGGTGATCAAACGGAGAGTCGGGCGACATTGGCGACGACGCCAACGGTGTGCCGCTGATCGAGCCGCGCATGGTAGGCGGCGGGTAGAGCATCGCTCGGAGACCACCACCACCGCCGCCGCCGACGCTGTTGCTGGCGCCGCCCGGCAACGTCGCGGGATACGATGCGTTACGGCTCTGTGCCTGCCACTTGAGGCGGGCGATCTCATCAGCGTCTGGAGGGATCGGTGGGAGATCGGAGCGGCGGCGCTTAAAGTCGGGCTCTCCTCCACGAGCGCTGAAAGAGGATGACCGCGAGAAGCCACTCGAGCGGTCGTCCGGAGCCCACCAACCTTGACTGTCGGCGGCGGAAGAGGTCAAGGACGAGAATCGCGAGGTGCGCGAGGTGGGTGAGTCTAGAGGGGACGTCGTCGACTGCGCAGCCGACTTGACTCCGACAAAGAAGGAGCCCCCGAAGGGGGACATGAGTGAGGGCTGATCGGCAGCATTCAGCAACGCCTTGATTCCAGGGAGGCTAACGCTCTCGCTGCGCTCCTGGCGCTCGGTTTGAGGAGGAGGAGGGGGAGGCTGCTGGGGGTCCTCGCGGATGAGGCGGAGTGGGTGACGGGAAGTGGGATCATAACCATCTTCTTCCGGCGTCGTCTCCATGGGGTCGAAGCGAGACGCCCGGCGTTGAAACATTGATGGGGGACGGGCACCTGGGGGAGGTGCGGAGTTTGGGTGAATGGGAGCCGAGAAGGTGAACACCTCCTGCGACGGTGGGAAGATGGCCGTTCGGGTAGAATGCGTTGGAGACTGTACTCTGGATTGCATTGACGGATCCGCTGGGTGAGGTTTGAGGATGTTTGATGCGGTCGTCATCTGAGACGAGTCCAAATCTAGAGCCCGCTGTTGTTGGTTTTGGGACATTGCGAGTGTGGTTGAGAAAAGAGAGAGAGAGAGAGCGAGAGAAATGGGGTAGATGATGGCGGGCGGAGAGCGATGAGATGTCGATGATGGAGTGTGGAGGCACGACGAAGGAAAGCGAAAGCCGCACGAATCAGAGGTGGCAGCGGGGAGACGAGCGGGGGGATCGACAAACAGGGGGAATGCACCGGCAACCCAAAGGGGTTCAGAGACACATCGATGATCGTCGTCGGGGCACGTTGTAACGAGTCCGATGCAGCGTGCGCGTGAGACAACCGGCAGCGAGCGGCCAGCGAGCGAGGGCGAGGGCGAGGGCGAGGCGTAAAACGGGGGAGCGGGCGCGCGAAACAGCGGGAGGCGTCGGTAGACGTTAGGCGTTTGGCGTTTGGCGTTTGGCGTTTGGCGGGAGCAGGCAAGTAGGAGGGCCGAAGGGGAGGGGACGAGTACGAGACGGCGAAGGAGAGGGGCAAAGGCGAACGGAAAAGAAGACGGTGGTTAGCGCCGGTTGTCTCAGCGGTGGGAGAGGGGAGAGGGGAGAAGGGAGAGAAAGAGAGAGGAGCAAGAGTGAGAGAAGTGGAATGGATGGATGGAATGAATCGAGATGGCGACAGAAGAAGAGGAGAGTGGAAGCGCGGAAGAGAGTGGGGGCAGTGGAGTGGAGGGGCCGAGGCGACCGACGACGGACGAGACGAGATGAATCGAATGAGATCAATGAGAAAAAAGGGGCTCTCGATGATGATGGACAGGAGCCATCGGCCCTCATCATCCTTGGTTCATCGTCCTCGTCCTCGTCCTCGTCGTCGTGGCCTCGTCGTCTCTGGTGATCCCAAGTGACACTCTCACCACAGCCACTCCCTACTCTTTCCATCACCTTTCTTCCACTGGAACCAAGCTCCGTTCTCTTGCACAGGGAGTGGCGTGGAGATAGAGTGCGTGGCGCAAGCAAGCCCAGCAGGCGAGCCCCAAGCAGCAACACGCACAACCACAGAAGATCGGAGAGGGCGGTCAAGTCGCATGCTGTGAGGGTGGGCGCGCACGCGCGACCTATGGGCCGGACGATCGATCCACAGACCCAGCGCTCGACCTGTTTGGGTCCACTCTTCTCCACTCCCCTTTGTCAGCCATGCAGCCGGCCGCGCCACCAGCCGCCACCTGGCGCACTGGCAACGGGCTCTCTGGCTGTCTGGCTTTCTAGCACTCTGGCACTCGAGCAGACCTTGCGCTGCGGCCGCCGGCTGACGGGCGCGCTCGAGGTGGTAGAGGAAATGAGGCGCCTCGTGCTTGCACAGAGGTCCGTGCGACCGCCCACCCTTTGCAATATTGCCTCCAGGTGCGTCCAGGTTTGTCTCATCCTTCAAGACAGGGGATGCGCGAGCGAGGCGCGGCGCAGGAGCGCTCGAGTTGTGGCAGTGCCATGGTGCTGAGGCTGAGGGCAAGCGAGAGTGGGGGTGGAGGGGGGTCGGGGAGGTGGCCGTGCTCAACGCCAAGAACGGCGATTACCGCGCTTTGTCTGCGACGATCACGCCGACGACACCACCGATCCACCGACGATCGCCCCCACCACTTGGCCGCCCAGTGCCGCCGCCCCCGCCGCCGCCCCCGCCGCCCCCCATCCGGCTAAACTCGTGTGCTCATGTAGATCGCTCGCGCACATCGTTGTGCTCGAGCATGCACACAACTGTGACACCCATCTCGCCGACACCGATAACGACCATGCACGCGACATTCCGATTTAAGAAGCGAGAGTGGGGAGGGGAGAGGGAGGGGAGGGAGGGTGCGAAGACAGGGGATAGAGCTTTTGTGACTCACCTATTCAAGAGCGGGTGTAGATTCAAGAGGACTGAGTCGCGGGTCAGGCAAGTGCCGGCGAAGAAAGAGGAAAGAGATGGGCTGTCGGGGACCGGTGGCCAGAGGGGCCGAGACCGGGGTGGCGAAGACGGCCGGATGCGCGCGCGTGTGGATGGATGCGGCGGATGTGGATGTGGATGTGGAAAGAGAGTAGTCGGCGAGATGCGAAATGGAAGATGGCGAAGAGGCGGTGTTCGGGGGGTTGAGGGGGATGGAGGAGGGGAGGGGACGTCGGAGCAAAGCTTGGGGGGGGGTGGATGGCGATGTCCCCGAGGTGGGTCAAGGGCGGCGGAAGTAGGTACCGACTTGTGGGGGGGGGGGAGGACGGAGGAGGGTGACCCGCGGGGAGGACGAGGGCGGAGAGAGGAGAGACGAGGAGGGCAGACGACAAGAGGCAGATGACGAGAGGGATGGATGCAGATCCAATGACGGAAGTGACCGAATGTAGTGACGATCGCTTTCGCACGATCTCTAGCCGGCACACCGATTTACTCTGTATAATAAAGTCGGCAGAGCCGTAACCTTAACTAGGCGAACTGGCAATCAAGTCTTTTGCCTAGTCGCAAGTCTGAGCTAGCTTGAGCTTAGGGTGCGACGATCACCACGAGGTGTCGAGGTGATGGGATCCAAAAGTTGGCGAAAGCGGGGAGATGTGGGTAGGGTGACTGCGAGGTGATCGCTGGTCTAGTCCGGGGGCGGGGCGGGGCGGGGATGGGATGCAAAGCACGGGCAAGGGCAACAAGGCTAATGCGAGACCGTGGCACCGACTAGATTAGGATGTAGCGTCGTACTGTTCGTACTCTTGCCGCAAAGCCGGGAGTGAGAAGGGAGTGGGAGGGGAGGGGAGAGCAGGGAGAGAGGGACGGGCAGGAACACGATCTCTTGGGCTGCCGTATTGTGTTCTCGATCGTATTCAACTTGTGCAGTCCTGGTGAGGATGGTATTGCCGATCAATGCGTTGAGAGAAGAGGGGGTGGGATGTAATCGAACGGCTTCCAGGGGATCACGTAGAGTTCTGCGAGATGCGCACAGCGGGGAGGGGCGCGGGTGCGAGCACAAACAAGTCTCGTGGAGTGGAGTGGAGGATCGAGTGACTGATGTGATCAGCACCAGGTAATGTTGGTGGGAGTGGGAGAGTGGGGCGGGGGGGTAAAAGATGATAGATGCTGCGGCGCCAGTGGCGAGACTGAGTGTGTGTGTGGGTGTGTGTCTAGATGCAATGTCGATGTGGTTGGGAGGTGAGGAAATGGGCAACTCGGACAACGTCGGGGCGGCGGAGGAGTGGACGAGAATGGCGAGGCGATACGGAGAGTGCGGTCGACAGTGGAACAGTCGGCGATGTGAGGCTGATGTTGGATTCCAAGGATTTCCGTGAGTCAGCGCACGGCGGCCTGTCCAGCTGTCGAGCTGTTACTTGAACAAGCCAGCGAGCCAGCAGATGTGACTGAACGCCAAAAGTCTGTTGCTCCTGGAGCTTGACGCAGCGACGATCCAGGATCTCGTGCGTTCTGCTGCAGTGGGTGTGACGGGGGAGCCGGCGGGCAGAAGCAGGGTCGTGGGGTCGACATGAACATCTTTGCATCTGGCATCTGGCCCATCTCAGCGAAGTGAACAGCACGCACGCGCGATGGTCGAGGTGATGCGTCCTACCTCTCCCCCTCTCCCCCTCTCCCCCCTAGAACCTGACAAAATATCTCAGCCACCTGCAGGGGAAAAGAGGAGCAGGTACGCAGCTACGCAGGATGCAGAATACAGGATGCAGGATGCAAAAGCCATGTCGGGCGATGTGCATCTGCAGGTGCGCGATGAGGACAAGGCAGCGGTGGCGGCAGGGAATACATGGATGCAGGGGTGGCGCAGGGTGCGGGCGAGGGGCTGCCCACGGGCCGAAGGAAAAGGGGACTGGGACATGCGGCATTTGCCTTGTACGCGGTGCTCTGTCCACCCCCCCCCCCCCCGCGGGACGCCGCCACACCTGTTTTTGCGCTTGGCCCAATCCGCGCAATGAATAGTCGTGCTCAGCGGCGTTTACGGCGGGGCACAACCCCGAAGATTGTTGCAGAACTGTCAGGGTGGCTGGTCCTCATCCTCGAGGGGCCGGAGTCCACGGCGCCGCCGCGCCATTCGGTTGTCAGTCTCTTTGATGCTTGCTGCTCGTCTCGTCGTGGGTCGAGGATCTCGATTGAGCAATCTGCGACCACGGCCAACCACAGGCTCGCACTGCACAGTGGCAAACGCTCACTAAACTGCATACATAACAGCTGACCGAGCGGTGTGCACATACCGCCGCTTCGCTGGCGAGCTCGCTGCACTCAGCCGACCCCCCCCCCAAGTCCCCAGTCGGCTCCACAACAATGAATGGAATGCCTCCCGTGGGCGTGGTGCCGAGCGCGTGCCGACGCAACCCCGCAGCCCGCAGCCCAGCCTCACCCCAGGCTCAGCCGCCACACTGAGCACAGGCGGGCGATCTGGCGCTCTGGCGCTCTGGCGGGCGCTGGCGCTCACGCCAGCCGTGAGATCTGCCCGATCTGCGCCAGTTGCATTGTTGTTGCAGATCGCAGATCATCTGGCCGTGCCTCCACCAGGTCCTCACGCGATGATGGGTCGCGGCCCACAACCCGGTGTCTACGGGTATCCAGGTCATCCTCATCCTGGTCACGGACCACCTATGCCGCCTCATCCGCACATGGTTCACCCGCCGCATCATCCTCCTGGTCCGTATGGTCCACCGCCGCCGGGGTACATGCCGGGGCCCGGCTTTGCCATTCACCCCGGCCCACCGCCTGGCCACTTCCGTGGGCCGATGCGACCGAACGACCACGGCCCACCCGGTGGACCGCCATACCATGTCGACCAACGGCGAGTGTCGCACTCGCACGATGTTGGGCATGGACCACCCCGCCCTGGGCCGCAGTCTGGCCCAGGCGCCGGAGATGGTGAATGGGAGACGGAGGAGGAGGAGGATGAGCTGGACGAGGATATGTAGGCGACGCGACACGTGGGACGTTTTAGGATGGGTAAAAGCCGTGGACTGTGTTGTTGATTCGGGGCGAGAGAGACGACGATTCGACGATTTGTTCAATTGTAGAGAGTTAGCACAGGGTCGCTGGGCGAGTCACCGTGCCCTCGTATCATTCTAGTGATCTTGGCATTTGCAGGCTCGCGTGCTGGCTCGCGATGCATCTTTGACGCGCGCAGAGTATGGAATGTGGTGGCGGACGCGTAGGCGTGGCCCCGAGTGGCACCCAGTGGCAACAAGTGGCACCAGTGGCGTGGCGTGGAGAGCATTGCACGATCCGCGAATGGCAAGAGATGGATGACACGAGAGGACTGATGGGCTGACATGTGCATGCAACTGATGAACGGGGTGATCCGTTGGGGCGATCCCTGAATGGGATGAACGTGGATAGAGTGGGGTGGGACGACCGGGATTAAAATCTCGTGTCATCTTTGTCCTCGGCGCCTCGGCTCTGCCTGGTGCTCCCCCATACCAGCGCCTCTAAATCTTGGAGAGCCCAGCGCCAACGTACGATGTCCCGGGCGCCAGGGAAAATGTGCCTTTTGTTTTCAGTGTGCTGGCACCCCACTCAGATTAACTGGCCTGCCTGCTGCTGCTGCTTGGACGCGACGCGCCACAGTCAAATCCACAAACCCACAAATCCACGCTCGCGTTTTATAACTTCGCCATCGCCCCGTCCTCAGCAGCATGGCCATGGATCCCTCCGCCGTCCTTGACTGGGCGCACGCCCTGCCCCTCCCCGTCAAGATCGTGGGCGCCGTCATCGGCGTCCCGCTCCTCGTCATCGTGCTCAACGTCCTGCGGCAGCTTGTGAGTGGCGTCGACGCTGCGCTTTGCGAGTGCTGCTTCGCAGTGCTCGCTCTCCTCGACAACCCCCCACCCCCCTTCAACTGCGCGCTAACCCCAGATCGTCCCCACCGACCCGACGGCACCCCCCGTCGTCTTCCACTACATCCCATGGTTCGGCTCGGCGGCGTACTACGGCATGGACCCGTACAAGTTCATGTTCGAGTGCCGTGACAAGGTGAGTGCGAAGATGGCGTGCCGGTGCGCGAGGCTCCGGAGCTACGGATTTGGAGTTCGGGCGGGTGTGCTCCGTGGCCGGCTGGGGTTTCTTACCGGGGTCTGTTGGATCTCGGACGGACATCCCACACGGACTGCCACTAATGATCGGCGCTGGTGATTCTCGCTCGTCCGACGATCGCAGTTCCGCCGGTCGAGCTGTGCTTTGACGGAAGCCATGGGACGGCTAGCGCTGCTGCGGCTGCCTGAGCACGCCCCGGGCTTCCCGGATCGCTAGCGCTGCAGCTCCAATCCCTGCTCGCAACTCCGCGGCATTGGCCTTCTCCTCTACTTCTGCTGACCCCAGTACGGAGACGTCTTCACGTTCATCCTGCTCGGCCGCCGCATGACCGTCGCCCTCGGGCCCAAGGGCAACAACCTCTCGCTGGGCGGCAAGGTCTCGCACGTTTCCGCCGAGGACGCATACACGCACCTCACGACCCCGGTCTTCGGCAAGGGCGTCGTCTACGACTGCCCGAACGACATGCTCATGCAGCAGAAGAAGTTCATCAAGCACGGCCTGACGACCGAGGCGCTGCAGTCGTACGCCTCGCTCATGCCCGCCGAGTGCCACGGCTACTTCAACAACGAGCTCAAGATCACCAAGGCGAACCCTGGGCCGAAGACGGTCGACGTGCTGCACGTCATGGCCGAGCTCATTGTCCTCACCGCGTCGCGCACGCTGCAGGGCAAGGAGGTGCGCGAGAACATGAGCATCCGCTTCGCCAAGCTCCTCGAGGACCTCGACAAGGGCTTCACCCCGCTCAACTTCATGTTCCCTAACTTGCCCCTCCCGTCGTACCGCCGCCGCGACCTCGCCCAGAAGGAGATGTCCGACTTTTACATGAGCATCATGGCCAAGCGCCGCACCGGCGAGCACGACCACGAGCCCGACATGATCCAGGCCCTCCAGGGGTCGGTGTACCGCAACGGCACCCCTCTGAGTGACCGTGACATTGCGCACATGATGATGTGAGTATAGCGATGGGTGGGGCGGGGTGGTGAAGGTGGCACAACACTGGACTGCCGACATGGAATGTGGCATTGCTGCTGCCGCCACTCCGGGAGCCTTTTGTTTCATTCATCCCTTGCTCTCCTATCACCTGAGTCCATTGGGTATGTGGCTGACAACAGCGCCCTCACCATGGCTGGCCAGCACACATCATCCGCCACCTCCTCTTGGTTCCTGCTGCACCTCGCGCACGACCAGGACATCCAGAAGCGTCTATACGAGGAGCAGGTCGAGTACTTTGGCAACCCCGACGGAACCTTCCGCCCGATGACATACGAGGACACGAAGAAGCTGCCGCTGATGGACTCGTGCATCCGCGAGACCCTGCGCCTGCACGCCCCCATCCACTCCATCTACCGCAAGGTGCTGCAGCCGATCGTGGTGCCGCAGTCGCTGGCCGCGCCGTCCGAGGACAAGGCGTACGTGATCCCCAAGGGCAACTTCATCGTCGCCGCGCCCGGTGTGTCCCAGATGGACCCGAAGATCTGGGACGACGCGCCGCGCTGGAACCCCCTGCGCTGGCTCGTCGACGGGGGCATCGCCAAGACCGCCAACGAGCAGTACCAGGCCGGCGAGAAGGTCGACTACGGCTTCGGCGCCGTCTCCAAGGGCACCGAGTCGCCGTACCAGCCCTTCGGCGCCGGCCGCCACCGCTGCATCGGCGAGCAGTTCGCATACCTCCAGCTCACGCTTGTCGTCGGCGAGGTCGTGCGCAACTACAAGCTCACGGCCGCCCAGAGGGAGTTCCCCAAGACCAACTACCAGACCATGATCGTCCTCCCGCTCGACCCCAAGATCACCTTTGAGGCACGGGTTTAATAGACTAGCCAGAGTATAGAGCGTGCGCGCGTTGCGTGCGCGGTGTGATGAATAGGTGTGATGGGTGGTGGTGTGGTTTATGGGTCCGTGTTCTGAGGACTGCTGAAGGACGGGTGGTTCAAGCACGGCCAGTCCGATATACTTCCATGAACATTGCAATACGACGAGTATCAGCGTAGGGCGATTGAGAAGGACGGGATGGGCTTGTTCCCTCATCCTGCCACACTGCCACACTACTTGGTCATCGATCACATTGCGACGATCGCTGGTCGCCGATCGTGATCGCTAGGCATTTACGATCCCGCCAAGGGTACATATTTCTTTGAAACCATACTCTCCCGCCGCCATGTGCGTGGACGAGTTGGAGTATAAACTCCCAACATCCAACCATCACCCAACTCTGATTGGTCCGTGGTTCGAATCGGTTGCTGGCAATCGGCAAAAAGGGTGCAAACCGCCGCTTCAACCATAGCACATGGTCTAGCTTTTGCAGGCTCCCATCGCAGGGGTAGCTGTACATCCCTTTATATCCTGCACATCACTGATCGTCGGTGGAGGTCATCGGGCCTGACACGTGAAGCTCATACATGCCAGCATCGTGCATCGTGGATCCTCCCTCTCTCATCGCTACACCCTCATGCACTTCCACAACCCATTCCGCTCCCACGACGAAGGAGGATCGCACGGAGCGCCACAGCCTCCTCCACAGCCTGCGCAGCAGCACGCGCCCTACCCCCAACCCCCCGGCATGGGCTGCAAGAAGCCGAGCGGGCCGGACGACGGCGACATCATCGGGCAAGTCGTCGCGGGCTACCAAGGCTGGTTTACATGCGAGGGCGATGGGTCGCCGCTGAAGGGCTACTGGCACTGGGCGCCGGACCGTCTGAAGCCAATGTGTGCGTCCAACTGTGCGGTGATCTCGTGGCCCGACATGCGGTACTACGAGCGGCAGCATGCGACGGGGTTTGCCGCCTACCCGAACGGGACGCCCGCGCGGCTCTTCAGCAACATGGATGCGCAGACGGTGTACGCGCACTTCCGGATGATGCAGGACGCCGAGATCCGCGCGGCCGCGCTGCAGCGCTTCGTGCCGTGCGGGCCTGAAGGCCCGCCGCGCGACATCACGACGGTGCATGTGCACAACGCGGCGCTCGCGACCGGCGTCAAGTGGTACTGCATGTACGATGTGGGGGGGTGGAAGAAGATGGGGAGCGAGCTGCCCGAGGACTGGCGCTGCAAGATGAGCCAGTATGCGGCGTCGCCGGCGTACGCGCGCCAGAACGGCAAGCCGGTTGTCGCGATCTGGGGATTCGGGTTCAACGACGACAACCACTACTTGTCGCCCGAAGAGTGCATCCAAGTCATCCGCGGGCTGCAGGCTGCGGGGGTGTACGTCATCGGCGGCGTGCCGACGTGGTGGCGCAAAGGCATGTCCGACTCGCGCGGCAACTATGCCGCAGTGTACCGCAGCTTCGACTGCCTCTCGCCGTGGATGGTGGGGCGGGCGAGCGAGACGAAAGACCTCGACTTTTACTTCAACGAATGCAACAAAGGGGACGCGGAGGAACTCCATGCCTTGGGGATAGACTACCAGCCGTGCGTGATGCCGGGGGACCTCGCCACTGGCCGGCGGCTGCACGGCGACTTTTACTGGCACCACTTTGCCAACCTCGCGCGGCTGGGCCGTACCGGCGTCGGGCTCTATGTGAGCATGTTTGACGAGTACAATGAAGGGCACCACATTGCGCCGACGGCGGAGACGCGGGCGGACCAGCCCGCCGACTTTGCGCACCCGGCGCTCGACGAAGACGGTGTGCCATGCACCGCGGACTACTACCTGCGCCTCACGCGCGACGGGGGTGCCATGTTCCGCGGCCGCTTGCTCTACTCGGAGCTGCGGCCCACGGAGCCGTGGCCCGGCCGCGGGCCGTGCCACCGCCCGCGCGCGGTCGCGATCAAAGCCATGGTGAATGGGCGGTACGTGTGCGCGGAGCGGGACGGGCGCTTGATCAACGACCGCGAGCGCGCCGGGCCATGGGAGACGTGGACGCTCGAGCACGCCCCCGGCGGCGTGCACTTGAAGGCGTATACCGGCAAATACATGTGTGCCGAGCACGAGGTTATTGTGGCCAACCGCGACACGGCGGGGCCGTGGGAGACGTTCACCGTGACGCGCCTCGACGATGGGCGCGTCACGATTAGGGCGTGGACGGGGAAATATGTGCAGGCGATTCCGGAGGGCACGGGGCGCATGGTCGCGGGCGCGGACGAGGCGGGGTGGTGGGAGAGCTTTGCGTTCGAGGATGTGTAGGGCGGAGCGGGGCACGCGAGTGTGGCGACAAGAGCAGTTGGAGGCGAGACCGAGTCGAGGTCGGACTCGGACGCCCCGGAGGGTCACGCCTACGCCCAATGTACGAGTGTGGCCGCCAGCACCTGCCCCGCCTCGCCGTTCCCCCTCCCCTCGCTCTCCAGCATTCCCAGCCCCGCACCAGCCACGACATGTCCGGCTGCGGCTGCGGCCGCGCCCGCTCCCGCCCCCGCCTTCCCCGCGCCCTCGACCACCAACACCTGCAAATCCGCAATCCTCCTCGCGCTGTGGATGCTGCGCGGGCGGAGATAGGCGAGAGCCGAGGAGACATGATACATGATACGGCCACGATACGTGAGACATGATACGGCTACCAGCGCGAGGGCTCCGCAGGGGGCCGTTGCAAGGGGTTAATCAGAGATGCACGCTATGTGCACATGTGAACGTACACGAGGACACGAGTACACGAGTACACGAACACGCACAGGCTCAGCTGCGCAGTTTCACATCCATCGCAATCTCGCGAGCTCTGCGCCCGAGTTCCCACGGCTCAATCGCCATGTCGTCAGCCGCAGTGCGCACGCAGGACGGAGGACGGGGGCTATCCGCAGATCCGCAGATCGCTGTCGCGCGTAGGTTAGTCGCCGCTGCTGTTCGCCTCGCTGCACGCGCCTGCCTCGCCGCTTGGCTTGCCTCGCTGCGTTGCTAGCTTGCTACTACGCGTGTTCTGTGCCGAATTCGCCCGCGGAATGTACTGAAGCACCTGGCACCCTGCAGCCTCCTGGGTGCCCTCGAGGCCTAGCGCCACCGCACAGTGCGTCCATTGTTCGCGCCCATTGTGCCCGGCGAGCGTCAACTGCAACAAGCAGACAAGCGGACAAGCGGACGAGTGAGCATGCTAATAATCGGCCCGGGCCATGAAACTTGTGACAAAGCCGCAAAGCTGCCAAGTGGACAACGTACGCCCACGTGTTGTTCAGCAGATTCGCAGTGACAATGAATGAATGAATTCACGGAAGGCGAGGAGAGAAGTGGACAGCAGTTGTACGATGTGAAACGCGCAAAGGTGCAGCCGAGTGCAACGTGGCGCGTGGCGGTAAGCGTGCGTCGCTTCTTTCGTATCTTGCCCTTGGCAATTCGTGTACGCTTTGCAGAGCTTTGCAGCCATGACTGCGCGCGATGATACACGTGACGCGACTGCATGAGTGATGCTGATGCTGATGAATGCATGCTCAAGAAGACGAAGCGACGGAGAGGAAAGGGCCAAGGGCGATCGCCGCCCTGCGCCACTGCCACCGCATGGACCGCCACAGCGCCCTTGCCCTTGGCTGCTTGACATGGCAGCTCCACCCCAGTACCCCGGGCGGCCCGAGCACTTGCGCCGACGCGCCGACGCCCCGCGGGCCGACGTCCATGCCGCGTCAGGAGGGGAAGAAGGAGGAGGAGGAGGAGGAGGCCCGTGTGGACGCCGCAGACGCCGGGGACGCCAATTGGCAGCAGCGCAGAGAGCAGAGAGAGAGGGCTTTGTTCGCGTTTCAGGTTTGTCTGTGCCATCCAAGTATCCAGGCCCATGCCAGGTCATGCAGGCGACCCCTTGACCCTTGACCCTTGGCTGCAGAGTATCAAGCAAAGGGAGGGGATAATTCGAGCACCCACAAGTCGAGCACGGTCCTCGCTCCTCGCTGGCCACTTGATACGTTGATGAATCCCCTCCAGATGTCCAGAGCCTACAGGATTACAGGATGACAGGAGCATGGAGCATCGCGCTCGACTCGCGACTCGGCCGGCGGCCAGCCCGTCATCGACTGCTTGCTGTATGGCCTGATGGCCTACAGCCAGCATCCAGTCGCCAGTCGCAAACTCGCGACATTGTTGCACGGGGCTCTATCTTTCTCTCTCTCTTTCGTTCTCGCTCTCCTCCCCCCTCCCCCCCTGCCTTTGGAAACGCCATCCCTATCCCTTGTGGCTTCTCATCCTCCTCCCCTCCCTCCCCTCCCCTCCCCTCCTTCGTCGCGTCGTCGTCTCCTCCTCCTCCTCCTTCTTCTTCTTCTTGTTGCTCTTTATCATCATTCATCATCTTCAACAGGTCGACCCTCCTCCTCCTCCTCCTCTCTCTTCTTTCTTTCGTCTCCGTCGCGCTCTACACGAGTACACACACACACACTCTCCATCATCATCAACCTCCACATCAGCCACTTCCCCCCGGCCATCACCATCACCACACAATCCTGGTCGCTGATTCACTCAGAGCAAGTCTCCACCCACTCAACCACAAGTCAGCTCGACGCCCATTGACCAACACCATCACTTTCCTTTAGGACTTCACCCCCCCCACCGACACTCACACCCGCCCCCACCCCCCCACAGCGATAGGACTTACAATGTCCGGCCCAGTGTCGTCTCAGTCGTCTCATTTGATGAAGACCACCCGAAGGGGGAGGCCATTCGTCAAGGTAAGCTCCTCCTTCGCCCGCTCCCAAAAACTAACCCCACAAGGACACCCACGACTTGTTCGCCACAATGATCGTGTCTCTCCGTCTCGAACCGCACCGCTCCTTCTTCAAAACCTACCCGAACAGCTTTACAACGTGAGTCCCCCCGCACGGACCACTAGTCATCGGGTGGAGGTGGAGGAGGACAAAGAGCTTGGGCCACAACTCGAAACCCTTTGCTTGCCTCCAGCTTCCAGGCTGTCATGCCGGCCACCCGTCACCCCACCCATGCCACCCAATTTGCCCTGCCTGCCTCTACGCCACGCCATCCCAATGTAATAGTCCCCACTAATGTTAGCGACGAAGCATGCGTCAATCTCTCCTCACTCAAGTTCTCCCAGTCAAACCGTTCCGCAGACCCCAAGGACCCATCACGCATCATTACCACCACCACCACCACCACTTTCACAATGTCCCGAGACATGGCACGCGGAGTTGGACAGCACTTTATGGAGGCCCATCTGATCGAAAACGCCACTGACCTGAGCTCGAAAGTGTTCAAGGATCGTGGCGTCTTCATGCTCACCCCTAAGGGCCTGCACATCCTCGAGCGTTTCATTACCAAGAATGGTATCGCCGCAGACCACCTCCTCCGAGTATTTGCGACCCAACCCATTTGCATGAAGCTCCTCCATCTCGAACGCCGAACCCAGGATGACGAGATTCTTGTCACAAAGTCGGTCATCGAGGTCCTCTTCCGCCGTTTCGTCGGCCGAGAACCTAATGTCTCACGCCTCATGGATGACGAGCTCCAGGCGCAGTACCACTCCCGCCCTCATGCTCGTGCCCCGCCTCTTCCCCCAGGAGAGGAGTGCGACCGCACTCTCGGTATTATCGTGCGTCGTCTCCCCCCACCAGCCTCGGACAGAAAGAGAGGCGACGAGTTCCACTTTAGCGCCCTCCAGGCCGTTGACTGGATGTGCGACTTTACCACCATTATCGGCATGGACGAGGCTGCCGAAGTCATGGGCCAGTTTGTCCGTTATGGCTTCATTTCATTGGTGTCGGACAAGGGCAAGGCAAAGGAGAGCAATGTTGTTGTTCAGGTTCGTGCCGGTGGTGCCGGTGGTGGTGCCGGTGCTATCATGCCCGAGGCCGAGTTCCGTGCCACAGAAAAGGCCATCTACCGCATCACCAAGGAGGGTATCCAGGTCGCCAAGTGGGACCAGCCTCGCCAGGTGGTTGCGCGCGAACCGGTCCAGCCCAACCGCGTCGCCTCAGAGTCGGCCCAGGACATTAGCGCCGCGGCTACCAATCCGACAAAGTCGCTCGCATCGGCGACCGACATGAGCTTGGCACGTCGCACGTCTGTATCCGATCGCCTGCGTGCCGAATTCCTGGTCGACGGCGGCAACGACGAGAAGTCGAAAGACTCACACACCGCCCGTCTCAAACAGATTCTCGAGGAGCCTGCCCTCCGCTCCCTGTTCCGCGAATTCCTGCGTGCCAACTTTTGTGAAGAGAACCTCAGCTTTTGGCTCGATGTCCAAGATTTCAAGCGTCGCTTCAACACCTCGTCTTCCGCTGCGGCTGCGCCCGGCGCGCTTCCGACGCAGCGTGGACAGGGGTTGCAGGCCATGGAGAGGCATCAGCAGGACTTGATTTCTATGGCGTTTGTCATCTACAACAGTGAGCTGGCACTTCTGAACATCGGCAGCAACTGACACCCAGCCTACCTCGCTCCTGCCTCGCCTTGTGAACTTAACATTGACCACCAACTGCGTGGCGAGCTCATTTCGTACATGAACGAGATCCTCGAGGACAAGAACGCAGACAAGGCCGAGATTCTCCCCGGCGTCGGCAACTCGCTCCACGCCTCGCAGCTCCAGAACATGGTCTTCCTCTACGAGCGCATCCAGACGCACATCTTCCGTCTCATGGCCACCGACTCGGTGCCCAAGTTTGTCAAGACCGAGCGCTTCCTCAACCTCATGCGCTCCGTGTTCCAGTTCAACGAGGTCGACGAGACGCCCTCGCCCACGACTCCCACTTCGGTCGAAAAGGTGGCGGCCATTGCCAACAAGGCGCAGGACATTTCCCGGGCGTACTTGACCGTTTCGAATGTAAGCTGAAACGCCGCCTCTTTTTCTTGGCTGACGCCAGGCTGCGAACGAGAAGCAACACATGACCGGAACTGGAATGTAGATGACTCTACAGCCCTCCACCATACCCCTCCCCCCGTCACCCTCCGATACCGCCCTCGCCCCGCCCCCTTACCTCGCTGACGCCGAGGCGGACGGCCCCGGCCCTACCGGCGCCTCGCGCCATAGAGACGGGCGCCGTGGAGCCACGCATGCTTGCACTGTACATATAGCTGATCTTTTCGTACGTCCTCGTATTATATACAATCTGCCGATGTATGGGGTTGCCCTGTTGCAAAGAAAGGGTGGCGGAGGTGATGCCCAGACTGGTTCAGTACAATTTTGAGAACCGATGTGTATCGCTGGAGGATGAGAGCTTCGATTTTGGATCCGCCGTCACGTGATGCTATTGACCAAGCGGTTCATTGACGCTCGAGCTCAGTATGTCAAGTCACAACAATCTCAACAACCATGGCGTCCACAATCCTCCCCCTCGAGCTCGTCGACCGGTGTATTGGCAGCCCTATCTGGGTTGTCATGAAGAACGAGCGCGAGTTTACAGGGACTCTGATGGGATTTGACGACTACGTCAGTGAGTGCGGCTCGCATCTCGACCCCGCCATCTTGCTCGCGACTTGCACAGAACGGCGTGGACGCACGCACATGGGGGAGGCGCCGCCGACTACATGCTTGGGCGCTGCGAAACCTGCGCTATCCACTACCTGCGGCGAGGTCTGCACCACTTCGCTGTGCACCCTCAACCCTTGTCACACGCTCTCTCCATCTCCACCCTTCCTCTCACCCCTCTCTCTCCCTCACCCCGTCCTCGGCTCTCCCTCTCCTCTCACTCCCGCAATCCCCCTCTCTCCTCCAGACTGCTAACACCAGACATGGTGCTCAAAGACGTCAAGGAATAGTACGCCGCACCCACTCCACCACTAACGCCAGCGAGGTCACAGCGCAGGGCATCGTCGAGACCGCCCTCGGGCAAACGCTGCTGAACGGCAACAACATCGCCATGCTCGTCCCCGGCGGCAAGGGGCCCAAGGCATAATCTAGTGCGCGCAGAGGATGTACTGTAGACCGGATTAGATGAATGGTGTACCTCTACAATGCTATGCTCGCTTCCCGAAGCCGGCCCAGGCCTCCCCTCCCTCCTCGCCTCGCGGATAGGGGAGGCCGGCCTACTCAAACACCCGCGACAGACGCGTCTTCACGTGCTCCCAGTCGTCCAGGGCCGGGCGGACGTCGAGGTAGAATGTCGGCGCTTGGGGGTTCGACGGGTTCGGCTTGCCCGTGTAAAAGTCGATCACGTAGCGGATCTGCTTGCCACACCGGTCGACGATCCAGTCGTGGCGGTCGAACGGGGCGGTGTATCTTGGGTCAGCGGACTCTAGCAGTTGTCGCTTCTTCGCGACCCATGCCCACGGACCCACAAGCCATCGAGATGCTTTCCGCACCCTCACTCCTCTCCAGCGCCGCGCCCACCCTAATCCCACTCACCCAAACATAGTCTTGGCCCACGCCTTCGGGGACCGCTCCCGCGGCCGCCCAACAAAGCTGCTGAGCCGCACGCCACCACACCTGTCGCCGCCCTTGCCCGCCTCCCACATCAGCACCTCCTCCCACGCCTTTTCGTTGACCGCGTTGTGGATCGGCACAATCGTCCGCATGTCCGCCGCGCGCGGGTTGTGGTTCTTGCGCATCATGGCGTTGAAGAACTGCTGCTCGGACGGATACACCCAGTTGCCGGTATCTTCGCCGTCGGCGGGGCGCGCCGCCTGCTCCGGTGCGTGCGCGTACGTCGCGCTCGACGCGCGCGGGATCGACGACACTTCGCGCTCGGCGCTGAGGCGGCCCGTCGGGGATGGGGCGGAAGCGGGGGCGGGGGCGGGGGCGGAAGGCGCGGCAGGCGCGGCCTTGAGCGGGTGCGCGGCGTCCTCGGACACCTTTAGCCAGGTCGCGCGCGCCTCCTCGTCTACCGGGCAGGTCGCGCCCGCCGGCACCGGCGGGTGGTCGGGCGGCAGCTGGGACGTCGAGGCGCTGGCACTGGCGCTGGCGCTGGCGCTGACGCTGGCAGCACTGGCTGCTGGTGGCTCGGGGGCGTTGGAGAAGAAGCGCATGGACAGAGCAGAGAGTGGGTTGAGCAAATGAACGGTGCGGGAAATCTCAGCCATAATCTTGGGTGCGTGCAGCGACGATCTCCGATCTCCGACTTCTGGGCGAGGCCAAATGTCACGTGGCCGACGCAACGAGCGGAGGCCCAGCGTCATTGCGTGCCATCACTGACTGCCTCGATATCCTCATCCTTCCTTCTCCGACAACTCCCCCCTGCCTAGCCGTCCAAGATGTGGATGGAGAACCTGCTGAAGCCGCAGGAAAAGCCTGTGCTGGGGCAGAATCTGCGGCGGCGCTCTGGCGGCGAGGGCTCGGCGCCACCCCCGCCCGAGGAACAGGCGGACAACGCGGCCGAGCAGCAGGCCCCCCCGCCCCCCGCGAAGCAGAAGGTGCGTCCCGCCGCCGCTGGTCTGACGGCAGACACAGCTATTCGACTACCGCTACGACGACACGGACACGCTCATGAACGAGATCGACGAGTTCTACCCGTACACCGAGATGGCGCATGTCGCCGAGAACGTGAACCGCTTCGCGGGGAGTTTTGATGGAGGTGGGTTGGCGGAGGGTGGGGGTGGAGAGTTGGAGGGAAGGCTGACGATAGACTGGACGAGTGCGAGCCTCGCGAAGCGCAGGGCATATGTCGAGACGCAGCTCGAGTACCTCGAAAGTCCAGTGGACGAGAAGCGCCGCGCTGCGCAAGGACGCCTGCTCTACCTCCTCCAAGGCTGCTTCGCTGAGACCAACTCGGCCGAGATGCAGCTGCACTGGATCATCGAGAATACCAAGCTCATCCGGAGCGTCGATGGCGTGTCGACGCTAGTCTACAGCCTCCGCGACGCCGCGAGGCGGTATGATGCCGCAGAGTGAGTCGGCGGCACATGCTGAAGTAGGGTGGCTGTTGACAATAGCGTGATGGACCGCGCGCCGGCTGCCGCGCAGATGCGCGAGAGATCGGGGTCGTCCAATCTCGCCCCAGTCGACCCGTTTGACACCCACTCGTCGGAACTCATGGACGTCCTAGCCATGCTGTACTTCATCGTCGAGGTGTCCCGCAGCGACGAGACGTTTGGCGATGAACTCAGTGCGTCACCGAGTGTGTGCTTGCTAACCCCCCCAGTGGCATTGAATCCCCCTTTCCCCCTCATGCTCGTCAACATGGTCGCGAACCTCAAGGACCGCATGGTCCCGCGAGGATATCCTGTTAAGAAAGTGCTGTTGCTATTGTGGAAGACACTCCTGGCCTGTCTGGGCGGCATGCGCGAGGCGGCCAAGGCGAAAGCGCTGTCGCGTGAGCTCGCTGGTCTGGGGCCGGAACAGAAGGGTACGTGAAGTTGGCGCGACCCTTGCTGATGGCAGACTTTGCCAAGACTACGCCAATAGACATTGCCACCTGGCGCCGCGACACGTCCACGAAGTATCCGACCTTTGCGCCTTCTCCATCACAGAGCAGCGGGGTACCTGTGTCCACCGAGTCCCTGGCAGAGAGCATCAAACCTCTGCCGGCGAGGCCAAACTACCACTCGACGGAGATTCCGGCGAGCCACTCGAATCAGGCGGGCTCCATGAGCCCCACACACTCCTCCATGCCACAGCCTGGTACACCCGCCCCAACGCCTCCCCAGACGCCACAGCAGCGCCCGAAGAAGCTACAGTACCAGACTGACCCTACGCGGCCCTTCGTGTTCCCGTATTCGCAGTCTCTGCAGGGGTTACCGACCAGCCTTGTTCCCTACGCAATTGAGGAGGCCGACAAGCTCTACAACTCGCACCTCTTTGTCTCACTGGGGCTGTATCAGCTGTGGGAGGCGCGCGAAGAGTGCTTGAGGGAAGAGCGAGGCTTGGGTCGATCAGGTCTTATTGGTTTCTCCAGCTTGCGTCTGGATGACGACGAGGATGAGGCAGCTGAGGAGGCCATGCGCCGCGACTGGCAGTTCGGAGAGGAGGAAATGAAGGCTGAGGCCAAGGGCGATATCGAAGGCGTCAAGCTCGCGAAGGAAAAGCGGGCAGCAGCACGGCGGCTACACCGTGTTGAAATCCTCTACGTATGTGTCGCTCAGAGATGATCTGACCCCAGCGTTCCATGCTCCCAGCGATGCAGAACACTGTGATAGTGTTGCTCAAATTGCTCCTGGCCACCGTGACTGGCCACGGGAATCAGCCTCCACACCTCGCCCAGAGCATGGAGGGGCAAGTCTCATCGCCGACGCAAGACATGCCGCGTGAGTTGTTGCCAGGACCTGAACTAACGTGTGCAGCAGAACCTGTCATTCCCCCGCCAACAGAAGAGGAGATTGATGTCTCACGCCACCGCGAAATCACATCCAAGGCGGTCTCGGCCATTATCCTGCTGCTACTGAAGTGGTTCAAGGCATCACGTGAGCTACATCGCACGACTGACAACTGACAGTAGACATCCTCAAGTTCCACCACCTCACGTCGCTGCTTCTTGACTCGAACTGCCTCGTTCTTGTCCTCAAGATCTTTAATTTGCAGGAGACCTCGCAGATGGTTCAGTCTCAGAACGAGGTCCCCGGACGGGCTTTCTTCAGATACCTGCATTCCCGCGGTCCTGACGCCGATAGGCTGGTGGACGAGGCTTTGGACGCGAGGAAGGCGGCGAACAATGCTGAAGAACTCGAGGGAGTCGTAGGAGAGAATGGCGAGGAGGTCGAGGTTGTACATGACTACTCGTGGCGCAATTTCTTCGCGGCCATCAACCTCGTCAAGATCTTGCAAAAGATCACCAAGCACCGCACACATCGCATCCTACTCATGTGCCAGTACAAGAGCAGTTCCATTCTCAAGCGCGTGCTGCGCGTCAATCAACCGATGCTCCAGCTCCAGGTGCTCAAGCTCATCAAGTCGCATGTTGTTTACTGTGGGCGAAAGTGGCGATCAAGTGGGTACCCCGTTGGAGGAGTGCTAACTATCGCAGCCAACATGAAGATTATCACCTCGATTTACCTCAATTGCCGACCGGAGCTGCGTAACGACTGGCTTGTGGGAGTCGAGGCTGATCTCGAGGCCGAAGATCAGATGGTCGGAAAACCGCAGGAGCTCGCCCTCCGCTCCCTCATCGCCTTCTACAACAAGCGACACTACGCGGCCCACCTCATTCCGCCAGGTTCTGCTTTGGAGCCCGCTCACCGCCGGACTGACTCCACGAGCGGCGTCATGTTCGAAGACCATAATCTGCTGGCGAGTCGGCGCCGTTCCCGCCTCGACTCGCTCTCCTCGTCCGAACATGACCTATTCCCGCCGAATCGCACGTCGACCGACATGTCGTACAACCCCGACGGCATGATCGAGTTCTGGATGCACGAGTACGAGGACGTAATGCGCGAAGTCTTCGGCGAGGGCACAAGCGAGGACGACTGGGACGAGTACGGCAAGGTGCGGCCTGACGTGTCGCCTGGCGCGCCGGGTCCCGCTGCACGCGACGACGCCGCGTGGATCCGCCTGGGGGAGCTGATGCGCCGCGGCGACGACGACGCCATCTCGGACTCGGAGAGCGTTGTGTCGGTCGGCGAGCTGGGCGAGGACGCGCGCCTCGAGGCCGAGGAGGAGGGGCGGAGCATGTTTGCTGCGATGCAGGAGCGCAAAACGCGGCGGCCCAGCGAGGACGAGAACACATGGGAGAACATGTCGCCCACGCTCAAGCTGTTACCTCGCAGCCCTACGGACCGGCGGCGCTCGAGCTCGGGCGGCTCGCCGCTGCGGCCCGTCATGGGGCTCGGGCCGATGAGCGACGATCTTGGCGATGTCTTTGAAGAAGACATGGAGCTACCGGGGCCCATGCCAATCAACACGGGGACGCGGGATGAGATAGAGCGCGAGCACTCGGCTGTTGACGAGGTCGAGTACCTCTTTGTGAGTGTCGTCGATTTGGAAGGGATTAGCTGACCACAGAACGAATAGATCGCGGGGAGAGGTTGTCAATGTGTGTATTGCATCGCATGGTAGGATAGATAATCCCGTGGCTGGTCGTCATCAGTTTGATCTCATAGTTCATCGAATTGCACAATGCCGGTCCGTCGCATCTTTCCGTTGCACAGACAGAGCTCTAGCCAGTTGCTTACTGACACACACAAATGTCTACTTTACAGCTGAACGAGATATCACGATACAATACAATGTCCTCAAGCCTGCGCATGCTGGCTCGCCTCCTGCGCCGCACGCACGTCCTCACGCTGTCTGCGATTGGCTTTTGCGAGCTGGCGCGCCGCGCGCGCAAGTCCATCGCACCCGGCCTCGAGGTGCGCGGGCGTGACGCGTGAGCGATCGCGCGCCTCATACTCCTCTGGGCTGAGGGTGAGCGCGCCATCGGGCTTGACGAGGCTCAGGCCGGCGACATTCGCCGCCGTGGCGAGTGCGCGCCGCAGCCCCTGCGCCTCAATGATCTTGGCCTCGAGTTCCTGGTGTCAGCACGGCCATGGCATGCACCCACCAGTGCCATTTCGGAGAGGCGTGCCTCTGCCGCGACGAGGCGCCCGCGTGTATTCGCGAGCGCCATACTATCCAGCTCGAGCTGCTTGATCTTCTCCTCGCGCTTGCGCCGGAATATCTGCTGCGCCTTGCGGTTCTGTTCCGCGCGCGCCTCTTTGCTGCCGTCAGCACGATGTGCCTTCTGGATAGACGCACGACTTGGCCGGGCGCTTAGCCGGGCGCTCGTCCTCGCCGTCCTCGCTGTGCGCCTGCGCCTCCTCGAGCCCGACGAGCGTTGCCGCGGCCTCGGACGCGCCGTTCTCGCCCTTGCCCCGCTTCTCCTCGTCCATCTCGCGCCAGCCTGCGCGCTCGTGCGGCGCCTTGCGCCGCTTCCCGCCCATCTCCCCGCGGTCGAGCGTGTCCGTGAACGCCTCGTCCATGCCTACTGCCGGGGGAAGGGCGACGGCGAACGGCGTGTCTGTTGCGTTGGCTAGGGCCGCGCCGATGTTCGCGAGCGTCGTCGGGATCGGCACGGTCGAGTCCGGCGGCGAGGGCGGCGCCCCCCGCGGCGGCGCAGAGTACCGGTACGACGAGGAGGGATAGTACCTGTTTTGTTCTTCGACGGGGGGTTCGTAGGCGTCGCGCAGGTCTGGGGTAAGGATATGAGGAGGGATAGAGAAGGGGCGCACCGAGTCATGCGTGCGCGACGAGGCGGTCGACGCGGGCATCCTGGGCTTCGCTGCTACTCACAAGTCATTATGATCGCGTCCGGGTTACCTTCCTCGGCGGGCGGCGCTTGCGCCGTAGCCTGGTAGGCATTGGGGACTGTGGAGAGGAGCGACGCCAGGCTGTTGGGCGGGCTGTTCATGATGTGTTTGAACGCAGGAGTGGATGGTGAGGGTGGAGGGGACGATGTGCTTACGTATGGGGAACAAACCAAACAACGAGACGCCATGATGATCACACTCGAGGATTCAGCTGGAAGCAGCGGGAGTAAATCCACGTGGAAAGCTCACATGGTACTTCAGGGCTCTGTCAAGACCGAGGACGTGGGGTGAAGGCCCTTTGCTCGGTCCGCCGTCCCGGGTGTCCACCCCAGCACTTCCACCCCACGCCGAGCCAAGCGCTTTTTCCCTTCGTGGGCCACGTCGTCGCCGCGGTACCGCCGGCTGAGCGGGGGTTCATTGCAGACAAAAGGTCTCGCGCTGACAGCAACCCCGCTACGTCAGATGACAGGAGATCTTGCGCTGACAGTCACTCTGCTTCGTCAGATAACACGCGTCCGCTGCTCCTCGCCAACCGGCCCCTCGGCCCTCGTCGGTAGCATTACAGATCTCTGCATCCTCTGTGAATCATTACAGCACCAGCTGATTGCTTCTCCACATTTTGACAAATCACCACGGCATCCTCTGACTGCCTGCAGGCAGGAAGACCACCGCGGCGCTACGGTTCACCAACAGCTTAGGCCTTGTTGGCGAACATCTTCTTGATGTGCTCGGTCGAGAACGACTTGGGGCGCTCGAGGGGCATGCCGAGAGCACGGTCCCAGATGAGCTGCGACGCAACACCGAGGGCACGCGAGACACCGAAGAGGACGGTGTAGAAGTCCTGCTGGTTGAGGCCGTAGTAGGTGAGGAGGACACCCGAGTGAGCGTCGACATTGGGCCAGGGGTCTGCAGTAAGCATTCGCACTTCGGCAAGCCAAGGAAAGCGGACGCGACGGGTTTACACGGCGGAATGACAGGTCCGACCCCGCGTGCCATGCGGGAATGCACCCGGACCGGTCTCTTGGGGCCGATGGGGCCGAAAAAAAAGAGTCCCTCAGGCACAATCGAGGTGACAATCCGCACCGGGCCGGTGGTACCCGTCATGCAATGCTTGTAGGGAAGGGAGGGAGGACTTACTCTTGGCCTTGCCAGCCTCAAGGAGAATGTTGGGGACGATCTTGTAGATCTGGGCAACAAGCTTGAAGAGGGGGTCCTCGGGGAGGTGGCGAAGAGCGAACTCGCGCTGGGCGGTGTAGCGGGGGTCGGTCTTGCGGAGGACGGCGTGGCCGTAACCGGGGACAACCTGGCCGCCCTTGAGGGTAGCCCAAACGTACTCGGCAACCTTCTCGTCCGAGGGGTTGCTGCCGACAACGCTCTCCATCTTCTGGATCCAGCGGAGGACCTCCTGGTTGGCGAGACCGTGGAGGGGACCGGCGAGACCGTTAAGGGCAGCGGCGTACGAGAGGAAGGGGTCGGAAAGGGCCGAGCCGACAAGGTGGCCGGTGTGGGCCGAGACGTTGCCGCCCTCGTGGTCGGAGTGGATGGTGATGTAGAGGCGCATGAGCTCAACGAACTCCTCGGAGCTGTAGCCAAGCATGTTGGCGAAGTTGGCCGAGTAGTCCTTCGAGGGGTCAATGGCGGGGACCTTGCCGTCGCCGTAGACGTTGCGGAAGATGCGGGCGGCGATGGCGGGGAGCTTGGCAATGAGGTCCATGGCGTCCTCGTAGGTGGTCTGCCAGTACTCCTTCTTGTTGACACCGTTGGCGTAAGCCTTGGCGAAGGCCGAGTCGTGGTTGAGGGCAGTGACGGCAAGCGAGAACTGGCTCATGGGGTGGAGGGTGTTGGGGCAGCGGTCAAGGAGGTCCTTGACAAAGTCGGGGATCTCAGCGCGGGCAGCCCACTCGGCGGAGAGGCCCTTGACCTGCTCGTCGGTGGGGACCTCGCCGGTGACGAGGAGCCAGAAGAGACCCTCGGGGAGGGGCTCGGAGCCACCGGGCGCCTTGGGGAGCGCCTTCTGGGCCTCGGGGATGGAGAGACCGCGGAAGCGGATACCCTCGTCGGCGTCGAGGACGGAGCCCTCCCAGACAAGGCCCTGTAAAAAGTCAGCCACCGTGTCACACATGTGGGGCGGGCAGTTGACCCGCTTGGCAACTTGTTCCGCCTGCATTTTTCGCTCAACTCACCTTGAGGCCACGCATGCCGCCGTACATCTGGTCAACGGTGTTCTCGCCGAACGACTTGTTGCCGTACTTGGCGCGAACCTCCTTGACGTTCTCGATCTCCTTGGGGATGAGCTCCTGCAGGCGCTCCTTGAGCGACTGGGCCGAGACGGCCGACGACGCCGAGAACTGGCGGGTCGACTGAGCGCGGAGCTGTTACAGTCAGTACATGCTGCCGTTGCTTTCCGCATCTGGGAGAGCGAGGTGGTGCGAAAGTGCTCGTCTGTGCCCGTGGCCGTGGGTGTGTTGAGAGGCGCGTGGTACGACGAGCTGTCAGAAAAAGTCGATCGACTTCTTTTGACAGCCAAGGATACGCCGAAAAACGTGCTTTCGCTCCACGGAGGTTTGCAGCAGACAGCGAGGGCGAGGTGAGAGATGGCGTGGAAAAAGGGGATAGGAGGAGGCGAGGATTCGAGGAGGCGAGGGGAGAGCAGAGGTAACTCACCTGCTGGCGGAGGGCGTTGCGGGTCGAGGAGAGCATGTTGAGTGGTGTGGGAAGGGGGAGGGAGGATGAGATGGAAGGAAAGAGGATGAGATGGGGGCCAAGGGGATGGGTTTAAAGAATGCCGCCGGGTGACGACGATGCCCCACCGTACTGCTCTCCTCTCGGCAAACGAGGCGCAATAGGCACGGCCATATCACCACATCATCACTCTCCCTCCGGCCTCCGGCTTGTCGCTCTCTCACTCTCCCCGACAGACCGGCCGGTCTCTCTCTGTCTCCTGTCTCCTGTCTCTCTCAAGAGTGCGCTCTAATGCCCCTCAGCCTGCAGCCTGATGGACACCGGAGGTAGGGATACCGGATGGCGGGGGAGGATGGTGACCTGCTTGCTGGGTGAAGAATGTCCCTGTAATCCCCAGATAACCCCTTGCAAAGCCGACGGCGAAACTGGCGGATAATTTGGTATTGGTGTTGCCATCTTTCCAACCCTCCCGTATCCGTCCGATCCATCCAATCCAAGCACGACGTCATCTCTTTTTCTCTTTTGCTTGCTGGTCTTGCTGGTCTTGCTGGTCTTGCTGGCCTTGCTGCTTCAACAGCACCCTCCGGCCTCCGACTCCGCGCGTCCGTTCCTTGCCCAAGCCTTGGCTCCACAGTCCACACGGCCACACGGCCACACACGGCACACATGCTCCAACCAAAGTCCCTTGCTCTCGCTCCAACCCCGGCGCCATCGTTATTATAGCTACAGTCGTGTCCCCGCCGAGATCTCCAACGCCATGCTGCGACTCTAGATGCATATTACACCACGAATGATCCACTCGCTCCGCCCCGTCTACTCCGTGACATCGTCCACCGATGTGATCACATCGTCGACGCGCAGAATCATACGCACCACTTGCGTCGCCAACAGGAGCTGCTGGCGCTTCGAAATGAGGGGGTCGTAGACAAACTGCTTCTTCATGTCTGCTGTCAGTGCCTGGTCGCCGTTACCCCGCGAAGCCCCGCTCCCTGTCGTCCGCTTTGTGCCCGAACCGCCAGTGGTTCCTGCAACGTTGCGAACCTTGGCGTTCGCTCAAACACGGGGGAGCGGGGTAGGGTACCTCTGTTCTCTACTCACCGTTCTCGCCCTTGCCCATGCAGTCGATACCCAGGCGCGGGTTTGTCTCTGTGACTTGCCTCGACTTGACATCGGCCAGGGTGTCGATCGGGGAAAGACCGGAATTCTCAGCCAGCGCCAGAGGCACGGCGTCAAGAGCCTGGGCGAATGCCCTCATAGCATACTGCTCAATCGTGGGGATCTGTAGAGACTGTCAGCGCGGGGAAACCTTCACCTCCCTCCGGTGGGGAGGCTCGAGCTCCGTGGGGACCCACCTCGTCGGCCTTTTTGGACACGGCGATCGAGGCACAGATCTCAGCAGCACCTCCGCCGTACACGACACGGTTATCCCGGACGAGGTTGCGAACAACACAGATGGCGTCGTGGAGAGCGCGCTTCGCCTCGTCGATGATCTGGAGAGTCAGCGTTCTTTGAGTTCATGGAATCATGGTATCCGAGTGATCCGCAAGATCACCGACATGTTTCTCCGATGTTTCCCCTCATCACATCGCCATCGCGATGGGATCCGGGTATACCGAGGGCACCAATGATATCCAGTACGAGCTTGTTTCCGGCCCGGTAGGCTTACTGCCAAGATTCGATCTGGTCCAGCTGACCATGGAATCGAGCCTGGGATTTATCGGCCCCGCCCATCTTCTAATTCCATCCGAACAACAATGGCTCGTAGGCAGGGCCATCGGTGCACGGAGATCGGGGGCTCCGGGCGCCAATGAATACGTCGTAACGGACGAAGGAGTCCGTGGACGCTTCAGGGGTCTTGGTGTGGATGCACAAGCGCACATCCCTCATCACGTCACAGCTTGCAGCCACGTATCCCGCACATGTGCGTCTCCGCCACGCCCCGGGAAGGGGTATTGCAAGTGCACACATCTGAAGATCACAACCACACTCACCATCTTGTTGCTTCCGCGGACGAAAACGGTGACAGCCCGCGAGTTGGCACACTCCTCGATGACGAGCATCTTCTCCTTGGTGGTTCCGAAAGAGAGCTCGCGAACAAGACCGGCGTGACCAAGCTTCTCAGCGCTCAAGTCCTCAAAGCGAGGGACAATGCGGCCATTGGTCGCAATGGCGATCAACTCGATCTCTGGGCCGCCAACCCAGCGGACCGCAGGAAGGTCGTTCTGCATGAGGAGGTGGTTTGCCTCATCGTCAAAGCCCCACTGGCAGATAACAAGGTTGGCACCGGTGTCCTTGACTCTGGAGACGTCAGTTCCCGCATTCTAAGCTATCTAAGCGATAACAGCCCGCTCTGATCGTATCTCGGTGTCCCAACTTTGTCATCTGACAATGACGTTGAGTGGGCAAGATGCTTGAGAGGTGGGCAAAAGAGGACAATCTGCCGCGGCATAAGACCACGTTTCAGGCACGTTTTCACCACGTTGCCAGCGCGTTACCGACACGTGGAAAGAAGGGGATAAACTCACCGCCTGATCATCTCCATGAACTTCTCCTTCTCGTACTCGCGCAGCTTCTTGTACTCCTCGACGCTCTCGATGTCGAGCTTGTGCTTGGTCTTGGGACGAGGAGGCTCGAAGGGGCAGGTGAGGATGGCAAGCTTGGCGTCGCGAACAACCGTGGGCATCTGGGGGTGGGACATGTCCTTGTCGATGACAACACCGTGGACCAAGGCAGTGTCCTCCAGAGATCCTCCGACCTTGCCGTCAACCTTGATGAGCTCGAAGTCGACGTCACGACGCTTGAGGTCGGCAACCGAGAGGACGGCGTCAACGGCGATCTGGGCGAACTTGTCGTGGGCCATTGAGACACTGGAGTCAGCGGAGTGCAGGAGGCCCAGTTGCTGAGAGACGCGTGATGCGCGCGCGGTGAGGTGGACAGAAGTGTCTCGAAGTGTTTACAGGGCACGACGGTCGCCGACCGTAGCTCCATCTCAGGCGTCTCCGCAGCATTGTGAGAGAACAGATGGATGGTCGCGCGCGGCAGGAGGGACGGCGCTCTTCTGCGGAGATGCGGAGGCAGCGGAGAAGGAGGGACAGCAAAACGTCATGGTGTTTCCTTCCTTGCCCGAGCCTGCGCCTCAACGCCCTCTCCGCAAGAACAGCAAACCCCTCCGCGACAAGGGGCGCTCTCTGACGCGCACGACCGTCTCGCCAGCCACTCACATCTTCGAGCCGAGCGAAGTCTTCGCCGTCTTGAGGAGGTTGCTGGTGTCATCCTTGCTGAACTCAATCTGGGGTCAGCTCCTTCTCCGAGTTACGCACAGTCTCAGCGACGCGGTCGAGCTCGGCGACGGCGATCTCGCACGCCTTCTCGTACCCGTCCGCGATGCGGATAGGGTGGATGCCGCGGTCGATGAGCGAGAGAGCAGACGAAAGGAGCGCGCCGGCAAGCACTGTTGTCAGCTGCATCCCGCCTTCCCCGCCGAGGACGTACCAACTACACCGGTTGTGCCGTCGCCGATCTCGTCGTCCTGCGACTTGGACACCTCGACGAGCAGCTTGGCAATCTGGTGCTCGACCTCCATGAGCGAGAGGATGGTCGCGCCGTCGTTCGTGACGGTGATATCGCCGTCGGGGGAGATGAGGATCTTGTCGAGCCCGCGCGGGCCGAGCGACGTCTTGATAATGTTTGTGACTGTCATTAACCTTCCGCTTCCCTCCGTAGCGGAGCTGCGGACATACCGGAGCGCGCGGCGAGGATGTGGCTCTGCATGTCAGCGCGGCCTATACTCATGACGTACGCGGATAGCCTCGAGGCCGTGGGTGCGGACCTTGCGGCCCTGCTCGCGGACGATGATGAACGGCCGCCCGTTCTGCTGTCAGCGCGTCGAAACCGGGGCGCAGCCGCGCGCAGCCACCCACCTCGTCCTGCGCGTACACGGCCTGGCCGGGGTTGATCTGGTTGAGCTGGTCGACCGACATGGTGGTTAGATGCCGGAGATGCGCAGTGTGAACAAAGTCGAAGGCGGCGGAAGGCTGCTTGTGCTGGCACGTCGAGATTCTTGGAAACGCGCGGCGCGTGAACGTGGAGTTTTGGTTAATCCTCGGTGGAGGTAGTTAGGCGCGGGGGCGGCTGCTCCGCCTGTGTGAGGCATGGCATGCCTTGGTGACACGTGGGAAGGTGCCTGGCGAGAATGTTGACTTTGAGATGACCTGCACTCGCAGAACGGCGATCGCAAGCGACATACCGCCCAACTATCCATCCCGCCGTCTGCATAATCTGCGTTTCGAGACATGGGCGAGCCAACAGAACCCACCGCGTCCGAAGAACCGCACCGCATCCGCATAACGACGAGCGGGAGCACTGCCCCGCTGGCGCTCGAAGCCCTCACCTTCCTCAAGGTATGTTCCTCCGCGACACGTTCGATCTGACAACAGGACCACCCTTCCCGCCCACTAGTTTTGCACACGATCCCAGCCGAAGCGCCCCCTAAACCCGGTTTGCATCCCGCGACGCTCGCCGCGCCGCGCCTCGTCTCCCTCGTCGAGAAGGTGAAGCGGGAGTACATCGCCAGCCTCGTGCCGCGCGCCGAGAAGCAGGGTCTGTGGCAGTACACGGAAACGGGGCTGCTGGGGCCAGCGGAGGTGGAGCGGCCGAGTCTCGAGCGCGTGCTGGGCGGCAAGACGAAGTGCGTAGGTGCAAGGTTGGGCTGACGTTAGACCGAAGATGACACACCGGCCATACCTCCAAATCACGCTTTCGACGCGGCCCCTCGGCCTCGAGAAGGGACGGAACGTGACTTGTCAGACGGTGTATGTTGGGCGGCGGCGGGGAACGAGGGGCAAGGGCAAAGGCAGGGGTGGTGATAAAGATGAGGGAGGCGAGAACAATGCCGAGATCGCGGAGCCCATGGCAAGCTCAGTCACGGACGTCGGCGAAGTTGTCGCGCGCGTCGAGAAGCGCAAATCTGATGCGGCGCTCGTCTCATCTTCCAAGCGGGCTCGTACATGAAGGCGGCATATATCTCGCCTCTCCACTCCAGGTTTCTCGCCCGCCATCTAGTTGTATACTACTAACCTCATGCATACTATTTGTACAACAGGGCTCCTGACCCGCACAAAGCTGGGAAAACAGTGCAGTGTCCGAGCACACGGGACTGGTGCCCGATGCCTCAATGGTGGCGAGAACAAGGGGAGGATAGAACTATAGATTGCCCGGGGAATATTAGGGGGTTGTTGCGGGGGGTAACGATCACAATGTCAGGACGGCAAGCGCGGCAGCGCCAGCGACCAGCGCGAAGAGGGACGAGGGGGCGACAGCGACAGCGCCGGCGTTGCGGGTGTTGCCCGTAGTCGTGTTGCTGACGACAATACCCAGCTGATCGTTGTTGCAGATGCCGAGGTGGCGGGCGTCCTCGACGGTCGCAAACACGTAGGGAAGGCCGCCGTAGCCCTGGCGCGAGTACGAAATGGAAAGGGAGCCGCCTGAGCCGACAGCGTAGTCGAGGCACGAGAGGAGGTCGATAAGAGCCTCGCCGCGCTGCCAGCCCGTGTTCTGGATCGAGAAGGATGCGGCCTCCTCTGGCGAGCCGCGGTTCGTGAGGGTCATGAGGATGGGGCCCTTGCGGATAGCGACGTCGTAGGTCGTGTTGGCGACAATCTGCGAGCGCGACTGAAGGTACGTCTGGCCGTTGTACGTCGCATTGCCCTTGATGAAGCCCTGGCGGATCTTGTTGAGGCGGGTGACGGTCTGGACGGTGGTGATATTCTCGTAGCCGAGGGCCCAGAGGGCGCCACGGTTGTGCGGGTCGGCGTTACCCCATGCCATGTCCTGCTCCTGGCCGTAGTAGAGGACAGGGATGCCGTCGAAGAGGAACTGGCCGACCATGGCATTGTAGACAAGGCGAGGGTCCGCGGTGATGTTCTTGAAGCGGGGCGTGTCGTGGTTCTCGATAAAGTTGCCCAACACACCAGGGTCGGGGAACTGCTCGAGGGTACCAATGATGCGCTCGGTAAGTTCGGTCATGTTGCGGCGGGGCTCGACGCTGAACGCCTTGACGAGACCGTTGTAGAAGGGGAAGCCAAGGATCGAGTCCATCCACTTCTCCTTCTGGAAAGCCGAGGTGTAGTCGATACGGTCGTCAAACACCTCACCGATACAGAAGACGCCACCGGCGCCACAGAAGCCAGTCCAGAATTCGCCGGGGACGTGCTTGGCGGCGTCGATACGCAGGCCGTCAATCTTGTATGTCGCGACGTACTCGGAGATCCAGGAGCGGAGGGTGGCGACGACCTCGGGGTTCTCCGTGTTCACATCAATGAGCCAGAGGTTGGAGTCACCGAGCGAGCAATCCTTGATCTGCTTATCGTTGGTGAGCTCAGTAGCCCAGTCGATCTGGCAGAAGTCGTGGAACTGCTCGGCCTTGGTCCACATCGAGCCCTCTGGAGGAATGGTGGTGTTGCTCAGCGAGGGAATACCGTTGATAGCGACGTCGACCATGATGTACATGTCGCGCTTGTGGACCTCGTCGACGAGTTTGTGCAGGTCGTCCTCGGACCCGAAGCGCAGGTTGATCTTGGTGAGGTCATTGACCCAGTATCCATGGTAGGCGTAGTTGTAGGGAGTCTGGTAATCGATGTTTTCTGCGGTCAGCTGGACATGGTCGACGACGAGTGGGCCGGAGGAAGGCGGTGGTGAGTCAGGACGCACGACTAGTGGGAGAGATCCAAATAGCGTCGAATCCCATGTTCTTGATGTAGTCAAGCTTGTCGATGATGGACAACCATGTGCCTCCGCACCAAGTCTGATCGGCCGTGTTGCACTCGAGCGGGAGGGGCTCGGTGCGAGCGGGGGCGTTGTCGGAAGGGGGCGCGAAGCGATCAGTGATGATTCTGGTTTCAGCATGGGATGTGTGTGACGGGGGCGCACTGGTAGATGGCGCGGTTGCGCCATTCGTCGGCGGTGGCTGCGCTGACGAGGTTGGCGCCGACGGCCAAGATGGCCGTGAGGGCCGAGATGAGCATTGCTAGAGGTGGGCTATGGGGCGGTGGCCAGTTGGCGAAGGAAAGTGTGCGGGCGTGCGCGGGGGGGCGAGAAGAAGACGGGTCGTCTGCGGTGCCGTATGAGAAGAGGTGAAGTGAGAAGACGACAAGTCGTAGTGAGCGTGTTGAGATGGATACGAGCGCAAGATGGAGATGGGGATGGAGATGATGAGGATGATGATGATAATGAGGAAAGAGAGAAAGAGATTGATGTGGGAGGCAGCTGATGGGTTCTGTGCGTTCAAAGCGGTATGGGGGAATGGTCGTTGGAATCCTCGGCGATGGTCTCCTCCTCCTCTGCCTTGTTCTTTCAACGCCGCCGCCGCCGCCGCCGCCGCCACAATCCCCCTGGCCCTCGTCTACCCCTCCGTCCCTCTCCTCTCGTGACCGACATGCAATGCATCCTCGAGCGACAAGAGCGTCCCAAAATGTCTTCTATTTCAAACATGAGCGCGCGCAAACACCCGCTATACTCATCGGACTCAGGGCTACCCCGAGCCGGCCTTGATTCAGGCACACCATGTTGACACTTTGGACCGCGGCTCATGTGCCCTCTGGAACCTTTGGCTGAGCCTCAAAAAGCCCTGATCCGGCCCAGGGCAAGGGGGTGACTGAGGCACACACGGGCGGGCCTTGCGCGTACCTCACCCGGCACTCGTCTTTGCTCTCCTCATCATTATTAGCAAGCTAGCAAGCCCATAGCCAAGCAAGCTCCAGCTAGACCAGCTAGCCCAGCCCTTTGCTCGTCGAACATGTCCACGGGTAATCGGCAGAGTTTGGCCTCGTCTGCTGCGTCGCAGCTGCTTGTGGGCAAGATTACCTGTACTGCACTGTAGATCTGCCCATCCCGCCATCACTTGGCATTCAATTCACCAAGCCTGTCCAGCCTTCGTCTCTCATGTCTTGTCATGACCGTTCCAATTTAATCTCTCTCATGCGGCTGGTCAGCCTTCCATGCACATCTAAAAATGTAAACATGTAAACATGTAAACAAACAACATCCGACTGCGGACGCTATCTCCGTCCGAATGTGCGGCAGTCCACCATTTTCCTCAGTCAATTAACCCCCTCGCAAACTGCCGTCACGGAGAGCCGGCACGCGTGTGCCTCGCCCCGTTCCGCGCCTGCATGCGCCGACGAGCCTGTGGGGTGGGCCATGTTGGCTGTCTCACAAACCAGAGCCACGAGGCGGTGAGAGGGCATGGAGGGGGAGAGAGGGAAAGGGGGAAAATGAGGAAAAATCCAGCAGGACGCGTTGCCCGTGCATCCGACGGCACGCGTCCTGCAGGGCCGGCATTCTCAATTCAACGCGGCTGACGTTGGCCGAGGACTCTGATGTGCAGAATCGTGCGGCCCGCGGCGGCATCCGCGATGAGGCTGGCACACATCGATTGATGATTGCTTGCACCAGCACGTCGGCGACATGTCTGGTCGCATCTCTACTGTAGCACCGTTGGTGAGTGAGAGAGTGCTCGAGAACGCTGGTGAGAAACGGAGGAGCGTCCGTGGGTGATTCCTTGGATCAGGAGAACAGCGCCACTCATGTTGGCGCCAGGAATCCACAATCCACCGCACAGTCCAGCCCCCTGCACACGGAGGCCCCAGCCACGTCCCGCGCCGCCGTCGCAAGGCTGCAAGCCGCCGCGAGCCGTCAGTCGCGCAGTCGCCAGTTGCCAGTCGCAGCCCCGGGCCCGCGTGGCGTTGCGCGGGCTGTGCAGGGCGTTCCGGTGGAAAACTGCCGTTCTAGCGTTTCCAGCGGCGCGTCCAGCGCGTCGCGTGCATCGTCGGTGCCCCGATGGATCGGATGCTCAGCGTTGCACCGCAAAGGTGCATTGTGCGTTGAACCGCTCGGCCGCTCGTCGCATCCGCATCGAGATGTCAGATCTGGAGGGTGATTAGCCTGCCAAGGCTGCCCCGTTCCGTGGCGCAGAAGCCGGCCATCTGTTCTTGGCTCTTAGCTTTGAATATGGCCTTGTCAGCGCGACTGGGTTCATCGTTGATCCTGACCCTACTGGCTGCCGCAGCTCACGCCGTCGTAGCCGCTGACGATCGTCGGCGACCTGGACTCGACGGGCGCCGTGAGGCATCTCGGCTCAGCTTGGTCATGTCAAAGCCGAACCCCAGAGCTTGAAACGGGGCTGTTACGCTCCTCCGCCCGCGCGCTTACAGTAGCCTGTGCAGTGTTCTGTAGATGCGCTTCATCTCATGGCCAGCATCAGCCGAGTCCATCTTCCGCTTGTCGGACCACCACCCCGGCAAACATGCATACTTGTACTAGAACAACACTACGACAGAACAGCAATCAGATGCGAGGTCACAACGTCGACCTCCTCAACAGCGGCTGGAGTCAGCGCCACCTCACTAACGACTCACCCTTAAGCACAATCTTGACGAACATGGCCGCGGCCTCGGGCTGGTCCTTTTCCATCTTGGCGAGGGCGTGCGGCGCCAGCTTCCACAGCACGGCGTCACGCTCCGCGACGACCGTGGCGTTGCGGTGCGTCTCGCTCAGCGTGCTCAGGTCGCCCGCGACGGTGCCCGCCACCATGGTCTCGAGCACGCGGTCGTCCGCGTTGTACTCGTACGTCGCGCGCAAGCTGCCGCTTTCGATGAGGTACAGCCCGTCGGCGGCCTCGCCCTGCCGCCACAGCGTGGTGCCCGCCGGCGCGGCTACGCGCGCAAAGTACGGCGCGAACTGCGTGAAGAAGGACTCGGGCGCGTCTGTGTAGCTCCCGATCGTTTGGAGGAGGATGCCGAGCGGCTGCGCGGGCGGGCGCGGCGGGTCTTCCACGTCCGGTACGTAGACTGGTGTCAGCGAGCGCAAGCGCGTCACAGCGGGGACTCACCGGGCAGCGTGTCGTCGCCGGCGCGCGCGAGCAGCGTCCGCCGTGGCGAATTCTGGAAGCTTTCGGCCAGCGTGAACGGCATGCGCTGAACTTTGGGGAGGTCGATGCTGCGCGGCGCCGGCGTGTCGCCCTTGACCTTGACCTGGTTCTCGTAAAAGGCCGTGAGGTACGTGTTCTCGGTCCACTCGAGGGCGTCGTTGAGCGACGCGAACACCTCCACGCGGGTGCCCTCTTGGTCGGCCCAGAGGTCGACGGCGCGGAGCGCCGTCCCGACGACCGAGTGCGGCGCCGCGCCGCACAGAATCATCAGCACATCCTTTGCAGCCAAGAGGCGTTGGATGCGCACAAATGCCTCGGCGGAGCTAAAGTCCAGGCCGGCGACGAGGGCAAAGTCAATAATTAGGAACCGGATGGGGTTGTGCTCCCACTCGGCTATGTCGAGGAGCTTGCGGATCTCGTCCTCGACCACACCGATCGTGCCGAAGAACAGGAAGCCCTGGAGTTTCATAACGCTCGTCTGCGACCCAACGCGCTGGATGAATGCGCGCTGCGCTCTGGGCCGGCGCACCGTCGACTTGGCGGTGCTGCCGTTGAAGACGGTGCGGATGGGTCTGCGGCGCGAGCTCTGCAAGACGAAGAAGAAGCATGCGAGGATGATGCCGATGAAGAGGCCGATGACGAAGTCGAACACGGTCATGCCGACGGCGATGACGACGATCGTGATGTACTCGAGTCTGTTGACGCGATGGCGCGTGTCCCAGAGCGACTCGACGGCGAGGTCAATGCCAAGCACGTAGATGAGCGCAGCAACGACCGTGATAGGCAGGTAGCCGATGACGACGGGTCCAAGGTACATGACCACGGCGGTCGCCGCGGCGAGCATGAGGCCCGCGAGGCGCGAGTCGCCGCCGACGCGGTAGAAGAGGACAGTGTTGACGTAACAGAGGTAGTTGGGGACCGAGCCGACGAGACCCGAGGCGACGTTGGAGACGCCATGAGCGACCAGCTCTCTATTGAGGCTGACATTGTCCTCCGCCAGCGAGACGCCGAGGGCGGGGACGTTGAGAGGAACGTGGAGGATGCCAAAAAAGACGAGGGCGAGCTGAGTGGGCATGGCGCTCCAGAACACGCCCCAGTCGACAAGGGCGAACCTGAAACCCGAGTAGAACGAGTACCATGGCTTGGCGTTCTGGCCGACGTCAAACACCCACCCCTGGTCGCGAAGATACTGCCAGTCCCAGCCACCGATCGCGACGACGATGTAAAAGACGGCAGGGATGAGAAGGAAGTAGGCAGGAAAGATGAGCTGGTGGTGGAAGAAGTGCGTGATGACACGGAGGAGGATTGCGAGAGCGAGGGGCAGTGCCCACAAGACGACGTTGTGGAAGCTTGCGAAGAAGAGCTTGAGCGTGGCGAATGTGTACTCGAAGCTGTCCTCTGAGAGGCCGAGTGAAACCTGCAGGCCTGTGATGAAGAGGAACACACCCACACCGCCGATGCATCCCACAAGGATGTGGCGTGGGAAGTACCCGATCAGACTGCCCAGCTTGAAATAGCCCAGGGCGAAGAACACGAATCCGGTTAGTAGCGAGCTGAAGGCAAATGAGACCATGGTCGTGGCGACGATGGCGCCGGCGTCGTCGCCGAGCTCGGAGATGATGAGCGCACAGATGATGTGGTAGAAGGGCACGGCCTCGATCATCATGCTCCCGTTGCCGCCTTTGAAGATGCTTCCGCCGAGAGAGTACGTGAGCTGAGCGGTGATGCAGCTCACGAAGAACATGGAGACGCCCAAGCTTCCGTAGTCGGGGTAGTAGGGTGAGACAGGGAAGAGGATCATGCCGTACGACACGCCGTCGAGGACGTTGAGGAGGAGGCCGAGCACAACGGCAGGCAGGGCCTTGACGGGCTCGCGCACGGCGATGGTCGCCAGCTCCTTCGGAGAGTACTTGGAGAGTGATGAGCGCGCTGCGCGCAGGTCAGTGGCGGTGCGCTGGGCCCAGTTGTCCTTCTTTCCCAGGAGCGGGGTGCGTTCGCTGGGCGGCTCGCCGCGAGCGAGGATACGGCGCAGCTCGCTGTCGGCCATGGCGTCTTCGTCAACCTCCTGGACGCCCTCGAGGCTGACACGGGGATGGATGTGTGAAGAGTGAGAGCGAGCACGATCCTTGGAAATGGCTGTGGGTATATTCGTGCTGTCGGCAGTCGTGTGTTCGTCCGCTAGACTGGATGGCGCGGCGTGTGGCGTTGTTTCACCCGAGTCGCCGGCCCGACCGCGATCCACGAGCATTGAGAGTGCGCTGGGCCCCGCGTGCGGTGAAACAGAGGGCTGGGAGAGGTCGAGAGCAGCAGCTCCTGAAGTGCTGCTTCCACGCCGTAGGGGCAGACCGCCGGAGAGCAGAGACGGGCCGGTAAAGCTCATGCTCGCGAGGCGATTTGTGCTCTCGCGGATGGCGCGCGACGTGTGGCTTGACCCGAAGACCTCCTCACTGGCGTGAGCAATCTGCATGTTCGCTGGTCGAGCCGCGCGGGGACTCCCCGCGCCTGGGAATGGAAGACGCAAGGACGAGGGACTGGGACGGGAAGACAGTTGTGATTGTGGGAAAAAGTAGCGCACACCACAAATGTGGATGGCGCAAGGGGATGGCGGAGATCGCGTGCTCGGCCATGTCGCTGGTGATCTCTCTGCGCGCCTTATCTGGGCTGGCGTCGCTGCCGGATACACTTGTCATCCGCTGCTGCAGATTCCAAGCATCCCAGCATCCCGAACACGGAGAGCCTGACTGTCAAGTGACGAGCTATGCCAGCTAGCGTCACCTTGTCGCTGGGACGGTGTATGTAAATAGCGCGCGTGTCACCAGTAGAATTAACCCCGCAGTCTGTGCACGACGTAGGCCCACTACGGCACTCGCCGACATTGAACACATCTCGCGCACTCGATGTCCCGCCGCCATCTCCGCCGTGGCTGCGAGCTGCAGCGGCCAATCCCATTCGGGCCGCTGTGCACTCGGCCTCCACAGCCTCAGAAGCCTCAGAAGATGAGATCCAGCCACCGCCAGCTCTGATAAATCTTTGTACTCACGTATCCTCTTCTGTCTCGTCGCCCTCCTCGATCCCAACCCCCATCACAGGATGCTGGATGGGGTGGTCGTCATGGTCGACGCTGAGCCGGCGGAAGAGCTTGCTGACGAGCGCGTCGGGCGTGCTCACGCGTCTGCCAGCATTGGTGCCGGCGCTTGGGCCCATGTCGAGGCGCGAAAAGGCCGAGGAGCTGCTGCGCCCACGGTGCGCGAGCTCGCTGTGCGACAAGTGCAGCTCGGGCGACGTGCCCGGTGCAGGCGGCATGGTGGATGTGGATGAGATGGGAGGTCAGGTGGTCTGTTGGAGTTATTAGGAATGGGTGGAGTGGGGGCTTATCGCTGCCCCGCATCCGCCGGGCCTCATTGGATTAACCTCCGGAACGCCGTGCGCCCGCCTTGGCGTTATCACTTATCGCTCGCAGGGCATGCCGGGCGGACTTGCGGACTTGTGCATGTTGCGTCGGAGACGTACGATCGTAGACTTGCGGATGCACGCCGAGAGATGGGAAATGGCGCTGGCGCGCTGGCGCTCGGACATGATCTGCAGATCGCCAGGGGTGCGGCGGGCGCGCTGATCATTAAGGCTCCGCCATATTGTCACTCTGGCTCATCAACCCACTGGGCGTGTGGCATTGCCTCTCGTCCGAGTGTGTAGCAGGCATTTCGCACGTCTCGCGGTCGGACGCGGCCGCGGGTGGACGGAGGATGGGCGCCCGCCGACGCGGCATACAGCGCCGCGGGCGAGACTTAGGGATGGGCGTTGGTGACTGACATTGAACTGGGCGTCGGTGCGCCGGCTGGCGCCTGACAATGCATACGCCCTCGTGTTGGAGCTTGGAGCTGGGCATGCTGCGCAGCCGTTAGCGACGAGACATGAAACTGGGAGGTTGCGTGCGAATGCATAGCGCAGTTCCAGACGACGAAGCGACTACGCGCTTGGCGTTCTCTCGAACTGGGCCTTCTACCGTGCCCCCCCGCCACCGATTGCAGCAGAAGCGTGCCAGCGTGCCAGTGCCAAGCATGCATGTCTAAATATCTTACTATGCCAAGCACGGGGCCGCCGAGTATGGACGCCGTCAGGACTTGACCCCGTGCCCCCGCTCCGCTCGCGGCGCCGCTAACGCTTGAGCGTGCGCTGCTTCTCGGCAAACTCGACCATCTTCTTCTCCACAAACATGCCCTTACGCTTCCGCACTCCATCGACATACGCCTTGGCGACGTTCGCGCGGTCGGCCTTTTCGCCAAGGTCCTCGAGCTCCTCGACGGTGGTCGGGACCCAAAACGGGTCGAGGTCGAGCACCTCGTACCCGGCGAACACGAGCTGTGGGCTGGCAGCGCCGGACGTGCGCTTGCGGATCTCGTCTGCGAACCCAAAGCTCTCGACGACGGGGAGGAGGGCGCGCACGGTAAAAAAGTCCGTGCCCTCCTTCATCTCTTCCGCGACGATGCGGCCGCGGCGGCGCGCGACCACGCCATACACCTTCCCCAGCACCTCGGTGGACGCTTGGATGTCGCACGTGTACATGGCCAACTTGAGGCGCGGGGACCAGTCGAGCATGCCTGCGCGCGCGGCGTCGCGGACGCCCGAGATGAGCGCGCCGACGACGGCGGCGCCCCGCCCCTCGCTCGGCGTGTACACCAGCTCCTCGACCACCCACGCCATGCCGACGACAGGCTCGGCGCACAGCGGGCCCTGGAACGTCGCGAGCTGGAAGCCGGCTTCGATCGACGCGTCAAAGTCGCGCAGGCGGCGCGCGAGCTCCGCCTCGCTCTCCGCTGCCTCGGCCGCCGCCTTCTCCTTTTCCGCGGCGGTGCGTTCCGCATCCGCCGCAGCTTCGGCGGACGCCAGCGCCTCTTCGGCCGTCTCGCCGCGCTCGCGCGCCGCGGCAAACACCGCTTCGCGCCCGCGCAGCCGCAGCCCCCCCTTGCCCACCGGGTCGAGGAGGACGTTGGCGCCGACCTTTTTCGGGCCAAAGGACCAGACACGGTCGGCTGCGCCGACCCACTCGCTGCCGGCGGCGTCGAAGCGCGCCGCCAGCTCCGTCCAAAACTGCTCGGGGGTGAGCGTGCGCACGCCCGCCTCGGCTTCGCGCTGGTCCGCATCCTCCTCGTCCTCCTCTTTGCGGCGCACGAGCATGTCCCTGATCGTGGTTTGGTGCGCGAGGAGGAATTCTGTCACGGGCGCGGGCAGCGGCGCCGCGCGCAGCTTGAACGTCACCAGCCCGTCGTACAGCGATCCGAGAACGGTGCCGCGCGCCTCGCCCGCCGTCTTGGGCGGCGCCATGTCCGGCGCCTTCACCGCCGTCTCGCGGAACGGCACGATCGCCTCGCTCGCCTGGATCTCGCACTTGGCGAACCGCTCGCGCAGGTCTTTCAAGCACCGCTCGAGATGCAGCTCGCCCGCAGCGAGGATGACGTGCTCGCCTGTCTCTTGCACGACGTACTCGGCGCAGGGGTCCGCCTGGTTCAGGATCTGCAGGCCCTCGATGAGCTTGGGCATGTCGGCTGTCGTCAGCTTTTTGTTGCGAGCACAAACATACATGGGTTCATAGGCTCGAGCGCCACACGTACGATGGGCGCAGCGAGCATGTTGACGCCGGCGAGGTTGACAAGGCCGGCGGTGCCCGGCGCCTCGCCGCCAGCGTTGGCGGCACACAGCGTGCCGTTGCGGGGCACGATATTGTCCAAGCCCGCGACGGCGCACACGTGCCCGGCCGGCACGCTGTCTACGGCCACGAGGTCGCGGCCCATCATCATGTAGAGATCGGACACGGTGGCTGTGCGCAGATGCTTGGCGTTGCGGGGGTGGTCGGGGCCGAGCTCGGCGTCGTACTTTGGCAGGGTGACGGCGACGGTTGTGCCGCGGCGGAGGACGGAAGAGAATACGCGCGAGAAGCCGAGTAGGACTTCGCCGTCGGCGTCGGCGGCGGGCTTGGGCTCCTCCGGCGGCGCGAGCGTCAGGCTCTCGAGCGGCTTGGCGAGCTCGTTGGGGTCTACCACTTCGCCTTTGGCGGCCAGCGCGGTGCGGCGCTCGCGCTCTTCGCGCCCGCGCGCACGCATCTCCTCGGCGGTCATCTCGCGCGGCTTGAACTGCGGGAGGTCGCCGCGGCGCACGGCAAACATCTTGGAGACGTAGGTGACGAGCGGGGCGTCGGGGCGCTGGTCGCATGCAAATAGTGCTTTTTCGAGTGCGTTGACGGGCTGCAGGGGCGTCGAGGACGCGCGTGCCGCCTCAGGATGAAGTATGAAGGGGATGCGGATGGCTTGTGCCGCGTTCGGCGGCGGGACGACGTCCACCACGGCTTGGAAGGTCGCGGTGGAGAGCGGGAGCCACTGCTGCATAATGGTCGTGAGGAGGTTGCGCGTGTCCTTGGACTTGAGCTCGCGCGGGGCGACGCGCACGTTGAGCGCCTTGACGATCTTGCCCGTCGCCTCGGGATTGTACTGGTGCTCCTCGAGGACGACGTTGTACACTTTCCAGATGTTGTCGAGAACGAACTGCACGAACAGCGGTTTGAGCGGGCGCCCGTTCAGCCCCTTGCGGCCCACGACGCGCTTCGTCTTCGGATCCAAGAACCAGTCGCCCCACAACGCGCGCCGCAAGTTGCCCTCCTTGACGCCGAGCTTGTCGGCGTACAGGCGCGCAAACTTGCCCAGGCGGAACGCCCAGCCGTCGAGCGCCGACGCGAAGAGCACGTTGCCGCGTTCAGGCGAGAAGTAGATATCTTCGTCTTCGCGTTCCTCGAACTCGTGTTCGTCGTCGCCGCCGTCACCTTCTGGGGCGTCGCCGGCCGCCGCGGCGTCCGCGCGCTCTTTGAGCCGCTTTTCGCGCGCCTCGCGCCATCGCAGGTCGTCTTCCATGCGCTCCGAGGCGTAGAACGAGCCCATGACGGCGTTCACCTGCTCGATCAACCGCGAGATGTGGTGGTACGCCTCGATAGGAGATAGCTGCAGCTCGGTGATCAAGCGGTCCATCTTGTTAATGACAAGAAGCGGTCGGAGGCGGTCGATCCATGCCTGCCGCAGCACGGCGATGGTCTGGTGTCAGCAGCGGCAGAGGACACCAGCTTACCTGTGTACACACACCCTCCCACACGTCCACAAGAACGAGCGCGCCGTCGCACAGTCGTGACGCCGTAGACACCTCGCTCGCAAAGTCGACGTGCCCAGGCGTGTCAATGACGTTGCAGATATGCTTGGCTGCCACTGGGCCATCGGGGCCAGCGCGCATCATGTCGAAGCGCAGGGAAACGGCACTGCTCTCCATTGTAATGCCGCGCTCCTGCTCGTCCTCGCGCGAGTCGAGATACCGGAGCTTGCCTGCCATGCGGTTGCTAATGATGTTGTTGCTGGACAAGAGGCTGTCCGCAAACGACGTCTTGCCATGGTCGACATGGGCGACAATCGTGACATTCTGCTGTCAGAGAAAGCAGCACAAAACATACTCACTCGTGTGTTCTCTAATGGTGCTGCGTAAGTCGACATCGTGGGATGAGTGGGTGAAGTGGTGGAGATGGTGTGGATGGAATATAAGGATGACGAAAGTTGGATTTTCGGATCCGAGATTACCCAGGTACGACGCGCGTTACGGAGTCAACTGCAGGAGCCGTGCTTACAATATGCAGTATACATGCAGTCGGAGCTTCACGACTCATCATGAGATAACTGAGCCGCGTCAATCAACTGCCACCAACATTCACTGCACCCTCTGGGGGAAGACAACATGATACATGTGTAGAGCTATCGATGGCGAGCCACGACCGCTACCACTAGACACCCTGTAGCCCACTCACATGACAACGGTGTAGTGTAGTATGGCACGTACGGCGCTAGTGAGAAGGGAATGGCATACGAGCCAACGAATACGGTGTGAGACCAGCCATAGTGTGGAGAGAGACAATAAGAGCCTTAGAGATTGAGGAGAACCCAAAACGGAGGAGGAGAGAGACGCGGAGAGGGGGGGAGGGGGGCCGACATGGTTACAAATCGTGTTTATGCAGTTGGGTCGCTTCGACTGTCGATGCAGTGATTGAGCCGTATGTGGAGGCCATTGTAGGGCAGGATGCAGTATGTGTGGGGGTGAACTGCAAGGACGGGTGGGAGGAGGGGGGAATGTGGTGATGAGGGAGAGAAGAGAGATGATCGGCGAGACAAAGGTTGCTTGAAAACGCTTAGTAACGCGTCCAAGCATTCTCAGGAGAGCCATTGCTGCTGTTGTCCTTGGACGGGTCCTCCTCGTTGGCGGCGAGGTGATGCGAAGTGTTCGGCTGGTAGGACATGGTAAACATTGACCGACTGTCAAACAGGCCGCGACTGTCCATCGGTGGTGCCGCAAGCGCCGCAGGGGAGGGGAGCGTGCGACGGTAAGGGTGGTTGCGCGAGTCCTCCTTTGGCGACACACCGTAGCGCGAAAACGTGGAAGATGTGGCGCTGTCAGGAATGCCGATGGCGTCCTTGCGTGTTCCGTCAAAGTATGCGCTTGAAGGAGTCTCGGGATTACGGTCCATGCCGTTCGAGTTTGCACTGTCCTTGACGTCGTTGGGGGTCAAAAGGATCTGGGGGTCCGACAACTGACGGGGAGGAAGACTTGTGAGGGGAGGCGGGGCCTGAGGATGGTTGAAGCCAGGCATGTTGGCACCGTAGGCTAGCTTGGGACCGTTACCGGTGCTAGGCGTGGACGAGTTGTTCGAGGCGCCATCAGGGCCCGGCGACAACTCGGGAGGAGGTCCGTTGAGGTTGTAAGTCGGCGTGATGGTGGCGGTGGCGCCTTCCTCACCACGGCATCCCCGGACCATCCAGTGGCGGCGGAGGGCGTCCTTGCGAGAGAAGCTTAAAAAGTGTCAGCATTTGCGCCTGCGTCTGCGTCTGCGTCTACGCCCAGCGCCCTCATTGAGCTTAACCCAAAGATCGGCAGGATGTTTTTGTTTTTTTATTTTTTGACGCGGCTGGAGAAGTGACTCACGTCTTGCCACATGTATCACAGTTGAATGGCTTGACAGCCAAGTGAATTCTTTTGTGACGCTTCAAATCGTGGTTGCGGTTGAAGCTTTGCACACACTGGTCACACTTGAAGGGGCGATCGGTTAGAGGTACGCGGCTTGCAAAGGCGTAGGACATGGTAGGCGCCATGGTGGGGATCGCAGTGGAGGAAGCGTGACGGTGCAAGTTGGGAACGCCGTCGTTGGGGTTGATGGGCGCAGACATGGGCAGATAGTTGTGGTACTGGCCGTAGGCGTTCGGGTAGGTGAGAGAACGAGGCATGTCGATAGCCTGAGGCTGCATGTTGGGCTGGTAATAATAAGCCTGCTGCTGCTGCTGGGAGAGCGAGCCTCCGCCGCGAGGGGAGGGCTGCGAGGTGAAGGGGCTGCGCATGTTGGTGTAGCCGCCAGCACCTGGGTAGGGGCTGGTGGCTGTGGTTGGACTCGGGTGCGAGTTCATGCCGTTCTGAACGCTTGCGTAGGTGGGAACGGTGCGAAGGGGAGCTGGCGGGGGAGCACGAGACGAGTCTGTGGCGCCAGAGATGGTGCGATAACCGACTGGGTGACTGCCTGCGTAGGGGGGAAAAGTTGCACCACTAGCGGAAGGGGCTGGGCCCGCAGGCGGAGCGGTACGGTAGTAATAGTCTTGGTTGACGGGTGAGACACCAGACTGGTCAGGCTGGTGGTGCTGGTGCTGGTGCTGGTGCTGATGTTGGTGCTGAGTCATGGCTGGGTGGTGAGGGTGTTGTTGATTTGGATTTGGGCGCGAGGATCCGGGGCCGGGAATGCTGGAGAGCGGGGGCGGGGCAAAGGCGAAGGGGGAGGCTGAAGTGGGAGGGGAGTTTGGGTTTGGTGCTGCTGGTGGCGCAGTGGCGTACGACTGGGTAGTAGAGTACTGAAAGGTGTGAGTAATGGCGCTAGTGGAGAGAGAGAGAGAGAGAGAGAGGGTGAGAGAGTGTTTGTGGGAATGGGTTTGAAACAATGGCGGCGAGGTTATTCGGATGGATAGAGACAGAGAGAGAGTGTGTGTGGGAGACGTGATTGGCGCGTGGGTGCAATACGAGTGCGAGAGGACGAGGACAAGTGGGACAAGCGCGAGGCAGGGTAGAGTAGAATGTGGTGTCGAGGACGTCTAGAAGGATGGCGTGGAGGATGGCTTGGGAGGCGTTGGGGGAGAAAGAGAGAGAGAGAGAGAGCGAGTAGAAGAGGAGATGAGGATGATGTGTTGTGGAGAGAGTGGTCGCTGACATCCGACAAGCTTGTGCCACTCCCTTTCCAGGTCAAAGTGTGGTGGCTGCTACTCGACGCCGCCGCCGCCGCCGCGCTCGGATCCCTTCTCTCCTCTTGCTCCTTTTCGGCTACTCTGCTCAACTCTCTCTCTCTCCTTTCACCCCAGGGTTGTCCCTCTCCGCGCACAGACCAACCAAAGGGGCCCGCCAGTCTAGCCAGTCTAGCCAGCCTACAGCCCGCCTGCAGCCTGTCCTGGCCGCTCCATCGGCAACTTGGCATGCGTGAGCCGCGAGCCAAGTCTCTCTCGCCTCACTCAGTCTGCTAGTCTTCTCAAAAACACAAACCGAGGCGTGGCGAGCTGCGAGCATGGGAACAACGCGTGCGAGAGAGGGAGAGATAGATGGGGGCGAGGGGCGACACACACATTAGACATTGAGCGGATCTGTGTGCGCTCGATTCGCGGATTCGCACGTCCGTCGGGGGGGGGGGGGGTGTGTGTGTGGGAGAGAAAGACGAGTAGAGTGGAAAGAGAGAAAAAAAAGAGAGACAAACGACAAAGAGCAATGATGACAATAGCTCGCAGCTCTCTCAATATCCTCCTCTCTCAATGCTTGTTGATTGACATGGACAAGCGCGCGCCGCCGAGGATGGCTAGATCAACTCAGAGGTGGCGATAAAGCGAGAGAGCCCAAAAAAAAGGCATCAGAGCAGAGGACGGCGAGGGACGCGGAATGGGACCCGGAGCTTCAAGGTAACTCACTCCCTCAGGAACGAGTATACTCTCAGGGGAAGGGATTTTTGGAGACTGGGCCATCCAGTGGGATGGACAGGGACGCCAGCGGCACAAGAGCAGAGGCGGAGACAAGAGCAAGAGGGTGACGCAGAGGATTTCAGGGTGAGATGAATCATGGGCCATCAAAGCGCAGGGCCCAGGCACGCTCACACTGTAATCCCTGAACCAATCCCCATGTCCTTTCCTACACGGGCAATAACCCAAATGCCGCTCGGACCCACTGGGCCACCTCGCTCCCACCCACCCAAATCCCCCACACCCAGACGTCACCGCCGACCTGGTCACCTGCTCGTGCAAGCCGTCGACCGCGTTGGACAAAAACAATCCAACACCATGCCCACATCCCTCCTCGGCCTCGCTCATGGCTCACGCCCGCTCAAGCTAAACACGTTTCTGCACGTGCTTTAGCAACAAGCGCCCCTTGCGGCTCGCGGCCGTCGGCCGTCGGCACCGTCGAGGTGTCATACGACATGGCAGCCGAAAGTAGAGAGCGAATGCCATACAGCCTCGCTTCAAACAGAGGGGATAGAAGGAATGCACTCGTCCACGACTGCTCGAGGCCCATGCTGCAGTCGAGTCCAGCGCAGGCCCAAGCGTTTGGAGAATGTGCATGGGAGCAAAGTGCTGCTACCCGGGAAGGAAAGGAATGGATCTCGCCGTGCACACAGCTGCGACGAGCACACCCCGGACAACGAGACGCGATCACGAGACAAAGAGAGAGGAGAGGGTGCCGGAAGGAGAGGAGAGAGAGAGGATGAGAGAGAGGATGAGAGAGAGGATGAGAGAGAGGAAAGAGAGGTAGAGAGAAGGGGAAGGAAGGCAGATCGCAACTCACCTCGTCGCGTGCGTGGCCGTGGTTCATAGTGTGGGGGCGCGTGCCTCTCGATGCAGCGTCCTCGATCTGATGGACGATGCGGGGTGCAAGGATGTTTGGGTCAAGGGGAGAGTGCGGCGTCGGCGGTAGTGGTGGTGGTGTGAAGAGTGATGGTTGTGGTTGTGGTTGTGATAATCAAGAAGAGGCGTGTCGGTGACAATTGGAATTGTGTTACACGAGGGGAAGATAGAGGGAGAGCCGGGGGATAGATATGGTCGAGATAATATTCAAGTGGCGTTTGGTGGCCGGGTGGTGGCTTGCTCGAAAAGGATCAAAACGATGGTCGGGGGGGCGCAAAGATAGCGGACGCCGATGATGTTGATGTAATTAAATCACGTCGATCCCAACACGCGCGCGCTTTGCTCAATTTGCTCCAACTGCTCCACTACTGGTCACGGATCACGGAACAAGTTGCGCAAAATTCTGGGCAGGGGCTAAGCATCAGCATCCATGCACCAGCACTCCGTCATCGCAAGCCAACGCCCGAGCCAAGAACAGACACAAGAAATTGCGTGCGCGAGTCACTCTGCCTGCTCCTGCGCCTGAACACCTGAACGCAAAAGAAGCAAACGAGCGGAAAGAGTGCGCGATCGATGTCTCGCGGGGAGAGGCCGGAGGTAACGGACGAGCAGAAAGAGCAAGAGCCGGCGCGCGGCACGCAAGCCAGGGGAGCAGGAGAAGCAGCCAGAGTTGGATTAAGCTCTCGAGTAGACGAATAACGGGGGCAAGGCAGGGACCATCCGACACTTACGCACTCCTCTTCCGCGTACCTGTGTACCCAGAAGAAGAGCGTTAAGCGGCTTGTGCTAATGCACGATAGGCTTTTGGTTGGTAGTACGACGCAGCGGGCTTTAACCTACGCGCAGCGAACCGGCAAGTAATCCAGAGTTCGGTGATTGAACTAGAGCACTCGGGAAGAGGGACGGGCTCGGGCTGTGTGTGTGCGTACGCGCGTACGCAAACATGATGTAGTTGCGTACTTGCAGGTTGGATCCGAGGGCGAGGGAACCCCTCGGGAGCAAGAGACATGAATCACACACACCCATGCGGGTCCACAGACGTCACACTTCATCAAGACTTACGTGCTCCAGATTTCCAAGCAGGGACGCAGAGTGTTCTCGGGGTATTAACTTGTCGGTGGGATGGCGCCTTGACGCGTTGTTGGACGCGGCGCGGTACGTCGGATCCGTCGCGGGATGTGTGGCTTGCTCTGAGGGGTCGCCGAAGCGATGATGGAATCAACCAAGGTTTAGCTTCGTCGGGCCTATGTACGCGTTGGCAGAGGGGGGGCGCGAGAGTCGCCGCGATTTGAGTTGCGGGGCAAAGTCTCGAGGATCAGAGGTTGAGGTTGAGGTTGAGGTTGAGGGCCGAAATAGCTAGGCTTACGGCCGACGAGGACGGGGCGCAAAGATCGACGAGAGCGATCGGATCGGGTGAGCTTGCTGCACGGGCGGCGATTGTTGATGGCGACGGGACGCAAGTGATGTGATGTGGAGCGGAGTGGGCTTGCGGGAACGAATGTGCACCGATAAAATGTGGTGCGGTGAGAGTGTGGTGAAGGGAAAGGAGGGCGATGGGAAGGAAGACGCTGCTTGTGCGTGCGCACGGCGTGCGATAGATAAAGGATGCCGCGGGGCTCGTCTCGGGGTGGGTCACGAGTTGCTCATTCCTATTGCAGCTCTGTGCGGCATTGTGTGCATGCCCGGCACCCACGCCCGGCGTCTGGCTCCGCCTTGCCTGTCATGCCTTGCAGCTCTCACATCAGTGCACCACGGCCAAGAGCCCCTTGGCCATCGAGCTGCTCCCTCTCTTCATCCCTCTGATCCCTCGGCCTGGCTGGGCCGCAACTGCAAGATGCAGCGACACTGGCACAGGAGCAGCACAGGAGCAGCGCACGAGCTCGATGAGTAGTGCCCTCGGTTGATCCAGGGATGATTATGGAGCGCTGGGACGCCGAGGTCACCGGACGACGAGGAGCGAAATGCAAATGCACAGGGATGTTTTCTCATCTAGTAGTCCTCTGATCCTCTAGCCCTCGAGGGCAAAATAATTCCTAGAGAACTGCCTGCGGGGAACAATTGGGGAGCGCAAGCTCTGCATCGGCTGGGTCGGCACGAGGAACTGGTCTGCAGGATCGCACAAAGTCTGCAGCTCGAGGGACGACCCCAGCAGCGTTTGCGTTTAGGTGTGGTGTGTGTAGGCATTCCCCTCGGTAGGGTGAACTCGAGCCTGTGCAGACGCTTTCTATGTCCGCTCGATCCTATACTGCCCTTCTGCCTCGCTTGCTTTCTCATAATTGGTCCTCTTGCTCTCGCTCTTGCTCTCGTTCTAGCTCTTGCTCAGGACGTCGGGGCTCTCCTTTGTCCTGGACCATGCTTGTTGAGAGGCGTCGTCAGCCTTGCCCGTTTAGCCTTTCCTCTCCTTTCATGCTTGACAGGGCACATCGGCACGGGATCCAGTAACAATTCACTCATGAGCTAATTGGCTGCGTCACCGATCTCTGCTCTTGTGCCACTAATCCTCTCCCTCACTGCCTCGCTGCGTCTTGCTGCTGCTGCTGCAGAGTGTCAGCTGCATTGCTTGGCATCTTTGCTATCCCTAGTGCCTGCCTCCACTCCATAACCAGAAAGCACAGGAGTTGTTGGGTTCTCGGCCCCCGCGTGTCTTCCCATCCTCGTCAGCATCAGCGGTATGCCAGTCCACATGCTCGTCGTCGCACTCCAGCCCTTGTGACTGCCGTAACGTCGCGCCGGCACGAAACGCTCCGTGCGTCCAAGTTCTTTGTGAATCCTGACGCACCTCCGGGACGCGGACGATGTGAGACCCCGCACCCGCGAACCCGTAGCCGCACCAGGAGTCATTTCCGCTCGTCCAACGCACATGCTCCTCACATGCCCACAACAAGCTCATCTTCTGCTTCTGGCCGCCAGCGTGCCGCTGCCTTGCTGGGCGAAGCACAGACCAGCGAATGTCCAAGGGACGCAACATCGTAAGGTTTAGATCCCTGCCGGGCACTCAGATCTGTGCTCTCGAGCGGGGTGGCCGATGCATGCCTGCCCGCCGGCCCGCTGTTGTAAATGCTGGCCTCGCATGCCCAACCGGCCCCGCCGGGAACGCACTGGCCTCTCGCTCCCCTGCGCGGCACCCTCGCACGCAGGAGCTCCGAGGTGCGCGGGGCTGCACATGATACAGGACTGGGCAGTACAAATCTCCTGTGCGTATTACAAGTGAGCATGACTGCGCAGCGAGATTATGAGATCCTCTGCTGGATTATAGGATCATAGATCGCAGGATCACAGGATTGTAGGACATATGACAAATTCCGGTTCAGGGCTCACCGCCACTCGCGCCACTCCAACTCTGTAATCTCCAGCATGGCGCCTCATCCCAATTGCTCTCTGGCCGGGCACCTTTCGGCTGATTTCTCCTCGACAGATGTCGTGAGACATTCCGGAACACACCTGACCACACCTGAAAGCGAGGCGCGGCCGCTTCCCACTTATCAGGTCGTTCCAGACCACGCCACATCGCCGCCGGACAATGCGCGGCTCGCGTTTAAACAGACCTAGATCTGCCTTGCAATGCTCCCCCACCCAACCCGTTGTGTATCTTCAGACTGAATCCCTCCATTGTTAATCAGGGAATCCCCTTCGGCTGGCGCCAAGCACACTGTGGCGCCGCGAGCCTCACCTTGTTCGCGCCGAACCAGGTGCTTCCGTGTGCTTCCGTTCGCATCGCAGGCCGCCGCACCAGGGTCCTTGGTTTGCTGCCGGCAAGTCCCACCACCATGTCTCTGCTCGGATCGCGCCCCAGCCCACCGCGTGCCCACAGTGCGTTCGCGGTCCAGCAAGACGGAGGGAGGCATGGAGCCGTGGTGGCGCCGCCACCCATCGCACACTCCGGTGTTTCGGCGTCAGCACAGAGCATGCAAAGGCGAGGCCAAGCTCGGATCCCCGCTGCTTTGGTTCCCTGGACTGCATAATTACGTGCCGGGCGAACGCTCATGCTGGCATCATCGACGGCACCCAGAAGCCGCGAAGGTTAGCGAATGGACGGCATGAGGCGCGAGCGGCGCATCTCGTGAGCGAAATTCGCCTACGTTATTAGCGCCCCAATCTGCTTCCAGCCGCCACATACGACGACGACGTCTGCATGAGTGGTGGGAAACAGCCCGACCTGGCAACGCTATGCTCCGTGGGATTAACGGCCCGGAATGGATCATGCAGAAGCATGCAGCGGGTGACATTTCAGCTATTTCCCTGGCCCTCCTCTCCCTCGGTGGCGGGAATGTATTCTACTAGCGAGTCTCGGAAGCTATGCGATCTCGCTCGGATCTCTAGTCATCGAACCCATCGCATGCAGCAGGTGAGCGGGGGATGCCGAGCCCGGATCCGTCGGTTACGCGAGGGTTACGAGACGGCGGCCCAGCAAAATCTCAGATCGTGATCGTGCGCAACTAGCAAGCGATCGGCCCTGGTCCGTGCTGCTTTCACCATCCAGTTTACTGGGACGTGCTTCTGCCGGCAGACGCCGTCATTTCCTTTGCTGGGAGCAGGATCAAACGTCGGTCGGGCCGAGTTTCCTCATCTCATACTCCAAAGTGACGATTGAAGGCACGCGGCCGGACTCTTATTCGGTTCGGCGCTCGAAATGCGGATAATGTTAATCAGGCGGAGACATATGCTCCGGTACGGTACTGGGATGCGATGGCAACCGTAATGGGCTGCAGCGAGGCCGAGGTCGACAGCCAGTCTCTGCGGGTGTGCAGGTCAACTGCGCAGGGGAGGCCCCAGGCCCGTCGGTTGAGACACGTGAGTCGGCAGTGACTCCCGCTGCGGCTCGCAAGCTCGCAAGAAATTTTGCTGCAAGATATTCTCATGGTTTTCGCGTGCTCGACAAAGTTCTGCTGCAGGGCCTGCTGAACTGCTGCCTGCCTAAACCTTCAGCTTGCTCCAACATTCACGAAACTCTGTTTTAGTCTACGCAAGCTCGTGACGTTTGCAGAGTCTAGTCTGACGTCTGGGGTGATTCCAGCGGTGCCCTACCCGAGCTGACTCACTGGAACAGGCACAGGGCGTTACGCCGGGCGTCCGACTTGGGCTTCATAGTAAAGGCACGCCGCGATATGCTTTAGCGCCAGGTGTGGCAGCCGTTTGTCGCCGCCACGGCGTCGGCGGATCGGCGGGCGTCGGCGGCGGGAGGGCGGATCGGCGGGCGGATCGACGCGGGGGAGGCGGCGCCGCTGGGCGGTGGCGGACGGATTGCTGTCTGCATCTGTGCATGCGCGACGCCAAAATGGCAGAAGATGCAGAATGGTAGAACGGCGAATCCGCGTAGACCAGGAGCAAAATTAGGACCGGAACGCCAGCACGCCAGTAGGACTAAAAGCTGACAGACTAGTGCGGTGTGGCTGAAATCGACATACGGAATAGGCGCCACTGGAATAGCTGCCGCACTCCGTTAAATGCGCGCCACACTATGGTCGGCGTGCTTACTATGCTCAGAGACGGCGCGGGGAAGACTTCCTGACTTGCGTGCAGATGCGGGGGAGGCGGCGAGGCGGCGGCGGCGGAGCACCGATCCCACTATCTGCTCCGTCTCGCCTCCCCAGGGTACGTTATGACGGCAGGAGGCGTGGCGATCACATTCAGTCGTGCACGCTCAGAGCCATGTCAGCCTCGGGTGGTCCCTGCTACACCGGACCGCCCAACGCCGCGATTTGACGGCATGACACGCCGTGACGGTCACGGTGCGCACCAACGCGGCATGCCGTTAAACCGGGAGGCGCGCGCGCTGCCGGGGGAACAAATGGACGGCCATGAGCCATCGATGGGCATACTGCTTTTGGGGATGATGTTCCCGAGATGCTTGACGCACAGGTAGAGAAGACACGCATGGACCAGCCGCTGAGACCGGAGGGAAGTCTGGCCGGAGAGCAGCCCTGTGTAAAGCACCGGTGAGACTAACACTCTGTAGCAGCAGGCCTCGGCAGCCGAGGCTTCTTCCTTCTGAGACACTTACTTGAATAAAGTGTGGTGGCACAACGCGGAGCTGCATGCTCGGTGCGGAACAGTGAGACAGCGGGGAGACTAGGAATCTAGTACATACCGTGCAGCGAGAGCAATGTTGATCACACCGCATGATCGCCGATCAATTGGGTGGAGCCATGTATGCCGTGTGCTCGAGGCGAACGCCGTGTTGAACACGATCGGGATCCGGGCAGCACGGATACGGCTGTGATATGGAAACCGACACGGCCATTCTCACCAGGGTCGCTGCCGTCATCGCACAATGCTGCGAGATGTGCCATGTGAGGCGAAAGATATCCTCGGCTATAGGTCGAGGGGCCAGTCTGCACTTACCGCTCCGGCTCAAGACACACAGCGGGCACGGTGCGTGAAAGGTCAGCTCGGCGATTAACCGTCGCTCGAGCCCAGTACACACGGACGTCTCGATCAGCAGTGGCAGTGTCGTAATAACAGCGCACTGCTGATGAGCGCAGTCAGAAATCAGTCCCACGCCCCCTAACGGCAGGACAATAAAACATAATATACTCTACTCGTACTCGTCCTCCACCGGCCCCGGCAAGGTGAACTGCACTTTGAGATTTGCCGCGTCCTGCAGGAGCTGGAGTTAGCCACGCTCACCCTCCCACATACTCGATCGACATCCAACGGTGGGAGGTCTAGCAGCATCAACTTTGCCTCGGACCCGTCAAGCTCCTCCAGCGTTCTGCGGTCAGCTTCGCGCCCTCCTCCTCAACAGCTTGCACGTCAATCCCACACTCACTCTTTGCACGTCAACAATACCGCTACACATACGTAGCAATGAAGGGCGAACATGTCCTCGGCCGCGAAATATGAGTCCCAGAGACGCAGAACGTCGCCCAGCCACATTTCGCGCGCGAGCAGAGTCGTCATCCAGCTCATCGCAACTGCTGTCATCGGCACTTGCTCGTCCTCGAAGTAGGCGTGCAGCTCGGGGATGGCAGCGCGGAAAAGGCCTAGCATAGTGCCGAGCCGAGAAGGCAGTGGAGGGAACGTTTCTGAGGTCAGCAAGGGCTGCCATCTAGCAGCTGGTCACTCGCTCTCAGCGCGAGCTGTTCCCGCCAATAAAACTCACTCAGCTTGGCCGCCAGCTTGTCGAAGGCGTAGTAAACTGAGATCGGGCGCGAGAAGCAGCACACGAACGGCGTGACGAGGTAGACCCAGTCCACAGGCTGAGGCCCTACACCCTCAGGCCACCGTGCTCGAGGCCCGATCGCAACGTCGGCGTCTACCTCATCCATCTCGGCCTCGATCTCAACACGCGATGGCTTACAGCCCACCCCGTGCCAGTACTTGCCTAGCACTTCCTCAAGCATGGAGAGATACGCATGACGCGTTGGGGGGGCGGTGGGGGCAGGTATAAGGAAGGTGCCGGCGCTCTTGGCTCTAAAGGCCATCGTTCCATCGTCAAGGGACATGGGCGGTGGCGCGGCATTACTCCCCGCCATGAGGTTGGGGCTGGCGGCAGGCCGTCTTGGTGGACCCGGCACGCTCAGCCTTTCTCCCCATGCGTAGCCGCCGCCCGCAGGTTCGGATGTGAGCGTGCTAATCAGACTCTCGTAGGTCGGGTTCTCGAAGCGACGGGTGTGGTGCGCCAGAGCGCTCTGCATGATCATGCTTGCTAGATCCGAAGGCAAGTCCGACGGCAGCTCTTGATATGCTGTGCGCAATGCCTTGAGGAGGGTCATCTCGGAAGTCTTATCCGACGACATCACGCCGAGGAGGTACATCCAAACTTCCTGGCGTCAGACTTGAAGGCGAGTTAACTCACGCCGCGCACACGCGGGGGCACGCCAGCACGAGCGCTCTCGCGTAACTTGTCGAGCTGGACGTGCTGCTCGGCCGTCAAGAGCTCTATGTAGTCCTGCATGTTGGTAGACATGCTGTTGACTAGTGAAGGGCGCTGGAGGCGGAACGCGGCCATGGTTATGTGCACATGCTTTGCGGAGGGGTTTGATGTTGTCACAGGGAAGCGGACAGACCACACCGGTGGAGGTTGCAGGTGGAGGTATGATAAGAGTGGGGCAGATAATTTATCTGACAGCAGTTTTATATCTTTAATCCTGAAAGGCCGTGGGCGTGCGCCCACAGTGTCACCGCTTCGCCGCCAACAACGCTCTTCTCATCATCACAACGCTTTCCATCCCACCTCACCTTGCTATTCCATAGTAACCCCTCCCCCCATAGCATAGGACTGTCAGTGTCGCACTCCCCGTGTCGCCCGTGTCGCCAGTGTCATTCTATCACAGGCCACAGGCAAGCGAAGAACAAGAAGGTGGACATCAGTCAAATTACACAGGCGCGACGGCTCTAGCCATCACACCTAGTCGCGGGGCGACTGATCACTTACCAGACCCAGCGCCAGACTCACTGTCTGCAGTGCTCTTGCTACCCTTCAACTCATAGCTCCTCGAGTGTTGCGTTGGCGACATCGTAGTCCCAACAGCTAGGTACGCTTTCATACACGGCCCCATCTCAACTTGCGTTTCCTACGCCACCGCACTTATTCCCGACTTCAGCCCTCCTCGCCCCCAAGATGGCCTACAGCTATCCCCCCCATCACCCCCATCACAACATGCAGAATGGATGGTACGGCGGTCCCCCACAGCCGCCTCAGGATCCCTTCCGCGCGTGGTACATCGACAAGCTTGCGACACTCACATTCAACTCGCGCGCTATCATCCAGGATCTCTCTATCGAAGCGGTGAAGCAGCGCGACATGAACAATTGGGCCGGGATGCAGGCGATCGCTGAGGAACTGGAAGCTGCCATTTACAGGGTGCGTCCACTAACCATTCGTAACTAACGACAGGCCTCACCTCAGACCAAACTTCCTTTGCTTTACCTGCTAGACTCAATCTCAAAGAACGCCGGGTCGCCTTACACCGACCAGTTGTTTGCGCCGTACCTCCCAGACCTCTACATAGCGACGTACCGTCAGGTTGACGGTGTGACAAAGAATAAAATGGTGGAGATGCTGCGTCTCTGGCGTACTGGCGCTGGCGGAGGCGAGTTGTACCCGCCAGGCATCCGTGAGAGGGTCGAGCACGAACTCTTTGGCTCCACCGGTTTGCCCCCACCCCCGCAGATGGCGCCGCCGCCTCTCACGCAGGCCAACGTTCAGGCCGAGTTGCGACAGTTCCTCCAGCAGAAGGAGGACGAGATGGCCAAGGAGTTTTCGACTGGCCTCGCGAAGACTGTCAACGTCCTTGTGCAGATCGACAAGCTCCTCTCTACCACGCAGGTGAACCGTGAAGAGCTTCTTGGCATAAAGCAGCAGATTGGCGCGATGAAGGGGGGCCTCCAGCCCACGTCTAGCCAGCTAAGCCGCCAGCCTCAGCCGCAGGTTGTGCCCGCCGCTCGGCCACCGATGCCAGCCTTCAAGCCCCGCGATCCATATGCCGCCCAGCAAGCGCGCCCGCCGTTCCCTCCATACGCCCAGCCGCCGCAACGCTACGCGACGCCTCCGCAAGCTTCCCACCCTCCTCAGATCCATGCACCGCTGCCCCAGCCAGCACTCCCTAAGGCCGGCGCCCTCCCTATGCCCGCTAACGTCGCCGATATTTTGGCCAATCTTTCGAAGTCGGGTGTCCTTTCTCAGCCTCTTACCCCTGAGCCTTCCAGCAGGAAGTCGAGCCTTGAGGAATACGAGGACATGATTCTCGCGCTGAACATGACCGTCGACGTGTTTGACCTAACCAAGTACGCTAATCTGAACGCTGCGGGAGCTGACCATAGGCTTACTCTCCCCATCGCGCACCTGCCCGTCCGTTGCAAGCAGTGTGGCGAGCGGTTCCCCGAGGGCGAGAGCACACTGCAGGCGCATATGGACTGGCACTTCCGTCGCAACCGCAAGGAACGAGAGACGGAGGGCCGTGGCGCGCACCGTCGCTGGCTGCCACGCGCTGACGAGTGGATTCACGAGAACAGCGAGGCAGGTCCGAGCGAACCCAAGCAAGAGACGGTCACCAACACCAAGCTCACCCCCGAGCGTCTGGCCGCCCTCAAGCGCAAGTGGGTGCGTGCGCCAGCCGATCCAGCCAAGGCGATGCCGTGCCCCATCTGCAAGGAGCAGTTCAAGTCCGAGTGGTCCGAGGACGAGGAGGAGTGGGTTTTTAAGAACGCAGTTAGCGTGAATGGAACGGTAAGCTTGCGTGCTGGCGATGTTCTAACGGCAGATATACCACGCGACATGTCGCGCCGAGAAGATGAGTAATGCTGTCGCGCAGCGTCTGCTAGGCAATGAGCGAGGCGTGTCGAGGAGCCCTGCGCCCGAGAGTGTGCCAGGCTCGCCGGGGCGACGCCTGTCCGCGTCGCCGCTCAAGTCGCCTGCGCGCCTTCCCGTCTCGCCGGGGACCAAGCGTAAGGCGGAAGACGAGGGCACGGAGGATGCGAAGCGCGTCAAACTTGAGCCCGGCATTGAGAAGGGAGGGGAGTTGTCTAGTGAGAACGTCGAGGTCACTGTCAAGACCGAGACATAGCATAACCACAATCATGATCGCGAGATGCATTGTTTTTTGTACGTGCTTACAAACTTGGAGTCTGCGTGCTACTGGTGACTGCATGAATCTTGCTGCCACTAAGCGCAAGTCTTGTCACCAGAATTGCTACAGATGCTCAGAGATCCGACCTCAACTAGTCGAGGTGGATGAACGGAAGGCCCCACTCCGTCGTGTCCAGCTCGGCGAGGTGCTCCAGCACCTGCTTCGCACCATACGTTGCGCCGGGCTCAAGGGCAAGCAGTTCCGGCTCCGGCACCCAGATGACGTTCATCCCAGCGGCAACGCCAGCACGCACGCCTGGCCGCGCGTCCTCAAACACGAGGCCGCGCGCCCGCTCTGCCTCCTGCTCCGGGGTCGCGTTCTCGGGATAGCCAACGTCGCGGCCCAGCTTGCGCGCCGCCGCCAAGTAGATATCCGGGTGCGGCTTGCCGCGGCCCTTGGGGACCTCGGGTGAGTCGGCGGTCAAGATCACGTCAGGGTGGAACTTGTCGAAGAGCTCAGGAAGGTGGGCCTATTGTCAGTGGTCCTCATAACTGCACCCCGAGGCGATCGCTTCCTCTTCCAGCTTCGGCGCTCGCGCCACTGGCAGGGCCTCCTCCCAAATACAAAAACATCATCCCACAGACCTCTCGCCACGCTTCCTCCTTGCACACCACTCACAGTCTTGACGTCAAAGTTGCGCCTCGTCGAGCCCGTCGCCAGCGCGATCGGAACGCCAGCCTCGTGCAACCCCTGTACGAGCTCGAGTGCACCGCGCATCGGCGGCACCTTGCGGAACAGTGCATCCTGCATGTCCACGCGCTCGGCAAGGTAATCGTCGACGGTGATCTTGTCCTCGAGCCCCGGGAAGAAGCTGAAGAGGTATTCGGCTGCCTCACGCTGCACTTTACCCATGAGACCGGCCTTCATGTCCCATGTCATCTCAAGCCCGTAGCGCGCCAAAATATCGTCTGCTGTCAGCACGCACGGCGGGGCGCGCACTTGTCACCTGCGTGTAGATGCGCTTAGGTTAGTTCAGCAGAGGTAGTCGCGCACCTCCGAGTCACTGCCGTCAGTTCCATCAGGAGGCGAATTGAACGACATACACTGCTGTCAGCGTGTTCTCGCCGCTACGCACTCAATAGTCCGTCCATGTCGAAGATGACATAGGCGATGTCGCCGCGCTTCTGCTTCTGCTTGCTCATATTGAAATGGTGTGAATGCAACCCCAACGTCGACGTTAGTCACTCCTCGAGATGAGCGCCGCGCAGCGTCAGCGGCGGCGGCAAATCGTTGTTGCGACGCCTGATTCGGAAGTCCCGGTATTTCCAGGTTCGGCATTCACCGGGCCGCGAGCCGTGTCAAGCACCCCGTATCGAACTACTTGCCATCGCCAACAATCTCCCCACTTGAGCCCAGCCATCCTCAGTGGCTCGACGGCTGCCCACTTCACTTCCTCTCTTCACCCATCCAACAATGAAAGGCGAATATATCCCTCTCCCGACCAGCGAGCTCGAGCGCGACGAGGTCGTGCAGCCTCGCACCGTGTGGAAGTGGGCACTACCCTTCCTGGCGCTATTCGCAGTGGTAGCCGTCATCGCGGCCACAAGCCCAATGGGATGCCGCAAGGACGGCGGCGTCAAGAGCCTCAAGGTGCCGGGCTATGCCCACCTCCTTGGGGGCGAGATCGACAACTTTGACGTGGACGATGATGACTACCGCCCGCACCACCATGGGCACAAGCAGCACGGCCACAAGAGCAGCGCAATCGAGTACACCTCTGCTACCTTAGCCGCTGCACTCAAAGAGGCTGCCTGTCCCGCCCAGCCGAAGCCGCTGAATGTTGGCCCCGAGTGGAACCCAGAGGAGGACGAGGAGTTTGCGCGCAAGGCTGCGGAGCGCCTGTCCAAGGCGGTCCAGATCAACACTGTATCGACGGACGACCTCCCTGCCGACCCGACCGACCCACGCTTCGACGGCCACTACAAGTTTGCGGAGTACCTTGAGTCTGAGTATCCCAGCATCTATGAGCACCTAGAGCACGAGATCATCAACACTCACGGCCACCTCTTCACGTGGAAGGGTGCGAATGAGAACCTCAAGCCTATCTTCCTAATGGCGCATGTTGACACTGTGCCCGTTAATCCCGAAACGGAGGACCAGTGGACATTCCCGCCATGGAGCGGTGAGATCAGTCACGATGCGACGCCTGAAACTCCTGGCACATGGATCTGGGGCCGTGGATCGAGCGACTGCAAGAACTCGCTCGTCGGCATCCTCCACTCTGTGGAAAAGCTTGTGGGCGAGGGCTTCACACCCGGCCGTACGGTGCTCATTGGATATGGCTTTGACGAGGAGATTGGCGGTGCTCGTGGCGCGCTCAAGATCAAGGAGGTCGTCGAGGACCGGTATGGCGCAGACGGCATCGCCTTCATCATCGACGAAGGCTTCTCCGGCGTTGCCGAGGACTATGGTGTCAAGGTCGCTTCCCTCGGCATGGCCGAGAAGGGCTCGGTAAGCGTCAAGCTCACTATCGACACGCCTGGCGGTCACTCGTCCGTCCCCCCCGTTCACACTGGCAGTAAGTTGCGCCGAATGAATAGCGACGATCGACTCTTGCTGATATCTAGTCGGCTACCTGGCTCGCTTCCTCTCTGCCCTCGAGAACCACCCGTACGAGCCCGAGATGAAGGCGCAGTCGCCTTACCTCAAGTACATGTCGTGTCTCGCTGAGCACGCGCCCAAGTTCCCCAAGAGCGTAGCGCGCCGTGTCAAGAACCCCAAGAAGTGGCCTAAGCTCGCTAAGGACCTCGCCAAGAGTGACCGCGTGCTCAACTCCTTCCTCTCGACCACGACCGCGATCGACCTCATCAAGGGTGGCGTCAAGGTGAACGCACTCCCGGAGAAGGTTGAGGGTGAGTAGTAGTAGGCTGAAGCACTCAGCTGACCGCAGCCACGGTCAACCACCGAATCTCGTTCGTTTCGTCTGTCAACGCCACGCTGCAGCACTACGTGGACCTTCTCACGCCCCTGGCGGACACGTACGGCTTTAGCAGCACGATCTTCGGTGCCGACCACGGCAAGAAGGGCAGCAAACATCTTACGGCTGAGATCGTGGGAAACGAACACAAACATGGCCTGGAGCCTGCGCCTATCACGCCAGGCGACAGCGATGCCTTCGCGTTCATTGCCGGCACCGTGAAGGCGGTGTTTGGTGAGAAGACCGTCGTTGCCCCCACTGGCATGTTTGCCAACACGGACACGGCGCGCACATGGTCGCTCACAAAGCACATTTACCGCTGGACGCCAAGTGACCTCAAAGAGGCAGCCGGCATCCATACTGTAAACGAGCGCATCAGTCTCCACGGACACCTTACCACTACCGCGTTCTACTACAAGCTGCTGCGCAACACCGAGGGGTGGGAGAAGTAGTAGAGATATAGAATCAGAAGGTGAACGTGGCGGTCATCAAGGATTACATCCATTGCAGTGCTGAGGCATGGAAGTGATAAGAAGGATGCATTGATCTGCATGGATCGATCAAGGAAGCGGCTCCGGAAGAGACCGATTGAGAGCGATCGGGAAGTCAGATGATGTCAGACCGGCTACTAGACCCGGTAACCCTTGTAGTACTTGCCCACCTCAAAGTGATAAGAGGCCGTGCACGTTGGTCGCGCTGTTCTCCCACCACTCCTCTGAGCTCAACATCATGGCGGAGATCAAAACGCTCGCCGGCAACATGACCTTCACCGAGTGCCCGCGCTGGCACGAAGGTCGGTGGTGGTTCTCCGACTTCTACACGCACGCGATCTACAGCATGAAGTCCGACGGATCTGACCTCAAGAAGGAGGTCGACGTGCCCGCACAGCCGTCCGGCCTGGGTTGGCTTCCCGACGGCCGCCTGATCTTCGTCTCAATGAAGGACCGCAAGGTTATGGCGCGCGAGGCAGACGGCTCGCTATCAGTGCACGCCGACGTGTCGTCGTACGTCACTGGCCACCCGAACGACATGGTGGTAGGCCCCGACGGCGTCGCGTACCTCGGCAACTTTGGCTTCGACCTCATGGGCGGCGCGCCGCCTGCGACCGCTAACTTGCTGCGCATCGCGCCAGACGGCTCGGTCAAGATCGCGGCCGAGGGCCTGCATTTCCCCAACGGCAGTGTGATCACGCCTGACGGGCGCATGCTCATCGTCGACGAGTCCTTCGGCAACCGCACCTCCGCGTTCGACATCACGTCTGACGGCCTGGGGCCGCGGCGCGACTGGGCCGTCTTCGGACCCATTCCCAAGCAGGCCCAGGATAGAAACTACGTGCCGGACGGGTGCGGTCTCGACGCTGAAGGCGCGCTGTGGATCGCCGACGCTGGTGGCGGCCGCGTCTGCCGCGTGCGCGAGGGCGGAGAAATTCTCGAGACTATCGAGCCCGGTACCGGCGTGTTCGCATGCATGCTCGGCGGTGAGGACGGGCGCGACCTCATCATGTGCTGCGCCCCCGACTTTTACGAGCACAAGCGCAGCGCCTCTAAGGAGGCTGAGCTGAGGGTTGTGCGTGTTAAAGTGCCGCGCGCCGGGTGGCCCTAACCGTGACATGGAGCGGGAGTTGAAGCTTGGGCGTCACCATGCTGCGCTCGCCATTGTATGAAGGATACGGGAGGTACAGCAAAGGGAGCATATGAAGGCAGTTGACAGTATCCAGGAGCTCACACGGACTCGTCTCGTTCAACTCGCTGCCCCCACTCACCACTGCTGCCGGTCCTTGATTAGGACCACTCGGCTCTTACTGCACTGACACTGCCGCCTTCTGGGGCGTCGCACTTTTCATCTCCCATCATAGTCTACCGGCGCTTCTATCAAAGCAGTTCTTGCAACCCGGTACGCGAGTCCCACGACTTGTTACCACACCAGGCGAAGTGGCGGAGTGGTTACCGCGATTGACTCGAATACTTTCGATCAATTTCCATTTGGAGCGCATGTTCGAGTCATGTCTTCGTCGCAATGCTGGGAGCGGTCCCAGCGCAATCCTTTTGATCCTGAAAGATGATGGGAGACTCGGCTTCTTCGTACACACTTCCAACATCGCCTGTCAACCACGGGCATATCGTTTTGGAGGTGACGAGCGCCGCCTAGTGGGTGTGGCAAGAGTGAGCGGACTGATCGGACATTTGCTCCTGCCACTGCTACTTCCCGACGTGGCGAAGAGCCAGTGCCCGTGATGTTTCGCAAGGCAGATAGATCAACTTCTATTCTCTTACTGTATCCCATACATGTCCCTGTAAGCACACATCTAGTCTCTCCGCGGCGGCTGCTGTCCAGTGCTGTGCAGAACGTCGCCGCTGCGCTGTCCGCACACCCTCAGTGCGCTGTGGCTGACGTGTCCAACCACTTGCGCGTTTACAGCTCCACTTGCGGTTGAGGCAAAAGAATTCCCAAATAAGTCGGGGCTGATCCTGTACGGAGACTCTGTAATCAGACAGACAGACACAACTTAGGGGGCTCGCCCATTCTCACGATCGTCGGCTGACGGATGAGTGACAGTAAGAATTGGGGACGGTGGTGGTGAAAGTGAGCACGCAGGCCGGATGCAGGCTTCAGTCTCGCTGCGGGACAACACTCCTGTGTCAGAATGCAACTGTTCGCACAACGACTGAGCGCATATTCGATTCCAAGGTCCCTCGGTGCTGATGAGACGTCCTGTTTGGCCTGGTTGAAACAGCTACAAACGAAGGCAAAAGATTATGCCTCCGGACGGGATTGAACCGCCGACCTCACCCTTACGAAAGGCGCGCTCTGCCACTGAGCTACAAAGGCGAAGACCGCTGTGCTATTGCTGCACATGCTCTCGATGCGCACAGCATTGACAGAGTCCACAACATCGCCTGTGTACACACGCATGACGCTGACCTCATTGCAATTCATTTACCACCCTAAGCTGCAAAACTCTGTAATATTCTCCTCATCCTCGCCTCTGTAGTCGGACCAGTACTGTGCCAGTATCATTCATCGGCGCCATGACGGCGCTCATCTCGGTCCCACAGATGACCTCACTACTGACCTTGAACCCCAATCGAGACGATCTCCACCCCGATGCGATATATAGCCCCACCCAACGAACGCGTCCACTCACCACTGATCATGTTCCGCCTCAGCACCCGCCGAGCCCTCCTGCGCCCCCTCAGCGCGTTCCCCGCGCGCGCCGTAGCCACCTCCACCGTCCACCCACCGCCGCCGGCCGAGGCGCCGCGCAAGACCCCCGCCGCGCCGTCGCCCGTGCGCGCCCCGCCCGAGACGCTCAAGCTCTTGAGCCGCTTGCACGCGCGCTCGAAGGGCGCCGGGGCCGAGATGGCGGGCGTCGACTCGGTCGCCGTGCGCGAGTACGACGGGCAGGCGGACCGGATCGTCGCGCTCAGCGAAGACAAGGCGTATTTCGTGTACTCGATCATCCGGGCGGCGCGGGGCACGCGCGTGGTCGTCATCGGGGCGGGATTCGGGGTCGGCACCGTGTACTGTGCGCTTGCGGCGCAGGACAATGCGCGCGACTTGGGGAAGGGGCGCCCGAGGGTCGTCGCGACGGAGTATAGGCGGATGAAGGTGCAGCAGGCGCGCGAGGTGTGGAATGAGGCAGGGGTGAGCGGGATCACGGAGGTGTTGGAGGGCGACTTGGCGGAGACGCTCAAGGATGCGGCGCTTAAGGACATTGATTTCGTTCTTCTCGACGGTGAGCCGATGGTCATGATGTTTTGGTGGGCACAGCTAATGCCAGATTGGACACCCAAGGCTCTCCCGGCGCTCAAGCTTTTGCAGCCGCATCTGCGCCCAGGGGCAACCATCGTTGCGAACGACACTGCCGTCGACGCCGACGCATACGCTGAGTTCTTGCAGTACGTCGATAAGGACAATGCCTTCCAGCGTATCAGCATCCCTTACCTGGGCGGGCTTACGATGATGACGTATTACCCGCAGCAGCAGAAGTAGCAGCATATGAAGATCGCATGTATAGTCTATAATCTACACCTACACTAACGGTACACTACTCGTCGTCCGTGTCGGGCTCGCGCTCTCCGCCGTACGTGAGCCAGTTGAGCTTGCGGATACGCCTGCGCTCCTCCTGTGCCTTGATCTCGTTACGAGTAGGCTTCTTCTTCTTCTTGGGCTTGAGCGCAAGCTTCTTGAGCTTCTCGATGTCGGCCGCCTCGTCGTCCGAGTTGTGCCTCGACGCCGCGGCAGAGGGCGCAGCGGACGTCATGGGCGTAGCGGTGCCGGGAGTGCTGACACCGGCCGGGGTGGCGGCGCCGCGGGGGGTGCCCGCCTGCGAGGGGACTCTGGACGGGTGGTCGTCCTCGAGCTGGGGTGGGGGAGCCTTGCCCTCGATCGTAAGGATACCCTTGTCGACGTGCCAGAGCTCGGGGCAGAGCGCGTGCACAAACTCGCGCGAGTGCGAGATAATGACGACGGCGCCGGCCCACTCCTTGATAGCGCCAGCGAGACCGCCAAGCGCCTCACGATCCAAGAAGTTAGTAGGCTCGTCAAGGAAGAGGATCTGAGGACGGTTGATCATCGACGCAGCAATGACGACCTTGACCTTCTGGCCACCCGAGAGACCCGACATCTCGTTGTACTGGGCGATGTCGCCGTCAAGGCCGACAGCCTCGAGCACCTCACGCACCGCGGCGGCGGAAGTGTCGCGCATACCAGCACCCTCACGGGCCGAGTCGACATCGTCGAACTGGTTGACGAGTTTGCCGAAGCCGAGCTCGATGAGCTTGTCACGGGGCATCCAGACGTTGAACTTGTGCGCATAGCCCTTGAACTTGATCTCGTACTGGAAGCCCTTCTTGAGCTTCTGACGACCAAGAATGGCCTCGATCTTGCGCATCTCGCCGTTGCGGCCAGCGACGGGCTTCTCCATCATCTCCTGTTCCTCCTTGGTGACGACGCGGGTAGTCTTCTCGAGAATCTCGCGGTCGTAACCGTCCTGGTAACGCCACTGGATGTACTGGACGGCAGTCTTCTCGAGGTGCTGGTTGATGTGGTGGAACGCGTGCTGAGCAACGTAGCCGACACGGAGAGCCGGGTGCTTGTGCACACTGCCCTCGTTGGGGACGGTCTCACCGGTGAGGAGCTTGATGAGGGTCGACTTGCCAGCACCGTTGGGACCGATGACACCGACACGCGACGACAGCGAGAGCGAGCACGACGCGTTGGTGAGCGAGGGCTTGGCGGCGCCAGGGTACGTGAACGTGCCGTTCGAAAGCTTCAGGATCGTACGCGTGTTCGAACGCACACCCATGAGCGAACCAGGAGGGGGGAACGAGAACTTGATCGAGGACGAGTCAAGGGTGTAGTACGACTTGGCAGCGGGGACCTTTTCGACAAACTTGGACAGGTTGCCTGGGTAGTAGACAACCTTCTTCTTCTCGTAGTGCATAATGTCCGTGCACACGTTGTCAAGGAAGCCGGAGTCGTGCGACACGATGAGACAAGTGACGTTGGAGAGGCCGTTGAGGTAGTTCTCAAGCCAGGCGACAGTCTGAACGTCGAGGTGGTTAGTCGGCTCATCGAGGAGGAGAATGTCGGCGCCGATGAGCATAGCTCTGGCGAGCTCGAGCTTCATCTTCCAACCACCCGATAGCGAGGCTACGGGGTCGTTCTGCTTCTCGTCGTTGAAGCCGACCTCAAGGAGCATGTCGGCAATCTCCTTGCGCTTACGGCCGGCGAGCTGAGGGTCGGCGGCAATAAAGTCGATGATAGAAAGCGAGGTGTCCTCGCCCTGGAGCGCATGCTCAACCATGATGCAGCGAAGCTCCTCCTGGGTCGGGAAGCCCTCGACCTTGCCGTCGCGGATGGCCTTCATGAGGGTCGACTTGCCCGCACCGTTAGCGGCGCAGATACCGTAGCGGCGGCCGCGACGGAGCTTGAGGTTTGTGTGGTTGAGCAGAAGCAGACCACCGTACGCGAGCGAGAACTTGATGTCACAGAGGATCTCGGCTCCGTCGTCAACCTCCTCCTCGCCGCCGTACTTGGCCTTGTCGGCGGCAACAAACGCCTCACGGATAGCGGTGGCAGCAGCCACGCCGGCGTCAGCGCCAAGGAGCAGCTTGCAGAAGCCGCCGAGCGCCTTGCCGTCCCACACGTCGTCGTCAAAGTTGCGCTCCTGAACCATGTCGGCAACAACATTGGCCGTGTACTCGAGGGCCGAGGCAATGACGGGCTTGCCGGGCATAGCAGTGGCGAGGGGCATCTTGACGCCCTCCACACCAAGGTCGAGGTGGGGCACCATCACGGCGAGGGCCTCGTTGACGCTCTGGATAACGTCGCGGGGCGGAAGGGGCGTGGCCGTTGCACTAGCACCTGCGTCGTGGAGGATGTCAAGAGCGGTCTGGGCGAACGCGCGGATCTCGGGGAAGGCGGCACCCTTGGCGATCTGCTCAACACCCGTGACGAGCGAGCCAAGGTAAATGGCGGCGATCTTAGGGTCGCGGACGAGCTTGACAAGGTTGCCGATGACGATGCAGGTCATGCGCTGGGTGTCGGTGGAGCGCTCCTTGAGGGCGCGGGTGAGAAGGGGAACCATGACGGCGAGAGTAGGACCGGTGACCTCAGCGACGAACGTGGTCGAGGACATGGCCTTGATCGTCTTGGGGACGTTGGAGGGCGAAGCCATGGCAGCGACAAGGGCGTCAACGTGCTTGAGCACGTCGGCGTTGGGAAGGGTGCTACAGAGGGTGGTGGCAGCCTTGGTGGCGGCCGCGGAGACCTCCGCCTTGGTGTCGTGCATGGACATCTCGACGACGGGGATAACCTCGCCGAGCATCTCGCCTACATACTCCTCGGCGCCGGGCTTGACCATCTCCTCGATGGCCTTGAGCGCGGCGACCTTGGAGCGCCAGCCCTTGCTCTCCTCGAGGCCGTGGGCAAGAGCCTGCATGAGCGGGCGCGTTGCCTCAGCGGGCGCAGCCTTCACGATAGCCTTGATGGCTGAGCTGACGCCGGAGCGCACGGGGGAGCCCTTGTCCATGGCGAGGTTGAGCAGGGTCGGGATAAGGGGAATGAAAGCGCCCTCACATCCAGATCCGAGCGCCTTAATGGTGCGCTCAACGAGGACGCCGGCGCTCTCGCGCTCATAGCCGCTCTTCGACTCGGCCCAGATCTTGACGACCTCGGGCAGCTTGGACGCCTGAAGCGTCTCGAGGGAACGGGGGGCCTTCTTGATCTGGAGGGCAAGGGCGTCAGCCGCGGCCTTGGCCGCCACGTTCGACTCGGCCAGAGCGATCTTGTGGAAGTCGTCTACCATGGGCGAAAAGGGGAGAAGGGAGGGAGTAGCGGCGGGCATGGTGATTGAGGTGGGACGGGGGATCGGAATCGAGAAGTTGAGGCAAAGTCTAGACGATTTGAGACCTGTTTTTGGGTTGTGTTTTGACGAGATTAAGTCGTAACTAGTAATTTACAGTGAGTGGTGTGTATAGTAGAGGGTGGGGGAGAGAGGCCCTCGAGAGGATGGGAGGATGAGAGGATGAGAGGGGAGAGAGGATGTGAGAGGAGATGAGAGGAGATGAGAGAATGGAGGAGAGATGAGGGATGAGAGATGACAAGCGATGGTGGCGGGGAAAGATTTGAATGGCCTGTCACCCCACAGGCGCTTGCCAGGCGCGTCCCGCGTCCTACAAATTCCGCACAGGTTTTGAAAACACGTGCGGGGCCGGAGATAGGGCGTCGTGCCTGAGCAATTAATCCGGGGGTCAGTGTCACGTGAGCGTCATTTTCGCAGGCCGGAGGGACCTGCAAGATGTCGATGGTTCGACTCTGTCCCGCAACTTTCCTGCCAGGTCGCTGTGATGTAGTCGAGCTGTCACTGGTGGGCGAGGGGTAGGTCCCTCAACATCGCTCCGAGTATACGTGAGTGCTGAGCGTCTTGTGCGATCTCGTAAAGTCTAAAGCTGCCCCAATGAGACATTATTGGATCCAACGACATCCAAAGCCAGACCCTTGCGTCATGAGGTGGCGACTGACAAGCAAAGTATCAGGCTGAAGCAACCCAAGGCCCGCAGAAGTCCATGCAAGACGCTGACTTGGGCAGCAGCTGTTGCAGATGCCGTCAGACCCCAGAGCCTCCTGAACTGGAGGTCAATCAATGCGCAGGCAGCCACTCGGCACCCTTCCGTACTTCTTCGCTGGCAATTGCCACTCTTCCTCAGCCTCTTCGACCCACACCCTACCTCGGCCCTACCGCGAAAGGTGATGCTTATACATGCTGCTGACTCTACACTACGGGCGGCTGCGGCGGCACCTGGAGCAGGAGGTTGCCGTTCTGTGCAGGAACATACGCAACGTTGCGGTTCTGCGAGAGCGACTGGGCGATGTCGCGCGCGGTTTCAATCTTCTTGAATTGCACAAACGCGTCGCCGGCCTTGCTCAGTGCGGCGGAGATGGTCGAGGCAGCTTCGGCCTCACCCTCGGCGCGGATGACCGAGGCCTGGCGCTCCTGCTCGGCCTTCTCGACGACGAACTTGGCGCGCTCGGCGTCCTGCTGCGCAATCTGCTTCTGCTCGACGGCGGTGGTGAACTCCTTGCCGAAGCTGGGGTTAGCAAGAGGACGTTGGTGTAGCGCAGGGCACGAGCGCACGCAAGCGTAGCCGGGCAGAGGGGTGGGTGATGGTATAGAGCAGAAACCAGGGCCCGAAAAGAGCAGGCGAGAATGTGGGGAAGGTCGGAGGGTGAAGCAGGAGGAAAGGAAGTGATGGTGCCGCAGTTCGAGAGAGGCCGTAGATAGGAGACGAGGCAAGAGCACTGCGCGGCTTGCCCGGCTCGTGCACAACACAAACTCACGTCATGTGGGTAATCGAGACGTCCTCGAGCTGGATGTGGAACTCCTTGGCACGGTTGAGGAGGTCGTCGCGGATACGCGCCGACACGATCTCACGGTTGGTGATGAGCTCGGATGCGTCGAACTGCGCGACAGTCGCCTTCAGCACCTCGTTACCAATCGAGGGCAGGACACGCTCGTCGTAGCTAGCGTCAGTCTGTGCTACGGGACCGCGATCGCGCAGAGGAGCAAAACGCACTCGAGTCCCAGGTTCTGGTAGATGAGCGGCAGAGCCGTGATGTCCGGGCGGGACATAACACGCAGGGTGAGCGAAACCATCTGCATGTCCTTGGAGCCGGTGGTGGTTGAGATGTTCTGTGGTTAGGGCCGGCGGGGCAAAGTGCTTACTCTCGGCTTGATGCGGCAGTCGTAGAGAATCGCGCGCTGCAGTCCGGGAATGAGCAGGTGTGTGCCCTCGCCCGTTGACGTCGGCTTGACACCGGTGAACCGGTCGAACATGACGGCACGGAAGCCGCCCGGCACATCGTACAGGGCCGAGTCGACGACGGCAGCGCCGAGCGCGAGGGGGACTGGGCGGCGTCAGCTCACTCCGCGCAACCAAAGGCAGGGCCGTACTCACTAATGTATCGCCCGAGGTTCTGCATGGTGGTTGTGGTGAACGGCGAAGATGAACGGAGCATGCGAATCGGCGAGACGCTGACGTCTCGAGGTTCGGTGAGCGGAACCAAATTCGACATTGCCATGCTTCTTCCCTGAAACAGTGCGAAATGCGGATGCATGCTTCCTTCTCGACACGACATCGATGCAGCGAAATGACTACGCTAGGAACTCGCGGCCACTCGAGGCCCTGCCAACCTCCCGCAGGCCCTCCAGTGTCCTCAAGCGCTCAACCAGCGCAACAACTTCGCCGGCCTGCCCTCTGACAACCTCGTCCACATCTGTGCCCGCAACATATCGCAGCACCGTGACAGTGCGGTCGAGCACTCTCTTGTCCAGGCTCAAGTCCTTTTTGGTCTCGGGGTGAATCTGTCCGGGTAGGCGGAGCTTAAACTCCTCTGCTCCGCTTGGATCCTGCTGGCTCTGGGTAGCCTCGATGAGTGATGCCGCAAGTAGGCCGAGGAAGACCAGTGCAGCGCGACGCAATGCCGGATGTTTAGGGTTGGCAGTGACCGGGTCCTCGTCAATGACGCGTAGCTTTTCCTCTAAGGCTGGCTCGGGCTCAGGCTCTTCGTCGTCGATGAGCATGACCTTCGGCCTGGGTTTGGGTTCTGACTCCGGTTTAGCAGGACGGAAGGCCGACGAGGTAACGCTCTCGACCTGGACGAGGTCGACAGCAGCCGACGCGAGCTCAGCCGCCCACGGCAAGAGTGCCAGATGATCCTCCTCTGCCGCCGTTGACAGTAACGACAGAGCGCTGGTGCGGAGGACGGTCGGCGCAGCCGCGTCGCGGAAAACGCCCGTCAACGGAGGAATGACGAGGCCGACATTCGCGGCAAACGCTTTCCCCGCTCGTTTGATGATCATCTCCAGTGCCTCTCCGATGCGCAACCGTTTGTCCATTGTCTCAGCTGTGTCACTGTAGACGCGACAGAGAGTGCGCAGAATCTCTTTGCCGAGCGCGTCGGCCATAGCCGCCAGTCCCTTCGCCGCGTTGAGGTAGATGTAGCTGTCGGCATCTTGGAGTGCCTGCATGTACACGTCGAGAATGGCCGGGGTGAGCGCTGTGTCGTAGTCCGGTTTGAAAACGAGTTCGCGAAGCAGGACCAGCCCATGCGCGCGTACTGGTAGGATGGGGTCTGCGATGAGGCCGAGGGCGCGTCGATAAGTCGAGACCGATTCCGATACCTTGCCGCCGGCTGTAAGACTGGCAGATCTACGCACAAGGAGGACGAGAGTCGCCTCGCGTGCTAACTGCCGCACGTGGGCGGAGGGCGCGGACTCCAGCGTGGTGAGGTGCGATGCGATGGGATGCAGGATCGGGTAAGTAGCAAAGGTGATACTTTCGTCCTCCAGTGTCGCGAGGAGTAGGCTGATGGCTGTCTCGAGCAAACCAAGTTGCTCCACACTGTCCTCGGTAAGTTCTGGAATTTCGACTTCGTCCCCGACTTCCTGGACAAAAGGTTTCTTATCTGGCAACGCTGTTGCCTCGTCATTCAAAACGCCTTCCACAAAGGCGAGAACGTGCCCAGGCTCCGCAAGTACTTTGTTTCCCAAAGTCTCCATCATCACCAAGGTGAGTCGGAGGAACAGAAGCGACTTGAGTGGGTCCCCATCGGACGAGGCGCGAACGCGCCACTCGTTCAAAACACGCAGGAACACTTCAGATGACATGTCGGCGCGCCCGAGCTTCTTCAAGAGGTCGGCGAGGACCAACGGATCGGGAGCAAGGTCGAGGTCGCCAAGCTGATCGTCGACTTCCATCGAGTCTGCTTCGGTCTTCAATGACTCTTCAGTATGAGGGTACCCGTACACGAGCTCAGCCCCATCGCCAACCCTCTGGAAGTGTAGAACCTCTCCATGCTCTGAGACGGACCACCCACGCCCGGTCGTGATGATCGACCAGACTCCCTTGACGCCGTCGTCCTTGCCTACGAGCTTGCCCCACGACGTAAGCACGAGATCAGTATCGGCGGCCAGGCCGCCTTCCTTCTCTTTCGCTTTCATAGTCGTGGGTTGCGGCTTGAGGAAGACGTAGAGGGCGAAGATCTGTGGCAAGATCGGGCCGACGACGAAGTTTACGAAGTCAGGCGAGGGCGGGGCGTGAAGCACAAGCTGGGCCGTCGCGCCTACCAGAGACTGGACGCCCTCAGCCCGGAGAACCACGCCCTCCCTTGGTGCCGGGTTCCATGGCTCATGGAGGTGCGCTTTGAGCCACGTCACGGCGACTGGGGAGTTCGCCCATAGGTGATGGACAACGTACGCCGCCGTGTGCGAGTACACCACGGGCGCGGCGGCCTCGCCCATGAGCCCGAACAGGGTTTCGAGAAGGTAGGGAATGTAGGTCTCCGGCGAGCTGCTCCTGGGGACGCGCGACAGCAGGCCAGCGATACGGTCGAGCTTGGGTCCGTCGACGCCCTCGCCCGCCATATTCCCAACTTCGCCGAATACGTTCTCCATGACCGCCTTGACGCCGCCAGGACGGAGGACCTGGTTGCTGAGCAGCGTGCCGAGCGTGCCCTCGACGTAAGCGGGCCATGTCCGCGTCCAGCCTTTCGGCGGGCGGGTCTTACCCGCACCGACAATTTTGAGCGCGGTGCTCAGTGCTCCCATCGCCTGGGTGGGCGACAGCTCCGAGAGGGTATGGAGGAGTTGCGCCCGCAAAGCAGAGTATGTGGCTGGCGGGGCCGACGGCGTCCACCCCACAACGATGCCGGCGAGCATCAACGGCGGGAGATGGGAGGAGAGGATGCTCTGTGTGATGCTCGTGTGGGGGATGCGGGTGCTGCCCCCGCTCGGCGGCGACGGGGTGTCCGTCAGACCGAGGAAGGTGCTCACAGCCTCCGATAAACACGGGTCGACCGCCTTCCGCTCGCGCAAGCCCGCCACATACGCCAACACGAGAGGAAGGAGGTAGGACACGAGCGCATGCTGCAACAGCAAGCGAAGGAGACGCTGGTCCGCGGTACCCAGCAAGACTAGCGTCAGCAACGACGGAGGACGGCCTCACAGTCCTTCTCGCCCATACCGTCCTTGTGCTCGGCCGGCCAGAACTCTTTGGCCAGGACACCCTGCATCGCGACGAGCAGGTCGAGTGCGCGCTGCCCGACGAGCATGACAAGCGCATCGCGGCGCGCCTTGCGCTTGACGGGGTCGTCACCATCGTCACCGACCGCTTCGAGCTCATCGTCGTCACTCCATCCTGGGCGGTCGCGCCAGGGAAGGAGGTCGCCGGCGGCCTTGAGGCGGGCGAGGAGCGCGGGCGGGGCCGAGGGCAGCGGGCTCGGCGGCTCCAGCAGCGCATTTCCTGCCGCGAGGAGCGTCTTGAGGTGTGGTGCGCTCATTCCGCTAGCGTCATGTCCAGCGTCGATTATTGTCCAGTTGAGCGCACTGAGTCAAGCGGAATGCTACAGAACATGACGCAGTCGTAACTGTGCACGTGATCGCACTTGAATGATTAACTAGATTAGCGGGACCAAATGCATGCGGCTCCACTTGCTCGGTCGGCGAACGGCGATGTGGGCCACGCCCTCCGCCGGCTAACGGTTAACCCGAAGCCAAGTCAAGTGGGCCGGGCCAGACGGCCATCTCTTTCAAACCTACACTCTCCTCACCATTGCGCGCCGCGACTTGTGCGACGGCCTGCCATCTTGGGGACGCCTACTGAGCCACATGACGCCGACAACCACGCGCCGCAGCTTGGGCGGCGAGACCAAGCCGGACCCGTACGAGGTGCTGTACAACACGGCGGTGCAGGCGTTTGTGCGGCGCGACCACGCCAAGACGCAGGCGAGCCTGGAAAAGCTCCTCGCCCTCACGCGCAAGCTCCCGCGCGACAGCGCGGCATGGCACGACCTGGCGGCTGCGGCGCCGAACGGCGAGACGGCCGCCGCCGAGGAGTGGGTGACCAAGACGCTCAAGCTCGCGATCTCGGCCAACGCCTCGCTCTACTCGGACCCGCCTAAGGCGTTTCAGGCGATGCCGCACCTCCTGCCCCCCGCCCCGCCGACGATGATGCTCGAGTACATCCGCGACCTGTGCACCAAGACGTACGGGCAGGCGCTGCTGCCGCCGCAGCTCGTCAGCACGGTGCTGTTGGCCGCGTTGAAGCTGCGCCCGGCCGAGCCCGCCCTGGCGTTTGCCCACCAACTGGCAGAGGACTGGCTCACCGCCCTGCCAGACAAGTTTGTGCTGGCGATCGCGCAGCCGCACCAGGGGGGAAACAGCGCGGCTGCGAGCGCGGCGCGCAAGCGTACAGACGCTGCGCGCGAAGGATACCTCAAAGTCGTGGAGCTGTTCGTCGGCGAAGTGCTGGGCCGCGAGGGGGAGTGGGAGATGGCGCGCGGTCTTCTCGAAGGCGAGATGGTCATGGGGTCCAAGAAGAAGGAAGTGGGTGGCCGCGCGATCACGCTAACAAAAGGTATTGTATCGCCACCTGCGGCAGTTGGAGCAGCAGCGCTCTGTGCCACCCTCGCCGAGCAGCTCTGGCTTCCTCCCCTCGCCTGCGAGCGACACGACGACTGGGGACGGGAAGCGGCGCAGCCGCGCACTCTCGGCGGCGTCGACGTCGTCGAGCGAAGCGACGGCGCGCCCCGCTGGCGGCGTCGCGGGCCCCAGCACGCGGCAAGTGAAGGGCAAGGAGCGTGCGCACGCGCACGAAAGCGAGGGCGGGGACTCGACGATCCTGCCGCCCAAGTCGGAGGCGACGGCCGTGCCCACAAAGGTGTACGTGCACCACCCGCCGCGCGCGCCGACGCCGACGCCGCCGACGGACGAGCGCGCGCTGTGGCTGCGCACGACGATGCGCCTGCTCCCCCCCACGCTTGCGCTGCGCTTGGAAGCGCTCGCCGCGAGCGGCTGGCTCGTCCCCGCCCTCCTTCCCATTCCGGCTGCGATTGTTATTGCGCTCTTTGCGATCCAGCGCCGCCGCCGCCGCGCCACCGGCCACGAGGTCATGGGCGTGCGCGAGCGTCTCCGCCAGGTCCGCATGCATGGCCTCAGGCCGTGGCTTGCGTACTGGTTCCGCTGGTGGGTCGAGAAGCTCAAGGGCGTGTGGAACCTCGGCACGACTATCACGTACATGTAGGGTAATGAAGGCGAGTGTGTGGCTGGATGCGGGGGGTGCACTGATGCAGCGTTGACACAGCGTGTGTTGACAGTGGCCCATGGCCCATGGCCCATGGCCCCGTGGGCGTCCCGTACGCTTCTGAACAGGGATGTACTCCGCGGAGGCTAGAGGGTTTGGAGCGCTGTGGTGACACTAATCTTTGCGATCTCATTCCGAGGCAGAACAAGCAGACTGATAATACAATGACTGATCTACTGATTGCGACATGTCACGCCCAGTGATCTCATCCGACATGGACAATCACCCCCTGCGATCACTTGGTGCGTTGGACTAATGACGGCGGTCACGATCACGGTCATGACCTGCGCTTCCCCTTCCCCTTCTGTTCCGTGCGGGCGTGGGAGTGCACGTTCGATGCCGTGGGACGCGAGGGGTCTGACACGTACGAAGCCGACTGATACTTGGGCCAAACGTCGAACGGCCGTGGAGCGGTGGAAGCAGCGTGCCGACGTGCGCCGACGTGCGCCGTGGCATGCGTGGTGAAACTGTGTTTCGCAGGCATGAAACGGTGCGAGTCGTGGGCGTCGGGGTAGGCGGATGCGGCAAGCAATGTGCCGGAATGCGACGGCGCGGCATTCGGCAAGAAGGTGGAGGAGGCTGAGGCTGATCCATGATCCGAGGTGACCAGAAGCTGGTGTCATAGTGCAAGCCCGCAGGCCGCAAGCTTGGCTTGCTGCAGATCAGCAGACGTACGAGATCACGAGAGGATGGCTTCTTGGATTTTGGTTCGCATACATGGGTACATGGGTACATGGGTGCATGGGTGCATGGGGCCAGTGTCTGACGAGCTGACGAGCTGACTAGCGCATGGGATCGACGGACTAACAGATGGCGAGTGTATGAGTATACCCTCCCCCCCGCCTGGCCGCCTGGAGTCAACAGCGGGCGCACACGATCGGGCAAATAGCCCTGATCGGATCAAAGTGCTCCTCTGGCGTGCGTGGAGGCTGGAGCCTGGTGGCCTGTAGGCGGAAGCCGAGAAGCTCGAGACCTGGGACTAGACGCCGGGATCGGAAGGGCCGCCACCGCTCGCTCGCCCCGACCGTGGCGTGCACACAGTGCGAGGCCGCACGGGCTGGTGAGCTGGTGAGTAGCAGCCGCAAGGAAGGAGGGCTTCGGTGTCTGTCCACCGTTGTCGGATCTGCGGATCTGTGCATCATTGGCCACTGTAGCCGGCATCCGGAGCGTCCGTGGTTGGATTGGGAGCCGGGAGCTTGGGCGCCTGGGAGACAAATACGACAGTCCCGACGCCGAGGCCTGTGCGCCACTCGGTGCGCATGGTCTCGCATCATCCCGCCCATTCTCGCCCGCCGCTCGGCCCTGTCTCGCGCCTCCCCATGCCCCATGCCCCAGTCCCAAGTCCCGAGTCCGGCCAAACGATGTTTGCGGGCACAGGGCGGGTGAATACCATACACATACACGCAACGATGACAGCGGCGGCGTTCGCGTGCTGGCATTGGCGCGCAAGCAAGCAAGCGAGGCGATGTGTCTTTATGTTTTTACGGGTGGGATTGGCGAAGGCGTGGTTTGTGTATTGCTCTCAGAGGGGAAGGGGCGGGGGCGGTGAGGGCTCTGAGGTAGATGAGTAGACCATGGATGGAATGTTGGGACGACTGTTGAGGTGTTGAGAAGACGCTCGGATCGTCTGCGTAGACTCTCAGATCCGCCCCGGATGTCCCAGGCCTTCCAAGCCTCAGAGGCCAGAGGCCCCGAGGCTCGTGGCCGAGACGACTGCCACTCCCCCTGGCTCTCATGGGGTGCTGGGGGCGCCGAGTAGACGGTACATGCGGTACACAATCACCGAGCAACTGGGTTCCGGGAGGGATAGGGCTGTAGCCGCCTGTGCACTGACTCGGCGAGAGCTAACAACGGCACGACGGACGAACGAGGTAGCAGAACAGACGAGCAGTGTGAACGGCGTGAACAGCGCGCGCGCCAGCGGATCGGGACAATCGCAAGTGATTGCAGACAAATGCAGTGCCACTCGTTGGATGTGCGTGGATGTGCGTGGATGTGCGTGGATGTGCGTGGATGGCATGGATGGCATGGATGGGCGTCTCATGAGCGCATGAGCGCATGTTGCATGCAGCATGTACACAATCGTGGTTGCATGCAGGTTGAAGACATGAGACCGGCGAATGATTGAAGTGGGATCATGGGAGTATAGGAGAGGGGTTACGACGTCGATCAGCACGCATGGAAAGGATGACAAGGGGCACGGGCGCCCGGAGATGTGCAGAGGGCGAGCGTGCAACAGTGCTGGGGCGTGGTCTATCAAGGGGGAGGAGGAAAAGGGAGGGATGAGAAGGATGAGAACGAGGAGGGAGTGAGGACGAGGGGGGGAGGAGAGGGGGGAGAGGAGGGGGCAGAGGAGGGGGAGGACGACGAGGACGGGGAGGAGGATGATGAGCGCTGCAAGGGCGCCGGAGGGGCGGAGGGGGGGGGGGCGTCAACACGCCCGAATACGCTCTACAGACGTTGAGAGGTACACAAAGCGTACACTGCACACTGCACACTGCACACTGTGGCATGGCACAGCGCCAAAGGGGGGAGGGAGGGGGGAGGGCATCGGGAAGAGCGAGGCATGCAATGTATCCAAAGCAAGGCAGCGAAGAGGACGACAAGGGCGACGAGGGCGATGAGGGCGATGAGGGCGACGAGGGCAACGACTGCAAAGGAGGCGAGGCAAAATGCGACGAGATACGGAAAAGTCGGCCTTCCTTTGGGCCGTCGACAAGTTGTTGTCGACATTCTCATCGTCCTCATCGAGCTCCTCCTCGGACGTTCATCATCAGCCATCCGCATCATCATCATCATCATCCTCATCATCATCCTCATCCTCAACCCCGTCCTCTTCCTCGCTTCCTATTCCTCGTCCACAGTTACATCGACGTCTCACCCCTACCATCCTCACTACCTCCTCCCCCCCCCCCCCCCCCCCCCCCCCCCCCCCCCCCCCCCCCCCCCCCCCCCCCTTGCACACACAACACCGTCTCTTGACCACACTCATCTTCTTGCTGTCCCATCCCCACCCTCCTCTCCCCATCCCCATTCCCACATCATACAAGTAGCTCATCCATCCGCCTCTCTTCACTCTCCCCCTCTCTTCATCATCCTCTCCACTCCCACCTCTCTCATTACATCGACTCTCATCACCTCCCAACCCCGCCTCACCACCCTCCTCAACACCTCTCGTTCGTATCTCATCCCTCACTCGCACAAGCCTCAAATATACCCTTCCTCACATTTCGCCACCACCACCATGCCACACTCCGCCGCCAGTCGCTCCAACCGCACCAAACCCACAGACAGCGAGTCTGGCGAAATCCCACTCTCTCCCCTCTCCGTCTCGTCCTCCTCGCACCCCCCGCCGCGCTCCACACGCACCCTGCGTTCGCACCGAGCCCGTAACAAGCCACAGGCCCAACAGGCCAAAGCTCCAGCCACCCCGTCTCAGCCGGCGGCATATACCAAAGGCACCAAGCGCTCCAAGGCGCCGCTCACTAGGGCCATCAAGTCTGCATCCGAGACAAACGTACCCCAACCCGCACCCACCCCTCCTCCAGCACCGGCACCCCGGGGCCGCCGGAGCAAGCGTCCCCGTTCTCCTACCCCACCCGATGACGAGTTGGTCGATGATGAGGACGAACGCACAGGTATAGATGATAACGAGCAAGGTCGCAGTCCGTCCCGCCACCGCTCCAGGTCTCGTTCTCTCTCAGTCATCCCTACCGTTGACATGCCACCACTCACCCACCCCGCCCCAGACGATGCCGCCGTCCGCGCTCTCGGCTTGCCCCAGTCTTCCCGCCCCGGCGCAGCCACCCTCTCGCTCAACCGCGACCACCTCATTCGCATGCGCGAGGGCCACTTTACCCGCGCTCGGCCCGGCCGGAAGAAGGACGAAAACCGCAACTGGAGGAATCTGACAATGTCCGAAGCCGCCTGGATACGACTCGAAGAAATTGGGGCTGTCACCAAGGGCCGCGCTTGGACTGCGCGCGAGGGCTACGACGACGAGGGCAACCGTGAGTACAGCCTTCGAGCTCGCTGCATGCAAACCACTGACAAAACCCAGCCGTCAAGCCAGACCTCCCATATGTCATGTTGACCAAGCTCGTCATTGCATCGTCGCCCCGCAAGATTCTTACTCTTAATCAGGTAAGTGTGCTTTGGCGCCCGTACCAGCGTAGGGGGTTACCAAAGCGTGTGTGCATGAGAACGGTTCGCTGACGCTGAATAGATCTACCAGGCAATGGAGGAACGCTGGCCATACTTCAAAAAGCTCGGCCAAACATTCCGCGTACGTTGTCTTGATCCACACCCTGCGCCCTTTCCATCCTTCCCTCGCTCGAAGCGGGTGGCCGATCCACACCTCTTGCTCTTGCTTGGGCTTGGGTGCCAAATCCCGTCGTCCACCGTGGAAAGATCCACGCGCTGACCTTTCAGAACTCTATTCGGCACAATCTGTCCATGAACCCGGCCTTTGTCAACATCGAGCGACCGCTCAGCGAAGGCGGTCTAGGCACAGGCAAAGGCGGCTACTGGAAGGTGTCCGAAGACGTAAGTTGGATCGCCTCGAACGTTGTTGACGCCCCCCTTAGACCAAAATGTCTCACCGCGGACGAGGCAAGAAGCCCCGCTTGGAGTCGCCTGCCGACAGTCGGTCCGCTCGTGACCTCCGCAGCCCGACCTGCTTCCCAACAAGCAACGCGCCGCAGATGCAAACGTATCCACCACGTCCCCTTGTTCATCCTCAGACGTCATTCAATCCCTACCCGACTTACGCACATCCCTCGCACACAGCGTTCGCCCCTCCATCCCATCACCCAGGTGGCCCGATTCCGTACCCGATCCGGGCTGCACCCGCATTCCCCGACCCCTGCGAACGCGATCGCAGCACCGCATACCCCAGCCTTAGCGCTAGCGGCAATCACAACGTTCTACTCAGCCCTGCTCTCTCGCTTCCAGATTCAGCCGCTCGCCGCCCGACCACCCCTACTCCAACCCGGCGCACATCGAGTCTTGATGTGAGCCCCGGGCGTTCTACTCTGCCACGTAGTTCTCAGCCCCAGCCCCAGCCCCGCCCAGTTCACGCAGTCTACCCACGAGTGTCGCCACCTGCGCTCGTGCGCAGCTCGTACTATGCCACACAGTCGCCACCAGACTGCCGGATCGCTACCCCATCGTGTGATGGCCTGAGTAGTCTCATGCAGCTCGCCAATGCGGCTGAAACCGATCATGCCAAAGCCCGCCCTCACGTTGCGCCACAGTTCCCTGCTGCCCCGCATGCGCCCGTTCCCCACCGGCTGCCCAATGTCAATGCGCTCCTGAACGGCACGCCCGTGGGATCATCTGAATGCAGCTCATCTCCTCGCCTGATCTACGGATGACACTGTGTGTATTGGTGTAGATAGTGGCATATTCATACGCATAACCTGTCAAGTTCAGTTGTATTCGCGGTCCATAATGCGATGCATAGCCAGTCAGATCAACGAGGCTACGTTACGGGGACGGGGTTGAGAAGCCTCTTCGCGGGCCTCACACGGTGGGGCGCCCCACTTTGCCGTTGTCGGGCAGTGTCGCACATCGTATTTCGAGGGTAAGCTGCAGCCCGTACTGTCGAGCAGCACACCTTAGGGTGCCCACGACCCACCGGGACTTGTCCTACTCAGCACCTGGATGCGTGCACCCCGGGCGCGCATTCGGCCGCGAGCAAGAAGTAGTTGCGCCTGTTTCGTCTCCGCGCCGCATCTGGCAATTCCGGACCGGATTGCTAGCTCAGGCACCTAACACTGACAGCGTGCAGCCATGCCAACCGTGGCAGCCAATGGCCGGCGCGCCGATCCGACGTCCTACACCCTGCGACTTCTAGATCAGCACCGTGCATATCGAAGATCCCGGAAGAGTCCAAAGTCAGTTCTCTGCTTCCTCCTCCGCCGGACGACCGACTATCTGCATTCTGCTTCCATCTCTTCTGCAGTATCGATGTAGTACATATTCCCAAGGATGCGCATCTAGAGCGGAACAACGTGTCACGCGCGTGTGTGGAAAATGGGTGTACAGGGAATGGGGCGAATCTCTATAAGGTATGCAATGTAGTGTGGGAACGACAATGCGGGGCGGAGGCGGGGGTCTATGCCTTCTCGCCGCGGGCGGGGGGCGTGAGCCCGAACTTGGCGTACAATGGGTCGTTGGGGTCCGTGTCCGGGTGCAGCTGGACGCGGCCCGCGTACAGCTCGGTGGTAGACTGGCTTGCCTCGTGCGCTGTGGGGTTCGCGAGCGCCGAGGGGTGGCCGGCTGTCCTGGAGACCCAGGTGCCGCCGGCACCGACGGAGCCGCCGACGAGGGTCGGGACCATGGTGAGGAGCGAGGGGAGCTGGATGTCGGCCTTGCGGAGAGCCGAGCGGCGCGCACGCTGGACGATCGACGAGCCGTTCAGACGGCCGCCGCGGAAGCGGCCGTATGTCGACAGGTTGTCCTTGACCTTCTCAAGCGCGGGGTTGTAGATAAACGCGTCCTTGATGTCGTCCTCATCCTCGTCCTCATCGGGCTTGACAATAGGGAGCTTGTCCGGGTCGGGGAAGAGCTTCCACTTGACAAGGACACGCTCAATAGGCCGGGTGGGGATGGTGCGGACGAGGGCGCCGAGCGGGATGGCAAGGAAACCGACGACGATGGAGATAGCCCAGTCACGGCCAGTGATACGCTGGACCTGGAAGGCGGCGCCACCGACAAAGATGATGAGGATCTGGCCACCGACCATGATGAGGAAGATGATCTGGAAGTAGATGTTGCGGAAGAAGCCCTTGAACACGTTGTATTTCCGGTCAAGAACACGGCAGTTGAGCTGGTTGAAGATCTGGCAGAAGACGAAGCAGTTGAAGACCAGCGAACGGAGCTCGGCCTCGTTGTGTCGGCTGCGCTCGCCGTTGACAGTGAGCGGGAGGTTGAGGATCTTGCCACCAGCGAAGAAGAGGACGAGACAGACGGTGATCTGGTAGCAGGCCTGGACAACGATCATCTTCCACATGTCGACCGAGATGAGCGGGGCGTCCTTGCGGTCCGGCTTGCGCTTGAGCGAGTCGGGTGTGGCAGGGTCTGTGGCGAGGGCAAGTGCGGCGAAGGTGTCCATGATAAGGTTGACCCAGAGAAGCTGGACGGCGGTAAGAACCGAGCGCTTCTCCTCGGACGAGACGGCCGAGACGAAGGTGATGACGACAGCGGTGATGTTGACGGAGATCTGGAACTGGAGGAACTTGCGGACGGCGTCGTTGACACAGCGGCCCCACATGATGGCGACGACAATGTTGGCGAACGAGTCGTCCATCAGGATAATGTCGGAGGCCTCCTTGGCAACCTCAGTACCGGCGATACCCATAGCGAAACCAACGTTGGCAAGCTTGAGGGCGGGACCGTCGTTGGTTCCGTCACCAGTGACACCGACAACCTCGCCCATAGACTTGAGCGTCTTGACCAGCAGCTTCTTGTCCTCGGGGGACGAACGGGCAAGGATCTGCAGGCGGGGAACGATCTCAAGGCGGTCGGCGTCCGAAAGCTTGCGGAAGACGGGGCCCTCCATGATGATACCACCCGGCGTGAAGATACCACACTGGCGGGCAATGGAGCGAGCAGTCAGGACGTTGTCACCAGTGCACATCTTGACAGCGACCGAAGCACCCTGGCACTGGGCGACGGCCTGGGTGACACCGGGACGGAGCGGGTCCTCGATACCGACAACACCGATGAGCGTGAGGTTGCGCGAAGTGAGCTCGAAGGGGACATCCTCGGCGCCGACACCCTCGGCGCCCTGAGGGGGCCACTGCTCGAAATCACGGTAGCAAAGAGCGAGGGTGCGGAGGGTCTGGTCGGCGTAGAAGATGATAGTCTTGGAGATGTTTTGAGCGGCGGCCTCGTCGAAGGGGACAACCGATACACCGGGAATAGGCTGAGGGCGGACCTCGACGTACGAAGTACACTTCTTGGTGAGGACCTCGGAGGCACCCTTGACGTAGAGGCGGAACTTGCCCTCGGGCGTCTTGACGACAACACCCATAGCCTTGAGCTCGGACGAGAAGGGAATCATCTGAACGATCTGGGCGGTCTCACGGGTGGTCTTGTAGTCGGCCCAGCCAAGCTCCTGTGCGAATCTGAGCAGAGCCGTCTCAGTCTTTGATCCAACAAACTCCTTGACACCCTCTGGGTTCGTGTCCTCGAAGGCGGTCGAGTTGATGCAAATGGCCTCGTTGAACAGAGTCTGCAGCTCAGGCGAGGTGATGCCGTTCATCTCCTCCATGTCGAAGCCAAAGTCGGCGCGGTCGGCATCGCCACCGTCGGCAATGGAACGCTCCTGGTTGTCCTTGATGTTGCGAACGAACTTGCCGTGGACACCGAGCGAACCGGCGACGACGCTCATGACGTTCTGGGTGAGGGTACCGGTCTTGTCCGTGCAAATGACAGTGGCGTGGCCCATGGTCTCGCACGAGCCGAGAACACGGACGAGGAGGTTCTGCGAAGTCATGCGCTTGGTCGCGAAGGCCAGGGCAAGAGTGACGGCGAGAGGGAGACCCTCGGGCACGGCGACGACGACCAAAGTGATCGAGATAATGAGAATCTCAACAAACGACTGGGCCTTCTTCTGCGCGAGGTTCTCGTTACCAGTTGCCCAGAAATCGCGGGGCTTCTGAGCAAGCTGGACAAAGAAGCGGATCATGAGCGAACCGAAGAGGATGAGACCAGCGGTACCACCACAGATGGCGATGAGCTCGGCAAGGTTGTTGAGCTTGATCTGGAGAGGCGTCTCCTCGTTGTCGGTGCGCATAGACATCATGATACGGCCGTTGAACGAGGTGGTACCGACAGCGATGACGACGTATGCGCCAACGCCCTCGAGGACCTTGGCACCGGAGATGACGAAACAGTCGAGCTTGGCACGAGCACCGGGAGCGAGGTTGTCTCTCTCGGCGATGCAATCGTCGTAGGTCGACTTCTTGATCGCGTCCGATTCACCGGTAGCGCCCGACTCGTCGCAGCGAACACCGTGGCCGCGCAGGAAGACACCGTCAACAGGGACGACCTCTCCGGGCTCGACAAGGGCAATGTCGCCGACCACGACGTCACGAACGTTGATGACCTGCTCCTGACCGTTGCGGATAACCTTCATGGAGCGGTCTTCACGCTTGTCGTTGAGAAGCTTGAACTGGCGCTCCTTCTGCCAGTCGTTGATAGAGCCAACGAGGACGACAATGAGAACAGCGACGATAATGGCGACACCCTCGATCCAGTCGACCTTGGGTGGGTAGCATCCTTGCGGGCAGTTGTCGCTGTACATCAACTCGTGAACGCCGCCGAGATCGTTGTAAAGGCCGAGAGCAAGCGAAATAACAGCAACAACCGAAAGAAGAATCTTTGGTTAGCGAACGGCTCGTGAACTGTAAACTCACAATGACCTTGTCCTTGAAAGCGATCCACATGAGCTGCAGGAGCGTCTTGGACGGACGGTTGGGGAGGTCGTTCTGACCGTAGACACGGCGGCGGTCCTCGAGTGAAGTGCGCCACTGAGCACCCTGGCCCGGCATGTCCGACGAGCTACGGGGAGCACCCGCGTTCGACCCATCCGTGCACAGACCCAGGTTTGGGTCCACGCCCAGTCCATTGAGAAGACCCGAAACGCCGCCAATCTTCTCCAAGTCCTCGAGAGACTTGGGGTCGACGAGCATGGCGAGACGGGATGGCTTCTCAGCGTAGGGCGTAGGGTCGGTAGTGTCCTTTTCGGGGTCAAGATGCGACATGGGGGGAGGGGGCTTGTTCTTCTTGCCCTTCTTCTTTTTCCCGCCCTTCTCGTCCATGTCGTCCTCGAGCTTGGTGGTGGTGGGCGAGATCATTTCCTTGGAGTAAAGGCTGGACGCGCCGTTGGAGAGGCTACGCTGCTCCTTGATGGGCTCGAGGCCCTCTCCGGATGAGTTTGCGGTGAGGGTTGGCGAGGGAGGGGTCAAGGCGGCGGGAGAGCCGGTGGAAGGGTGAGCGCCAACGGGGGAGAGGTGGGTGGGGTCGCTAGCTTGCGAGGCGGTACGGCGGTGACGCTGGGGCGTCGCGGGCGTGCCAGCATCGGGCGTTGGCTGAGGACCGTCGAGGTCGGTCGTGACGATGACCGGAGGAGGGTTGGGTGGCATGGTCGCCAGTCGACGCGTCGCCGATGTTTGAAGACTACGGTGGCGTACGGGAAAGGGGAAGTGAGGCGAAAGGTTGAGGAAGAAGAGTGGCGAGGGAGCGTGTCTTGTAGGCTCTAGTCGAGAAAGGTGGACTGGTTAGAGACAAGTAGTGTATGAACTGTGTGTGAGAGATGGTCGATGGAAAAAAAGGATAGACGAGAGATGGCGCTGTTGATGAAGTAGTAAGATGAAAGATGGGGGGTGGAATGGAGATATGGGTTGGGAGAGGCCAAGATGTGACGAGGCGGTGCAAACTGGCTACGGTGGGTGTGTTTTGGTGACGCCGATGGGATCGGCCGGCTGTGTGTGGGCTGGAGGCCTGGAGGCCTGGAGGGGAGGGCTGGGCAAATGAAGAGGCGTTACCTACCTGGATGAGTGGCGCGGCAGGGGGGAGAGAGAGAGAGAGGCAGAGGCGAGCCGACGAGCGAGAGAGAGAAAGAGTTGTGGAGTGTCATCGGTCATGGCCACCTGCTGCGCTCCTCCTTCGCTCCTTGTGCCACTGCCAGTGATCACCCAATGCACCCAAACGAGCTTGGCTTGGCACAACATTTGCCTCCGCTTTTCCGTTGTGGGCTCTAGATCCGCATTGCGTCCCCGCTCGATTAGCTTGTAATCAAATAGCTATAGCTCTACCCCTATAGGTCTCTAGTCCAGGAGGGCCAGGCCCCAGAGTTTACCCCCGCTGCAATCGCACCCTGCGTGTCGCGTCATTGGCCGATTAAAATCTCTCATTCTTGGCTTCCCCATCTCCCCGGCCTTGGCACCACCACGGCCACTACTCTACGGCCACTGCGGCCACCACACGACACGACACGTACCACCACCACCATACACAGAGTGTACAGTCACCCCGGCCCGGACAGCACGCATGTCATGGCAGCGGCCGGACCTCTGCTCCTGTACAGCATGACCGAACTCAGTCAATGTCCTGCCGCAGCCAATTCTTGGAGAGACCGCGCACTAGGGTAGGTAATGTCGACGCGTCTCGGGACTTGGGTGATTATGCATTCTTGCCTTTCCACCAACATCCGCAGCAGCCCCCCACACGACACTGGCCAAAATTCGCCACCGTACTGTGCAGCTCAGAGCTCCCCCATACAAAGTGAGGCGGTGCAGTGCCTGACAGGGAATGACGCGTGAGGCATCGGGTGTGGAGCCTGACAAACACTTCCGCTTGGCACCACCCCTGAATGCCAGCTGCTCGCAACTCACTCACACGTGTGTGTGGCGTCAACACTACTTTGTTCTTCCGATGTGCTTCCGAGTCTACCTGAGCTTCGACGAACAAGCGTTCTGCGCAGTACAGAGCAACTCGTAATCGTGCCGAGTACCGAGTCGATGCCGACAGCGGATTCGAAGCTCCGGAGCTCGAGCTGCACAGCTACAATGAACTGTCGACCACTGGACAATTGGGCAAAACTATCGCGCGATCGACAGGGGCGGCCGGGCTCGCCGGGAGGGGCATTGCGGATCTGTGCGCCTTCGGGTATCCCCGTCAGGCCGTGACGTATGACGTAGTTGTCGCGTGCCTGTATTCATCCAGTGGCAAACGAGCAGCGGCCGAGCGGCCAGCCGGCCAGCTGCAGGAGCTAGGAGAGGCCGCTAGCGCGCCGAGGCTGCCGGCCTGCCGGATGGCCTCCGACTCGGCTTAGGCAGCTCACGATGGTTACTCACCGTTGCAATATATGACGTCCTGTCCGCGTTGCGCAGCTGCTCAGCCTGCTCATCTGTGCCGTGCAGTCGAACCTCTCGCTCCGCTTCCAACCCAGTTCTTGCATGATCTTGCAGCCGCTCCTTCCGCGATCTGCGATCTGCGAGCAGCTCCGTCCGGCCTTCGTTTCCGGCACGCATGGAATGCGCCAGCATTCTGTTTACCGAAGTCATGCTATTTCGGTCTTCCTCTAACGGGCATGACGGGAGCGCGTCCGTAGCTTCGTCGCAGGTTGTCATATTCCTATCATGTATGCATGGTGTGGATGCCACCTGTGCGCCTGGGGCCACAGTGGGCCAGTCACGAGACGATGGATGGCGCTCTCTCGACAAGACCCCTTGATTTTGTTCGAGTGTCACAAGGCGGCGTAGCAAAACCCAAACAATTCCAGGTTAGAGTTCCGGCTCAAATCCGGGTGGTCGAACGTTCGACCCCCGGCGCCGTTTTGTCCCAGCCGCCATCCGACTCTTTTTGCCCCTGCCGATGCTTGGCTTCGGCACACGCCGCAGCGCCGACCCGTATGCGTCGTGGATGGGCCCCATGGGCTCCAGCCGCCCGTATCCCCGTCCAATATCCTTCTTCTGCTCGAAATCGCGCGCCAAGACATTACCCGCGACGCGCCTGCCAAGACGCGCCACGCTGCGCCGAGAGCCTCAGGTCTCGGCAGATCGGAGGCTCGGCGTGAGTGAAGTCATCGATCATGTTCATGGGTGAGGCGGTGTAGCGTGAGACTCGCGTGGCTGCTAGACATGCTTGTGGGTGGCAAACGGGGGAAGGTGGCAGCTCGCTACGGTCGCTAACGGGATTCACAAGGGGGTCGCTGCTCGCTGAGTTGACTGCACAGGCAGATGAATTGATCAACACACTCTCCTGTGATCCCGCAGCACCTTCAGCTCAACGTGACGAGCCTGCGCCTGCGAACTGCGATCTTCTCGTCCTCATTTCCCCGATCTCCACCTGACATCTCCCATGTCCCACGCTGACTGCTGATTTGCGCTACTCTGGCGCTGGCGCGTTGACCTCAGCGACGTGCGCCACCCAGGCTGCTCGACCACGCGGGTGTCGGACCTTCCTCAACTAACGCGCTGATTCACACTCTCACGCACGCACGAACACAAGCCAGAAATAGACGGCCTAATAAGGCGACGCATGCTCGCCCGTGCAGATTCAGTGCCAAGTGGCAGCTCTGCGCGACGCATGTCCTCATCGTCTCCGAGTATGAAATGCCGCCCCGCATGGGTGATACTGTAGGCGAGTCACTGGGCCGCGCATGCCGCGCAAGGTGGCATGTGGCAGCATATCACAGCGAAAGGTCCACGCAACACGCAAGGGCGCCTTCAATGTCGTCTCGGTGTTGCTGCATTTAACAACGCAATGCCAAAGCCCTATGGGGTTGGTCACCTCCATGTTACTCGTATCGAGGCGCGTTGTGTCCCTGCTCTCGGTAAAGTTTACCGAGAGTAGCCCACAACCAGGAATGCAGGAAGCTGCATCGCGACTCGCCTCGTCATGACTCCTCATGCGCTGCAGGCGTTGGACTGAGTGCGATGAGACATCAACCTTGCTGTGGGTGCGGGGTTTGATGCGGAGACTTTGAGCGGGGTAGCCGGGGCCGATTGCCCCGCACGGCTCTGCGGCGAATTCCATACAAAGCTGGCTTGAGCGGACTCGACTACACAGCATCCTCTGCATGCATGTGACTCCTCAGGCAATCTCAACAACATCTCTTCTCTTCTCCAGACATCCGCGAACGCACCCGACTTCTGCAGTGTCGGAACGCGTCGGCGTCGGCGCGGACGCATGGTTGATCATCCCTCCCACTCATGTCTGAGAGTGGAGGCCGACCTCGGCTCACCGGCCCAGAGGACGCCGGGGTCCCATTCCGCCTCGGCCTCATGTCATCCTTCCCTCGACTTTCCATCATATCAAGACCATCACAGCCGCATCAAGCTCCCTTCATCCTCAACTTCCACCTCTACAATCACCATGCACATCGCATACCTCGGCCTGGGCAACATGGGCGCCGAGATCTCGGCGCGCCTCGCCGTCTTCGCCAAGGACAACGGCCACGCGCTGACGGTCTGGAACCGGAGCCAGGACAAGTACGCGGGCCTGCGCTCCAAGATCGGGGCGACGTTCGCGACGGACCTGAAGGAGATCAAGGGCGCCGACGTCGTCTTCCTCATGGTCTTGAACGACAAGGCGAGCGCCGACGTGCTCGCGCAGGTGCTCGAGGTCTGCCCGACCGCCGTCGTCGTCGACCAGAGCAGCGTGAACCCCAAGACGAGCAGTGAGTGCGAGGGGCAAGTGTATGCCTTAGATGGCTCGCTTACGTCAGTTGCGAATGAGAAGGCGGCGGCGGCGGCTGGCGCACGATACCTTGCTGCGCCGGTGTTTGGGCGCCCGGACGCCGCAGAGGCCGGCAAGCTCATCCAGGTCGTGAGCGGGAACAAGGAGGCGCAGGAGCTCGTCAAGCCCCTCTTTGATGTGTCGGCGCGCGCGGTTATCAACGTCGGCGAGGAGGTGTACAAGGGTGAGTCGCTACATCCAGTGCTGTGCTGGAGCGTGGGCTAGTCTTGCTGGAAGCAGCTGCTCCCGCGGCAGACAGCTCTTGTTGCCAAGTTAGGCTAGATGCGGCGCAGGTCCCCTGTTGACATGCTCTCGCTCACCCCAGCCACCACCGTCAAGCTCATGGGAAACGCCATGATCCTCGGCATGATGGAGATGCTCGCCGAGGTGTACGCCCTCGGCGACGCGACCGGCATCGAGCCCGATGTCTTCCAGCAGTTTGTCGAGATGTTCTTCCCCACGCCCAGCTATCAGGTGTACGGCCGCAAGATCGGCCAGGGAAGCTTCTCGGCCGCGGGCGGCTTCCGCTTGGAAGGTGGATTGAAGGGTGAGTCTGTGGCGGGGGTACAGTCGCCTATCAGCCGGCAGGAGCACATGCTTGGGTCATGCCTGCATGGAGGTGGACTCGCGCTGCTAGGAAGGTGTTCACTGTGGCTCCGCTTTGGCTCTTCGCACCCACTCACACCAGACGCCAACAACATCCTCTCGGTCGGCGCGGATCTCGGCCACCCCGTCCCGCTTCCCACGATTGAGCTCGCGAAGAAGCACATGCTCCGCGCAGTCGAGATGGGCGGGCAGGACCAGGACTGGAGCTCGCTCAGCGCGGCTGTGCGCGAGGAGGCCAAGCTCGAGCCATACCGGAGTGAGTGGGGAAGGGGGTCCGGGCACTACCCTTGCCTGGAGAGAGAGAGAGAGAGCAGCCTCTGAACTTCGAGCTGACTACCAGAGAAGCAGGAGTAGATGTACCGAGTGTGGGTATGAACCATGTTGTTTCGCGGCAGATGACGGGAGCGATGGTTTGGCAGTTTCAACTGAATGTCAGCCCCGCCTCGCAAATCGCTCGCAGAGGATGAGAGCGACGCTGGTACTGTATAGCCGTGCTTTTCCTTCACAGGAGCCTCACATGTCTGACTGCAGTAGGATGTGGCCGTTGTGGCTGCCTCGCTCATTCCCTCTCGTTTTCACTTCATTTCGTTTTTCACTGGAACAATGTCGATCCGGGGTTATGCTGGATCTCGCATTCCGATAGCCCGACATCTAGCGCCTCTTGCATCTCGTAACTTGTCCGCGCCGAGGCCAAGATGAAACGCGGGTCACGACCAGAAAAATGCTGCGGGACTCATGCAACGTCCTATTTCACCGCGCCTGGTTATTTTCGCCCCGTTCCGCTGTTGACAAGTGTGACCCTCTCCCGTTTCCGTAATCCCCACGAGCATTCCAGTCCGCTTCGGGCTGTGGCTCCAGTTTCTAGTTTCACCATCTAGCCTGTGACAATTCTGCTGCCACACAGCTCAGCTTGTGAACGTCGTCCACCAAGCAGCCCTCGATGTGTCTACGTGCTCGGCTCTCAATGTGCACAAGACGCGTCTTACTAGCGAAGGCACGCAGTGTGTCTTCACTCGTCACCCCACGCCCCGCCCCATCTCACCCATGGCCCACCGCGCTAAACCTTGCAACATTACCAGGCACGTCGTAATGGCAACGCAACCCGCCTCCTCTCGTCACGAAACGCACCCTATGCCGGGATCAAGGTAATGTCGAGGGCTGGGGCTGGTCAGCCCTCTATGACTATTGCAGTCTTGCGCAAGCTCAAGCTCGCTCTCGCTCTGGCTCGGGCTCCAGCCCAGCATTGACGGCCATGGGCCACGAACCACGGGCCATGGTTCGTGGCCGACTCTTATGCATCCCGCGACAGTCAGTGGAGCGCCTGTCGCTCATTTCCTCACTGTTCTCAGCACTCATGCGCCTCACTCCGTTGCTGCTCGCTGCGGCAGTGCTCGCGCTGCCCGCGCCGCCCGCGCCAACAGAGTCACTGAGTCTGCCGGCGACAATCAAGAACTTTGCCGAGCAGACCGTGTTCGAGCCGCCCACCACCACCACGCGGAGGCGGAGGACGACGACGTCAAAAGAAGACTCGTCTCCCACATCGTCGGCCTCACCCACAAACTCCTCACCGTCATCACAAGCATCCCCCTCCGCATACACACCCCCACTCCCCTCACTCACAAACCCGAACCCCAACACCGCCGTCGACCCCGCCACGCCCACCAATGCGACCGAACCTGCCCCCCGACCGTCTGTGACCCCACAGAGCATCATCATGAACGCGACGGCGGCGGGCACACCTGGCGTCGCCGTCGTGACAGAGGTGGTGACGGTCACGGCGAGTCCGGCGGGCGAGGAGAACGGGGCGAAGATCTACTTCCCCAGCGCGCTCAACTATTGTGAGTCTGGCGCAACGGAGATACGCCCCCGACGCTCCGAGTGTAACTTGCGTTTCTACCGCTAACGAACAGGGGTCCTCCATGCCGTCTCGGTTATTGAATGGGCGCCGGCGCTGCCCGTCCCTGTCGACATCCGGCTCACGCATGCGGGCACCGACGTGCTGATATACGACTACATTCTCAGCGTGAATGTGCCGGCGGGGTTCACCAGTTTGGCGCTGAGTGTGATGGAGCCGTGAGTGAGCTGGAGCGCGCGAGCGAGATGAGATGAGCCCAGCCTGAGCTCGGGGGATAGGCGAGACACGAAGGCGGGGAGACACAGACGACTAACTCCAGCGCATCGCCCGCCAAGGGGTACCAGCTCATCATTGCCGACCACGGAAATGGAACAAGTACGCCTCCCTGCAATGTCTGCTCACACCAGTCTACTCGACGTCGGAAATGTTCGAGATCAAGGAGGCGGGGAGCAGCGTGCTCGTCCCCGCGGGCTTCGCCGCGGCCACGCAGAGCGGGGGAATAGTTGCGCAGGCGTCCGGCGCGCGCCAAGCGACATGGACTACTGCACTCGCATCCGCCGCCCTCGTCGCCGCCCTGTGGCTGTAAATAGCATAACCACAAACATCACGGCTCTCACAATCTAGACTGCACCCCACATCACCAAGGACACTGCCGGACTGTCATAGACCTGTATCACCACTGTATTTGCACATAGAACGAAATCTCAGAGCGACAGGACGACCAGCGCCTCGCGTCGCTCGTATCGCCAGGGCGGTAATGTTCTAAATGAACTAATGAACGCGACGGCATGGCAACCCCCGCCTCCGAAAAGCGATATATCGGATGGAGCGGAGAGCCAAGACTGTGGCAGACACACATCCCATCCGATGTGCCTGCGACCCGCGTACGTCGCCTGCAAGCCACGGAAAAGACCGTCCGGCGGACCAAAACAAGCCCTCTTCGCCGCGGGCTGAGGCATTAGCGGGCGTCGTCGAGGCGGCGATGGTGACCACCATCACGGCGTATCTTGCTGCATGATGCAGCGAGTGTCACAGCACAGTGAAATGGAATGGCAGTGGGCAGGGCTGGGTGATCGACTTTGAATCGGCCAGGTGGCCAGGTACGGCCTGCCGCCCGGAACGCGTGATATGCAGCGCGTGCTCGCTCCCCGCCTGCCCTTGCGCCCTGCGCCCTGAATCCCCCCCCTTCCTCTCTCGCGCTCTCTTCCCACCACCCTCCTCTTCCTCTCTTGCCATCACTCCTTCTCCCACTCTCACTACCAACATGCTCTTCGGCGCCCTCGCCCTCCTCGCCAACGCGGCCTCCGCCCTCGCCGCCATCCAGGTCATCCAGCCCTCCAAGGACCTGTGGTGTGAGTTGTCTGGACCCGTGCCCGAGCTCGGTGCTGTGGTCGCTTGCCCCAAGACCCAAGCCCTCTCCTCGAGGCTATCGGCGTCTCGTCTCCGGCGTGCTGACTCCAGGGGTCAACAACGGCCAGAACACCCTCGCATGGACCGGCTCGGCGCCGCCCAACGACTTTGTCGTCATGCTCTCGAACCCCGACACCAAGCTGCTCACGGCTGACAACGCTATCGGTGCCATTGGTGAGTGTCACAATGCCCCCCCCACCTTCCCCGCAGCTGGCGACCGTCGCGCTAGGCCATGCTGTGCCACGCATCGCCCGATCGCCTTTTCTCCTCCTTCCGGCGGACTGCCGGAGCGCAACACTGTCTTCGCTGGTCGGAGAGCGGCAAGTCGAGAGCTTCACCCACCCATCACAAGCTTCTCCCGGCCGCCCTCCAAGGTTCCTGCTAACATTCAAGCCCAGACCTACATGTACTCGCTCACCGTCCTTCCCGTCAAGTGGAACGCTGGTACTGGGTACACCATCAAGCTCGTCAACCCATTGAATGGCACCGACGTGTACGCCGTCTCGGAGCCCTTCGAGATCAAGCCCGAGGGCTCTACCTACGCCACCGGTGTGACCAGCGCTGCGGGCACGCTCGCCGCGACGAGCTCGGACACTGCTGCGAACACCACCGCTTCGTCGGCCGCCGCCACGCCGACCTCTAACGGTGCCATGTCCAACGCCGTCCCCGCTGCTGCTGCCGTCGCCGTTGCCGGCGCCGCCTACCTCCTCGCCTAGGCGAGTACTCCCTGCTTTACTTGAGCGGGGCAACTTTCTATACTCTCGTGTCATGGACTGTGCTAGGCGTAGCGTAAATCGATGCATAATAGCCGTTAGCCGGTGTTGTGTTGTGTGATGGAATGTTGGGTGGCGGGTGCAGAGTGGCGTGTGCCCGGATTGTGGGCGTCATCAGGGCGGAGGAGAGAGAGAGTGGTGTGACGACGGATGCACCTTGCTCGTTGCTCGACTTGTCGTGCTCTTCATCATCAATCAATCGCACTTGCAGTCATCTCTCACCGTCATCTGAGGACACTCCTCCTTCTGGTACCTCTTTCGTCGTCGCCGCAGCCGACTCACCCTCCCCTCCGCCCTCGCCTCCCGCCACCGTGACCGGCACACGGCCAACCCCATCCCCGGACGCCATGGACAAGGCGCGGGCGTCCACTCTTGTGAGCACTCTGCACTCCCTGTCCAATCTATCCTTCTTAACACCAGCACGACATCGTCGTCGACTACGTCATCAACAATGCGTACGTCGGCACCGCGCGCGTCCTAGCCCACACTCCAGCGCCGGGCACGCCCTCGGCGACGCCAACGCCGCAGGAGGCGCACACCCCGAGCTTGATGGAGCAGCTCGCCGCGGCGCGGGACAAGCGCCGCGCGGAAGCGATGGACGTGGACGAGACGTCGAACGGCGCGGGCACCGGCGCCGACGCCCTCTCCCCCGCCACCCTCGAGGGGCTGGAACAGCGCCGCGCGATCCTCGAACACATCCTGAGCGGGGCGATCACGCCTGCCGTCGACGCGCTCGCCGCACACTTCCCCTCCGTCCTCTCCCCTCCCTCACCCTCGACGAGCGCATCCGTATCGCCGCCGACCCCCGCGCCGCGCGCACGCACCGGCCTGACGCACGCGACGCCGATCTTCGCGCGCTCAACGGCGCCCGAACACGTCGCGCTCAACCTCCAAATACAGCAGTTTATCGAGCGCTTCCGCGAGATCGTCCCGTCCGCGCCCAGCAGCCCCGCCAGCAGCATCGGGAGCCTCAACGGCGGGTCGGGGCGCAGCGCGCCGCTCGACGCCGCCATCAACGTCCTCGCGGCGATCAACGTCGCCGCGCTCAAACTGCCCGGCGCGCAGCGCAGCGAGTACCTCAAAGAACTGCACGACCTGTCGGGTCTCTTCGCGTACTCGTATCCCGAGGACAGCGAGCTCGCGGGCTTTCTGGACCAGAAGCGCCGCGTCGCCCTCGCGGCGCAGGTGAACGCCGCGATTCTGCGTGAGTGCCTTTGATTGAGGTGTTTCAGCTGGGCGCAGTGGGCGTGCACCTCCTATGTGGCGTACGGCGTCCTCCTGCCCTCTACGCCCCGTTCTCGCGCTGCGTGGCTTGCCTCACCGCCCCACAACTCACCCCAGACTCCGAGGGCCGCGTCACCCAGTCATACCTCGAGCAGATTGCGCGCCGTACATCTGCCATCTACGAGACGATCACGGACAGAAACATCGACCCGCAGCCCGTCTGGGCCGGCACCGATGCGCGGGGCGCCGGCGCCGCATACCGCATCTCGGAGCAGCTCAAGCGCCGCCCGTTCCAGAAAGGCGGCTTCGACCTGCACGAGTACGTCTACGAGATGGCGTAGCGGCCGCGTGTCGCGTAACCCACCCTGTTGGGACTGTACCTGTTGTAGATATGCATGCGTGTACATGCTAAGCCTCGACCCAGACGTCGCCGAGCGACTCCCACTCGCGCCCGACACTCTCGCTGTCCATCATGAGCACACGCGCGCCCCCGAGCTCCACCAGGCCCTCTTCGAGCGCGAGCCACGTCACCGGCACATCGTACACCGCTTCCCAGCGGCTCGCGCCGCCTCCGGGCGCTTCCGCGGCATAGTTGGTGCCGGGGCGCTCGCGGACCGCGGACCACTCCTTGGGCTCGGGCACGACGAGGCTCGGGCCGAGCCGCACCGCCGCGCCGGTCGGCACCGAGGGCGCGTGCGTCCCGGCCGCCGGCGTGAGTGTGGCGGTGGTAAGGCGCTTGGCGAGCGGCTGCGGGGGACGCTCGAGCGTCGGCAGCGGCGGGAACGACGCTTGTGGCGGCGCCGGCGCGGAGGGCGGGACGGGAGACGGCGCGGGCGACGGGCTCGAGATGTGCGCGACCGCGGCGTGCCGCAGCTGCGCCGAGACGGGGGTCATGGGCCGCGAAGGCGTGTCGCGCAGCGGGCTGAATGGGCGGCGGAGCTCGCGCTCCAGCCCGCTCGAGACGGACGGGGCGGGCGAGGCCGGCCGCGGCGTGCCCGTCCTCGACGGGGGGACGACCGAGACGGCGACGGGGGCTGGCGCGGGCGCCGTGATGGGGCTCAAGAGCTGCACGCCGATGCGGAGCGGCGGGGGCGCGGGGCCGGGTGGCGCGCGCACGCCGACGCGCAGCGTCAGGGGGATGTCGGACTCGGCGGGGGCACATCGCTCTCCAGCAACGGTTAGGTCGAACTCGAAGGAGCGGGCCGAGAGAGAGTTGCGCGCACTCCCAATCGCTGATGTGGGGCGGCTGGGCGGTTGAGCAGGCGTGCGCCGGTTCAGCGTCGAGGTTGTGAAGCGGCCTGGCTCGCCGCCGGCAACCCAAGCGATGTCCAGGCGCCCGAGGGGCAAGACCGTGCCGGGCGCGTACTGCGGCGGGAAGGAGGAGACTTCGGCGTCATCGTCGACTGGCGTGAGGGCGAAGAGACGCTGGGTTGTGTCGCCGGACAGAAGCGGCTCGGCAGGGGGAGTAGGAGGCGCATCTCCTGGGGGAAGCAGGGAGGCGTCGATTGCTTTGATGTCTTCTGGTGATGACCCGCCCAACGCGCGCACTTGCAGGCCTGTCGTAGGTTGTAGGACAACGGAGCGAAACTCCATCGGCGAAGGGGAGACGTTCTGCATCAGCACTTCAAGGTAGACTGCGTTTCGCCTGGCTGCGTCGAGAGCGGTATTCGCATTGGCAGGGAGGTGGACGCGGGTTTTGATCGCGAGGGGCGCGGTGACCTGTCACATTAGCTCGCACTCCACGAGATGGCAGCAGAGCGCAAGCAACTCACATTGAACTTGAGGAAGCGCTGGAATGTCCGCCGCCCGTCCTCCGTCTCCCACGCCACGCTCGCGATGAGGATATGCGCGCCGAGCTCGACGACGTCGTGCTCGACATCCAAGTCCACGCCCTCGCCGGGCGCGAGGCGCGGCAAATCGTCCCATGGCCGGTTCTCTGCGCTTGCCGGATCCGTCCCCGCCGCCCGGCCACCATGGACGGCCTCGCCGAGGCGTGTGCGCGCATTCGGCGACTGCACTTCGAGCATCATTTTCACGCCGCGCACATCGAATCCCTGCGGCGCCGCGGCCGAGCCGGAGCGCGAACGGCTCGACAGCGTGCCGGATCGCGAGCGGCCTTCAGCGGAGAGCGTGCCGGAGCGCGAGCGGCTCGACAGCGTGCCGGAACGTGTGCGGGCGAGGGGAGGAGAGGCGAGCGACGGTGAGGGCGGGCCGAGCGCGGGAGAGAGGCGCGGGGAGGGCGAGTGCCGCGGAGACGTGGGGAACGGCACGCCTGTCACATTGCGCAAGGAGACGGAGACGCGCAGCGTCTCGCCAAGCAACGCTGCACCGTGCGGCGCGGGATAGTTCGACGTCGGCGAGAGGTGGATGTCCCCGTCGCGGGAGGGGAGGAGGGGTAGTGGTGTGAGGCGTTTCCTGCTGTCAGCGGGCGCGGCGGCGACACTGGCAGACTTACACCTCGAGGCGGAGTGGGAGGTCCATGGCAAGATGAGTGTGATGGATGTTGAGACGACGAGATTCACCTCCACTGCGTCATTTCAGACGCCCGTGGCACATGGCTCTGCCCCAGTTCCATTCCGTTTCATCTTTCGACGCAGCTAGTCGTCTCATGTCTGGACCCACGACGTGCTGTGCAGTTGCGCACTACCAACAGCACCTGCTAGGAGGCAGAAAATGCATGCCTTCTTACATAGACACGGTGTAGGGTACAGCAGATTATGGAGATGCGGGTAGGCTGCGACAAGCGCGGCACTCGCCCAAAACTAGAGAAGACCGCACTCGCGCAAGTTGACCTGGATAATAACGTCGTGAACAGCAGAAACGACGAACGCAAGCGCGCGCGTGTCTGTGGCGTCGGTGTAATGCTGTAATGTCAGCGGGGCTCCTGCCACACCTGCCTGTCATGGCCAGAATAACTTACAGCATAGATCGACTTGGACGGGTTCTGGTTGAGTGCGACAAACTTCTCCAGCAGGAAAGCACATGCAGCGTCGTAGTTGGCGCCGCCCTTGTACTCGGGGAAAGTGTTTGCGAGTGGAGAATGAGGGAGCTTGGCGCGGAACAGGTCGATCTTGTTGAGGAAGAGGATGATGGATGTCTTGATGAACCATCGGCTGTTGGCGACGCTCTCGAACAGCGTCATTGCCTCAGTCATACGGTTGACTGTCTCGTCCTCGTACAGCATTTGGTCATACTCGCTGATGGCAATAAGGAAGACGAGCGCGGTCACATTCTCAAACACGCCGAGCCACTTGCGACGCTCAGATCGCTGACCACCCACATCAAAGAGCTTGTACTTGAGCTCGCCGATCTGGAAGTGCGTCTCGGTAATACCAGTCGTCTTGACACGCGCGCGCAAAATGTCCTGGTCCGTCGGCACGTAGGCCGGGTTGGCAAGACGCGTGATCGCATCAAAGTAGCTGATGTCAGGACCGATCGATCACACCTGGTGACAAATGCAACGTAACATGTGGCGCCGCGGCAGGCATCCACCAAGCTTGGGCACGCGCTCGGACCACCTCTTGCCCTCACCACACCACACCACCCAAACACGTTCACGCCCATGCCACTGCCACGCAGCACGACTCACTAGGGTGCCGAGTCGTTGAGCTGGAGCTCGTTGCGACGGGAAAAGGCCTCGCGCACACCTTCGTCCTGCCACAGCCCCTTGATCGCGTTCGCGAGGCTTGGCGGGAAGCGGTCGCCCTCGATGAGTGCGGGCGCTGCCAGAATGAGGTTGTAGTGCGCTTGGTTGGCGCTGGAAATGTCGAGGCCCATAGCAACGACTCCTTCGAGGAGCACTCGCATGCTCTGCACCGTGTTCGAGTACACAATCTCGCGATAGCTGTCTCGCTCCTCGGCATCGTACGGCCTACTATCAGCCACCTGTGTGTGCTCCTGCTTCCTCGCTGCGGAGACCGTCTCACTTGTTGTAGATCAGTCGCATCTGCTTCAACACGGTCGACTTGCCGGATTCTCCGGCACCTGCGGGTCAGAGCGCTGCACTGCTGGCAGGTGGCAGATGCTTACCGAGCAGCAGCATCTTGATCTCGCGCGCCATGTTCTGGCGATCGCGCTTGAGCTGCTCCTCAATCTCGGCATTGCCTGTGGATCTGTCAGCATCCCGTTGATCAAGTGGGTCCTCCGCAGGCACCGTAACTCGAAATCACGACTGCTGGGTGGCGGCCATGCCCACGCGCCCATCCCCGACCTTTTGTCGGGCCTCCTTTGGCCTCAATTGCGCCCATCTTCTCATCGCCCATCGCGTCACGGCAATCGCTTTGCGGGCTTTTACTTACGAGCCTTGGCCTCGGAGTCCTCGTGTGATTGTGTGCAGCCCATGTCGTCGTCGTCGTCGTCGTCGCGTCGATATGAGGTACTGCACTATACAACTACTGGACCGGATGAAAGCGCAAGTGGTCGAGGGATGGACGGGCTCGGGGGGCCAGTGCTTATAGGTAGGGGTCCAACGTTTTAGTCTCGGCGAGCGCGGGGAAACCCTTGATGAGTACAGGACCTCGGTAGGTGACTGTAGCGGCTCAGGGAGGGATGGCGACCTCGAGTGAGGTGCTGAGGAGCTGAGGAGTTTGAGGAGAGTACGAGGCGCGGACCGGGCGCGGCGGCTGGCGGCTGGGCGGTGGGACCAAGTCCAAAAGGTCGGTAAGAGGGCAAAGAGGCGTCGCGAACTGGGATCCAGAGGCCACTGGTCCCTGGATTGTGGATGGGTGGGTGGGATCTCTGCCTTGTGCTTGAACTGAGGATGGCGGAGCGGGGTGGGGTGGGCCAGTGTATGGCGCGCAGGTGCCGGGGTAGAGGCGGGGGGGGGGGGGGGGGGGAGGGAGGAGAGTAGAAGATAAGAAAGAGAGGCCAAGGAGGGGAGTGGAAGAGAGAGTGGATAGGATGGGTTGTTGGTAAAGTTGGGCTTGAGGGTACTGGACGCGAGTTGGTGGGTGGTTGAGAGATTGGAAGAAACACAAAGGTCGATTGAATGGAAGCGATGTCGACGAGGACGATGAGGGGGACGAGGACTCGGAGGATCGAGAACGAGGCAGCCAGGAAAGGTTCTCAGTTCAACAAGGGCGCCAGAGTTGGGCGTTGAGCGGGGCGTTTGGAGGGGTTGTGGGACGACATTGAGCGAGAACGGCTTTGACGATGCAGGACGTGTCAGCGAGGGCGCGGGCTGCGACATGCGACAACCGGCACCCTCGGCCCATGCCGCCCATGGCCTGCAGCCGACACGTACCGCTCGGCCCGCTCAGACACTCGACCGCGCGCCAAACCCCTTTCAGCCATGCAGCCAGTGTCCCATGTTCCACAACCAACACACGTTGTGCGCGTTCTCGTCCACGCAGCTCACTCTCCTCTCTTCTCCTCGAGCTCCTCGACGCCTCGGCCTCGACGCCCCCTCCCATCCCCCTTGCCACCGTGCACCACCTCGCGCCTCGACCCTCCTCTGCCCTCCTCCTATTCCCTCTACGCTGAGGTGCGTACGCTGGAACACTAAACGGTGGGACCGACAAAGCCACCGCACCACCGTGCGCGGGTGCCCTTCGGGGGGACGTGCGGGCCAAACAATGCTGTTTGCGCGCCTCTGCAGCCGCTCTCTCTCTCTCTGCGAGCTGCGAGACAAAGGATAGGCTCCAGGCCGGCGGCGTGGAGGCAGCGCACCCTTGGTCGTCCAGAAACCCAGAAAACAGTCCAGGATCGAACGTTGCGGCGTGATGAGTGGCGGAGAGTGGGCGAGATGAAGCGGGAGAGAAGGGGAGAGTCGGGGAATGGGCGCATGGGCGAGGGCTGTGGCGCCTGGCATTCTGCCTCTCCAAAGACCAAGAGGCCCGAGCTTGGAATGGGCGCTGTGTTCCTCAAGGGCTCCCATGCACGGTGCCATCGCCCGTTTCACCCAGTCCTAACCGAGTCGCCTCCACGGGGCTCGGGCCGCGTGAAACCTCGCGCGCTGCTCGTGATGAGCTGATGGAAAGAGCATGTACAGTGGACGAGCATCGACGAGGAGGAGGAGGAGGTGGAGGAGGAGGAGCACGGCAGAGGGAGATGGACAAGAAGCGAGAACAAAGACTCGTTAACGCGTCGACTTGAAACGCCACCTGACCCCACGTGGCAGCCCCGCGATCGCCACATGGCATATTACTGTGTCCGTGGGAAAGTTGCTTGTATGACCTCCACCTCGGCATCATTTATACCGATTTCCGCATGGTTGAGCGGATCAAGTCAGTCGCCAGTCACCATCACCAACCACCCACCTCCTACTACCATGCCGACCACCGACGACGTTGAGACTGTTCGCGTGGCAATTTACGACTCCTTCGCGACAAGAGGTCGTGCTCCTACCATTCCCGAGGTGGCCAGCTCGACTCGCCTCTCCGCTTCCACCGTCCGTGCAAGTTTCGCGGCACTACACGCCTCGCGCGACATCGTACTCTCCTCCTTCGCGCTGACAGCATACCAATGCGGTGACTCGGTCGCCGACACTGAACCCCGTGCCGTGCTCATGGCGCATCCCTTTGCCTCCGTGCCCCTGGGGTTCAGCGTCATGGGCGGCTCCGTCCTCTGGTGGGGCGGCTGCTGCTGGGACGCGTTCGCGCTGCCGCACCTCCTGCCCGTCCAATCGCCTGTTCTGGTCGCGACGCGGTGCCCCGGCTGCGACATCCCTATCGCGATGAACGTTGCTACCGACGCCCCGCCCAAGCCGACACCGGGCAACGAAGCCATCGCCCACTTCCTCGTGCCGATGGCGCGTGCGTGGGACGACGTCGTGCATACCTGTGCGCACCAGAACTTGTTCTGCTCCGAGGCATGCTTGGACAGGTGGCTGGAGTTGAGGGGTTACAAGAAGGGGTACGTCATGTCCACCGACACGCTGTGGCACTTTGCAAAGGACTGGTACAGGGGCCGCCTGGAGCGGGGGTACAAGCGCCGCGAGCCGGCGCAGGCCAAGTCCTACTTCCGCAGCGTGGGGCTGAAGGGCTCGTTCTGGGGTTTGGAAGACTAGTGAACGCTCGACGGACAGCGAGCATGGTCAGGCGGTCCAAGATACCATTAGTTTTACTATTCAAGTATGTATGTCATGTCACCCTATCCTCATTAGATCGCCGCGGAATGATGACGTCGGCGGGCATGTCCGAGGCGCGTCCACATGCGGCTTTCGCTCGTCATGCGGTCGCGACCTCCTCTCCATTGCCCACTCCATCGCCATGAAAGAGTCCTACCCCGTCGACATCAAGGACCCCGACCTCCCCGCGCCATCGACGGCGCGTCCGCAGCGCCGCGCGCCGCTGGGCGTGCGCCTCGCCCTCCTCTCCGCCCTGGGGTGTGCGGCGTATCTCGCCATGCCCCATCCCGGACCGGCACTCACGGCCGAGGAGCAACGCGTCCAAGCTTACATCGACGGGGTGGCGAACAAGGGCTTTGACTTACTCTGCACGGGGGGGCACCATCACAAGGGCATCCCCCCGCGCAAAGCTGAAGAGATCTTCCTCGGCGTACCGTCCAACGACTCGTGCGCCGCCGCTTCAGAGCGGTATACGGCCCACGCGCATCCGGGCGGCAGCGGGTGGGACTTTGTGACGGCGCAGATGGTCAAGGGCGACTGGGAGCGCGAGCTGGGGCTCACGGCGAGCTGGTACGACGAGAACGTGTTCGACGCGGGGTCGGCCGAGAGCCAGTCGCGCGTGCGCGACAGCCACAAGGCCAAGGATCCGTACGTGTGGATCGACACGTATTATCCCGTCATGAACACGCCCGTCCATGCCGCAGTCACACTCCTCTCCGACCCCCCGGTGCACGCCAAGCTCCGGGAAGCAAAGCTCGAGGGCGACCCGGGATCCGAGCTGGCGGACGAAGTGCGCGTCTTCCATGGCCTCTCTGTCTCTGGCGATGTCACAGCCCAGTTCATATACGCCGGCTACGGGCGCAAGGAGGACTTTGACCTGCTCCAGTCCCGCGGTGTCGACTTCACGGGCAAGATCGCCGTGGTGAAATACGGCGGCAACTTCCGCGGGCTGAAGGTCAAAGCTGCACAAGAAGCCGGCGCGGTCGGTTGCATCATCTTCACGGATCCGGGCGACGACGGGGAGATGACAGAGTGGAACGGACACCGGCAGTATCCCGCCGGGCCTGCGCGTGTCGTGAGCGTTCGCGCCGCGTAGACTGACAACAGCAATCGAGCGTGCAGCGCGGCTCGGTGCAGTTCCTCTCCAAGTATCCCGGCGACCCCACGACGCCAGGCAAGCCGGCATACAAAAACGCGACGCGGGACGCGGGTGGCAACTTTCCCTCGATCCCCTCCTTGCCCATGTCATACGAAGACGTGATCCCCATCCTGCACGCGCTGAAAGGACACGGCATCCCCGCCTCAGACCTCGGCGCCGCATTCGGCGGCGGCCTGACCCACTGGGGCGTGGAGTACTGGACAGGCCCGTCGAGCACGCCGCTGCGCCTCGTAAACGAGGTCAACCGCCGCGTCATGCCCGTATGGAACACGATGGCCTACATCCCGGGCCACGTCCGCGACGAAGTCGTGCTCATGGGCAACCACCGGGACGCGTGGGTCCTGGGCGGCGCCGACCCGAACTCGGGCACGGCGTCGCAGCTCGACATGGTGCGCGGGCTCGGCACGCTGCTGCGCAAGGGATGGCGGCCGATGCGGAGCATCGTCCTCGCGTCGTGGGATGCGGAGGAGTACGGGCTCATCGGGAGCACCGAGTGGGCCGAGGACTTTGGCGACTGGCTGCAGGCCAACGCGGTCGCGTATCTCAACTTTGACTCGTCCGCGTCGGGCAGCAACTTCGGGGGCGCGGCGTCGCCGTCGCTCGCGCTCCTGCTCCGCGGCGCCGCGGAGCAGATCACCACCCCGGACGGGCGCAGCGTGTGGGCTGCGCGCGCCGACGGCGGCGTCTGGGACGCCGCCTCCGTCCACGCCGAGGCGGACGAGAACGAAGAGAAAGGCAGCGGCATCCGCCCCCTCGGCTCGGGCTCAGACTACACCGCGTTCCTGCAGCGCTACGGCGTCGCCGCGACCGACTTCAGCTTCAAGGGCGGGCCCAAGGATCCCGTGTACCACTACCACAGCGTGTACGACTCGCACACGTGGATGCGCAAGTTCGGGGACCCGGAGTTCGCGCGGCACGCGCAAGGCGCGCAGATCATCGGGCTCGTGCTCCTCCGTCTGGCCGACGCGCTCATCCTCCCCCTCAACACGACGCAGTACGCCCGCGACCTCGAGTATTACAAGGAGCGGGTGGCGGGCCTTGGCGGCGGCGTAGACCTTGCGCCGCTCGGCGCCGCCATTGGGGAGCTGCAGCGCGCGAGCGCGCGCCTCGATGCGCATCGCGAGAAGCTGCTCCAGCGCCTCAAGAAGGCGCTGCCGAAGACGTGGTGCTGGGGCAAGAGAGATGAGGTGCGCAAGATCTTGCGCGAGATTCGCGCGGTTAATCTCAAACTGCGCGATTTCGAGAAGGGTTTCATCTCGGAGGAGGGGATTGTGGACCGCGAGTGGTATAAGCACAAGGGGACGGCGCCGGGGAAATGGCTGGGATATGGCGCGACGACGGTGGGTGTGTGGATGAAGAGGGCTGACTTCAGTTCCCCGCACTTACGGAGGCCATCACGATCGAAAAGGACGAGGAGCTCGCGCGCAAAGAGGCGCAGGAGCTTACCGACATGATCTCAAGTATGGCCAAGCGGCTGGATAAGTAGGACGATGCGGTGTAGCGCCCGTGGCGGAGTGAAGACGGCGAGGGAAGTCCCAGGGTCTCTGGACTGCAGCGGAGACAAGCCAGCTGCCAACGATGAGCAAATGTAGCAACGTGCAATATATGCGTCAGCCACTACACAACCTCACGCCCCTACTCCACTCCCAGATGACAAAGATGCAACCCAATAACAGACGGTGGATGGTACAAGACGAGTCACGATTACAGCCTACACCAGCTCGAGATACTTCTCAGGCGTGGTCAAGGCGGGGTTGACGCGTCGGTTGTCCTGGACGACATAGCCGGCGGCGTCGATCCACGAGGGGACCTGTGGGCGCCCGATGGACGCGCGGATAATGTTCTGCCAGCGCGTCGGCGCAGCAAATGGGTTGTACGGGCGCTGCGTCGCTCTGAAGAGGTTGGAAGAGGCGGACGCGCGGATCTGCTCAATCGTCGTGAGGTTGTAGAGGAGGAGGCGGACGTGGTACCAGAGCAGGAAGAGGACGGGGGCAAGGGTGAGGATGCCCAAGCCAAAGGAGACAGCAGCACCGGGGCTCTCCTCAAGCGCCTGCTTGAAGGAGATGCCGTCGTGGGCGCACAGCATGGAGAAATGGAGGGCGGAGAAGACGACCACGTAGATGTCGCTTACGGCCGTCGAGATGACGAACACCAGGAAGGCAAAGTAGTTGCGCCGCCCCACACAGCTGTGCAAATACGCGCAGTGGTGGTCGATACCCTCCACGCAGTTGCCACAGAGACGGCAGTGGGAGCAGCGAGGCGGTCGATAGCTCCGGCATGTCTCGCAGTACTTGCACTGGACCTTGTCCTTTCCGTCTCGTCCAACAAGGATTTCGCGCGGGTTCGCCTCCCAATATATGTCCACAGGTGTGTAGGGTGGGTCCATGTCGAGGTCGCGGGGGAGGATGCCCGGCTCGCGGAATGACGCGGCCGCCATGCTCGAGGTGGTCAACCCAAAGAGGTATACGAAAACGATTGTGATCGCAATGCCTGCGCCACGCGCCATGCCGTACTCGTGGGCGTGCTTCCAGAGCCATACCCCTGTCGTGCCGAGCCACAGGCCGCTCACGCCGAGTAGCAGGATGACGGAAAGGATGAAGGAGAGCGGAGTGTCTCCTCCCGTCATCAGGCGGCCACCGCAGAAGAATGTCGAGTTCTTGTTCTCAAACTCGGTGTATCGCCGCCGATTCGTGACAAGCATGGCCTGCTGCACGAGACTGGGAGACTTGGACGCCTTGGCTGGTGATGCTCTCCGCTGGCTGAGCCGCTTCTCGCCCAGCACGCCCAGCGTGTCGACCAAGTAGTCACTTGACAAGTCGTGGTGTAGGCTCGCGCCGTGCCCTCGACTTGGTGATGACGCGTCAGTTTGCCGATCCCAAACGCCCTCCCCGTGCCCACTGTCCGTTCCCGACGGGCGCGAGGGTGTGCCAGGCAACGGCTGGGGGTGTGATGCGCTGGGTGGCTCAGGTATCGTTTCCGTCTCCGTGTCGCGCGCAACCACGTTAAATGTGGGTTGGCGGATGGCAACTTCAGTCCCAGTCGTACTACCTGCCGCGTTCGCTGTTGCTGGCCTGTGTGAGGATGCGGTACCAGAGCCAAAGGCCGGTGCTTCGCGCTCAGCTTTGGGAGCCGTCTGTGGGCGCGAGCCGCGCTGCAGTTGGTTGCCGTACTGAGGTTGTTGCGCTGCAAGAGGACCTGGGGCGGGTGATGGTCCGCGCGACAAGCTGGGCGGGCCAAAACTGCTTGTAAACGGCACCTGGGGCGACCCAGCGGTAGCAGCCGTGTGGAACGTCGCGGCGGACATGCCAGACACGGCGGTGTGGAAGCTCGCACCCGTCACTCCAGTAGCTCGGGAGTCGTGGCTGTACTCGCTCATGTTGGGAGTCGCGGCACCACCCGAGGGGGGCCCAATTGATGCGTCGAAGGAAGGTCGGTAATCGGCGGAGGGACGCGGCGAGGGCCGCCGGAAAGTGTCGAGGGACGGTCTGTAGTCGGCACTGGGACGGACGTCGGTGCTGACGCGCCCGGTTGTGCTGACGCTGGTGTTGCGCTCGCGCTGCTCCAGGCGGCGCGCAGCAGCGGGCTTCTGCGGAGCAAGGAAGCCCCGCGGAGTCGGGAGGGGAACAGCGCCGCCGCGGGTCGGCGAGCGCAGAGCTGCGCCGATGGAAGTCTCGGAGGGGGTGTTGGAGAGAGGTCTAGGGTTTGTTGTGTTGCTAATTTTGCGAGCGCGAGCTGGTGATGCGCCACCACTAACTCCGCCATCGATGTTATACTAAGTGTCAGCGGTGTGATGTGGCACCCCCTTAGCGTGAGGGAGGAAAGAGTAAGACAAGGGGGATCGACATACGTATCGGCGGGTGCCCTCGAGCGAGTTTCTCGAAAGAGGAGCGACGGCATCGTCGTCCTCGTCTGAGTGGACGCTAAGGCGGCGGGTGACGGTCACGTTGCGGCGGCTGGGGAGGGAGAGGCCGAGCGCCTCCGAGTTGGACGGAGAGGTCATGCTGGCGAGCGGTCAGCGGCGCGGGGCGCGCGCTTGTCCGTGGATGAAGGTGAAGGGGGGTGAGGAGGAGGGAGCGTGAAGGAGTGAAGAGGAAAGAGATGAGAGATGAGAGATGAGAGATGAGAAGAGATGGAGAGACGGAGACGAGATGGATCGATGGTCGCAAAGAGAGCGCTGCAAGACTGTCGGGCGAGGTCAAAGCGGGAGTGCTGGCCCTGAATAGCAAGCAATTAGAAAATTCCTATGTGGTCGGTTACGTCGATTACCTTAAAACCTCTTGTTGTCACATCGGAACGACAGGGGTATCCAATGCCGCCCTCGTCGCCAAGGGGGGGGGAGAGGCAACGTACTGTACATCTCTCACGACCACCACTGTGCGTACATCTCTCGGCGCAGATAAACGCAAACCAAGAGCGATTCACAACGCACACGTCGTTGCTTCTGAACCGAAGACGAGCTGGATGTCACCAGGGAGTGAGATTAATGGCGGTTCAACTGGATCCCGCGGCGGGTGCCACCCTGGCCAGAGTCTCGACTTCCCAAAACGGCACATTCCAGTGACCACGTGGTGTACGTGGAGGACACGCGCCACACGACACGACGCCGGCATCCAATCCATCCAAAAGGTCCACTCGAGCAATCTCCTTCTCAGTCTCGTCTCCCGTCATCCATCCACTCTCCTTGAAATAATGGGTACGCTCCTCGCTCACGACTCCGCTCACTCCAGCTGCAAACATTATCGACGCGGTCACCGCGCAGGCGTCCTTCCCGGAATCCAACCCCTTCGGGCGTAAGTCTCCTCGATCTCCGAGCACTCTAGGACGGGGCATCATCGATCACCAGGAGCGTGACTACAGTACGGCCGGTGACGCAACATGCAATGGGGCATTGCAGAGTCAAAGATGGCGCTCCATTCTCTTGTCTCTCCCCTCCGCTCCTAGTCATGGGCCCGTTTTCCCCGTCACATCGGCACACGCTGACTTCTAGTCGTCACCAACGGCGAGGCCAACCCCATGCTCATCCAGATCACCAACTCTGGCGAGAACAACTTTACTCTCGTTTCCGCCTCGGCCTCGTACCACGACACCAACAAGCACTGGAAGCTTGTTAAGAATGCCACTGTCACTAAGCTCAACCTCCCCGTCAACGCCGGCGCCAACTTCACCGCCCCGTACAACCTGAACTCGGAGTGAGTGCCGGTGCAAAGAGTGGTGGGCGGTGGACTACCTGGGCTGGGGATTTGCAATGTTGCCCATCTGTTGCTCGTGCGAAGCCGACCCAACATCAGCGGAGGATGACCACCTCCACATCACGCCTTCAAGCGCCAAGCAATCCTGCTAACCCCAGGCTCCGCTCGGCTGAGCACGGCCTCACCGTCTGGGTCGACCTCAAGCACGGCAAGGAGCTACACCGCGTCACAGCCTTCAACTCGACTGTCTCGGTAGTCGAGCCCGCCACCTCGTGGTTCGACCCTCAGGTTATCCTCATGTACCTGATCGTTGGCGCTGCCCTCCTCGGCGCGGGTTACTTTGCCTTCACCACCTACTTCGCTCCTCCCAAGAAGACGCGCAAGGGCGCACGCAAGCACGCCAAGGCCGCCCCTGCTGTTGTCGAGGGCACGATCTCGGACACGGCCAAGGGCGCGTACGATGAGGACTGGATCCCGGCCCAGCACAAGCGCCGCACCAAGGACGGCGCGACGTCCGGCGGCGAGGCGACGAGCGGCGCCGAGAGCGGGCCCGAGAAGGCTCGCCGGAGGAGGGCGCGCAAGTAATTGGGGGGGGGGGGCATCATTGTCGCCACGGGAGCCAGAGAGGTACCGGTATGCATATGAATGGTGTTTAATGAGGGTGAGAATTAAGCATTGACAAACTCCTTGACGTCGGAGAGCCAGCCAACGTAGTCCTTCTGCTCCTTGTACTCCGAGTACGACACGATGAAGTTGGAGAGCGCGGCGTCGATGCCACGCTCGGCAAGGTAGGCCTGGAAAGCATCCTGGACGACCGAGTCGAGGGTGTCGAACTCTGCAAGTCAGCAAGCGCTCGGGAAGAGAGATGGGGAACGAAGGGTCACCCAACTGCGACAGGCAGGATGGAGAGGTAAAGGTGTCCGTCCGACTCAGACTCACGAGGACCCATGTAGCTCGACCGGCGCTTCCAGTCGGCCTCGACACCATCGGCCTCGGCAAGGCCCTTGTCGTAGATCGCAACATTGGTGACCTCAAAGCCGTCGGGCGAAGCACCAAGGTCGATGAGGAGCGCCTTCTTGGAGCCGCTCTTAGTCACGAGGAGCGAGGAGGTGATGTACGCGGGGTCCTCGACGACGTTGCCATCAGCGTCGACGCTCTCAACGGCCTCCGGGTTGTCGAGGTCCGAGATCTGGAATGTGAGCTTGAGGCTGATGTTAGCGGTTTGACAGAAGACGAGAAGAGCAGTGCTGGGGGCATTGCGCAGTGACGCCGCGCGAGTTGCCTTCTCCCTAGCGTTCACTCACGTCTCGTCACCGAACTTGCGCGAAACCACGACATCGTCGGAGTTGGCCGTGTCGCTCAAGCTCCAGACACCCTCGTCCTCGAGCTCCTGGAGGAATCCGGGCTTGCTCGAGCTGGCACCCTCGCTCTCGTACGCGATCTCGGCGGCAATAGCTGCCGCCAGCTCCGAGTCAGTCTCGCCCGAGCCATAGGCGGGGCGCGAGACGTGGAAGGCGCGCACCGCGGTAGCGCGGGGGATGGAGACGCGAGAAGCACGGAGCGTGCGGAGGGCGGGGCGGAGAGCGGAACGCAGGACGGGACGGAGGGCGTGGAGAGACATGGTGGCGGAATAGGTGGTTGTGGGAAGCACAATGTGAGTGAATCCTCTCAAGAGCTCGAACTTTCCCGACGACCACCGTGGGAAAGCAGTGCTTATCCTGGTGAGGTACTCATGTGCCTGGGCATTATCGAGACGTCATATCCCCTCCCAAGTCGTGTTGATCCTCTTCCGCAGGTGCCCATTTCTCGACTTCAACTCTTCTCATTCAGCCATGCTCACCCTCGCCCCACTTGCGCTTTTGCTTCCTCTTGTGAAGGCTGTTGACTGCACGCCCCACGTGAACACTGTCTCGTGCTCTGCCAACGCAAAGGGCGCCGACCCCTGCTGCGTCCCTGCTGCTGGGCGCTTCGTCTTTCGACAGCGCTTTGAGCCCGATGCCGACGACTCTGGATCGTGGCAGATTGAGGGGCTCGATGTACTTGAGTGAGTGATTTTGCTTGCCTTCCCAGGTTGCCCGTGACTCTGCGACGATACAGGCTCCCACTCCGCCTTCGTTGTGGATGAACCTTTCGCCCCCGCTTGCCGTTGAGGCTCTCCGCACTAGCCGCTCGCGCATTCACTGAGCCCCTCCTACACTATTAGAGCTGACAATAGATGTGACGGCTCACCAGCCACCCGCGGGGGACCCAAGCGTATACATGAGGAGATCGGTAGCCTCTGTGCGCGCACCAAAGGCTTCGACGTCGAGGAGAATGAAGGCGCATGGGCGGCCTCCGAGGTCGGAGAGGGTGTCGAGGAGGTGTGGGAGCGAACAGTGAGTGTAATAAAATGAATGACACACAACTTTTTCCGCCCCGCTCGCAGACACAGCTGACAACAGTGGAACACGGCAGGGCGCTTTGTGACCTCCTTCTGCGAAGGGAACCCGGACGTGCCCCGCTTCTTCGAAGAACTTCTGAGCCTGCACAAGCGCATGAAGATTGGAGCAGCACTTGAACACGCTGACGTAAGTTGATCTCACCTACATCGATGACTATGCGGAAACGCTGACACCAGATCGTGCCCTCCGCCGATACCATGTATCGTCTCGCGGACATTGAGTCCGCCCTCACTCCCTACGGCACGCCTATCCTCATCTGTAACAACGTAACCCTTACGCACGTGTACTGGCCGTTGCACGCGCGTGGCAACCTCGCTGGGTGGGTGGCAGCCGAACCCGGGAGCCTCAAGTCGACCTGCCCTGGAGAAGGCATCGTTTACCCGCCTGCGACAGTCGTGCTGCCAACCTCATCGTCTTGGGACCCGATCTATCGCCCATCGATGCGGCCAATTACGCTGAGCCACGATGAGGCAAAGCGTGTCAAGTACGAAGAACCGGGGAATCCATCAAAGAAGAAGCTCGGCTTTTTCAAGTACCACGACGCGCGCCGCGCCGACGAGGAGGGTGGAAACCATCGCGACGAGCTGTAAGTACAGGAAGGTAGAAGTCATACAGCATAGAAACATGTCAGCAGTACGTATACATTTTGACCGAGATTACTGTGACTAATTGCTTTCTCACATCATCACTGCCGCGAAGGCTGCACCGACGAGCCAGCCCGGCGAGAGACGCCCAGCCCCGGACGTGCCCCCTGGCGTAGGGCTTGCAGCAGGAGTGCTTGCAGCCGGAGCATTGGCGGCGGGCGCACCGCTAGCGGAGGGGTCCCACTCGTGTGTCGGGACTGCTCCGGCGGGACGCAGCTCGAAGTTTTCGCTCTCCGAGTAAACCTCTGAGGAATTGGTGCTGTCCAAGAGGACGAGGAAATACCCCTCGCCGGGGCGTGCGCTATTGTCAGCCCCCTTCATTTTTGTGCTCACCCTTCCAGCTGACTGGTGCCGCCCCACTTGCCCCAGTGCGCCCTGACGCTGGTGACCTTTACGGGCTCGGGGCAGAGGGTCGTGTCCAAGTTGTCCAAAATCAGGTCCATGGTGACCTCCTCGGCGTCCTTGGAGGGGTGGACAAACGTCCACTCGACCTGGTTGAGTGCGCCGACGACCCACCAGTCGAGCATGGTGGGAAAGTTGATGCGCGTGTCCGTGAGAGGCGACTCGCCCGCCAGCTCCGTGGCGGCTGCCCCCGGAGCGGCCGTGCCGACAGAGGGCACCAGGCCTTGGGTGATGATGTTGGAGATGTCGATGGTCGACGTCTGGGCGAGCGCCGGCAGCGCGAGGAGGAGGAGTCGTGCGAGCATCGTGAACAAGCAGCAATAATTGCGAGATACAGCGCCAACAAGAGAGGCAAGCTTTTAAGCTTGATCACGACCGGCGAGGCGAACTCAGCGAGTCGGCGAGCCAAGCCCTTCTCCAGTTCATCCCGGCACGTGAAGTGAGCACCATCCGACGGCATCGTGGGCCGAGGTATGCAAAGCGGTGACGCCCGGACCGCCTGCCCAGCCCACGCGGTGCACTGCACGGTGCGCCGCCATACGCAACACGGCGGCTCCGCTCGGCACCACACGACGGACTACGGGGCTGGAGACAAAGGAATGCAAAGCTAATATCCAGGATGAAAGGCAGGGACCAAGTTCTACAGAAGCATAGCAAGCAGCACGCCCGCCACGGCACCCGTACCCGCGACGGCGCGAGTGGCGGCGCTCACGGCGCTGGGCTGCGACGAGCCCCACGGCACGGGTATCGTCGGGTCTGCGCCGACCGCCTTGATCTCGAACAGCTCGGATTTTGCGTAGATGACTAATGTCAGGGCACTCTTGCACGCACTCACTCGAGTCGTTGGCAAAGTCGTGCAACCGGATGCGGTAGCCGTGGCCGGGCGCAGCTTGGAGAGTGCCGTTGTACTTTATGCCGAACATATTGGCGGGAACTGCGGTGAGCTTCTCTCACTCTCCGCGCAAGCTCTGGAGGCGGCGCCAGTTGTCTGTGTCTCGCAGGCCATGGTAAGATGACGGCTGACAAATGCGAGGGCTGCACAATCGCCACCTATTCACCTTTGTCGTTCACCACCAGTGGGCCGCGGAGCATGCTGACATCGCCATCGGGGCGATCCAGGACTATACGGATGCTGGGGTTGTGCGACTCGGCCCAGTCCCAAAGGACATAGTTGGTCGTGCCGAGTGTGACTGGCGTAAGTGCGAACGGGCAAGTCGGGGAAGACAGACGCACACCAGTCATGCGCCTGCGGGAACGCAATGTAAGTGGTGTTGCCTATCGGCTCGGATGTGTCGACGATAGGCGCAGGCTGGTCGATTTTCTCGCGGGCAGCAAGGTTGTGGGCGGCAGCAGTAGCAAGAAAGAGGAGGGCGGGGAGCATGGTGTGGTGTCGGGTGAGGCGGAGGAGGAGAACCGCGGAGGGGGTTGGCGGGTGCAGAGAAACGCTGATGTACAGACCTGTGAAGATACAACAGCGGCGAAGTCGTCGCCGGCACACGCTCACCGATGATGGTGGATGGTGGACAATGGCGGCGGAGGCCACGCGCCACTACCGCGTGCCCCTCGCACACCCCCGAAACACCTCGCTCCGACCCCCTCGGCGTTAGATCTGATGGCATGCCTCCGTGCGAAGCGTCACGGGAAGCAAGGCAGGCGCGCCCCTCGCATGCATCACGAACGCGCTGAGCGTGTTTGGTGCTTGCATGCTGAATTGTGCCAATGTGAAGTGTGGTGCGGACCGAGGCGAGGTGACAATTGCGCGGTATGGTGAGTCACCGGCCCCGCCACTATGATGCCAGTTCGGGCTCTACTCCGGTTCGTTGCCCTGCGCCGTAACAGGTGGAAACGACACAAAGAAATAGCACAAGCGTTAGGCAAGGCCACGTCCTGTGATCAGTTGATTCCAAGCGTTACTTCCCCGAAAGACGGAAGAGAGGGGGTCAGCTACGGACGGAAGCAACGGACTGTCGACGCGGCGAGTCAAGGCCGCAGAAGTGCTGAAGCTACTGCAACAACTGAGCGGCTCAACCAATAACCCAGCACACAAGTCAGATGACCGTGGTGAGCATATCGGGGGTTTAGTGAGGAGTGTGCGCACGTTGGGGTCCAGAGACGGCTGGCGTCAACAGCCTGCCGAACAACCTGACGAGCACGTATGTGCATCCGTCCCGCGACCCCATAATCCGACTGTCCTGACTCCTCCCCGACTTACCAGACTTACCACCGGACTTACCAGGGCCATAGCAACTACTAAGTGCGTCGCGTGTCATGACGTCTAATGCGGGATGCGGCGGAGACGCGTCGTGAGGTGTAAGGTCGTGTGGGCGTCAGGCTCAGGAGGGCAGTCGTGGCCAGGCCCAAGTGTCCAGAGCGCCGAGCCACTGGCATCCCGCCCCATTAGGCTGGGTATATCGCAAATATATCGCCTTGCTGTCGCGATCTGTCGGCGTCACAGTGACCTCCTTGCCACTGGCCGCCGGCATGGGTGGGAACGGATGCCCAGTTGTATGGGAGTGGGCGAGCCCGTGCCGGAGGACAGCACAAGTATCAGTGAACAAACAACACGCAAAGTTAGTGGTAGCACTCGTTCACGCTCGTTTTAGGTTCGGCTTCAGACTACTGCTTCATCATCGCCCAACTACAATATTAGATGTTGCGGTTGGTGTTGTTGCCCGAGACGGCGTCGCCGATCTTCTGGGTGGTCGACTTCTCCTGCTGAGGCTGGACAGCCGAGGCGACGGCGTCGGCCTTGTCCTTGACGAAGTCACCGGCCTGCTCGAGGTACGACTTCTGCGAGTCGGGCTTGGCGGAGGAGGCGAGCTGGCGTTAGCTGAGGCTCAAGTGGCTGGCCAGCGCGAAACTCACCTTGTCTCCGAGACCCTGGCGACCGATGTCAGACATTGTTGAAATTGAGGTGTTGGTGGTGGTGGTGGTAGAGTAGTAGTGTGCGATTGAAGGCGAGTGCGGGATGGAGAGCAGAGCACGCTGCACGCTCTGTTTATATACACTTCGAGAGTCAACGTCGTGCCATGAGACTGCCACCAGCCTCCACCAACTTGTTGCCACTCGGTGCATCGATGACGTTGGTGATGTCATCGCCGCGACATGTGCCTATCTCCGTCCCCGGCGCAGCGACGACCAGGCTCAACGCGCCCTCCGGCGAGCGCTCCGGTCACACTGGACAGGCCGATGACGCCATGCATATCCGCCGCAGTCCGTGGGAAGGGGTGAGAACGTGGACAATACTGAGGATGACACCGACGGCAGCTCATGACGACTGGGCGGCCACATGTGACCGACGTGGTCGGCGCCTGCTTCCACGTCGTGCAGCGGGGCGAGGTGGGCTTCCGGTGGCGGCAAGCGCGGCGCGTTCCCAAGCCGAGCAGTTACGCGTCGCGGCGCGCCTTCTGATAGGGTTGGTGGCATATGACGTGCGTTAATTAGCGAAAGAAGCTGCCCGGTTATGCGAGCCCTCGGCGAAGGAGCGAGTGTGCGTGATCGTGACGAGGCGCGCCCAGCAGGGGACAATCGAGCAATTCATGTTGGCGGTGGCGGGGGGCGGGGGGCGGGGGGCGGGGGGGGGAAACGTGCTGAGAAGGACCGCCAACGTGCTCGAACATGAGCAGGACATACTTCCAACACGGCGTGGAGCGCATGAAGCGAAGAGGCGTTGGGTGCAAGATTAGACCCCCAGGCGGCAGCGGCTCCGCTTACTCCTTGGCGGTCGTTCCGCATGCCGGTTCAGTAGTAGCGGCTATCGATATCCCGCGCGCCGTACCTCTCGAGCTTCCACACACGGGTCGGTCTCCTGTACCCGTTATCAACCACCACTCACTCAACGATGGCGCCTCGATGGGATACATATCTCCTAATCCGCTAGTCCAGAGCCCACATGAACCTTACGAGATGTCGATAACCCACCAACCGATATCTAGGCCAGAAGCAATTTGGAGCGTTTGCTCTGACGTGGTTTGGAAGCATGTCATTTTCGTATGAGTTGTCGAAGCCCTCAAGGTGTCTCCTTTGGATGTATCACAGCGACTTTTGTGCGCCCTACTAATGCGATTGGCACCTCGGCGCTCGGGAAAATGCAGGTATGCATGTGTAGCGGGAGCCCAAACTACTCCTCCTCCTCGTCGCCTCCATCATTAACCTGTACGACACCCCCACTCTCCTTGATCGCGCCCATCTCCCGCCCGGCGCGCCGCAACCGCTCACCAAACGCCTTGCGCACCCCGGCATTACTCGCGGCGTCCCACACCTGCAGCGTCGCCTTGGACCCCGCGGCAGCGAGCGCGAGGGGCGTTTCGGCGTCGGGGCACCACCGCGCAGCAAACACCTTGCCCAGCCCGAGGTCGCGGTGCGCGACGAGCGACACCTCGCGCTTTCGGCCTGTCGTACCCTCGCTCTCGTCGTCGGCGACGTTCCAAATCTTGACCTGCTTGTCCATGCCCGCCGTGAGGATACACCCGCGCACGTGCGGGTTGATGTCCATGGCCGAGGCGGCGCCGTCGTGTGCCGACAGCGTGAACTTTGGCTGCGCGCCGCCGGCGCCCATCGTCCTTGCATCGTACGCCAGGATGAGGCCGTTCTCCAACGACACCTGATGTCAGCGTGCTTCATGACGGTTTGGCTCACATAGAAAGAAGTCGCGTCCCACGGGTCCCAGCGCACACACTCGATGTCCGCGCCCACCGAGACAGCGTATCCCTCGCCGTCCTTGGACTTGGCGTCCCACACACGCACTGTCCGGTCCCAGCCGCCAGAGAGGACAGCGCTGTCGGCTCCCGAACCTGACGAGCGGTTCCACTCAACAGCCTGCACCTTCTCACCACCGTGGATCTTGTCCCACGAGCTCTGAGCGGCCATCGGGCTCTCACGCGTCAGGTCCCACAGCTTGACCGTCGCGTCCGCGCTGCCCGACAGCAGCAGATTGCGGAACTTGGGCGTCCACGAAAGCGTGAGGACGGGCTGGACATGGTGATCGGGATTCGCAGCCGGCTGAACCATCTGCTTGCGCTTCTTCTTGCCCGTGCCCTTAGGCTTGGCCTGGGGCTTCTCCAGCGAGCCCGCGGGACCCAGGATCGCCTGGGGATACAGCCCATCGACGACATCGCAGTCCCAGATTTCGATCGAGGGGTCGAACGAACCCACCGCGACAAAGTTGCCAGTCTTGGACGAGTCCGAGGTGCCGGAGGGGAAGTCGAGCCATTCTACGCAGAGCGGGAACGCGGGCAGCATCAGGTCGTGGTGCGGGTAGAGCGACTCGTTGGCGTCGTCGTACACATGGAAGTCGAGGCCCGAGAGGTCGGCAGTCGTGCGCGCCGTGACGATCATGCTATCGGTTGCCAACAGCGCGAGCTCCTCCCGCTCCATCTCCTCGTCGTCCTCCTTTAGCGTGATGTATGGGTCCTCGTCGTTCGTGCGGTAATAAGACAGGCCCTTGACGTTGGCAAACGCGCCCATGGCTGCAGTCAGTGCCCGCCCACACGTCTTCGAAGCACAACTCACCTGCGCTCCCCGAAGGCTCATCGTCGTACTCGTCCATCTTGTATGCCGAAAGGTCGCTGGGGTCGCTGGGCTTGGCCGGAGTGTCGTCCTCCTCCATCTTATCGTCGTCTTCGTCCTCGTCCTCTTCCTCGTCGTCGTCCCCGGCGTCGTCCCCCATATCCTCCCACTCGCCGTCGTCCTGTTCCATCTCCATCATCTGTTCCTTGAGCTGCTCGAGTACGCCCGGCCCGCCGAGCTTGCCAACGCGCTCGAGCTCCGACTCGTCCAGCTCGTACTTTCGCGGCTGGAGGGCGGCGCGCCCGCGCGGGACCCACGCGAGGGACGAGATGAGCGTGCCGGACATGATTGTTGTTGCGGAATCACTAACTCTCGAAATCTTGCAGGCAAGGCATGCGAAATCTCCATCTTGATACCGATAGCACGTGACAAATGACGTGGGATGTCCTGGCTATGGCATTACGTCACTCCCAGCGGATTGGGCGAGTGAGGTTCAAGTCGGTGACCCCACTTGGTCTTCGAGGTAGGAGTGAAGTCCGTCACTTACCTCTCTGTCTTGAACCTACTCCGAAGCAGCTCGCAGCAATGGGCTTGTTGTCAGTAGCTCCATCGAGCTACTCCCAAGAGCAGCTCAACGCGCATCTTGTTTCACTCGCCACACTCCCGGTTACGGTCACCTCGCCCTCTGACCTTCCCTCCGACGTTCAGGCGCAGGATGACGACGACGATGCGCCCTTCTCGAAGAGCCTGCAAGACGCGCTCACACAGTTGACGCAGACCAAGCCGCCGACGGCCAAGGAGGTCGCGCACATGCTTACGCGACTCCAGGAACGCAGGCAGGACTTTGGCGCCTACTCGGCGTCCAAAGTCGACCGCGCGGCCGAGGCTGAGATCCTCACCCGCTCTGTGAGCATTATATGGGCCGAGGTACTGCGCGAGTTTATCGACTCGTCTCTTGCGCTACAGGACGACGAGGTGTGGTGGGAGCGAAGCATGTCGTCGCGCATCGGCGCACTCGTCTACCTCGTGCAATGTGAGCGACGCCACGGAGAGCGCTGACCTCAGCCATGCCCGAGCGTATCTGGCGCGTCATCAGCGCAGGTCTTGAGACGGAGAGCTGGCAAGCGAAAGTCAAGAGCGTGGACTGGCGCCGTGCGATCCACATGCCCTCGACATCAAGCTTGTCGCGCCTTTTCAGGCCGCTCCATAGCGGGGGTGGCTCCCAGAAGTTCACCGCCCAGCTTCAGGCTCTCGCCTCTCCACTCGTCCTTACAAGACGCGAAATGCTGTCCAATAGGCAGACACTTGGTGCAGCAGCGGGCCTTGCCGCCAGCCGGGTCGGCTTGCTCGCCAGCAACGGCCCCAATTGGTCGATCCAGCAAGTTGGCACCACGGCATCGTCGAACGACCTTGTGGACGAGGCGACCCGCATCTATGGCATTCTTGCGGACGTTCTTGGCATTAAGCCGGTCGAGAAGGCTGTCTCGTTCAAGGATGAAAGAGGGTCGAGGAAGTCTAAAAGATCTACCCAGCCTCAACCTGCCTCGAAGGTCACACCCGAGATGCTCGCCGAAGTTGTCACTAAGCATCTTCCGGAGATGCGCAAGGTTCTGCATAACACGCTTGAGGAGTACGGGCGACCAAACGTCTTCACCAGGTTCTGGTTTACTGTCCTCTTCCTCCCCCCTGCACTCTACTTCGGAGCGCGGTCAGTCGTCAATAACAAGGAGTGGATCACCGAGCAGGTCGTGAACGCAAAGGAAACGGTCAAAGGCTTCTTCGTACAATGGGTCTGGGAGCCTGTGGAGGACATATTCACCACCATGCGTGGTGGGGGTGAAGGTCTCTCTCTCGCTCCCGAAACTGTAAAGGCGGACGAGGAAAGTTTGCAGCGCATGGTTCTTGACTTTGGCCGTGACGTTTACAAGCTCGATGACGCCCAGCTCAAGGCCTTGCGAATCAAGGTAGAGGCGGGTGACATGGAGGAGGTCCTGAAGGCCTACGAGAATGAGATCCGCCAGCCTATCAAGTCGGCTCTCTTTGGCCATCTGGTCCGCACGCTCCTCATCCAGGTCCAGAAGACAAAGGTGGGTTGTCGATCCTCGCTGTAGCTCACGAAAGACCGACTTGTCCGTCGCCTTGCAAAGCCTCGACCAGCTGCTGCGCTCGCAACAACTGACCTTCGCGTTTGTTGGTGTGGCGCCCTCGGTGCTCCTTCTCTACGGTATCTGGGGTTGGTTGAGGCGCCTCTATGTCGGCGAGGGCCGGAAGAAGGGTCGCCGCCGCCGCTACTTCCACAGCCTGCGCGCGATTGAGGAGCTCCTCCTCAAGGCGCCAGAGGACGACGTCCGCATGTCTGACAAGGACCGCGGCCTGCTCATTGTCACCACCTCGGGTCTGCGCGTGTGGGCGGCGGGGATCGGCTCGGGGGTGCGCGAGGTGAGTTTCACGGCCGAAATCTGCTGGCCCATGAAAGGACGCGCGTTTCCGACATTGCGTCTGATCTGCTGGGCAGGGCGCGCGCCATGTCATGCGCCTGCCGCGCGCTGGGCTTGCCCCGTGGGGTGATCAGGGGCGGGGGGCTGGTCGTCGATCAACGCTTGGGAGTATTACTGACAGGCAGGCATTCCTGGACGACTTGCGGATGTTTGAGGACCAGACGCTTACGCGGGGGGACAAGCTGCTGGTTGTGCAGAGGATATGGAGGTGCTGGGGTCGGGATGGGAGTGGAACGAGCTCTATGTAGAATCCAAGCGCCAAGCAGCATAGGTATCAATTTATCAATGGGAAAGTGGGAATGACGTCGGCGTTGATTAGAAGAAGGAGGAGTTGCCTGATCTGGGAGGTATTAACGCGGCGAGAATACATTGGAGCTTGGAGATTAGCGGGATCAATTCAGTTAGTGGTGGTCGCCACAAGAGGAGGAGAGGCTGCCCAACCCCACAACATGGACCCTGGGCGCATGGGCGCCGTCGCCTCGGCCTGGCCGCCTCCGCCTCCCCGTATGGCCGCCTATGCGCCTGTCCGCCTGCCGCCTGTGGCCCTGCAGTACCCGGCCACACCACCCGCCACTTCTTACTCATTACCCCCCCCTTCTGCCTTCTCATCACCACCGATTCCTCTGTCCACCCCATCTCTCTGCCCCCTCTCCCCCCTCTCCCCCCTCGGAGACACTCACACTCTCAGCCCCCACATCTAGCAGATCCTCACTCGGTCGCCTCCACGTTCCCGTCTCCGAGCGCCCTCTTCCCCCCCCTCTTCGCCCCCCTCATCGCCACCCACTCGCCGCTCGCAACCGGGTTGGTCGCCAAGAGTAACCTCCACCCATTCATTAGCGTTATCAACCCCACTGCCGCTCCCGCTCCACCTAGTCTCGTGAGTAGCAGACTCCGTTCGATCGAGATATGCCTTTTGGTCCGTCGAGCCGGCAGGATTTGTCTAGCATCGTAGAGTCACTGGCACTGTCCCACACCGTGGCTGCCGCCACCGCCTTCCTCCGCAGCGCCGATGGCTGGCTGACGGATGTCCAGGTCCCAGTAATCGCTTGCACAATCGCTCCTTCCTTGTCTCCTGTTTCCTGCTCGGCGTAGCAGCTCGCCTTCGGCGCTCATGGACACGTCGACCATCTCCTTTTCGAACGACGTACCCGACACACCACGCACACTCTCTGCATCCCCTGAGCGTCTCGAACCTGGGCTCCACCACACGCGTCTCGTCGAACAGGTCGTGCCGCCCACCAAAAACCAGGAGCTGGTGCAGATTGACAGCAGCAGCGCTGTAGCATCGCAATCCGGGTCACGCGCCGCCCGCGGTAAAGCCATCTCCCGCCTCGCCAAGATGCCAGTCAAGATCGGGCGGTACGAGTTCATCTCGGCTGTGCCCGGGGCGTCGGCTGCGACCTCAGCAGCCCCACATGCAATCAAGGTCGTGGGCGATATCCACATGCGTCCCAGTGACTTTGACTCGGGCGACGGTCCGTCGACTGTGTTGATTGTGTTCATCCCGATCCTCGTGGTCGTTCTCACGGTCCTTCTGGGCGTGCTGATCTTCCTGATCGCTCTGCTTTGCATGAAACGGCAGAGAGGCATTCGCCTTGCTGAAGACGGCGGGCCTCTAGACCTTTCCAAGGGCGACGGTGTCATCGGTGAGGGCGGAGTAGAAGGTGTGGAGCAACGCTGGCTCGAGACTTGCGATCCCGACGTACGGGAGGCCTACCTCCGAGCTAAAGGTGAGTTGGCCTACCTTTCCCCGAGATAATCTGCTGACGCGCCCCAGACTGGCAAGGCCAGTACCCGCCCTCGTCTGTTCCCACAGACATCACCCTGTCCCAGTTCCTCTCGATCCAGGAGAAGGGCGTCGCTGCGTGGGCATTTGAGCCCGACTACGAGGAGAACCTCTCGCTCTACGTCCAGTCGCGCACCGAGATCACCTTCCTTTCTGACGGCCCCGGTATGCCTGTCCGCGAGGGCGGCGGCAATTCGGTCATGGCCAACTTGCCACTTCCCAAACTCAACGAGGTCTACTACTGGGAGGTCAAGATGTACGAGAAGCCCGCGACTACCGAGGTTGCCATCGGTCTGGCAACCAAGCCATACCCGTCGTTCCGCTTGCCTGGGTGGAACAGATTTTCGGTCGCCTACTTCGCCTCGGACGGCTTCAAGTCGCACAACTACCCGTTCACAGCTTCCTCGTACGGTCCTCCTCTTGCCGAGGGTGACGTCTTGGGTGTGGGGTATCGCCCTCGCACGGGCACCGTCTTCTTCACGCGCAACGGCCGCAAGCTCGAGGACTGCTACACGGGCCTGCAGCGCCTGAATCTGTTCCCCACTGTTGGTGCCAATGGCCCCGCCACTCTGCACGTCAACCTTGGCCAGGCTGGATTCGTGTTCATCGAAGCCAATGTCAAGAAGTGGGGCCTTGCTCCGATGACGGGCACCCTTGCTCCTCCACCTGCGTACGGTAGCGAGCGCGGCAGTATCCTTCTCGACGCAGGCTACGGTACCCCCGGCTCAAGCCAGCCCAACCTGAGCGGCATTGGCGCTCTGCTTGAGGCTGCTCGTAACCGCGCGGCGGCCAGCCATGGCTCTTCGGGCACCACCCCCATCCCTTCTCGCTCCGTTGCCCACGCCGCATCTACTCCTCGTTCGTCGAGGCGGCATCGCAGGAACAACTCGCACCTCGCTCCCAGCCCCTTGCGCGACGGTGACAGCACGCATCCCGCGGAGGCCTCGTCATACCGCTCCCCGACCGATACTCCGCAGATCGAGGCGCGCGTGCCTGACGTTGAAGACCTCGAGTCTGAGGATGACTCGGACGACGACTCCACTCGTTCCCCTCCAAACCCGCCCACACCCAATGTTCTCGACATCTCAATGAACTCGCTCCGTGGTGAGCAGTCTTATTTCCACCGTCGCTCCAGTCCCAACGCTTCAGTCACGAGCGAGAGCGGGACCCACGAGAGCGAGAACAGTGGCAGCACCCTGCGGCCACGCGCGATGCGGCGCGAGCCCAGCCTTGGCCCGCCGCAGGACTCGCCTCCTCCACCGGGTTATGCCCCCCTCGACCCGCACGTCTACTCGGCCGGCCTGCCCGCCGACTTGCCCGAGGAGCTCATCAACCAGGCGATTGCGGCCATGAGCGATGCGTAAGTATGCTGGAGAAGGATTTTGTAATGGACGGGCTGACGCCCAGGGGTCCGTCGACGCCGATCCCCGCCCGGAGTCCGAGCCCAGCCCCACGAGGGCGGCTTGGGTGGTTCCGCGGTCTGACAGGTGGAGAGTAGCGGCGGATGAGTGTACGATTGTGTTGTCCAGTGTCTCAGCAGCATGCATGTGTGTTCGGATCATGCGGAGGCTTTGGGGCTGGTGGCGCGCGCCGCTTGCGTAAGGGCGAGGCTACGAGGTTGGTGGGCGTGCTGGGCTGCTCGACACATGCAGATTGTGAGGGTGCGGTGGTAAGTGGATGGTCCCAACGTCCCGAAGCAGGATGGGAGCCGAGTGCACAGCTCCACGCCTCGCGACCGCTTCCTCTGAACAACTTGACAACGACAATACTTGAAAGAGTGCTGCGGAAATCTCATCCACGGGTCTCAGCGTCATCCACATCAGCGCCACCTCCACCTCCACTCGTCTCGCTGACTTGCACATTACTCATCGCCACTTTCGCCTCCACGGCTGCATCAGCTCTCCCAGTTCCCAGAGTTCCGAGCGCCAAGCCGCACAGCCCGTCTGCACTCCAAGGTGTGTCGCCTGTGGCCACCCAGTACCGTGACAGCTTAGCCCACTTGGCAGGCAGCACTGGAATCGATTGGCCGATCGATCAGGCACGGCGTGGTGCGGGAACAGCTCAACCACGCGCCCATAAACGCGACTTGGATCTCGTCATTCCCTCTCTCTGATAGTCTCCTCGCCATCCATCTCCCACCCCCCACCATCTGTCTACCATGCCGCACCACCGGCACCACCAGTCTTTCTCGCGCGCCAAGCCCGAGTGGCTCCAGCTGCTCGAGGCTGAGCTGGCCCAGAACCCCCGCTCCACCGGTATGTCACAGATCCACGGCCGTGCTGATGCCAGTCTACTCGCTCGCGACCGTGCATGAGGGTGCGCCGCGCGTGCGCTCGGTCGTCCACCGTGCATGTGAGTGAATGTCCAGTTGACGAGGGGGTTTACATGTTTGCAACGCTTGAATCGGCTCGACACCGTATCGCTCGTTTGCTGACTCCGGATTGCTGAGCTACCTTCCGCTATCTCCTTTGGTGTGCAGGCGCTGACATCAGTCTCCCCTTCTGGCCTTCTCCTCACTACGACCGACTTGCGCATGCCCAAGACGTCGCAGCTCGCTGCTGAGCCTCGCACTGAGATTGCCTGGCTCCTCCCTACTCTCGTCCAATTCCGCGTCACTGGCCGCTCGTACATTGTGCCGGCCAGCGGGTCCGGCGGCGGCAGCCTCAGCCGCAAGAACAGCCAGCTCAAGGTCACGCCATCGCACTCCAGCCCACGCAACCCTCCCTCGTCGCTCCGCCGCTCGCCGTCCAACGCAGCCAGCCAGGCGAGCTCCAGCACGACGTTGAGCCCACACCCCACCCCGCCGATTAATCTGGAAGAGGCGAGCGGCTACCCGAATTCCACGAGGGAGAGTGTCTCGAGTACAGCGACGAGGTCGAGTCTGTCGAGCACGTCGTCCCTGACGCCCAACGACTCTCCGGGCGAGAGTGCGCCCGCCAGCGGGACAGCCTCAGGCACACTGTCGCGATCCAGTTCGAAGCAGGGTAGACCTAGGCTCCAGCTCACTCCTACGCCCGGAGACCTTTCGCCCAGCGACCGCCCGGCCTCAGGCTACATTGCGGCGCCGCGCTCGCCGCGCCCTTCGCCTCCTCTCTCGGCTTCCAGCACAAGTTCTCACCCTCAATTCTACCTCCGCCCCAATGTCGCCCTCAACCCGGCCGTCACACTCGGCGACTCGGACGCCTTCGCCATCCCGTCGCTGGCGGGCACGCTATCCGCGCTCGTGAGTTGGGGTGTGGCGCCGAATGCGCCCGAGTCGTCGCCTTCGTGGTGGGAGGCGGAGCGCGCTCGGATCTGGGACAGCCTCAGCCCCGCACTGCGTGCAACCTTTGCTCGTCCCGCTCCGCCCGGCTCGACGCTTGCCGACGCGCCCAGCCCCGAGACATGGATTACGCGCATGGAGGCGCATGCCAAGAACCCCGAGGAAGCTAAGGGTCTGACGGAGGCGTGGGAACACTTCGCTGTGATCGCGCTCGCGCCGGAGCGCGTGGAGATGCTCGAGCTCGCGTGCGAGCCGCACCGCCGCGCGTGCTGGGTGCGCGACGGCGATTCGTGGGTCAAGGAGGAGCTTGTGCCTTGAGCAGTGAAAAGGGCAGCGGTAAACGTGAGTTTCCTGGGGGCAATAGTAGCTCATTCTCCCGTAGATCGCATCCCATGGCAGTGGAAGGACGCCATAATTCAGCATGATGGATTGAGCTACTCCCTGCAACTGACCTGCATGCTGGAATTATGACCCTAGATTACTGAGACTGAGTTTACACGGTGGCCTGTAACCACCTACACGGATGGCCTGTAGCCGCCTAAATACTAATGGCCTGTGAGGCGGGATAGGTCTGATCGTCATGTCGTTACTGTGGGCTATTGGGCGTGCGCCGCCTGTGGGGAGTAGGTGTGGGGGCTCCTGGGGCTGGGCGGAGCAGATTGAGGTCGCTGGATCGGCGGTGGGGTATCAAGCGTCGCGTCGCGTTGGAGTGACGCCGAGCTATTAGAAGTCACCATGTACACGGTGCTCGGCGTGGCGGGGTTGAGGTGCACGACACTACTGCCTTGTCCACCGCCCGTAAGCTCCGTGACCTTGCTCGACGTGCTGTGCTCGCTGCGCTTCTCGTCCTGCGTCCCGCTCCCTCTCCCGCTGGCCTCCATCTCCCACTCCTCCGGCGGGAGGCGGTTCGTAAACGGCCGCTCGTGCGGCAGCCGGTTCGTGAAGCGCGGCTGGCGGCGCGGCTGCATCGGCTGCCCGAACATCTCTTCAAAGTCGACCGAGGACCCGATATCGATCGTCGAGACCTGCCCGTGCTCCCGCCCCGGGAAGTAGGAGCGGGGCACGCGCGAGACCCGGCTCTTGGCGGTGGGCGGGTTGGTTGCGTGGCTCCACGCCGTGCTGGACATCATGGCTTGCCGGCGCGCCTGCGAGCGGCAGGAGAGGATGCCGAGCCCGATCGCGCAGAGGAGGACGAAGCTGCACAGGGAGGACATCTGGGGTTAGTCCGCGAGGGGAAGGGGGGGCAATGGGGGAGGAGAAGGAGAAGGAGGGGAGGGAGAGGGGAGAGGAAACTTACCACAGCTTGGATGTTGAAGGCGGCGCGGGAGAAGACGACGGGCCGCATAGTGAGGTTCGTCGAGGCCCCGTTGGACCCGGGGTCGATCTTGGCCCCGATCGCCGTGCATGCCGCCGAGGCGTAGGAGAGCGCGAGGTCGAACGACGTCGCGTTGCACCGCATTGCCCAGCATTGCTGGCGTCAGTGGGAACATACTGATGGGAGCGGCGGTCTGCCGCCACTCAGTGGTCCAACACCCACCGTCACAGCGCCTTGGTACGCGTGGTTGCTGCAGAGACAGAGGTAATCTTGGTTACTTGCGCAAAACCCCGCGTTCGCAGACACCATGCAGCGCGTCACGCAGCCGGGGATGCCCACCATGCCCGCGGGCACGGAGGCGTACTGCCGCTTGAGGTTGGCGTGGTGGAGCGCGGGGCTGGCGTGTGTGTCGCCGTCGCCGTTGCCGTCGGGGGGTTCTGGGCCGTCGCCGTCGGGAGAGGTGGTGTAGCTCGGCAAGACGTACGCGTCCGCCGCAGCATCGTACTGCGGCAGCGGGATATACACTACGTCGGGCTGGCGTCAGCTTTTCGTCTCCCCTCCCCGTCTCCCCGTCGCCCCGTCGCCGCCGCCGTCGCCGCACTCACGTCCTGGAACGGCGCCATGGATGTGGATGTGGAGAATGCGAGTGGCGAGATACATTGTCCATCCTCTGCAGCACCAGCACCAAAGGCCCCCGACCCCCGATCGGATGCACCGGACGTCGCGACATGCGGATCAGGAATGGCAGCAGACATTGTGGCGGCGAGTGATTTGCGCCACTATTGTGCTGGCGCCCGTGCCTGGATACACACGCCACCGTGTGCTTCTCCGCCGCCGCCGCTGCCGCCGCCACACACATGGGTGTGGGAGTGGGTGGTGTGATCACGGAGGTGGGGGGTGGGTGGGGCGCGGCGAGAGGGGACAACAGCTGGCTTGATGCTTCAGCGAATCTGGGGGCCGAGTCATGCTGGAGAGTTGTGCGCGCTGTGTCATGGCACTCGCTTGGTGACTCCTCAGATGCATGATGGTGACTCGATGGCATGTCTGTGCAGTGGCGCAGTGACTGTCGCAGGGCCCGAGCTTGCACTCCTTCCCGGCGGCACCATGCGAATAACCAGATTACTGGATGCTCGAACAGACGGCCACAATGGTGCGACGAGCACATGCGCGCATCTCCGTGTGCCGTCCAGTCATCGGCGCTTTCTCCAAGGCCGCGTGTTCATGCTGCGTTGAAGGCATGCACATGCATCGCGCACTATAGTACAGGTCCAGTGTTCCCAGTGTTCCAAAGGTACAGGTTAGATGGTGGCCCACAGGTGGGCCGATGTACAAGCTGAGCTGATAGCGCTCTGAGCACCACCAAGTGCTGATAACCCAGCTGGCCGACAGTCGCATCAGCGAGCGATGTGTATGGCTGGAACGTCGCGGAAGGATGGCGTCCAGATCGACGCCACGGCCCTGCCGCACCGTCGCAGTGCGAGGGGTGGCGCAGCGTGGCGTGAGGTGCCTCGATGGGCTGGGCCAGCGCCTACTTGGCCATGATAGCCGCCATCTCGCGCTCGTCGGCGGCGTCGATGCCCTGCGCCCGCGCCTTAAGGCGGAGGTTGCGGTCGAACGTGACGAGCAGGACTTGCGTCGGCACGCCGTCGACGGGCCGCGCCTGGCCGAGGAGGGCGGAGCGGTCGACAAAGTGGTCGCGCTGGAAGGCGGCGACGTTGAGAATCATGTCGTCCATCGTTCGCACATTCTCGCGGCTGTGCAGGTCGAGCGTCTCGGCGCGTATGAGGAGGTCCGTGAGGTAGTTACCGCGCGATGTCTGGATCTTGAGGCACAGAGCGTGCGTGCGAATGCGTGCTTCGAGGTAAGCTACGGCGGCGGCCGCCTCAGTGCCCAGCGGCGGCGGGTTCTTCGACAGCCCGTCCAGCTCGGTGACGACCGGCAAGGGGACCACGACGGACCACTGTCCGCCCTCGACGACCTTGGAGAACAGGCTGAGCGAGGAGAGCAGCACGTTTGTGTCGAACACCAGAATCGTGTATCCCGGCACAACGTTGTGCGTGCTGCGCACGCGACGCGAGCGTGGCACCTTGGGCGCCGACGGCGCCGACGGCACCTGCAGAATGTCGCGGAGATGGCGGCGGCGCTCGCGCAGCACCGCGAGATCTGGGTCCTCGTCCTCGTCTTCGGACTGGATATCCTCCTCGCTCGGCACAGTCTGCGGCGGGCGTACATGGCGTGCGCCGTTGAGCCCCACTTCACGCTCGCGCGCCTTGCGCTCCTCCTCGGCGTCAATGGTGGCCGCCAGAGCGCCACGGATGACAACCTTGCCGCCCTCGAGATCGAAACCGTCCACGTGGGATGCCAAGGTCCCAGCCGCCCACGCGACACGGCGACGGCGGCGATCGTCCACGGCCACTGGGCCATCCGTCAAGTCTGCGCCCTCGACCTCTTCCACTACGCCCTCCGTGATGTCGAGCGCGGCATCAAAGCTCGCCAGCAACACGTCCATCTCGCTCGTGAAGCGCTCGCCGACACGAGGCATCGCCGGGCCACCATTCGAGCTGCGCGAGTTCGTCTTGGCCTTCCAAAATCCGCGCTCAAACACGCGCCGACCGACCCACTCCATGCCGCGGATGACCCAGTCTTCTGGCAGCGGAACACCGCTGACAAGGCGCGTCTCCTCCGATACTTCGATGCGGAGCGAGTTGACGAACTCGGCTAACCGGCGCCAGGGGATGGCAGGGAGAAGCGGCGCGCCTGCGATGGGGTTGCGGAATATCGTCGCGAGGAACGTCAACAGAATGGCGAGGTACGGGTTGAGCACCTGGTGCAGACCCTGCTGGCGGAAGGGGTGGACGAAAGTAAACTCGAGTATGGCAAAGGTGAGGGTGAGGGCGTTGATGAAAGTCGGTGGCGGCGGTGAGTCCGATGCAAAGGTCGGTGGGGTTTGCGGCTGGCTCTCGTCGTCCTGGCAAAACTCGTCCTCGTCACCGTCGCCGTTCTCCTCCGTCAGAGCTTGGCGGCGGCGTGCAGCACTTTCCTGCGCTAACCCCTTGCGGATGATGCCAGTGTCCGAGCCGTACTGCAGCACAGCAATGACGTTTACCACACCCATGAACAGCCAGTCGACTTGGGTGACGCATGCCTTGCGGCTCACGCCGTCGAGGCTCGCGTCTTCTTCGAGCCTCTCCATGAACCGGCTCATGACTGGGACAAAGTCGTCCAGCTCGATGCGCGTGAACAGCATCCCATGCAGACGGACGAAGAGGTCCATGGCCGTCGCTTCCGGCGTCGATCGCTGGAACTGCTGCGCCGTATCGAAGAGCTGCAGCACCGACTCGCGCGCTGTCTCAAATGGGTGTGAAGCCGCGAGACTCTTGGCAAAGTGGTACAATGCGCGCGCTTCCTGTCCACGCACATCGCAGCACAGAAGCGCGAGATGGTGATGCAAGCGCCCCTCGCCCGGCTTCTCGGAGATACCCACCGCGTACCAATCGCGCGCAGTCGTCCTCCAAGTCTCCTTGTCCTCAACGTCCCAGTTATCGGCCACCTCTTGCCCTATACTGGCCGTCTCGACCAGTGGTTCCTCATCGTCGTCGATGCGGGCTTCCACCGAACGCTTGCGCTTCGGCGCTTTAGACTCGATCGAGCTTGCCACTGCCATGCGGTAGCGGGCCAGGTCGCCCAGCGCCTCGATCCACGCCGTCCGGAATGCGGACATGATTTGGTCCTCGAACAGCTCGGTGTAAAACTGATATGCGTCGTATATGAAATCAGTGAGCAGGTCGAGAGCGATGGGGCTGTGTGAGATCCACGCGAAACGGAGCCGCTCGAGAATGGCATGGAAGCCGGTCTGCCACAGCCGTACGGGTATGTTGTACTTGACGGGTAAACCACGCAGGTCGCGGGGCGATTTGGGGTCAAGGGCGAGCTTGAGAAAGTTGGAGTGATATTCGGCAAGCTTCTTGTGCTGAGCTATAAGCTCGGCCCAAGCAACGCTTTCTTCGGACGCGCTGTTACTGTGCGGCGGCAGTGGCTTCTCGATCAACCAGGTGATCCCTGCCTCGGGATCCGCCTGCATCTTACGATGTATGGCGGTGAGGGATTGCTCTAGGGCTCCGATGTCCTTGTACGTGTGACGCAGCAAGTTCTTAGCGCCCGAGTCGCCCTCCCCACGTCCTCGCTCGCGGTCCTTGAAGCTCTCGCTTCCCTGGCTTCCACTGCTTCCTCGACTGCGCGTGTCCGATTCTTTGCGTTTTTGGCTTGAATGGACGCTTCCCCGTTCACTGCCTTGTCGGCGGCGCTCACGTTCACGCGCGCGATCAGCCTCCTCCTCGGGAGTGCGCATCTTGGGTGACGTGCGGCGCAATATTGAAGGCCGCACGGGCACAGCAAGCGTATCGGCGGTCGAAGGTGCATATGGCGGCGGGGCGTTGAAGGTCATGGGGTCATGGACTGCGGGGTCGAACAGCTTGTGCGTCGAGGGGCCTGGCCCATCATGTCGGCGGCGGGCGTCGTCGGGAGGGAGGGATCCCCGATGCCTGGACACAGGCGTGTGTATAGATGGTATGGAAGGGGCGTCGAGTTTGGGCGAAGCGGGGTCGAACAGAGCCCGCCGAGGCGATGGGACAAGATCGCGCCGCTCCTTGTGTGATGAGAGGGGGGATGGGGTAGGGATTGGCGGCGCGATCGCTGCCTCTCGTCGGGACGGCGCCGGTGCGCGGGGTACTGCTGGCCCCTTGGACGGGTCATACAGATGGCGAGATGTGGACGCCACGGGCCCGCGGTCAAACTCGTCAACCTTGTGCCTGCGTCCATCGTCGCGCACGCGTGGCCTGGCATCAGCGGACGCGGGCGACATGACAAACCGAGCAGATGATGACGGTGGCGGCTCGCGCCTGTGCGTCGACTGGCTCGAGGTCGAGCCTTGGCGGGCGCGGGATGGGGGTGTATGCTGGCGCTGGAGGGCGGCGATGCGGCTGGTGATCTCGTCTGCGGCGCTGTAGCCCGTGGTTCGCGTAGGCGGCGCTGGCGCCACCAGGCGTAGGTGCGGGTCGATGGGCTGCGGGCTCGTCGTCATGCGAGCTCGTAATTCCATGAATGCAGGGGGGCTGCGGGACACGTCTTAAGACCGTCTCATGGCCAGCGGTGGGGAATGGAGGACGATGGGGCACGGTGTGGTGTGGTGAGGGGTGTGGGTGTGCTCGCCGTGTGGGGGGGGGGTGGCGGGGGGGGGGGGGGGGGGGGGGGGGGGGGGGGGGGGGGGGGGGGGGGGGGGGGGGGGGGGGGGGGGGGGGGGGGGGGGGGGGGGGTGAGACTCGCTGTTGAGGAGAGGATGCGAGGGATGAGATGAGAGTGGTGAGAGGCCGAGATGTGCGAATGTGATGTTGATGTGTTGCGAGTTGAAGAGAGGATGAAGAGAGAGAGAGAGAGATGGAGAGAGATGGAGGATGGGCAACGAGCAACAAGTCGACGGTTGGCGATTGCTGCTGCTGCGGGACCCTGCGAGTCATCATCCCCCAGACTCAGGGTCCACTCGTCTCCGCAGCTTGTCAGGCCGCAGCTGCGCATGATTCAGGCACACGAGGTACAGGGGGGATGGCCTGCCACGTGGGTCATTAGCCCTCTTATTAGCACACGTCGTAATACATTTCGTATATTCCAAATTGGGACTGTCTCTGCTGTATTAAGCATACACCGTGGCATCCCATACCCCCCCGCATTCTGACAATTCTCTCGATCTCTCCAGATCTCTCTCATCTCTCATTCAACAACGCAGTCACGCGCCTGGTGGCCTCGTGGCCTCGTGGCATCGTGGGGCTCGACATGCCCTTGCATCTCGCAGCTCGCAGTTCCGCAATTTCGTTGGCTCCACACCTCTCTCTCCCATGTCGCTGCGAGTGGCGTCACGCGCATGTGAGACCAAAGCTAATATTTATTTATCCATCTACATCATGTCCACGATAACACTCATATTTGGCACATCTGCAGACAAATTCAGGTATACAACACGAGTAGCGCGTGCAAAGCAATATCAGCACTACGAAATGTACACCTTGCGTAGTCGCGAAAAGGCGCACGTCTCGCCTGTGCGGGGGCAGGTCACAACGTCAAAGTTGTTCTTGGCCATCTCAGTCAGGGCGCGGCTGGAATACACCGACCCGTTGGGGAATGCCATCGGCTCGTTGTTCGAGTCCATGACGTCGCCGCTGATAGCACATACCAGCGTCGAGTTGACATGGTGCGCCATCGGCACTTCTTTGGCCAGCACGCGCATGTCCTCGGCGCATGTCGGGCAGTCAACGACGGCGATATGCTGCGGCACAGCGGGCTCATCCTCGTCCACTTCGGGAACAACCGCATGGGGAGTCGCACGGCTCCGGCTCTCCTCAAGCAGCGTCCCGATCGACGAGACCGGGGCACCGGTAAGCTCGGCCGCTGGCGGGATGGGGAGGAGGGGCTGCGTATGTGCAGGCTGGTGTTCCTCCTTCGCGGGCATAAGCGGAGACGAAGGTGCGCACGCTGGAAGGCGAAGTGACGAGAGACCAGCGGAGAGTGATAGGGCCAGCAGCGACTGCGAAGGCAGCCCATAGATCCCTAGGAAGGTCTCTCGGAACTCCTCCCGTACCTTGTTCCACCGCGACGCGTCGTATAGTTTCTACTGTCAGCTCGTGCACGCTGATCTCGCTTACGCGGTAAGCCTGAACGCCGGTGGTCTCGCCGAACGCGAGCAGCGTCATGCTGCTCTGCAGCTGAGGCATGTGGGTAGCAGCCCACGGCGCGAGGTTCTTGCGAGCGTACGCGATGGCGCCTGCTGTATCGCGCCGTCGGCACAGCTCGATAAACTCTTGCGTGCGCAGCGTGAACTCGAGGTCGGACTGTTGTCAGCATACAGCCCACGTCCGTTATCCGCAGCCTCCAAAGCCATGGAGTAGTCCCACTCACTTCCTGCTTCTTGAGTGTCCCGCGATTCTCGCCACACCACGCCAGCGCTTCGGTGACCGAGTGCTTCTCGAGGAGCGCCGTCTCGATGCGGACGAGCTCAGCAAACAACTTGATGTCAACGAGAGACTGGTGTAAGTTGGTAGTCTCACACATACTCACTTCGATGCCCTGCGATGCGGCGAGCGTCTTGGCCGTCTTCATCCGCCCCGTCCGCAGAAGGTGGTCGACAATGTACCTGTCCACCGTGCGGTCTCCGGGGGCACGATTGTTCAACGCAGCGCTGGCCGAGCTCGTGCTCTTCTTCTCAAAATGCTCGGTGATTTCAGCCTTGGCCTTGGCTCTGGCCTTGGCCTTGAGCTTGGCAATCTCCTGCTCTTTCTCATCAGCCCCGTCGACCTCCATGGCATCGTCCTCACTCCCGTCCTCCCCGTCCTTGGCCTCTAGCTCTGATTCTTCCTTCTTGCCTGACAGGAGGGCCAAATCCCGCGCCCTCTCCGCCTCCTTCTCGGCTTCGCGTGCATGCGCGGGCGCCAGCAGCGCCCCGTCAATGTGGCTTAGGCGCTCGCGGAGCACAGCGGCGCCAGGCGCCCCAGGTGCGGGCTGGAGGTCGTCGAGCTTGCGCTTGAGACCGCGCACGCGTTCGCTACACGTGTCTAGGCGGGCTAAAGTCGTCTCCTTGTCTGCATCGGTGCCAGTGAGGTTCCTGAGAAGGTTGGCGAGTTGCGTCTGGTGTCAGGGGGGTGGGGTGCCGGGTGTGTGGGGTAGGAGGCCAGGGCGGCGGGGCGGTGTTATCGTGGTGGATGCGGGCGAACGCCTTGCAGCATGGTGTACGCGTGCATCGCACCCGTCTGCAACACATCGGTTTCCCATGCTGGGATGGAAACCCGACTGTCTCGCCGTATCCGACGGACAGAGTGCTGTTCGACACCACAGCCGAGGCTGGTCCGCAGCAGGACCAGCGCATCGCTCCGAACTCACCTGCACCACGGTAAACTCTTTCTCGACCTGTCGCTGAGCGCTACGGTGACTGCGTCGAAGGAGCTCGTAAGGAGTCTATCATCAGCCTTCCATCGCCTTGGCCACCCGCCCACCGTTGGAGACGGGCCGGACGGGTGGCCCTACCAGCCAGAGAGTCTAGCAATGGTCGGGCAGCACACCACTCACGCGCACAAGCGGCTCCTCGAGGAGCAGCGGTCCGTATATTCCTGTTGACGGGGGCATGGTGATGGATGGCGATGACGAGGAAGAGGGCGGAGATGAGTGGCGCGGGTGGAGGTAATGGGGTGGAGGTGGGTCACGTGCGGGGTGTGGCGGATCTGTGCTGATTGCAGTCGTAAGTAATTTGCGCTTTCCCAGCTTGCCAGAGTCGTGACTTTGTTGCCAACTCGAGCTCTTGGAAGCTGGCGCGTATGGGACAACTGCCATGGATGGGTGCTGCGATCTGACGCTCGGCGGAGTGGCCGGAGTGAGGAGCTGTTCCGCTCCCACCGGCGACTGATGGCATATCGCCCGCCTCATCCTTCCGCGCTCCTCAGAACACCACTATCACAATGCCACCAAGTGAAACATGTCTTCGGCCTTCGGCCCAGTGGACAGCGGCCGGCGAAACATCGTATCGCATTGTCGTCACCCCGAGCTGCCTGTCGACCGTCCCCGAGCCACACCGAGACATTTGCTCCCGCCTGACGTCAACGATATACCGGCACGGATTATTCCCAGCGACGTCGCTTTCTCTGTTCTTCCACACCACAACTTCTTTGGCACAATGGACAACTCTGGGCCGCTCGAGAGGGGATCGCTCCCCTCGAACATGTTCGAGATGGACGTCGTCAAGGATGCGCTGCAGCGCCGGATCGATGCTGGTGAGTCGAGGGGTGAGGGGTGAGGAGCGGAGGAGGAAGGAGGCGGCAGTCTGGCTGCGCTGGCAGCTTGAGATGGGATGCGACGCGGCGCTGACACCAGGCGACATTACGCGCGAGGACATCGAGACGCTGCGCAAGAGCTACACTTGGGTGTCGGCGTGCACTGCGATCGGCATGCTCTCCGGCCTGCCGATGTACATTGCGATGGGGCGGCGTGTGCCGCGCCTCTCGGTGCCGTTCAAGATCTTTTGCGCGAGCGGCACGAGCATGATCAACACGTTTTTGGGGTTCACGATCGGCGGCGCGGCCGCGAGCTGGGAGGTGCACCGCAAGATGCCGGATACGCGGCGGTGAGTGGGTGTGGGGCAGGCGTGAGATTGGGAGAGCTCCGTGGCCGGGGGAGGAGGTGCACGGTGCTGGAGATGAAGAACAGGAGGGATAGTGATAAAGCGAGCCGACAGTTGTCCCGACTCCCGCTGACATCAGCAAACTCGCCGTGTTCGAAGAAATCGCGCTCGACGCGCGCCGCGCCATCGCCGAGCACCGCGCAGGCATCCCGGACGGCACGGTGATCAGCCACCGCGCAGGCGTGCCCATGAACGACCAGTTCACGCCGCCGGACGAGGTGCGGCGGGCCGCGGGCAGCGAGATGGACCGGCGGGCGCAGGACGGCGACGACGAGCAGGCGCGCAAGCGGCGCGAGTTTGAGGACATGCTCGAGCGGGAGCGCAAGGGCGGCTCGGAGAAGAAGTGGTGATCTACATGCACATGCACATACACATGCAACATATTAGGCAGTGGCATGCTAACGATACGGAAGTCTATGAATGAGGATGGCAGCCTACTTCGCAGGCTCGGGCTTCTCGTCTGGCGTAGCGGGCGATGCGCGCCGGCTCTTCTCCTTCTTCTCCTTCTTCTTCTTGCCTGCGGCCGACGCGACGAGGCGCTCGAGCTCACGCCGCTCCTCGGCGTCCTCGTCGTCCTCGATCGACTTGAAGATGTTCCCGATGGCCATGATCGCCTTGGCGCGGCGCACCGCCAGGTCCTTGGAGATCCCGGGCTCGTGGAGGACGGCGTCAATCACAGGCCCGAGGATAGTGATGACCTCGATGCGCGTGGCGCGCCACGTCGTGAGCAGCATCTTGGCGCTCAAGTCCTCGGCGAGCGCGGCAATCTCCTCGGGCGTCGCCGTACCCTTGGCCTCGAGACGCTCCATCTCCTGCATCGCCGCCTGGACGTTGAGCGCACTGGACAGCATGCCAAAGCTCTCCTTGACGAAGCCGCCCTTCTCCTTGAGACGCCCGAAGAAGCCTCCGCCAAAGTACTTTTTGCTCTTGACAAAGTTGCCCGCGCGGGTGACGTAAACCGTGCCGATGGTGTGCAGGAGCTCGACGCCAAAGCTCTCGAGCTTGAGGTCCTCGGCTTCGGTGCGTATCCTCGCCTCGAACGCCTTGGTCTCCGGGTCGTTGGCCTCACCGGGGTGCTTGGCGTCGACGTACGGCCGGATACGCGTAAGAAGCTTGGTCGTGAGGTCCTTGATGCGGGTTTCACGGCGCTGCTGGTTCTCCTGCTCGAGCGCCTCGAGCTTGGCCTTCTGCTCGGCCGTGAGCTTGGCCTTGCCCGCCTCCTTCTTCTTGTCGGTGGCGGACGCCGAGGCGGGCGTCCCGACGGTCGAACCAACGCCCGAGCCGGCGCCCGAGCCCTCTGCTGTGACGGGCTTCTGCTCAGCTGCAGCCGCAGCCTCAGGCGTAGTCTCAGCCGCGCCAGTGAACGCAGGCTTGGTCGGCGACGCAGGCTTGGCGGCCGGGGGCACCGAGTCGCGCTTGCTTGGCGAAGCAGTCCCAGACTTGCTCGGCGAGCCCGGGCGCTCCTCAGCCTCGTTCTTGGCCGCCTCCATCTCGGCCCGTTCCTCCGGGGACATGACGACGTCCATCGTGCTCGTAAAATCCTTGACGAGCGCAATCTCGCCAATGTAGTCGACAAAGGCCTCGCCGCCAAAGAGCTTGGAGAAGATGGCCTCGGGGTCCTCCATCGCGCTCTCGGGCGCATTCATGGCCTGACGCCCGACCTTGTCGTAGAATGCGCGCTGGTCCGGGTCGCTGAGGATTTGGTACGCCTCGCCGATCTCCTTGAACTTGGCCTCGGCCTCCTCGGACGGGTTCTTGTCTGGGTGCCACTGATGTCAGCGCAGGTCAAAGGTGTGCGCAGCGGCAGCGGGTCGAGCGGGGCAGGGCGGGGGTAGACACAGCTAAAGCCGTGCAGGGTGGCTCAGGTGAAGTCTGCCAGCATATATCCAGCGCCCGGCGTCATGAGCTCGTTCAATGCTTGGTACGCATCCGTGAAGATGGAGATGGGGAGGAGAATGACACTCGAAAGATAAGCCGGGTGGCGACGCACCTTGATCGCCAGCTTACGGTACGCCTTCTTGAGCCTGTTGTCAGCGCTGCCAGACTCGCGCGCACTCAATGTCGGTAGCCTCGGGCTTGACGCCGAGGAGGTCGTACAGCTCCGTGTCCTTTGGTGGCATGGTGATGGATACAAGCAAACAAGTGGATGAGGAGGAGATGAAAACAAAATGCACAGCAGTTGTGTTGGCAGTGCAGAAAGAAGGCCAGGGGCGAGAAGCGGAGGTGCCTGCGCACGCCCGGCGCACGTGGCTTTGTATTGCTATAAGCATTACAACTCCTAATGCGTCGTGGCTTTACTCAGATACTCAAAGCCGCTTGTTTGTCGGCACTGTCCGTCGCATCTCTGTTGCTCCATCTCCGGGCAGCCGACGCGCCACGCCCGCGCCACGCCCTCGCCACGCCCATGCCCCGCCAAGCAGCGCAGCTGAATGAAACTGCATTCACTCTCTTATCTACGCAAGGAAGAGACGGTACACCTCGACGCCAACAACATACATCGTCGGGAAGATGAGGCCTGGCATCAGCTCCTGTTCCTCCCATCGGGACTCACCACAAAGCGCAGGGAGGCCGAGACGGCCAAGGCCGGCGTTGCGCTTCGCGGGGTCGCCGGACGAGTACCCGATCTGGTGTCAGCGCAGTATGGCGCGTCGCGCACGGTGTAGCTGAAGCGGCTGAGGGTCCACGCGAGGATGCTGCCGGTCGCGAGCTTGGGGTGGAAGCAGCCGAGGAAGGCGAAGAGCGAGAGCACGGTGGGGAGGTACTCGAGCGTGTTGGCGTGCGCGCGCTGCGCGCAGTTGAAGAGCTTCTTCTTGGGGTCGGCGCGCGCCTCCTCCTCGGACGCGTACAGCGCCGGGTACTTGACCCCGGCGGCCTTGCGGGCCTTGACGACGTTCTGGAGCTGGAAGACCTGGGGTTAGGGTTTGGGTGGGGGGAGAAAGACGAGGGACAAGCGCCGGGAGACGGCGAGGGCGAAGGCGAGGGAGTAGAGGAGTAGAGGAGTAGAGGAGTGGAGGAGTGATGAATGAGCTCACATTCAAAAACAGCAGCGCAACAACGCCCACGCCCATGACGGGGAACGTGGCGGGGAGCGTGAAGCCGGGGGTGATGTGAGCGGTAGCCATGTTCAGTGGTCAGTGGGGTTGAAAAGAGACAGTTGAATAGCATTTATATGACGTCGGGACGAGGCCGACGGGCATCGGCTGCTCCGGCTGCTCCGGCTGCTCCTGAACAAGCCGCGCGGCCCGCGATTTCTGGCCGCGACGCGCGCGGCGATCGACCGCTCCGCCGCGTCAAGCATACCTGCAGATCGCGTTGTACGGAATGGAACAAGCCCGGCGATCGCCGGCAACATGCATTTAAACGGATGGATACAGAACACCCTCACTCGTACATCGGCCGCAGCGGCGACGACACCTTGGCTGCCGTCAGCCTACCCCAATGGCGACTTACGTGTGTACGCGCGGAACGGCGCCTCGGCGATAGGCCCCAGCCGCTTGAGCACCTTGGGCTCCATGCTCTTCGTGCGCTGCCGTCAGTCGCCAGCCCCGCCGCCCAGCCACTTGCCTTCTGGAACACGACTTCGTGCGCAAAGTCGACCGTGTGCTCGACCTCGTCTTCGCGCCTTCCGGCTTTGAGGCTGTTCACGAGCCAGCGGAGGCCGACGACGTGCGGGCGCCGCGCGGCGTCCATCCGTCGCCAGAACGCGGCCGTGTTCGGCCGCCCGCCCTTGTAGATGAAGTGCGTACAGCTCTCCGTCGGGCGCGACACGACCTGGCGTTAGCAAGCTCGGAGAAGCGACTCACCCTCGCGCCCCCGTTGCGCAGCATCTCGACGAAGCTCGAGCCGACGTCGACGCCGTCTTCGTTCCGCACGTCGACGTATGCCGTCACGCCCTTGAACAGCTTGCTCTCCGTGTTCATCAGGCTTTCGAGGCGGCCCTTATCCTTTTGTGCGTCAGTGGGACGCGCATTGAGGTTACCAACGGGCGCAAGGGGAGGTCTGGAGGAAAGGTTGCGGGGTCGCGGGGTAGATGTCACTGCTGTAGGCGCTGGCGCGGGCGTGCTCGCCACTGTTGGCGTGGGTGGGCGTGGGCGTGGACGAACAGAGTCTGTCTCGCGCGCCTTGGAAGGAATGCGGAGGTTGGCGAGCGCAGCGTTAAGGGCCGAGAGGTTGCGCGCCGTGTCATCGTACCCTTCGCGGCGGGAGGGCATGCTGAGGCTGTCGCGCTTGTGGGCGACGTCGGGCCGCACGACGGTGCGATTGGGCTCGGACGCTCGAGCAGAAAGGCGGGGAGGTTCAGAGGCGGAAGGACGCGGTGTAGGCTCAGATGCAATTGGACGCGCGCTCGACTCGTCGATTTCCATAGAGTCTGGCTGGGTGGTGATCGGGTTCGAGACGACTCGGTTGGTCTGGCGCGCGGGTGGTCCAGAGCCTAGTGATGAGGGATACGACGGGTGGCGGCGGGCTGGGGCCGTAGTCGAGCGTGTAGATGGCCTACGAACAGGGAGGGCCGTCTTGCGAGCTGGAGTGGGGGCTAGACATTTGGCCTCGGACACCTCGTCAGCGGGAGCAGCAAGGGCTTTGTCTGGCCGCTTGGTGGACTTGAGTAGCGATGCAGCAGTGCTCTCGCCCACTCGTCCGCCGAAGGGCACGGGAACAGTCAGTCGAGGCGTCACTGGCGGGCGAGGGAGGCGGCTGTTTGGAGGCTTGGCGGATAGCGGGGGCAGCCGGGGGAGAGGAGCGATTCTGCGCTCCGCCGCCACCGTGGAAGGCAGCGTTGGGATATGTCGAGGTGGCTGAGGAGTGAAGAACGTCGAGAGCGACGTCTGGCGCGGACGCATGTGGTCTCCCTCAAGCAAGCGCGGAGCCTTGAATGTATCCTTCGGCGAACGGGGCGAGCGGGGGCGCTTCGGCGTGCCCATCCCGAGACCAAAGTATCCCTGTGCAGGCGTGCGTGCCACCGGCCGTGGCGGCGTCGGAGGGCGTGGGGTGACACGTGCCACCTTGCCTTCGTTCTCTGGGTCGGTGCGGAGGATGTCGCGCGCAGGGGTCGGGGGTCGTGTGGGTGTGCGTGTGGGTGTGCGCGCACTGGGCGAGCGGCCTGGAGTTGTTGTCCGCGAGGGCGTGCGGGAGGGTGTTGTGCTCTTCATGGAAGATGTGCGTGAGGGTGTTGTTGAAGCCATCACAGTGTCACCATCATCGGACTTGCGTGGTGTAGAGCGGGACATGGAACGGATTAGGGGCGACAAAACGGGGGCGAAGGAGGTGGATGGGAAGGCTGGTTGTGTTGGTGCGAGGGGATTTAGTGAGGGTGCGACATTGAGTGGTGGAGGCGGGACATCGATGGGTGCTGGGTTTGGCGGCGCCGGTACAGGCGGCGCGGGCATAGACGTCGATGGCACGGCCGAAGCTGTCGAGAGCGTGGTCAATGGAGGCGGCGGCGGCGGCGCGGTGGTTTGAGACGGCACCGACGGTGTGTCGTGCAACGCATCTCCCGAGTGCCGCTTACGCTCCCGCCCGCCGTCGCCGTCGCTCTTCCGTTTACCGCGCACGCTCTCCTCCTCGACAGGCCGGAGCCGCGTTGCGGTCGGAATTCGGCTGCGTGTTTGTGCGACGTGCGCGGCGTCGACGGAGCGGCGGGAACGCGTGCGTGCCGCGACGGGGGTGGTGGGTGAGACGGACATGGTCGAAAACAAGTCAGTCGCGCTAGCTCTGCAATGTCGGGGTGACTTTGGCTGCCTGGGGCAGCGAAACTAGTCGAAGAGCTATCCGCGCATGAGGCGCGGATGCACAAGGACACGGGAGGAGGACGGGGGAGGACGTGGAGGATGATGCGAGTGGAGATGGATAATGTTATGTCGCAGGATCAACAACAGTGATGCTTGCCCAGATCCTCATTTTGATCCCGCTCGTCACGCCTCACGCTGCGCTCTCCGTCACACTCGCTTCTCACCACATCCTACATTCCAACAACAACACTCCAGCCAGCACCGACTGCAGCATGCGTAAAAATTCACTGTATACATTCGCCCCCAGGACTCATGTACAATACGAAAGCTCGGTCGCCAGCACAGCCAACGGCCGAGGTACGAGATGGATCACGAAATGGCAGGTGAGATCTACTCGAAACAAGCGCGCATGCTGTCCACAGGCAGCCAGCTGAATGCAGACGTCACGAGCGGGCTTAGTGAAGGCGCAGGCCGCTGCGGCGGCGGCGGCGCGAGCACTTCTTGTGGCCACCGGCCGCCTTGGTGCCAGTGCTGGCAGGAGGCTGAGCGGCCGACGGGGCGGCCTCGGACGGAGCAGCCGAAGCCGACGGGTCAGCCGCAGACGGGACGTCGGCGCCGTCTTCGTGGGCGACGAGGTTGTTGGCACCGCCGGGGAGCTCCAGCGGCTTCCCGCTGGGAGCAGGGCCGGAGGCAGAGGGCGAGGCAGCAGGCGAACCGGCAGGCGTGCCGGCAGAGTCCGAGCTCGAGGTGTTCGCCGAGGGCTGCTCAGTGTTGACCTGTCCGGTGCCGTTGACAGCGTTGGGAGCGGGCGCGGGAGCAGGGGCGGGGGTAGCCTCCGGGTTGGATGCGTTGCCGGCGGCGGGGGTGGCAGCGGGGGTGGACGCGTTGGCTGCGGGGGTCTCGGCCGCGTTGTTCTGGATAGGAACATCGGTGGGGATGCCGCCGCCGTTGGCGAGGCGGGTTCCGACACCCGAGGGAACCTGGAGAACGCGGTGGGCGCCCTCGCCGACAATGGTAGGAGGCTGCATGCCGTTCCAGGCCGAGGCGTCCTGCATACCAGGGACCTGCGAGTTCTTGAAGACGGCGGTGTCCATGTTGAGGTTGTCGGCAACGTCCTGAGCAGTTCCGATCATGACGGAAGCCTTGTTGAGGAACTTGAAGAAGCGACCCCAGCCCTGGTCCTCACCCCAAGCGGAGAGCTTGCCGTTCTTGCCGGCGACCTTTGTGAAGTTGTCCCAGTTGGCCTCGGCACGGGGGTCCATCTCGACAGCGAGGGGCATGGTCTGCTCAAGGTGCGACTCGGACCAGAACGCGTTGGGAGGAGTGAAACCGGGGGTGGCCTTGAGCCAGGGGCAGTCGGAGGGCTTCTCGTCACCAGCGTCGGCGGGCCACTCGGGATTGCAACCGGGCAGGTGCTGAAGAGGCTCCTGGTAACCGTTCTGCTCGGCGGGGATCATACCCTGGAAACGGCAGTTGTTCTTGGTAGTGTCGTCAGTGCCGCCAGCCTGGAAGGCGGCGCAGGCAGCGAGGTTCTCGCCAACGTTGCAGGTCTTGAGGGCCTGAGCAAGGACCTCGGGCTTCCAGCCATTGACAAAGTCGGCGTGGTACGAAGTGCCAAGCATGTCACCGTTGGAGAAGATGAAGTGGTTCGAGCGAGTGCCCCACTCGGCCTCCTGTGCGGGAGAGGGGTAGTAGTTGGTCTCGATGAACAGGCCGGGGTACTGTTGTGTGAGCGGATGTCTAGGCGTCTGTGCACGGCACAAGCTGTTGTGAAACACTCACACGAATGGGGTGCGAGGCAGGGCACTCGAACGAGTCCGGAGCCTCCCAGATGGTACCACCACCAGTCTTGATGGGCCAGGCGAGGTGCGACCAGTGGTCGTCCGAGTCGAGCGACTGGTTGGCCCAGCCGCACGAGGGGAAAGCGATGCCGGCACGAGGGCCACCGGGGAAGCCGGGGTGGGTGGTGGTGTTGGGAAGGTAGATCTCCCACTTGTCGCGAGGGAGTGCGGCAAAGTCCATCTTGATACCACGGGTCTTGGAGCGCTGCATGTTGCGGTTCATGGCGTCGCCGGTGACGATGCGCATGCCCGAGGGCCAAGGGGTGACCTGGTCAGAGAACGTGTAGTAAACACGGGTCTGGTGAGCCATGCCCTCGTACGTGCCATCCTTGCGGATGTAGTAAAGAGTGGGAACCCAGTAGCTCGACTTGTCGTCCTGGACCTTGGCCGAGCTGCACTGAGCACGAAGTTGTTCCTCTGGGGTGTTGAGCACGTCGCGAATGTTGGATGCGCCCATGAGCGAGTGGACATGGCCTCCGATAGTACCAGGGTTGACGATGGGGTCGATACGCGTCGAGGCGAGGGTGGCGGCGGGAATGACGAACTGTGCCGCGTCGACCGGGTTGGCGAGGGAGAGAGCCGCGAGGGCGGCGGTGGCAACGCTGAAGAGCATGCTGGGTAGAGAAGACCAAGTCTAGTATTTGTATGTAGGTATAAGGGATACACTCAGTGTGTGTTTGCGTCGACCAGCGAACGCAGAGATGAGAGAGATGGTGAGAGAGAGACCGCGAGGCGAGCAAAAGAGTGTGGTGCCGGTGCGGGGGTGGCCTTGGCGGGTGTCGGATGGGCCGAGACGTGACCGAGGTCGTGAGGTCGTGAAGAGGAGAGAGGAGAGGAGTGAGAGGAGACCTCGGGGGGGAGGAGGATGAGTGGGGGATTAAGTATGAAAGACAATGAGAGAGAGAGGAGGAGGAGAAAGAGAAAGAGGTGTTTTGTTGGTCGCGAGGACGAGAGCGACAGCGTCAAAGGCCTCCTCTTGCGACTCAGGGTTCCTGCCATCACAGCAAAGGGGGGGAAGGAAGGCTGGGGCGCAGGAGGGGCGCAGGGGGAGTTGCGCCCCTCTTGGCGTCTGTGCACTGCGACTGCTGTACCAACTCTCCTCCTCCTCCTCCTCCTCCTCTCTGGGTCCTCTGTCAGCATGCATCATCTCCCCTCGTCCCAAACCCAGTATATCTTCAAGGTCCATCTGACGAGTGATGAAGCGCCCTGCAATCGTGCAATAAAGAGGCGGCCACTTGGTCCCAGTGTGGATTGTGCGGTGTACGTACACGAAACAGGCACGTTACCCCTCCCATCAAAGGGATCAGCTTCAGGGTTGGGGGTAGGCCGGACGCGACTGGTGTGCACTAAACCCTGAAGATGTCCACTTTGCCAGCAGCCCGCCTCCGTCCCGCATCCACCTCACCCCGTCCACGCGCGCGCGCGCTTCTGCATAATGCTCTCGTCAGACGGCGCTGGTCCGAGTCTTCCGGCTTGACAGGTCAACGGCGGTGGTCGCTGTGGGCTGCGGGCTGCGGTGCATCTGTGCAAAGGGTGGGATAACGGCACCCCGAACCTTGCTGAGACTCTCCAAGCGCAAGTTTTTTTCGCTCCAGACAATCGGAGAGCAGCGTGACTAGTTGAGGCAGGGATCTGGGGCATCAGATGTGCAGATGTACTGTACTGTAGCGTACAGTCCAGTCCACCCCACTCCGGCCTGTCCCGTGCAGTCCGCTCGAGCTCAGCTCGGTCACGGCGACCGCCACTGCTCGTGATGATGACTCAAGGCGCCACACCTAAAGCTTCCGGCACATGAAGCAATACACAGACATCAGGGTCCAGAGGAAAGCCCAGGGAAAACACAGGAGAAACGCGTCCACCGGCGCAACCGGCAATCCCCCGGGTGAATTGGATCTACATCCATCCCTATGTCCTATATCCTCTCTCTGCTCTCTGCTCTCTGCTCTGTGCTCTCTACTCCGCGTTGCACAACTCGCATCCTCTTCGTCCGCGTCAATTCAACGCTTGATGGAGCATCCACCACGCAACAGTTTCATGACAAACCCCCTCCCCCCCCTCGTGTCACATGTGATGCATGATGCGCGCTGTGTGGCGTGTGTCCGAGATGTGCACGCCGATCCATCCTCTGGCGACGATCAAACACGCGTGGGGCAGCTGGACTGTGGCAGGACTGTGGCAGGTGGCAGGCAGGCTCAAGGTCGCGTCGCTGCCGGCATCTCTTCCATTCATTCACTCGTTCAACCTGCCCGGCTGTCGCTCAGCAACCCCAGAGCCCCCCGGTAAACACGATCACAGAGCTAGCCCCTCGCATATGTGCCCGACCAAGTGCCCAACTGACGCCAAGCATGGGCCCAGCTCTTCCAGAACTGGGCACGGGTGTTTCGAGTTTCGACCTCGCCGTCAACTCATGACGCATATGACGCAGGCTGCCGCAATTGTCGGGCGCAGCGTGACGGCGACGGCGCGATACTGTCAGCGTCAACATCATCGCCAAGCAGGCCCAAGGCCCGCACCATCACTTTCGTTTAAACCCACCCCCAAACCATGTGCATGCTTGTTTACGCTCTCGTCGTCGGTTGGGACAACGCGTAAGACAATGTACCTCGGAAGCTTGTCTCGGGCCCAGAATGTCGCTGCCCATCCAACAGTACAGCCCACAGCCCCCACTGGCAACTGGCCCAACCCCTATCCAGACCGACTTGTCGACCGGAGCTTCCCAAGATCCTCAGCCCACCCGCGCTATACACACCACATGTCGAGCAGATCAAGCAGCGTCCGAGACGGGCATTCTCGCACTCCCCTCCGTCAATAAGCCTATCTTTCCTGACTGACGAGCGCTCGGCCTGGCCATGCCTCCCCCCAACCTGATACAGGCACGGGGCCCACAGCTTTGGCAAGCTTTGGCAAGCTTCGGCAAGCTTCAAGTGCCACCCGCGCTGCCGGCATCCGCGTGGCCTGTACAATTTTCCGGCTGCGACGCTCGACGCCATGCCGAGCCGAGCCGGGAACAAGACGGTTCGAGAATTCGAGAAGCAAATGTCGTTTGGCTTTGCGATAGGCTTCGGGGGTGCGGGGTATCTTGGGCGAAGTTTCGAGAGCCCGAGCTGTCTCGGCCGATGCGATGCGATCTACTCTTACCCATCCTTGCGACTGATGGCTCAACGACTCGTCGGCTGCTCAGCTTGGCAGATCCGAATCGCAGATGTTCAATCGATGCTGGCGCCTCTAACTACCCGACGATACGACCATCAGACGAGACGCAGAGTCCATGGCCCCGCCCGGCCCCACGACCGCCCGCCACGACTCATGTGCCTAAGGGACTGTGCCTGCCGAACGTCGCATCGATGCAACGTCCGTCCCAGGCCGGGCATTGTGCGAGCCGTCGGCCCCGGCCAATCTCAAGCGGAGGCGAGGTCGGCGTCGGCGTCACCGTCACCGTCGGCGTGATTACGCGTGTAGTGGGTCGGTGAGGACAAGCGTCGAGGCCGCCATAGCCGCCAGAGGAGATAAGCGCAGGTCGTTAAGATACGCCTCGAGAGGACGCAGCGTCGTCGCCGCGACTGTTTCATCTCGGCCGACCATGTGCATGAGTAGACTCTGCGTCTAAGCCCAGCAGATATGCTCCAAACCCTCCTGGACCTCCTGGATTCGAACTTCTCTTGCAGACGTCACATTGGGGAACCGGACCACGTACATTGCTCCCCAAGGAGCGAGTGAGTCAGAAGCTGCGGCGGACAATCGGTCAGATGGAGCGAGGGGAGTCCCATTGTACGGCCCGGGGTGCCGGGCATTCTGATCTGCTCAAAGTCGGCGACAGTCCGTCGCTTCTACACGGAGGGCGGGTATTGCACTGGCCGCGGCTTCTGTCGCGGGATTAACGTGAGATCTTTGTCCAAGCACCACCACAACATATGCATGAGTAGGTCCAAGGGAACCGCAGGCGGCTTCGTGTCATGGACCTGTTGCAGAGACTAGTGCACTTGGTATACCGAGTCACAGCTCGACCGAGTGGAGAATCTGCGAACCGCACTCCAAATACGAGAGTCTTCATGTCAATGCGTAGAGCAAAGTACTCGATCATCCAGCAGTGCCAAGCTGCGAGCGCTACTTGTGCTCCTGCTCATCAGCAGCGCCTTTCCGCTCAGCATGAATGGACAACCTCCACCTCCACCTCCACCTCATATTTGCTCCCGCATCGCAAGTCGCCACTCAACTCGATCAACCCGTCAACTCCAACGAATCCGAACCCAACATCCACCTCACCATGGACGGCAAGATTTCCTTCTCCTTCGGCGCCAAGCCGAGGGCGGAGGCTGCGCCGTCGGCCGCGCCCGCGCCCGCGCCCGCACCCGCACCCGCGGCGGGCATGTCCAACCTGGAGCTCCTGATGGCCCAGGCGAAGAAGAAGCCCGCGAAACCCGCGAAACCCGCGAAACCAGTGGCGTTCGACGACGCCGACGACGACATCGCTCTGCCGGTAAAGAAGGCAAAGGACACGCGCACACCCAACCTCTATGCCCCATCTGCGCCCGCCGCGCCTTCCGCCCCGCCCGCGAAGCGCGAGCTCCTGTCCCGCGCGGAACGCAGGGCGCGCGACGAAGCGCTCAAGCTCGATGCGAGCGTGTTCGACTATGACGGCGTGTACGATGGGATGAAGGCTGCCGAAGCCGCTGTGACGGAGGCGCGGAAGGCGGCGGCCCCCACAGGCCCGAAATACATCGACAGCTTCCTCGCCGCCGCCGCGACGCGCAAGCTCGACCGCTTGCGCGCGGAAGAGAAGATGCTGGAGCGCGAGCGCGCGGCCGAGGGCGACGAGTTTGCGGACAAGGAGAAGTTCGTCACCCCCGCATACCAGAAACAGATGGAGGAGGTGCGCAAGGCCGAGGAAGAGGAGAAGAAGCGCGAAGGTATGTCGGGGGAGGAGCTGGAGACTGACACGCAGAGGCGATGCGCAAGTCGAATAAAGGGCCCGGACTGACGTCGTTGTACGCGAGCATGCTGGACGACGGGGCGGCGAAGCACGCCGCCGCCGTCGCGGCGACGAAGCCGGCCGGGCCGAGCCTCGCGATCCGCCCCCCGCCCGACGAGGAGGAGTACGACCCGCTGCTGGCCGCCGAAGCCAAGTCGGCCAAGCTCGGCGCGGGCACGCGCACCATCCACGCCGAAACAGGCAAGGAGATCGAGATCAACGACGACGGCGAGGTCGTGGACAAGCGCTCGCTGCTGAAAGCCGGGCTGAACATCACGAAGAAGCCCGGACCCGTGCTGCCCCCCTCCCTCTTGGGACGAAGCACCTCGCCAGAAACCAAGCCGTACGTCTCACGCGCCGTCGGCGCCGCCGCGAGCTACCAGGAGCGCATGGCGCGCGAGCGCAAGCGGCTCGCGGAGCAGATCGCGGCCGAGGAGGAGAAGAAGCGGGCGGCCGCCGCCGCGCGGCGCGCCGAAGAGGAGGAGGCGGCGCGGCGGCGGCGGGAGGGCGACGACGGCGCCGCGGCACAGCGGCGCATGGGCGCTAAAGAGCGGTATTTGGCGCGTAAGAGGGAACGGGAGGAGGAGGCCGCGAGGAAAAAGCAGAAGGCGGAGTAGACATGTATCGCTAGACTGTATGGGGCTCAATGGCACGCCGAGCTCCGCTGAGAGGCCTTGGCATTGCCGAAGAGCGACTCTGGAAGCTCACGGCTCCGTCCAGCCCATCGAATACTGACGACGAGCTCATGTACCCGTGACATTCACGTTCTCCTCTACTCATCCCACTCAATCCTGGCCAAAGGCACACGGCCTTGCCGAGCTAGCCGGATGACCTCCCGACGTCGGAAGGAGCGATCAAGCACGCCACGCGCCGACCAGCCGACCAGCCGTCGACTCCGGACATGCACTTTCTGAGTGTACCAGCAACAGGGTGACACGGTACATGCGAGTCCGAGCGGTGGCGGTGGCGGAGGCAGTGGCGCCGAAGGACTGCGGTAGATGGACGGGTGGACGGTCACGGGCTTGGCGCCCCGGTCGGCTCGGCGTGGCTGCGTTGCCAGGTGGGGGATGGGCGAGCGGGGGCGGGCGCAGTGGCCGCGGAACGGATGCTCGTGGCGGCTACTCATCGTCATTACAGTGTTGCTCTCTGGGCGTGGTCGGAGCCGGTTCTGTCCACGTGATAGCCCAAGAGCGTGTACAGCCGTACATCCGTACACTCGTACACAGGATTGTGCGAACCACGTGGAGGGCTGCATGTCCCCACAGCATGGGCGACACGTCCGACGCCGGCGACAGAGTAGCGCCGGCCCGAGCGTTGATCGATTTCTGCAGTTTGATTGGAATTCTGAGTGGCACCTCCCGGAGTACCGGAGTGGCGCTTTGATTGAATTTCTGAGCGGATTCCACGCCGAGGCACAAACAACACCACCATCAGCTCAGAATCCACATGCATATATTATAACCGTCCACCGCTTATGCGGTCTACTGCCCCGCCATGGAGTTGAAGAGCTCCTCGAGCGTCATCGCGGGCGGGGGCGCGGGCTCGCACGCGAGGTCCCAGCTCGAGCCGGCGTCGCACTGCGCCACGCCGAGGCCCCACCACGCGTCGACGGCGCGCGCGACGGCCTCGCGCGCGCTGATCGTCTGCGTCTCCATCGTCGACAGCCACGGCTCCATCGCCGCGAGGTAGTGGAAGCCCGCGCGCGGCTGCACGGGCGGGTACACCGTCGTGGGCTTCATGAGGGGGTACGCGCCGTCCCACTCTTTGCGGTGCGTCCAGGTGATGGTGTCGCCGAAGATGTCGCGTATCTCGGTGTCGGACAGCGTCTCGTGCGAGAACAGAAGGACAATGCTCGACATCGGGTACGCCAGGTGGTACAGCAGGACTTGGAAGGCGGGGGCGTCGCCGCCGCCGCGCGCGCGCTCGCCCGTCGTCGAGATCGACTGCGCCATGACTACCTTGGACCCCTGCTTGAAGTACTTCGGCGGCGGCGTCGTCGCCGTGGTGCCCACGTACGTTACGTGCAGGCGCACATACTCCTGCGGGGGGATGGGCGTGGTGAACTGGAGTCCTTTGGCAACAGGGCTAAGGTGCCATGGATTGCCCCAGAACACTTCGTCGTAGGTCGTGTTGCTTGGCGCGTTGGCCGAGGAGACAATGTAGCCGCCGCCGGGAGCCGCAGTAATGTCCGTAACGGCGGTAGACAGGCGGACATCAGCGCCGCTGTCCGCCAGCATGGCCTGGAACATTTGGTTGTTGCCGCCGTACATGAAGAGGGCGCCCTCCGAGACCGAGGCTCCAGCAAGAGCGGCTATGCCGTGCACCTGGGTAACGTCCGCGCCAAAGTTGGAGCGCGTCATCGAGTCCATCATCTCGTTTGCCCAGCGGGCCGAGACGCCCACGACCTTGGTCGCCCACTCGAACGCCGAGCGGCTGGTGTATTCACTTCCGAGCTGGAGCGAAGCGACAAACTGCTCAATCGAGTTGACGGTGCCGCGCTGCGCGAGGAACGACGGCGAGTAGACTTGCGCCATGCGCTCGACGAACTTGGTCACAGCGGAAGCCTGGCGAAGCGGCGAAAGGAAACCATAACGAATGCCGCTGGTAAGCTTGTCCCACCACGCAACGCCCGTGTTGGAGTAAACAACCTTCTTGCCGTCCCACATGTCCATACGGGCAGCGGTTCCGCCAGGGGCGGCAATAAGGGGGAGGTGGAACTTGGCCGCGACCTTGCGGAGGTTGATGTTGGCATTGACCATCATCGCGGCGCCGAGCTCGAGTTTCTCGCCCATGAACGGCTCAGTCACGGTAACGGCGCCTGGCATCAGCGAAGCTCGAAGTGCAAAGGCATCCCAGCAGCCTCCTGAATGTCTCCACAGCATCCTGAATGTCTCAACAGCAGCACAAATGTTTCAAGATCAACCAGAAACACAAAGCAGCAAGAGTCAAAGTCCAGCAACTGGGACAATTCCAGCAACTGGGACAATAAGGCACACTGCAAACACTCACGGCCTCCAATATAGTCGTTCTTCTCGTACACAACGATCTCAAGCAGGGAGCCTGGAGCAAGACCGAGCTGCGCCTCGACGACACGCGCAGCGCGGGCCAGGAAGAACGCAGCGCCTGATCCAGATGCGCCAGCGCCGACCACGGCGATGCGACGCTTGCGGTGCGTGGTCGCAACGGTCGCATTGGTGCTCGACACCGATACAGCAGGCGGCTCGGCAGCTTCCGTGGCGTTGGAAGAAGGCTGAGCCGCAGGGGGCGTCTCAGAGACAACAGGCGAGGGAGTCGGGGAAGATGAACCCGCAGAGGCGGCCGGCGAGGCGGCGGGCTCCTCCTGGCGGAGGAGGAGGTTGCGCACAGGCAGCATCGTGGGAGGAATGTCCGGGATAGTCTTGACAGGAGTGGGGATAATAAACGAGCGCTTCATGCCCGGGTGGGCGGACGAGTAGCTCGACCAATAGCTGGCGTAGAACGAGGAGGTGTAAGACGCGTACGACGCCATGTCCGTGCTGTATCGCGCGTCCTCCGAGGTCCAAATGGACATGATGAGCCCGAACCACGCTTGCTCGTCCGGGTGGATCACGCGGTTGTCCATGAAGTAGTTCCACCAGACCTCGTACTCCTCCATGGAGGGCCACCAGGGGGCTTTGTTGTAGCAGCCGCCGGCCATGTTCCAGGTGCAGTAGTAGTCGGTGGTGACGAAGGAGGTCGGAGAGAGCGTGGGGATGTGCGAGGTCGGGGTCGGGGTCGGCTTGGGTCTGGGCTTGGGCTTGGGCCACCAGCGGCGAGGGCTGAGGTCCTCCGGGGCGTCGGCCTCCTGCAGCGGCGCGCTGGCCGCCAGGGGGGCCATCGCGGCCAGGGCCGCGAGGACCAGCGACACACTGCGCATGTAGGGCAGTGGAAGGGGAAAGGAGGAGAGGAGAAGAAGAGGTTCGAAAACTGTGGTGAAGGGGGTTGGGGGTGGGTTTTTTTTTGTGTTTGTCTGACTGGGTTCTTATATCTGACAAGAGGAATGTGGGAGGAAAATGAGAGTGTGGTGAGCTTCTGCTGGAGGAGTGGGAGTTGGTAGAAATACAGTGATTAGTGCTTGTCCTCGATGGTGAGCAGGTGGTCAAAGACAAAGCCGATGGGCGAGGACGCGGCTGGGCTACGCGAAGTCCGGTCGTCCACCCATTGTGCTTGTGTGCGTGGCTGTTGTGAGGAATGTCATGAACACTGTCACCTCCTTGCTGCATGGTGCGGAGCGAAACGCGCAACTTTGGGGGGCAAGCGAGCCCGAGCGTCGGTGGCGGCGGTTTCGTGGCGGCGGTCAGGTGGTGAAAGGAGGCGGGATAATCTTGCACGGTTGCCGGAGGGTTGCGGCTATAGCCTGCGGTCAGCATGAAGGCCGTAGTTGCGCTCGTCGTTAGCTCGCCCTTCTGTGTCACCTGGCGAGCGCCTCTCGGTGAAGAAGTCTGCTCGTTGCCCGCGGCATGGCGACTCTCTCGGAGAGAAGGGTTGTGACCGGACGCTCGGAGATCGAGTAACGAGTAACAACAGGTACATTATAAGCTTATACAGCGGAAGAAAGATCCATTCAGTAATACTCGATCTCAAGCTGGCGTCAGCGTGCCCTATCTCGGCGCTCGATCGGCGCCCGGGATCACGTCCGTACTCATCGCGGCGAAATACTCACATACTGCAGCGCCACGGAACGGGGCGATAGGATGTTGAGGCCGACGCGGTTAAACGTCGTCGTGTTTGCTTCCTCGATGATGTCTTCAGCCCGGCGCAATTCCTGCCGTCAGCTCTGCCCAACTGCCAATTCGGTCAACGCCAAGGAATCGACGACCGCGACCTAAACGGAAGTCACAGAACAATGCCTCGCGCACAGTCGCGCCGTCACCATCTGAAGTGCCAGGCAAGGTACCCACCTTTTCGAAATGGCTCGTGCGCCATAGTAGGGATGTCCACCACGTCAATACCCCAATGAGGTTGTCGACGACAGCCCCAGAAACCGAGTACGCCTCGCGCAATGGCGCATTGATACTCTCGATGAGCTTCGTATATGTCGCGGCATCGAGACGCGTCTCCAGCTCCAAGGGGAACGCAGTCGAGAACCTGATGTCAGCTGAAACCCCTTTCGACACGACCTGTTCACTCACTGGCAAATATCGCCAAGGCTCCATTCACGGTCCACGCGTACAATCTCTTTCGGGAGGTCGCGGCCTATAATGCCCGTTGGCGGCTGACCGTAGTACGTCGAGTTCGGCTGGCCGGGCTGGGGGACGGAAGAACGTGGTGTTCTGCGGTTAGACGTGTTCTCTTCTACCCAACCAGTGTCCCTTTCACGCCTCCAGGCGCGATTTCAAGCTGCATCCCGAGGTCGCGCACTCTTCCTTCGGAGGATGCGCTCAAATGCACACCGCGCAGAGGATTCCGTCCAAGCCAGCCACGTCAACTCACCCATGTCCACCGCGCCACCCGGCAAGGTCGCCCTGCACCTTTTCCTCCCACCGACTGAGCTTTCGGGGCGCCTCTGGCTCTACTGTGAGCCCGTCGGCCCACGACCTGCGCGACGCCGGGTCCGCCTTTCCGTTCGCCTCTGGCTCCATCGCCGGATCACTGGGACCAAGACGTGGTGAGCGCGAAGCCGTTCCGGGGCGTGGAGGAGGCAGGGGGGAGGAGGCGGAGAGCTCGGAGCGCACATCGGAACCTGAGGGCGTCGCTGCGCCCGCGCGTGATCCGGCACGTGTCGTGTTCGGGGACGGGCCAAGCGAGGCAAAGGTCGGCGCGTCGGGCGTGCTCCCGGGTGGGGATGGAGTGGAGCCGATGCGCTGGCGCATGAAGGGGTGGGAGGCGGGCGGAGATGCCATCGTGAAGAGGGGACGACGGGGGAGGATCAGATGGAGGGAAGGCCGAGAAAGGCCGAGAAAGGAGATGAGGGGACGACCGCGGAGTGGCGACGCGATGAGTGGGAGGTCGAGATGAGGACGGAGGATGAAGACCAAGACGAGGAGCGTGTCGTGGTTGAAGACCAAGTCGATGGAGATGGAGATGGAAGATGTTGTGAACGAAGCGCGACGAGCAAGGGGAGGGGGGTAACGTTTACAACGGAACGAACGGACAAAGGCACGGCCTTCCTGCCTTCCACCCTGCCTGCTGCCAGCAGCGCTCGGACGTATGTACTCACGCGCCCCGCCTTTCATGCCTCCCAGCACGGCCAGCACGGCAAAAACCTGCTCCTACGGCCTACGGACTACTAGTGCACACAAACACCGTGCGGGCTGGCGGGAGTGACGTCTAGTCGTCTGATGCATGCTCGAGTGGGGCGATGTGTGCTCTGCGCACTCTGGAGATGCCGAGTCGCCCACCCAGATTTGCTTGCGGAAGGGAGTGGTGGCGCTTCCCGACGCCCCTGATCACTCACAGGATGGCAGGATCAAAGTCGAGCCTCCCGGCTCCGGCGGTTATCAAACCTTGCCGCCGCCTTGCGCCGCTCGGCGCACACCGGCCGTGGCTGCAGCCTCGGCACCGAGGCGGAGGCGTTCGCGCCGAGCATGCCAGCTATAATAAGCTGTAAGATACTTGTGGGTCCGGGGATCACGGGATCACGGGGCATGGATAACGCAATTCAGTCCGACTTCTCGAAGTTAGATAAGATGCGCCGTCGCATCCGCACGACATTAAATCAACACAGTAACCACTCTAAACTGCCACTCTCTATAAACATATTTGGGTCACTCGAGTCATTACAGCGACGAGGGGCGGGGCTGGGCGAGCAGCTTCTCGATCTCAGACTTCATCTGCGAGGGCGTCGTCGAGGGCGAGAAGCGCCCGGCAACCTTGCCGTTGCGGTCGACCAGGAACTTGGTAAAGTTCCACTTGATGGCGGTGGATCCGATCGTGCTCTGTCCGGGCTGCGCCTTGAGCCACGCGAACACCTCGTTCATGTTGCTGCCGTTGACCTCAGACTGAAGTCAGCTTTACTGCAGCTAACTACGCCGGAGATCGCTGCCGTGTACTCACCTTCTTAGCCAGCGGGAACGTCACGCCGTGGTTGACCTGGCAGAACTGAGCAATCTCGTCGTCGGTTCCTGGGTCCTGGGACAAGAACTCGTTCGAAGGGAAACCGATAACCTCAAAGCCCTGCTCCTTGTAGTCCTTGTACAACTTCTCGAGGCCGGTGAACTGGGGCGTGAAGCCGCTGGGCGCGTCAGCTAAGCTTCTTAACTTGTACGCACCACTTGGAGGCGGTGTTGACGATCAGGACGACGTCACCCTTGAACGTGGACTGGAGTCAGCATAATGCACTGCGCATGTGCGGTGGCGACGAGGCATCTGTCCACGATGAGGAAGGCAGGTATCCAGCAACGCATGCGAGGTCGTTCGCGGATGTTCAGCTGATCACCGTGTGCAGCAGAGCGCACACGCGAACGCAGAGCCCCCCGGTCGCTGTACGATGCCACCCCCAACCCGGCGAACTGCCCGCCCCACATATCACTCACAAAGTCCAGGACGCGGTCCTTGCCCGGCAGCGTCGCCTTGAGGTCATAGAACGACTTGGACTTGACAGTCTCGGGAAGCTTCTCGCTCGTGACGAGGCTCTTGAGGGTGTTGAACATGGCGGTGTAGTAGCGTGGGGCGACAATGGCAACAACTGTGAGAGGAGCAGCGACAAGAGCGTAGTTGTACAATCCCATGGTCTTTTAACGATGTGGACCGACGTCGAAATGAGCAGGGAAGGCAGACCGTCGGCGACGGCGAATCAACCCCTTCCTTACGTCACCACTCCGCAGCCGCAGCATTAGGTCAGCAATCGTGGAGACCGCATGGGGTCTCCTTCTGAAGATCACGTGACCTTCGCGTGGCATTACGTTCACACATTTGCCACCAGAAATTTCGAGAGATGGCGGTTCCATGGCGAGCAGAATCACGAGCTGCTCATACCTCACCATCATGAACTTCGCCGCCGCAGCCGCTGCTGCCAAAGACGCACCTGCCGTGGCCGATGCCGCTGGCCCATCGAAGCCCGCATCGGGCATCCAGCACTTGATCCTCGACGCTGGACCCCTCCTCTCCCTCACACCACTCCGCCATCTCGCGCAGACGTTTCACACCACCCCGGCGGTTCTCGCGGAATTGCGCGACCCCCGCGCGCGCGAGCACTGGGAACGCCTTGCACTTCAGGGCGTAGATGTGCGCGTTGCCCCTCCGACCGCCGAGGCCGTGGCTGCCGTCACGGCATTCGCGAAGAAGACCGGAGACTTCAACGTCCTCTCCTCCACCGACTTGGGAGTGATCGCCCTTACGTGGCAGTGGGAGGTGGCGGTCAATGGAAAGGCAGGCGTGCGGACCACTCCGGGGCAGGTCCTCCCTCCTAGGCCGGGCCAGGCGGAGACAAAGGCGGACGACAAGAAGGTGGCCGAGGACGACGACGACAGCAGCGACGGAGAGGAGGTGGAGGTCGCACCCGCTGACGATGGAGACGAGGTCAATGAGGTCGCCCGCAGCGTTGAGGCTCTTTCCACCGAGCCCAAGGACTCGCAGACCTCAGCCACGGAAAGCGCCACGCAAGCCGAGTCGGCAGAGTCCAAGCCCGAGGCTGAGGCCCCTGTTGACGCCAAGGCCGCCGCTGCTGCCGCTGCTTGGGGGGACGACGGTGAGGGCGAGTGGATCACGCCCTCGAACGTAAAGAAGCACCGCAACCGCGACCTCGGTCTGCTTCCGGCCACGCCTGGCGCTGCCGCCGTCCCGCTCGCGGCCGCCGCCATGACAGGCGACTACGCGGTGCAGAACGTGCTCCTCGGCATGGGCCTCGGTCTGGTCGGAGAGGGCGGCAAGCGGATCTCGCGGGTCAAGTCCTACGTACTGCGGTGCCACGCGTGCTTCAAGCTCTGCAAGGACTCGAGCAAGCGTTTCTGCCCGAGCTGCGGAAACGCGTCGCTCCTCCGCGCGACCGTCACCACCTCCAGTGTGACTGGCAAACAGACGGTGCACCTCAAGAAAAACTTCCAGTACCGCACGCGGGGGACGAAGTACTCGATTCCCGCGCCCACGCCGGGCGCCGCCAAGGGCCAGAAGAAGGGCGGTAGCGGGCTGATCCTGCGTGAGGACCAGGCCGAGTGGCAGGAGGCTGTGCGCGCCGGCGAGCGCGAGCGTCGTCGTGAGGAGAAGCGTATTACGACGGGTGATGGGAGCTGGATGGACCCCGACGTGAGTTTTTTCTTGCGTGGAGAAGACTGCTGACCGCAGTGGCTGCCAGAGATCGTGACTGTGGGGATGAGCGGCAAGGGACGGCAGGGGAACCACAACATGCCTGCTATTGGACACGGGCGGCGTAACCCCAACGAGGCCCGCCGCAAGAAGAAGTAGGCCCCCTCATCGTCGGTGACACATGTATCATAATCACACGCTTCCAAGTGGCCTGGTACCTGCTCTGAGGTCGCGCCAGAAGTTGCCCTCAATATTCCGTTCTCCTTGGTCTGATTCTGCGGATCGCTCACTGCCATTCCATACCTGCCGCCTCAGATTAGCTGAGCCTGGTGAGCGCTCTTCCTGACACTTCCGTTATCCGCAGCACGGCTAGCCAGACATGGCCAATCGCACCCAGCAGATGCTCTCACTTTCTTCGGCCGGTATCTCATCAACGTGACTGTCGATGTCGGCAGATCTGGGTACGCGATGTTCCGTCTTGATGTCATGTCGTCGGCTCTGCGCGATCGACGCCTTGAACCGCTGATAACCGAGATCCAACGCCGTCTGCACCCACCATAAACTGAGGAAGCGACGGCCTGCTGAGGCCCAGACCTCCCTCCGGGCCTGTTCTAAGATCTCGGAGGATGTGGCGGAGTGATCCGGGCCAATACGCACCTTCCAGCGGCCGAATGATACCCCTGCTAAAATGAAGCCACATGAAAGCCAAGGGCGCTCAGCGCTCAATCCGTCCTCTTGGCATCTGCCTGGACATGGCACGTGTGACTCACTCGACTTCAAACACCACCATTTGCAGCCGCTCGGCGACTACGAGCCCAATCCCATCTCGAAACAGAAGAATATTTCGCCGAGGTAAGTCGCGTGAAGCCAATCAAGACGCCGTCGCATTGTGTCGCCCGAAATTATATTTGCCAAGAGTAGCCGGCGTATTCCATCGTCTCCTCGCGACCATATCGTTCCGCACCACAGCGAACTGCCGTGATGTTGAGACTCATTAGCGCCGTTCCTCAGCGCTCCACGAGCGGGCGATGGGAAAGCTTCATGGTATATAGTGGGCGAGGCGGTTGGCGCCCACTCCCATCCCCAGCACCATGGCGACCGCGAACCGCATGGCTGTGCTCGCCCACCCACACGAGCTGAACGACATTCAACGCACGCAAACCTCTGACACCGGCCTGCCTGTCGAGGGCGAGAAAAAGGAGGACTCGGTGTACGCCGACAATGTCACCCCTCTGCAGGTGACGGATACACCGCTCAAGTACCGCTTGATCGCGCTGTCGTGCATCCTGTTCTTCACGACCGGCGCGGCGTTCGCGGAGAGCACCCTCGGCCCGCTCAAGAGCACGTTTGTGCGCGAGCTCAAGATCAATAATGCCCAGTTCGCATCGATCAGCACGGCGAGCAACCTCGTCAACACCATGCTGCCGCTCATCGGCGGCACAGTCATGGACTACTACGGGAGCATCTAGTGAGCTCACTCTCAGGCATGGCTGACAGCAGCGGCGCGATCGGCGCATGTTTCTTCACCGTCCTCGGATCAGCGATTGCGGCGGGAGCGGCGAGCTCCAACAACTACCAACTGCTGATTGGCGGTCGTATCGTCATGGGCCTCGGTTCCATCGTCCTCGAGATCTGCCAGAGCAAGCTATACGCGCACTGGTTCAGCGGCAGCTGGCTGGCTACGGTCATCGCCCTTGACTTGGCGTGGAATTCCGTCACGGTCGTTATCGCGCGCGTCAGCGCTGTCCCCATGTCCCGCCTCGGCGGGTGGTACGGCTGGGCGCTGTGGATCCCCAGCATCGTGTGCGCGGCGTGCACGCTCATCGTCATCGCGTATCTCGTCTTCGAGCGGCGCGTCGTGCCCCAGCGCTACCGCCCCATCACGGGCCGGCAGGTGCAGCAGCAGCGCATTGCGGCAGGGCTCGCGACACAGGAGGGCGTCGTCGCGCGCATGCGCACGAGCGTGCTCAACGTCCTCCGCCTCCCCGTCTTCTACCTCATCCTCGCCGGCACGCACCTGTTCCAGAACTCGGCGCGTACCGTGTACTCCGCCAACCTCACCGACATACAGGAACGCACGCGCGGCACCACCGCCCTCACTGGCGGATACTATTCTTCGCTGCTCAACGTCATTGTTATCGTCGTCGTGCCGCTCCTCGGTATGTTCTTCGACAAGGTCGGATGGCGCATGCCCTTCGTCTCGTTCGGAGCCGCGATTTACGTCGTCGCCTTCGCCCTCATCGGCCTGACCAAGGTCAACGCCATCGCGCCCATCCTCCTCGCGTCCTTCGGCCTCTCCCTCAACGTGCTGCCATGGATCGCGTCTTTCCCCATCCTCGTCCCCGACCCTACGCTCATCGGAACGGCATACGGCCTCTTCTCAAGTTTGATCGCCTGCAACAACGTCATTCTCGAGGTCGCTTGCGGCGCCATCCAAGACGCGACGCCGGGGCAGACGTACGACCGCGTCATCTACGTCCTCATCGCCATCAAGGCGTGGCAGGTGCTTGAAGGGCCCGTGTTCGACTGGCTTGACGGGCGCATGCTTGGCCACACGTTGCGGATGAGCGAGAAGAAGCGCCTCAAGTTTGACGAGGAGCGCGAGGCCACAGGTCAGGAGCTGCCAGGTCTCAAGCGATACCGACCCGTCACCATCATCGTGGCGTGCCAGTATGTCTCCATGGTCATCATTTCGTGGGTGGTACGTTTCGTGAGGAGGGACTTGCCGAGCTGACACACAGCTTTTCTTCATCTACTCGATGTAGTACCGGCGACGAAGGGATTCTGTACGATAGTCGGGCGATGGACGATATGCTCGGTACGACGAATCGGTGGGGTGCTGTGGCGGCGGAGAGCAATCAGCAGTGATCTCAGTGCGCATCAGCAGGGAATGACTTTTCCGCCCGTCACATGGTATCGAGTGCGGCTTACGCCCCACAACTGACTTGTTTCCTGTGTCTCCTCTAGCTTCCCAATGATCATATCCTCTGACGCTCGTTGCCCCGTTCTCAGTGGGTGCTAGGTTTGATGAGTAGCGGCCGCTGGATCGTTTTACGCCCCGCTAGTTTCCTCGCGCCACCCTTACGGTCCATCAGGAGGTTGCATCGCACAGCTTCGTCCACCTTACCGCACTGCAACAGCAGCTCCGAAGATCTCGCGCCCGGGTGCGGCGGGCCCAGGAGGTGTCGATCCTCCCAAGCGTGTCGCCAAGCAACAGGTGTGCAGCGTTGGTCACCTGCAGTTCACATCCGAGGTAGCGCCCTCGCGTGTCCTCCTCTCGCCCCATAGCGTTTCTCACTCTCCACGTCACACTAATCTCGCCACTTCTCTTCATCGCTCTCTTCAATCTTCTCCATCTCTCTCAAGATGCGCAACACCGAGTCCCCTCCGCAGAGCCCCTCGACCACCACAACCGTCTCCACTATGAGTAAGGCCCCCATACACTACGATACACCAGCTGACACCAGGCTCGTCTGAACCCCCGACGGTCTCAACCGAGCCTGAGCGTGCCGCCTCCATTGTCGCTTCCATTGTCTCCTCCATTGCCGCTTCTATTGCCACCCTCGGCACGGCCCTTTCAACCCTCGCACAGGAGGGCCGCGCCACTACGCTCGAAGCGACCTTCCGCTCCCTCAGTGACACGATCACCTCGCTCGCTGGCGTCATCGCGACCCTCAGCACACCTCCTTGTGACATCAGAGCAGATATCGGGCGAGAATCGCCAGTAAGCCCTTTAGGATCTTCCTTGGAGCCCACCAACAAGAACGACGAGACATCGAAGTTGGCCCACGCAGAGGCGCGGATCAAGGCGCTGGAGACTGCTCTGACAGCCGTCGAGAGTGAGGCCAAGATCCGCACGCATCACCAGCGCATCGCCCTCGGAGCGAAGTACAAGCGAATGGCCGATCGCATCAAGCATAACTCTAAGTCCCAGCTGGCTGTCCAAGAACGTGCCAATTTCCGTCTTGAGACCGAATGCGAACTCGAGATTAATTTTGCAGTGGTACAAGAAGTGATTGTCGGCGCGCTTCGTCAAAGCGCAATCGACATGGAGATAGCCTGGAACACAGAGAAAGGCAGCCTGCTCCAACAGAACAAGCAACTCGCCACCGAAAATAAGCTTCTCACCGAAAAGACCGATGCCCTCATCAAAGATAACGCGCACCTCCAGAGTATAATCAGAGACATCACCTACGATAAAAAGCGCCTCCAGGAATCTAACGAATCATTCTCCGCCGATATGGAGCTGATGACGAGCAAGATTGACCATCTCTTATCAGAAAATGGCCGACTCACTTCTAAAAATGGACTCAAAGATGGCTTACTCTCAAGCCACGAGCCTGTCGTGAGGGCCAACGAAGATCTGGGCTGACAGTTACAGAGCCTAACTACTCGGAACGCGGCTCTCGCTTGCTCAGAGGCGACCCTAGCGGCGACAGACAGGAGCATATCTTCGGAGCTGGCCTAGCTGGCCCAGCTGTCAGAGCAGAATGAGAGGCATGGAGCGGGCACTAAAAACTTCGTCCTTCTGCGGGCTGTCCCCTCCCACACATTTGCATCGAGGCCACCAGTGAAGTCACATTTGCGAGCGGTAATGTCGTTATAGGAAGAAGGAGGGTTGGGTGGGCAATATGAGATCCATTTCAGGACCAGTGATAGCGAATAGACCGCCACACAACACTCCCTGTTTCATTGTGACAACGACGAGATGAAGCAGATGTGGGGCAGGCTGTTATACACTGGGAAGGTCGACAAGGCAGCACATAGCAATCCACAATAACTGTGGCGGATGTGGCGTCTCCGACAGCGGCACGAGTGGAAAGGGAACCGCTTTCACTCCTCATGCCCACGTGATTCCTGGCCACTGCCAAGTTGGGGGCGTCAATACTGGTTATCCGTGACATACAGGCGGAAGCATGCATCCGGTAGGCGAGGTTCGCAAACTCGGCGATTCCGCAATCCAACTCATGCCCCTATGATGCGCCCGCATGCGACGCGAAGCACGCCGGTTATACTCAACGAAGCAGGGGCGACACTTTCGACATCCTGGGAAACTGCGGTTCGTGACTTGCCACCTGTAAAGCGGAAAAGCTTGGCGACTTCACCGTAGCGCGTTGTGGCCGAGTTTCCGGCAGTTTTACTGAATTTCAAGAATGGCTCGTGCGAACGCGGAAATAACCAGTAAACAGGGTATGCGTGATGTCGTCTGGCCATTTGGCACTGTCTATGATGTCTATGACAGACGTGTGATCCCATGCAAAAGCATCACTGTTATGGATGCAGACTCCCTCCCATTTTCGGACACTTGCTTTCCGACGCCCCGTCGTTACGCCGGCGGCCGCCCGAGCTACGCCTGGCAATATCAAGATGCGCCTCGCCGGGTGAACATATTATCTCAAGGTGTCTTCCCGAGTGCAGCCTGCCCGCAGCCTATATCTATCCTGCTCTGAGGAGCTGTCTCCCACAATGTTCACCAGCAACGACATCCTACCCATCACAATGTCCCGGCCCCACACACCTCTGCATCGAGAACAAGGCCGTGCGACCGCGCGAGAGCATGCACTGATTCCAGCTGTGGCAGTGACCTTCCGCGTCTCCCCCAATGGTCCTCTCCTCTCGGACGGCAGCGACATATCCGCGCGCGCGTCCTCGGCCGATCTCCTCCCGGACAATGTGAGCTCTAGCGCGTCCTCAATTGCGAGCCACTCCACGCCGGACACGCAGAGCTCCAGCGCGCACATCGCCGCCAATCCGCTCGCCTCGACTCTAACCTCGCTTGCCACCACAATCGAGAGCATGCGAGGGCAGGACACGCCCGCCGCGCACACGACCATGGCGAGCTTGTCTAGTACGATGACGGCGCTTGCCACCGCCATCACATCACTTCACACTAACACCCCTACGACGCCGACGAGCTCACTGTCGAGCCAGACGAACCTCAGCAGCGGCCCTGTGATCGAGAAGTCGCAGCAGAACAACAGCAGTCCGCCCAATAACGACTCTTACCAAACGCTTAGCCAGAGCAACAGCCCATACCAGACAATCGGCACGATCAACAATCCCTACCGGGACAGCTTCCAGGTGAGCAGCCAGCCGGCTCGCCCGGATGCCCGGCAGTCGACGTTCAGCAACAGCACCCCCGCCGGTTCGCAGAACAGTCTCGACCATCCCTTCCGCGCCACGAGCCCTCGCGAGCTCGAAGGGGAGAACGCGCATTCCGCGGCAATCGACGAGCTGCGCGCCGAGCAGGCCAAGCTCCGCACCTTGATTGAGAGCACCGCACAATCGGCCGCCGGGGGAAGCACCGCCGCTCCCCGCCTGCCCGCGCGCCCGATTCCCAACTTCCCCGTGCCCGCGCCCCCACGCCCCATCGAGTGGCGCACCGACTCTCCGGGCGCTGCGCAGCCGCGGAACGGGGCAGCCGACGCGCACTCCCCACCCACATCCGTGCCCCTCGCGACGCAGCACCAGCTCTTCGCGCAGTCGATGGCGACGCTTCTCGACGCCCTCGACGGCATGGGCAACGACATCCAGTCGGCGCGGCGGACGGCGATCGAGCGCGAGGCCTCGTTCGGCCGCGAAGTCACGCGCTTCTTCCACGAGCTCGACGCGGCACAGCTCACCGCGCAGCGCCTCGAGTTCCTCTGCACCTTCGGCAAGCGCTGCCTGCTCGCGCAGCTGGCGAAGACGACGGCGGGGACGGCCTCGATCGAAAGCTTGGTGGGCCAGCACGAGGTGGCGCGCGAGCAGGCATCGCACCTCGCTGAGATAGCGAGCAGCCTCGCTAAAACGCGCACGCAGCTCGAAGCGGCTGCGTCGGCGAGTGCGGACCGCGAAGCGACGCTTGCGCTGGAGAAGACGCGTGTGGTGGGGGAGAAGGAGCGGATCGCGGGCGAGAAGGACCGCCTCGTCGCCCAGCTGCAGGCTGTGCATGCCGCCGCGGCCGAGCACGACAAGGCGGTCGCGAACGAGCGCGGGGAGAAGGACGCGCGCATCGCCGAGCTCAAGAAAGACCTTGCGAGCCTCACGGACACGCTCAACGCTTCGGTGGAGGTGCTAGATGCGATCCGGCAGAAGGGGGCGAGAGCTGAGAGCTGGCGTGCCGCAGAAAACATCCGCAGTCAGCTCCGCTGGGCGAAGGATAAGGTGCAGCGGAACAAGAATGACAACGAGCAGAGCCTGTCGCATACCATGGCCGCGCGGCTGGCGCTTGTCGCGCCGCAGCAGGGGGCGGATTCGCTCAAGGCACGCAGGCCGCGCGCGCCGGGGCGCCTGCCGCTGAGCACTGTTGATGAGTAGTGAGTTGCGGAGTCTCCATATACGTAAATCTAGGAGTTTAGTGTTCGCGGGCGCGGGGCACTTCGTCAGCATTAATTACGATTCAGCCGATGATGCCACTGTTGAGGTCTCGCAATAACGGAAGCGGGCTGGAGGCCCGACCTGTCGCGCATGGACACCGTGTCGCGCTTCTGCTCTCCAGTGGCAGACGAGCGAGCGTCTTGGTGAAGCCCGTCAGTTTGGGCCAGCGGCCTGAAGTGCGAGAACCACTCGACAGTCTGCCTAATGTTTCATGCTCTATGCTGCCCTACTCCTAGTGGTGGTGGTCCTTCTTGGGCGCGAAGTAGTCGTCGTAGACGACGTACGCGGCAAACGCGACGATGGCTGTGCCGAGGCCGGGGAACATGTTCCTGGGGTCAGCGGGGAGTTAGGGGGAAGGGAGGGGTGGAAGGGGAAAGGGAGGAAGGAAGGGAGGAAAGGGCGGGGAGGGAGGAGGGTCGGCGGAGGCGGAGCGAGGGACGGTGAGATGTGCAGGACGAAGCGCGAGACAGGCGCAGGAGGCTGAGCGGTGCCAACGGCGTGGCGTGCGGCGCGGTCGAAACCAGGTGGTGGCTCGGAGCGCACGCTCGGCGCACTGTCATCCAACTGTTCCAGCCAACAGCCTGTGATAGGTGATAGGACGTCGGCAACGCAGTGGCGAGCAAGCGCTACGCAGCGCAGCCTCCATCCCGCACGCCGCGCCAGCTCTGCTAACGATCACATTGACCTCGGGGCGGCGATGATGAATTCGGCGCGCGCAATTGGTCCGCCGAAGTCACCACTCCGCACCGTCCGCTCGCACCCAACTCGCCACCGCTTCTCGCCTCCCCTTCCATGGGCTCAAGCAGCCGATGCCGAACGCGCGCTCGCCTGCGCTCGCCCTCGTCTTCGATGCCGCGACATGTAGATGGGCCGGAGGGTCGGACAGGCGCCCTCCGCTCGGCGCGGCTTACCGGAACATGGCCTTGTTCGAGAAGATGGGGCTCTTGCGCCAGGCTTCCCGCTTGGCCCAGGGGTCGCGGTAGAGAGGGCCGGGCATTGTCGTTGGTGTTGGTGGGGTGGTCGGCGATGGTGAGGTGGTGGAGGGCGGGGGAGAAGGCGGCCTCCGAGGGCGGTGAAACCCTATCTCCGGGGTGTGGCGGGGTGAGCGAGTTCAAGAACCACGAGGTTCTGAAGCAGAACACACATTTGGTCCCGTAACCTCCACTCGAGAATTTCAGAAATCACACTGCGAGAGTGAAGTCACACACACTCACACCAGCAGCCATGAACCCCTCCGGCAGTACTGGCGCGCGCCAGATTCCCGTCAACCTCTTCACGCGGAGCGAGTATGCGATCCCCGCCTCGACGTACTTCATCCCGGCGGACTGGCGGCGGTTCCAGCTCTCCGAGCTGATCAACAAGGTGCTGGGGCACGGGGGCGAGAGCGGCGTCGCGCCCGTGCCCTTCGACTTTGTTGTCGAAGGCGAAGTGCTGCGCGGCTCACTTGACGCGTGGCTCAAAGCGCACCGCGGCGACGACGAGGAGACGGCCATCAACGTCGAGTACATGCAGTCCGTGCTGCCGCCGTCCGACGCCGGGCGGTGGGAGCAGGAGGACTGGGTCTCGGGACTGAGCGTCGCGCGCCGGGGGTGAGTGCTTGCGTGGGCCATCTGACGCCAGAACCGTCCTTGTGTCCTCGTACCTTTCGCATGTGCGCGTCCTCCCGCTCGCTGGCGGCATCGGAGACGCACCCACGCCGCTGTACACCCTTCCGCTGCCGACGGCGCTCGGCGCGACGTGCTGCACCTGGCTCGCGGACGACATGGTGGCGGCCGGCGGCGTGGATCGCGCGACGCACGTGTTCCGCCTGCCTTCGCTCGACCCCGCCGAGGCCGCGGCCGAGAACAACACCGCCCACGAGCTGTACACGCTTATGGGGCACACGGCGCCGATCTCGAGCATCGCGGCCGGGCCGGCGCGCGAGCTCGCATCGGCGGCGTGGGACGGCCAGATCAATGTCTACGCCCTGCCCTCCGAGGAGCCTGAGGAGCACGAGGTGCCCGCCGACCCTACGAGCTACCTCCCCGGGCAGAAGAAGCGGCGCAAGCTCGCCAAGGAGACGGGACAGGGGCCGCAGCCCATCGAGGGCTTGACGGACGGAGACGCGACGGGCGAAAGCGGGATGGGGTGGCGGCGGGCGCCGACGCTCGTGCTCCGCGGCCACAAGGGGCGCGTGGGCGGGTTGGTGTGGGATCACGAGGACGCGAGCAGGATTTGGAGTGCAGGATGGGATGGGAGCGTGCGCGGTTGGGACGCTGAGACTGGCGCCAACGTCGTCGTTAGGGTGAGATTGGGTGAGCGGGCATAAGCTGACAGGTAGCAAGGACCTTCGGACAAGGCGCTGCTCTGCGTCTCGCAGTTCGCGCCCACTGGCCAGCTCGCGGCCGGCAGCATGGACCGTACAGTCACGCTGTGGGACACGCGCGCGGCACAGAGCGTCATCGCTGGCACTCTGCATGTCGGCTCGCCTGTTCCCTCCATCGCCTGCCACCCCACGTCAGCGTTCACGCTCGCCACAGCGACGTATGCCGGCGCCGTGCAGATCTGGGATGTGCGTTCGCCCAAGCACGCCCTGTTCAGTGTGCGGCACACACCCGCGCGCGAGCAGACCAAGAACGGAAAGGCGCTCGGTGAGCGCCTCCTCGCCGTCGACTGGGACGGCGAGGTGCTTGTCGCGGGCGGTGAAGACGGCGAGGTCGGGCTGTGGCGTGCGCGCGGCGAATAGATGCGAGATGTATGTAATGCATATGCGAGGCGTTGAGCCTTAACCCTTGACAATCGGCCCCCCACCCCCTTCTAGTTTCACAGAATGTTGAGACTCGCTGTTTTTACAAGTTGAGCTGCCGCTCATCTACTTCTTTGAAGCCGCAGGGTTGTCCGACCCCAGCTCCTGTCCGACCTGGACCCTGTCGCCGGCCTTGACAGCGAACTGGAATGACTTGTGAGCCTCGAACACGAGAACGATAGTGGACCCCAAGCGGAAGCCGCCCATCTCCTCGCCGGGGAGCAGGGGCTGGCCCTGCAGCACCGAGGCGCGGCTGTACACGGCCTCGGTGAAAGTGTGAGCCGGGTGCGAACGCTCCTTGGTGTTGGTGCGGAGGGTGGCGTCAAAGTTGATGCGGATGGACCCGACGTTGGTCGCGCCAACGGGCACCATCGAGAAGAAACCGTCCTTCCAGCGGCCGAGGAGAGCGACGCGCTCGTTAAGAACAAACAGGTTGCGCAGGCGGTGCGCGATGTAGGGAGAAACAGAGAATAGGTCGCCGGTGAAGTGGCGGCGACGCTCGACAACCCACGCACAAGGCGAGTGGAAGCGGTGGTAGTCGCCAGGCGCAAGGTAAATGACGATGAAGCAGAGCTTGTTGTCGGGGCGCAGCTTGCCGATCTCCGTGTCCTTGTCCGTGGCGGCGCCAAGCGCACCCAGACCGAGATGGGCGGCGACGCGCGTGTCGTGTGCAATGTCCGAGGGGCCAGTCGACGCGTCGTGCTCGTCGCTGCTCGAGTCTTCGTCACCTGGAAGGCCATGGTGGGGATCGCGCACCTCTGCAGCGGAGTCCTTGCCCATGAGCGACGAGAGCGAGTACGGAATGTTGTTGATCTCGGCAAAGCGCTCATCCTCGACAATAGATGTCTCGCCGCCGCCGACGGAGGGCGACGCGTCCTGGCGGTCAATCTCGAGGGGCTCGCCGTGTGCCGAGTCACCGGTGCCCAGCAATGCCTCGAGCGAGTACGTAATGCCCTTGACCTGCTCGACCTTTGAGCCGCGGATCTCGCCGAGGTGCAGGACACGTCCGTCGGAAGGAGAAACAAGCGGCGCGTCGGCGATTGGACGGACTCCAGGCTTGAGCTCGCGGTAGAAGAATGAACCAAGCGAGTCGTATGCTGTCAAGTCTTCGGGGACCTCGTCGAGGTTGCAGCCAAAGATCCAGCCGTAAAGCCGGAAGCCGAAGGGACGGAACCACATGGGCAGCACGAGCGAGTTGAGATAGCCCCAGAGCTGCGACATGCTGCGCAGCGGGAGTGCGCCTAGAATGCGGACCTGTTTGCGTCAACGTATGCTCTGCTGTGCAGCTGTGCATGGGAATGACGGCGACAATGTGGTGCGGGCTGAGTGCGACAACCGCCGAGCATTGCTACTTGGATGCGACGGACGGACGGAATGAATTGATACGCGTCTCGACCCTGGTATGGGGGTGACGGAGGGAAGAAGTTCCAACTCAGGCGTCACACGACCAGCGACGTGGCCGGCGGAGAGCGGGATGCGGAGGCCGACTGAATTGGCGGCGTCGAAGACAATTTCGACGCGCCCGGCTCTGCAGCCAAAGCGTGGGAAATGCGACTCACCTGCCATGGCCCGTCGATGGTAGGTTTGATCACGGCGCCGTTCTTGCCTTGAGACGTGACCTCTGGCTCGTCAATGCCGAGAAGCGTGTGGCGGAACTGGACAGCGAGCAGAACAAGCGCACCGAGGGCGACTGGAATGGGCTTCCATTTTGTTGGAGTCTTCCAGGCGCGCTTGAGCTGGTCTGCCGAGTTAGAGGTGTTTTGCCAGACGATGCGGACGAGGGCCTGGACGACAAGGAGGAGGACGATTGGGCGCAGGCGCAGACGCGGTGGCCGGACAGGGAGGATGAGAGGCAGCGACAGGAGCATCTCAGAGCCTATGTAGGTGGATGGGGACGGGGGAGAGGGGGAGCAAGATGTTGTCGAGGTCGAGGAGAAGTGGGAAATGGATGAAGAAGAGGAGTGTGCGAGGATGGATGGAGGGATGGATGGTGGGATGCCTGGGAATGCAGTGAGGGACGCGGGCATTGACCCGCCGCTCCTGCTAGTGCGACCCACTCATCTTCTCACACATCCACCCAAACAAGCGCAACTCCAAGCCATCGCATGCGTTCCTCTTCTTTCATTGCCCTCCACGCCATGCACTAGACATCGACTCACCTCCAAGCGGCTCTTTTGCGCCGTCCTGCCGACCTGATGTCGACGAAGAAGCCTTGCCCTCCTTCTCGGATCCTTCAGAAGCCTTGCGCGGGCCAGATTGGCTCGCGTTCCCCCGTAACCCCAGTCCGAGTCGTAGCGCAGCCGGCTGGGGGCGCAGCCGCGGCGCAGTCAACAGCGCAGCGCGGGCGTGCACTCGTGCGCAAGGGACCGTTGCCCGAGAGAGAGGCCGCAACGAGAGCATGGTGATATGTGTGGTGAGGAATGACGACCGCAGAGACCGCACCACATTTTCGGCGACCCAATCGGCCTGCTCTCTGGCGCTCCAATCCCTCAACCCCCGCTCCGACCTCTCCCTCGCTTCTCCGCCTGACACTGCTACCTCCGAGAGCATGACCACCGCTCTTTGCTAATGTCCGTCAGCGCCGACGCGCATACATGCACAGCAATGGTATCCTATGCAACAAGATCTATGTATCCCCAGAGTGCTCTACGCCGTGGCCTGCAGGGGCTCTGCCTCAGCCTGCTCGGCGTGCTGGGCCGCAGCCTCCTGCGCCAACTGCAGCGTCTCCGCCTCGCGGGCCCTGCGCTGCTCCTCGATCTCGTCGAGGATCTCGCCAGCGCCGATCGTACGCATTTGGCGCGCACACTCCTCACCCCAGCGCTGCGCCTCGCGCCAGCTCGTCACCACCACAGGCCCAGGCTCATACAACACGTGCCTCGATCCGTCAACGGAGGTGACGCATGCACGGAGCGTCAGGCGCGCAGCGCGGGGCGTAATCTTGATATCGGCATCGGATATGGGCCACGGCGCCGTGGGCGCGAGGACGCCCGAGAAGTGCAGCGTCGGGGAGTTGACCGTGAGGGGCGGGAATATGTCCGCGGCATAGTAGCTCTTCTCTCCCTCGACCTCCTCGAGGTGCGTCTCGACGCCAACGGGCACGGAGCACCCGCCCTCGAGAACACGGAGAAGACCGCGCTCAGCACCAACCCGCCACTCCGTCTGCCAGTGCCCGATGGCACGGAGAGCACTGCGCGTAGCCGCGTCTCCTTGCCTGATCTCGACGGCGAGGGCGCCCTGTCCGACCGCGTGCATCAGCGCTGGTGCGCCCAAGGGCGCGGTAATGCGGTTTCCGAAGCCGAGGCGCTCCATTCCCGAGACAGCCAGGATGAGGGCGACGAAAGAGTTCTCGGGGTTGTCAAGCTTGGCAAGGCGGGTGTTGAGGTTGCCACGCTGCGGTCAATCTCCGCATTCAGGCCAGAGCTCCACGCTGTGCCGGCCATGGCAATCGGCAAGAGCTCTGCACTCTACTCACCATGTCCTCAAAGCGGAGCTTGGGGTACGCGCGCTTAAGCTGGGCGACGCGGCGCACCGAGCCAGTTCCAATGATGCTTCCCGCGGGCATCTCGTCGAGACTCTTGTACGGCAAGCCCTGCTTCACGACGAGTGCGTCGCGGGGGTCGTGGCGCTCGAGGAGGGCAGCAACCTCGCACCCCTCGCGGATGAGCGTCGGGACGTCCTTGCACGAGTGGACAAGCAGGTCGAAGCGGCCGTCGAGCAGCGCGCTCTCGAGCTCGTCCGTCCAGATGCTCTTGGCCGGGGTCGCGCTGTTGTATGGCGCCAAGAGATGCAGCGGTGTGCTCTGGTTCGCGTCGGCCTTGGTCGTCATGTGGTGCACGGGGAAGGCTTTGCCTGCGTTTGCGGCCGCGAGCGAGTCGGCGACATGCTGCGTCTGGATGAGCGCGAGGTTGGACTTGCGCGTCCCGACGACGAAGTCGGTTTTGGACATGGCAGCGGGGAAGTGGGGGAGGGCGGGTTTAGGGGTGCGTCGGGCTCGAGGCTTTTGGTGAGGAGAACTGCGAAATTCGTGGCTGCGGCGCTGATGATAACGACTACGAGGTGGAAATAAAAGTCGGTCGAGGGACGGGCGGCGGCGGCACGGGGACGCTGCGGGGAGGAGCACGGCACACGGCCTTGGCCGGAATGTCTCTTCCAATGGCCGACCGTGGGAAAGTACCACACGTGAGATGAGCACGCGTGAACTACGTGCTGCACACGTGTCTTAGAGACGGAGATCACGCGTCGTCCATTTCGAAGCGACCGACGTCACCGACGGCCGTGTGCGCGGAAATACCGGCACCCTCCCTGCTGCCCACATCTTCCAGTCCAATTTCCGCATCGGCAACATGCATGCTTGCTTATCAAGTGGTGCGCCGACGGAGCACCAGCGGGACACCAGACGGGACGCAAGTGATGGTTATTAATGGCCGGGGACATGGAGCTGGTTCCGAGCGTGGGGGGTGTCCGCGGCTTCACCGCGGCCGCCCAGGGTGAGTGCCTGGGTGAACATCGGCTGGCCCGACGATCTGGACAGCTCAAAGTGAGCTCTGGCGCGTCTGTCCCCCCCTCACTTTCTCGATCCACCAGGACACAGGCAAGACATCAACAGCCAGCGACTACCCCATACCCCACATTACACAATGACTGTCAACGCCCCCACCAAGGACCAGCTCAAGCAGTGGGACCAGGAGGACAAGCTCAACTGGACCCGCGGCGAGTTTGAGATCCCCGACGCCCGGAAATGCGGCGCCAAGGTCGGTGAGTAGCTCTTGGGTCTCGTGGAGGTGGCAGTTGGGAATGTGGCTGACGCCAGACGGCGACGCCGTGTACTTTTGCGGCAACTCGCTTGGCCTGCTCAACAAGCGCGCACGCGAGCACATGATGGAGGAGCTCGACGTCTGGTCCAAGACCGCGGTCACCGGCCACTTCAAGCACCTGTACGGCCGGCCGTGGAAGCACCTCGCCGACCCCATGCTCCCTACCATTGCTAAGCTCCTCGGTGCCAAGGAGAGCGAGTGCGCCCACTCGTCGACACTTACGACCAACATGCACACTCTCTTGACGACGTGGTACGCCCCCACGCCGAAGCGCTGGAAGATTGTCATTGAGCGTGGCGCGTTCCCGTCTGACTGGGTGAGTGCAGTGATAACTCTTTGCATTGAGCCTCACTAACCTCAGTACGCCGCCAAGTCGCACCCTGGGCTCCACCGCAACGTCCTGTCCGAGGAGCAGGTCGAGAACGCCATCATTGGCATTGAGCCTCGCGCGGGCGAGGAACTCCTCCGCACCGAGGACATCCTCAAGGTCCTCGAGGACAACAAGGACGAGATTGCGCTGGTCTGGCTCCCGATGGTGCAGTACTACACTGGACAGAAGCTGGACATCCCGCCCCTGGTGAAGAAGACGCACGAGATCGGCGCGCTCTTCGGCCTCGACATGGCGCACGGTATCGGCAACGTCAAGATGCACCTCGACGACTGGGGAGTTGACTTTGCTGTCTGGTGCACGTACAAGTACCTAAACTCTGGGCCGGGCGGGACGGGCGGCTTCTTTATCCGCGAAGGCTTGTCGGACAACGGGCGCCGCCTCGCCGGCTGGTGGGGCGTGAACCCCAAGACGCGTTTCGACATGACCGAGGAGTTTGACCCCACGCCGGGCGCCCAGGGATACATGCACTCGAACACGGGCGTGCTCGGCTCGATCCCCCTCCTCGCCACGCTCGAGCTCATCGACAAGGTCGGCTTCGACAACCTGCGCGACAAGGCCGACCGGCTCACCGGCGCGCTCGACGCCCTCCTCAGGCAGAGCAAATACTACATCCCCGCGGACAAGATTCCCAAGGACGGCGAGGACACCAAGCTCGGCTTCCACATCATCACGCCCGAGCTGCCGTACCGCGGCACGCAGCTGTCGCTGTTCATCCACCCGGGCACGAAGGGGATCATGCCGCGCGTGTTTGAGAAGATGGTCGACCGGGGGCTGGTGGGCGACGAGCGCTTCCCGTACGTGATCCGCCTCTCCCCAGTCGCGCTGTACAACACGTTCGAGGAGGTGGGTCGCGCAGCCGCGATCGTCGAGGAGGCGCTGGCCGAGGTCGAGGCCGAGGGCCTCGGCAAGTAGTCTGTATCTATAGCGGATGGGTTTAGTGATGCATATCATACAATGTACATGAGCAACAGGCAGGGTCCGGGCGAGGTTCGAGGCGATGGGTATCGAGGGTCCGATGACGGGCGAGGGACGGTGGCGTGAGAGCTTGCGAGCATGCGAGCGGAAAGCGGGGTTGGGTGCAGAATTACCGGATTTTAGCAGTCGCTTCAATAAGCGGCATGGCCGGGGTGTGCCACACTCGGGGACTAGGCCTTGATGGGGTACGGCGGAGGCGCGTCGGTGAGCGAGCGGGCACGCTCACGCGGAGGTGCGGAGCGTGGGCGCCCCCGGGTGCGTTCCCGGCCATCCTCGAAGTCGTCGCTTCGCCCGTGGCGGCGGCTGAGGTCATGCGCTATGGCGTAGAAGAGTACGCCCAAGGCGATGCCGACTGGGGTCAGCGCAAGGAAGAGGGGGGGGGGGGGGGGGGGGGCAGTGAGCGAGGCCCACCGACGAGGGAATATAGCCAGCATAAACTAGAGGCTAGTAGGACGGAGAGAGGACGAGGATACTTGACCTCACTCGGCATCACACCGGTTGTGATGTCCCCGACACTCCATACTCCGTGGCTGACGCCCTCCGCCGGATGACGAAAGAACGTTCGTGGACATTGGCAGACACTACTCACAGCAGAGAATAAGGAGGTCGGTCGCACGAGCACGCTCAAACACAGCAGAGCAGGCCGTAGTGTCGAGCGTGAGACGGGTCTCTACAAAGGGTGTGCGCGTGAGGGCGGGTGGCATGGCGACGGGGTGGTGGAAATAGATGGAGGTAGGGCTGAAAAAGGAGCTATAAAAGATGAGACAATATGGGAAATGAACAGAGATGAACTGCAGACGAGGAGGGAGTGTGTGAGAAGAGAGAGAGAGCGATGGGAGCGATGGGAGCGATGGGAGCGATGAGAGAGTATGGTGGACATGGCTGAGCTCGCCGGGTACTGCGTGCGGGTGATCCATCTCATGCCTTGCGGGCCGCCAGGGGCCCAGGCCTCAGCCCCTCAGGTGACACAAGCAATCGGAATAAACAAATCAGATCTAATCATAGTTCAAATTGTTTAAATACCCCTCCACAATTGCACACACGTGCGACCAGGCTCAGAGACGGAAGCAGAATTTCGTAGCATGTGGTGGGTGTCGTCATCAGCACAAATGTCAGCTCGTACTGCTTCGCGCTTGCTTTTATGCACTCTCTCGCTCGTCTCTCCACATCCACTCTCACAATGGCACCCTCCAAAGGTGCGTATTCGTGATTGCTATCATGCCATCGTCTCATCGCGCACGCCGCGTCGACCTCGCACTATTTCCAGCGCCTCTCCGTCTCAGGCCCGCACACCGCCTCGCTGCGGAGCCGCAATTAGACACTGCCACTGACCCCAGTTCTTGTCGGCGTCATCGGCGGCTCCGGCCTCTACCACCTCGACAACCTGACCTTTGTGTACGCGCCTCATCCCCTCTTCCTCTGACAGCAGGAAGAAGGTCGACGTGACGACGCCATGGGGCAAGCCCTCGTCGCCCATCACAATCTCTGCGCTCCCTAACGGTGCCGAGATCGCCTTCATCTCCCGCCACGGCCCCCACCACACCATCACCCCCTCCGAGGTGCCTGTGCGCGCTAATATTGCCGCCCTCAAGTCCCTGGGCGTGCAGGCGATTGTAGCGTTCAGCGCCGTCGGCTCGCTGCGCGAGGAGATTGCCCCCGGCCACTTCGTCATCCCCGACCAGATCATTGACCGCACCAAGGGCATCCGCGCAGACACCTTCTTCCGTGGCGAGGGCGTGGTCGTGCACTCGATGTTTGGTGACCCGTTCTCGGGCCAGCTCAACGCGTTCATCAAGCCCCGTGTTGAGAAGATCCTCGCCGAGCTCGGCGGCGGCGCCGCCCTCCACACCGGCAAGACGGTTGTCTGCATGGAGGGGCCGGCGTTCTCCACGCGCGCAGAGAGCCTAATGTACCGCCAGTGGGGTGGAGACATCATCAACATGAGCGTCATTCCTGAGGCAAAGCTTGCGCGCGAGTGTGAGATTGAGTGAGTTTTCCTTGATGTTGGATCCGGTCGGATCCGGTGTTGAAAGCGACATGTGGATCTTTGGAGTTATCAGAGGTCAGGCTTTATGGCCACCCTCAAACAACGTCTCCCGAAGCGAGGCAATTTACGATGAACCATAGCCTTGTCCAACAGGGGCGCCCGCTTACCCCAGCTACTCCCTCATCTGCACGGCGACCGACTACGACGCGTGGCGTGTCGGAGAGGCCCCTGTCACGGTCGAGGAGGTCGTCAAGACGCTCCACACGAACGCAGGCAACTCGCGTGCCGTCGCCGCGGGTATTCTCGAGGAGGTCTACGCGCACGTCTCGGCCGGCGAGCTCACTGAGATTGCGGGGTCGATGAAGTTTGCATGCATCACGCGTGCGGAGGTGAGTCAATATGGGTGCCGAGTGCCGTCCACGCGGCTTCCACTCGTCTTTTCCTGTCGCAGCTTTACATCTGCGAGAGCTTCAGGTAACTAACATCAGTCCCAGCCCAAGGCTGCGCGCGAGAAGTTTGCTTTCATCCTTCCAGAGTACTTTAGCTAGATGGCTTGCGGATGCACATTGGCGCATGGGGATTGGCATTGGCCCGGAAGTGGCGGGGAAGATTGGGCGCTGGGAGTGTACGGGAGTGGGCTGGGCGCGTGCAGTGGCTCATTGCCGTTGTACTGAGATGGTGCGTGGGCTGGAAGCACCGAGCACAGTTGGATCAGATCGAGGTGGTTGTGATGGTTTTCCAAGCGTCAGGGCTCTCTGAAAGCTGAACTTGAGGCCAGACTACCAGCTACTGCACTGCGTTGCTGCCGATGCAAGCGACGATGGACCCAATCGCCGATGCGAACTCGCCCACATATCACGCGTATGCATGCATCATCGCGGCATGAAGCCGAGGACATGTCATGCCAAATAGACCCCGGCGCGACTGACTTTTGTTTACGCAACACGTTCCAGCCATCCCTTCCGATGGGCCAACTCGCCACCCCCAGAAGCTCATATACCTCATTCCTCCTATCCAATCAACAACCCTCTCTCCCTCTCTCTCCAAGCAGTCGCCACCCCATTTCCCACCACGGCCTCGTTCATCACCACCACATTCTCACCAACGATGACAGACACCACGTCCACGCTCTCGTCTCTCTCCGCGCCCTCCGCCTCGGCCTCGCCCATCAAGCCGCAGCCGCTGCACGACCCCGCGCGCGCCGCCGTCGTCGTGGGCCAAAAGGCCCCGCTCGGCGCCAGCAACCGTACGTCCCCCCCCTTCCAGCTTACACCAGCAAACCAAGTCGTGCCGGGCCAGACGGTGGACCACTCGATCCCCGGCGCCGCGCTCGGCCAGAAGGCGCTGCTGGCGAAGAAGTTTGCTAGTGCGCAGTACGTCGCGCCCCGCCCCACTTCCCGCCGCTAATGCCAGGGGCAGCACCGTGTCGCCGACGGACGCGCTGCAGTCGCCGTGCACGGCCAAGATCGCGAGCGCGAAGCAGCGGCGGTTCGCCAAGTAAGCTCGGCGAGGGCGCGCTGACGGCAGGGCCAAGGCTCCCGGGCTGCGCTTGACGGACGACAACAAGGACAAGGCATGAGCCGAAACATGACATGTACCCCATGTAGGTCGGCGCGCGGGCGGGCTGACCCAGGCCACGCACGTTGTAACTGTCTCATACTTGACGCTTGTGTACCCTCTGTAGCTGCTGCTACGGCATGCATTGTGACGAAGACCCGGTAGCGGTGTTGTTGTGCTTGCTCATGGCATGTGGAGGCTGACACGGCCCCACATCGCGGCTTGCACGCTCCGATCACGGACCCTCGACGCCACCCAAACAATCAATCCTCCAAGTGGCCAAATGACAACCATGCATAAGCGAGCTGGAAGCTCTACAGTCCGTGTGTGCGCGCGGCGACGGGTCGAGCCAGCGCGGGAGGGTGTTCGTCGGGCGAGCTGTAAGATTTAAGATTTACAGCGGCGTGTCCTTCTTCTCGGCGCCGGCGCTGAGCGAGCTCAGCTTGGACGCGAGCGCGACGGGCTTGCCCCTGGGGTTAGCTGTCATATGAGACTAGGACTGTCGGACGGCATCGGGCGAGTAGACGATGGCCGAGGCCCGCGTCGCCCTCGCACTCGCCCTCGCCTCTCCACTCCTCTCTCGTCTCCTCGCTTCGCCCTCACTGGGCGCTGGCTCTGCGTCAAAGAGTGGCCAGCGGAGCCCTCCACCCCCCTCTGCTCACCACCCCCACCGTTCTCTTGCCAAACTCACTTCTGGAAATGACGCTGCTTTGCACCGTTGAGCTTGGCGGAAATCGGGCTCATGAAGTTGTCCGTGGGCGACATGGTCGATCCGAGGCCCTTGCCGCCCAACAGCCCCTTCTTCTGGAGGAACGAGGGGGCGGGGGCGCCGGTGGGGGCGGTGGGCTGGGCTGGGGTCAGACGAACGGCGGGGATGGATTGGCCGGCGAAGGGGGGGATGGCCCAATAAGTACGCACCGTTAGACTCCTTGAAGACGTTCTGCGGCATGTTGATGGATCGAGGAGAATTGAGGGAGGATCGAGACGGGGTGGGCGGTGGCGGAGGGCGGAGGGCGGAGGGCGGCTTGACTTACGGTCGAGAGAGATGAGATGAAAGAACAAGCGGGGCAAAAGCAGGCGCGTGTTGTTTTGAGGGATGGGCAAGTTACGTAAACTGCCTGGCAGGGGGAGTTTGATTGGTCGAGGCAGATTAGTGGCGTCCATGACGAATTGGCGAGTCGAGGTCTGTTTGAAGGACCGCTTTGGACGGACGAACTGGGGCAGCTCGGGCGGAGTCGAGTCTGATTACATGAGTGAGGGGCTGTGCTAAACCTTACAGCTGCGTGCAGGTCGTCATCACTCCAAGCCAACTCTACCAGACTACAAGCTTGCCCCAGGGGACGGACCGCTTCACTGACATCTCACATCCACGGCTCTCCCCCCCCCCCCCCCCCTCTTCCACCACCCCAGCCTGCCACAAAACTCAATGCATCTCATTCTCTTCAGATCGCTACTCGCTTAGAGCTTGGCCTTGAAGAAGGTAAGGAGGTCGGCGTACGCCTCCTGGTACGCCTTGGTGTGCTCGTTGCCCGAGAGGTCGCCGCGGGCAGCCGCCCAGCCGTGCACGTCGTTGTCGTACCACTTGAGCGTGTTCTGGCCGGGGTTCTTCTTCTCGAGCCGCTCGTACACCTCGTTGACCGTCTTCTTGTCCTCGTCCTTGGAGGGGAGGAGGCAGACGGGCACGTTGACCTTCTCGGCGTCCTCGACGTCGATGAAGCTTGGGTCAGCGAGGTCAGGCAGCGGAGAGACACCGGGCACGCCGAGTGTGTCGCTCGGCTTGTACTCACGAGGGGTGACAAGTCGCAATCGCGGTGAAGTCGTTCACGTCCTTGGCCGTGGTCGTCGCCTTCCAGCCCCAGCAGTAGCCGACGGTGCCGACGTGGGGGTACTTGGCCTTGATCTCGGCGAGGGCAGCACCGATCTGCTCAGACTGGGTGTGGGGGATGGCAGGGAAGCCCGAGAAGTACTTGTTCTTCTTCTCGTCGCCCTCGGGGGTGCCCGAGAACATGTCGGCGGTCGCGTACGAGCCGTGCAGGAAGTCGGGCATGAAGACGCGGTAGCCGCCCGACGCGAGGATGTCGGCGCCTGGAGTCAGCTCTGGCTCCTCCCAACACCGTAGGGCAGCATGTTATGCAGACGCGTCGACGTTGTGGTATCTGAGATAGTCGCCATCACAAGATTGGGGAATGTGGCAGAAAACGCGATGAAGATGTATGAATGCCGAATCCCGTCACCCTTCACGATCGCATGCCTAGTCATCATCACCATTGATGCTGATGCGAGCATCGCGAGGATGTCGGGGGCCCCTTTCTGACATGCTGGCGTCTAAACACCCAAAGCACCGTACGAATACGTCCTCGCTGCTCTCACATATCACTCACCCTGGAGAATCTGCGGCGAGTAGCCGAAGACGTCGTAGACCATGAGGACGGCGGCCTTGGCGTCCTCTGGGCCGACAGTGTACGCCTTAAGGCCAGCGACCTTGCCGTACGTGCCCTTGGGCGTGTAATCGGCCGAGACGGGGGGGAGGGAGCAGCAAGCTGTGGTCAGCGATGTCTGGCGAGGGGCATAGCTCAGCGTTGCAGGACAGAGAGTTGTGCTAGCCGCTGGTGCCGTCGACTTATACAAGCACCCAGCGTTAAGCGACCAACGCCAACAACACTGCGGAACTGCAATGGCGAAAATCAAAGATCCCGACTCACCCTTCGACATTGTAGAGTACGAGCGATGCCTGGGGTCAGAGCAATTTCAACATCAGTGATGTGCCAGCGCATCAGATTCCCAGCTACGGGGTCGCCCCGAGCGTGGCCCAACCGAAGCACATTGCGAGCTCGAGTAATCATATGCGCGGCAAGTATGGGACTTACGGAGAGACGTAGAGAGGTCGTGTAGAGTTGAGGAAAGAAGAGAGGAAACGAATCATGAGCAAGAGATGCGAGGGTCGTGGGGAGAGGTGGTCGGTGAGAGCCGTGGGGAGCGCAGGGTGATCGGCTGTCACTATCCGGATCCCGGAAACGTGGGCAAATCGTCATCACTACTGACCTCGTTTGCCTCTTGGCTTGCCATTTCAACATCAATGCTGAGCCGGCAACGCCATTCGGAGCTACGTCCTCGGTATCGCTCAAGCCGTCGTGCACGCTTGCTCCTTTCCTTGATGCGGCTTTGCAGCAGCTCGCGCACCTTGCTGCCCGCAATTCAATGTCTTTTGCTGACGTCAGGCCCACCGCACCACCGTGGGAGACCAGACGGCATCTGCCGGCCCTCGATGACGGTGGAGGTGGGCATCCTCCCCAACTTTCCATCGTCGCTGTCTACTGCCGATATTGATGCGACTGACCCCTCTCACCCGCATGATGCGCTACGCCCTCTCTCCAGCCGTGACGGGCACCGCCGCCCCCTGCATCCCCCAAGCCAAAGCGTGGGGCGCGACATACGCCGCGGGAGCCCAGCCCGCCGGCCCGCTCCTCGACCTCTCACAAGGCGTCCCCGGCGAGCCGCCGCACGCATCCGTCCTCGCCGCCCTTTCTCGGACCGCAGGCGACCCCGAAGCGGCCAAATACGGCCCCATCCTCGGCGAGCCGGACATGCGCGCCGCCCTCGCGACAGAGCTCCGTGAGCTGTACAAGCTCGACGACGGGCACTTGACGGCCCACGACGTCGGCATCACGACCGGGTGTAACATGGCCTTCCTGATTCTGCTGATGTGAGTCCGCGCCCGTCCACGCTCACCCCAGGTGTCTGTGTCCGCCAAACACGTCCTCCATCCTCCTCCCCCTCCCCAGCTACTTCAACCACGCCATGTCGCTCTCCCTCCAGTCCGTGCGGCCGGCCTACCTCCCCTGCGACCCGGCGCACAACTTCGCGCCGTCGCTCGACGCTGCGCGCGCGATCCTCTCCGCGCCCTCTACGCAGACCAAGCCCCGCGCCATCGTCTTGGTCACGCCCAACAACCCCACCGGGTCGACGTACACCCCCGAGCGGCTGGCCGAGTGGCTCGCGCTCGCGCGGCAACACAACATCCCCCTCGTCCTCGACGAGACCTATCGCGACTTCGCGTCGACCGGGGCGCCGCACGATCTCTTCAAAGACCCCGAATGGCGCGACAGCCTCATTACGCTGGGCTCTTTCTCTAGTCAGTCTGCCCATTGACAGTCCTGACAGCAGAGGGCTACCGTATCCCCGGACACCGGCTCGGCAGCATCACAGCCCACCCAGATTTCCTACAGCAGGTCGCGACCGTCGCGGACTGCATGCAGATCTGTCCCCCACGCGCACCGCAGCTCGCGCTCGCGCCCCTCCTCCCCTCCCTCCGCGACGATATGGTGCGCTACGCCGCGGCGCTGCGCAAGCGGCTCGTCGACTTTGACGACGCCGTCAGCAAGGTGCCCGGGTGGCGTGTGCTGTCCTCTGGTGGCTTCTATGCCTATGTCGAGTTTCCCGCAGCGTTCGCCTCCGAAAATGGGAGAAAGGCCCTCTCCGCCGCTCTCGGGACGGATGTGGCGCGCGTTGGCTCTGGAGAGGTCGGCCAGGCGCTCGCTACGCGGTGCGGCGTCCTCACACTTCCCGGCTGCTTCTTCATGCCTGAGCTCGACGATCCGGTCTGGGCCAGCGTGCAGGGCGGCGATGCGATGCGCGAGGATCGCTGGATCCGCTTCGCCGTTGCTAACGTGAGCGACGAGACGATCGCGGGCCTCTCCGACCGCTTGCACGCCCTCAACATGGTCATGGGCGTGTAGGAATAGAATATCATAGCGTCTACAAAGCCGGGATGCTACTCAGACTTGTCTACAGACAGAGGTGTGGCAGATGTGGGGGCTGGCGACGATGCAGCCGAGGACGTTGCCGACTTCTGCTGCTTCTCGAGCATCCGTCTGGAGTTAGTAGTGAGCGTTGTTGCATAATGCCGCTGCCGAGGCGCGTAAAAAGTAACGCCATGCGCCGCGCTGATATACACAGCGACACGCTGCGCTCCACACTCTGCGCACTCACCGCCGAGCCTCGAGGATCATACGCTCCTTCCGTGCGCGCAAGTCGGCCTCGCGACCCTCGCGCGTCGCCTCCCACTTGCCGGTGCTAGCGCCGCCCTCGCCCTCGAGGCGGGTGCTCAGCCCATAGCGGTCGATGAGGGAAGTCGCCTTCTGCGGCACGGGCGCTTCGGCGGCTACTGCCGTGGCCGAGGTTAGTGGGACGGTGACAGGGGGCCGGAGGCTGTTAGGAATGACAAAGTTGGCCGGAGGCTGGGGTCAGCGTGGTACACTTTCTCGAAGGGGGTCCGCGAGCGGGACGCGCAGAAGATACGCGATCCAGTGGTGGAGTAAAGTGGCAACGAGAGGAGAGACAACGGCAGAGTGTGATGGGCCGAGGACAGCATACCCAGACCACGAGCCGTAGGAGATCTCTCAGTTCCCTCGCGAAGCACTCGTGGCGCCCCGCTGAGGCTTCATACTCCCGCATCCTCACTCACGTTGGGCAATGAGCCGCGTTCCAGGAGCAGCTCGCTTGTGACTTGCGCGCTCCGCGTCCGCGACAGCGAGTACACGATGTTGGCGAGGGGTTCGTTTGGGAATGCAGATGTGACTGCCTCGACCATGTCGCGGCGCACGCCAGAGAAGGGGTCGGGTGGTGTACCTGTTGTTAGCCGACGCTCCACTAGTGGTGAGGTGAGGTGAGTGGCGGAGCGCATGGGAGCAACGGTGGGAGCCCGCCAGGCAGCAAGGAGAGATCGCGGTTAAGTGATATACCGGGCATGGACTGGAGGCGTGCTGTACGAACGCGCAGATACTCACTCGGCCCCGAAATCCAGCGGTAGACGGCGTAGAGAATGCCGAGGAGGATAAGGGTGGGGATGACGTCCTCGTGAGCCATTGCGTAAGGGAGTGTGGGGTACGATGCCGATGGGCGAGAGAGGGGTAAGTAGTGCAGGCGAAGAGCGAGAGTGGACGGATAGAGTAGCGACGGCTCGATAAATGGTGATCAGAGAGAGGGTGATTGATTGAAAGATGGATGATGATGAAGTCAGGCCGATTACCATGGGCACGCGATCTCGGCTCGTACGCTTGGCGGGTGACGGGAGCATTTTGGGTGGCGGTGGCGGCCGCGGACGTGATCCGCACCCGCATTTTCCGAGCACGCCCACAACTGCATGGAGGTGCTCTGGACACAAGTTACGATGCAGCGCACCCGTCTGCGTACCCTAACGTCCGATGCATACCTAACTAAGATCTATAGCCTACTTTTGCCCACACTACTTGCGCTGGCCGGGAAACACCATGGTCGGGGGCAAGCTAGTAACGGGGGCCAGGAGGGACGCGGCGTGAGCGCGCGCGTTCTGCTGCAGGACCAGGTCCATGATCACGATAGCAGCCATGGTCTCAACGATGGGCACGGCACGGGGCACGACGCACGGGTCGTGGCGGCCGCGAGTGGCGAGCACGCCGTCCGTGCCGTCGTACTGTGCCGTGCTCTGCGTCTGGCTGATGGTGGCAGGGGGCTTGAACGCGACACGGAAGTAGATGTCCTCGCCGTTGGAGATACCGCCCTGCACACCACCAGACCAGTTGGTAAGCGTACGCAGGCGGTTCTCGCCCTTGCCGTGGTCCGAGGTGAAGGGGTCGTTGTGTTGGGAGCCGGGGAACGTGGTGCCGCGGAAGCCCGAGCCGAACTCAAAGCCCTTAGTGGACGGGATCGAGAGCATGGCGTGGGCAAGGACAGCCTCGAGCTTGTCAAAGCACGGCTCGCCGAGACCCAACGGGCAGTTGCGGATCACACACGTGACCGTGCCGCCGAGCGAGTCATTGCGCGCCTTTGCCGCGCGGATAGTCTCCTCCATCTTGGCCGAGGTGGCACGATCGGGGCACCGCGTAATCTCCTTGTCGACCTCAGCGCGCGTCACGTTCTTCACGAGGTCCAGGTACTCCTTGCCGAGCACCTCGTCGTCCTCATGCGAAAAGGGCAGAGCGATAGGGCCAACAGACCCAACGAACGCCACGATCTCGACACCGTACGCCTCCTTCAGATACTTCTCGGCGATGGCGCCGGCGGCGACGCGCCCAATGGTCTCGCGTGCGGACGCGCGGCCACCGCCAGATGATGCCTTGACGCCGTACTTCGCGAGGTAAGTGTAGTCGGCGTGCGAGGGGCGAGGGTAGAGGTCGGTCTCAGTGTAGTCGTGAGGGCGCTGGTCCTTGTTCTGGACCAACATGCCGATGGGTGTGCCGAGGGTCACACCGTGCTCGGTGCCGCTCTGGACCTGGACGGTGTCGAACTCAGAGCGCTGAGGGTGGAAAGAAGCGTGTCGAGATAAGAGAGCGGGGTGAGCAGGAGGAGGGGCGCGCGGGTGAGTCGGCCGGGTTTGCGGGTCACACAAGTGCAGTGATGATCGGAGTCATGAGCAGAGGAGCGGTAGGAGGATCAATGTTAAAGTCAAGAAACAACATAATGAAACTGCGTCAGCGCCCATCCCGAAGCCTGCGGACGTCCTCCTCTGACTCACCGGCGTAGTAATGTCGCTCTGGCCCGGCCGCCTCCTGCTCAGCTGGACCTGGATGTCCTCGTTGGTGAGGGTGAGGCCGGGAGGGCATCCGTCGACGATGCAGCCGACCGACTTGCAGTGGCTCTCGCCGTAGGTGGTGACGCGGAAGAGTTTTCCGAACGTAGACATGATGATGGTGGAGACAAAGACGACGGCGTGCGGCTGGGATATGTCGGGCAAGCAGACTCCGACTTTTGGAACGAGTCGGGCAGGCGGAAGCAATTGCGTGATCGGGCAAAAGTCGGCTTGCGCCTGGATTCGAACTCGGATAGATCCAGAATGAAGTGGAGGTTGACAGAAGTTCTCGCCACCACAACATCAACATGGCGCGTCCGGGCCAGAAGCGCAACCGCACGATGGCTGCGCTCGCGCAAGAAGCGGCAGGACAGCAGGAAGAGGAGGCATTTAACGCCAGCGTCACGGGTATACAGGTCGATCTCGGCGACGAGGAGGAGGAGGACGAGGGGGACGAGGCCGACGACGGGATGGTGCAGGGCAAGAAGAGCGGGCAGGCTCTTCCCATTGCCGTCTTACCGGACGACTTTGACGGCGAGCCCGAGGACGGCGCGACATATCTTGCTCTTGCAAAGTAGGTTTAGTATCCTCTCCGTAGCTGACGACAGTCGCGCCAACGAGTCGCTTCCTTTCTACAAGCGCGTGGATGTGCCAGATCATCTTCGCCCCGCCGTTGGCCCCGTCGCCCCCCCATCACCTCCTACCGGCCGGCACCCTGCACTCCCTCGCGAGTCATGGGAAGTTCTTTTCGCCGTGCACTTCGCTGGATACCGTGCCCACCTAGAGGCGAGCTGGCCTGAAGAAACGCTCCCCTACCCATCCGAATATCCCCCCCTCCCGAGCGCGGGCGAGATGATCCCGTGGCTCGAATTCATCAACGGCGTGGGGGGCGAGGACGACATGGTACTCGACGAGGAGGAGGCGATCAACGAGGCGCCACCCGCTCCCGTGCCCCGCGAGCCAAGAATCAGCGTCCTCCAGCGCCTGAACTCGACAACATCAGTGCGCGTACTCAAGCACCTCAACCGCGCCACGAAGACAGCACTCCAGCGGCTCGAGGAGGAAGATCTGGACGACGACCCGTTCCCGCCTGCGCATGCGCGCTGGGCCTTCGCCCTCCTGGCCAAGCTGGACCGCCACCTTCCAGGCGACGATACTGCTGTGCTGCGCGACTTTGCACGCACCCTTGCGGCCGCTGCGGCGTGGCGGTGGGGAGCCGCCGTGAAGCGCGGGCAGTTGACCGCCGTGCCGGTCAAAGTTGGCTTCTACGGACAAGGCGGGGAGGAGGGAGCGCCTGTTCTCGGCGAGATGAACGGTCCCGGACGAGTGGGGTATGCCGTCGGCGCGCGGTGGAAGGTGGTGCGGGACGGGCGTGCGCGCAGCGAGGCGACGCCGCGTCCTGAAACGAAGGAGGCGGGTCACGAGGACGGACTGGACGAGTGTCTCGCGCGCTGCTGGATGTGTGCGCACGCCATCGTGGCAGGCTGGGCACAGTGGGACCTCGTCGATGACTTCGCAGATGCATTCCGCGGCGTTCCGCGCGAGTAAATGTAGCATAGCATGTAAATGTGCATAACGACAGTGATGGTGCATGGCTCATGACGTCCTCCTCTCTAACCAACGGGCTACAAGTTGTATGCTGCGATGAGGCGCTCCATCCGCAGCGCCTGCCTGCACAGGGGACACTCCATTTTGTCCAGCCCGCCCAAGCAGCCCCAGCAGAAGATGTGTCCACACTCCGTGACGGCGGTCGTACCACCGCTCCCCTCCCCTGTCCCCCGGCTCTCAAGGCAGAGCGTGCACTGCCGCTCTGGAAGGTCAAGTGCCTCCTCGTCGAGGTATGTGTTGGGCAGGTCATACTGCTCCTCGCTGGTGACAACCACGCTGTCTTCGGGTGCATTTCTAATGGGCGTTGCTGTCCCGCTGTAGTCGTTCTCCTTGACCTTTTCCTCCATGCTCCCGGCGACTGCACGTGTCGCTGATGCTCCCGAAGCACCGCCAGTGCTCCGCGGGAAGAGGCGGTAGAGAAGGGGCAGAGCCATGATAAGGCCGAGGGGCTCATACGACGCCGGCTTGTGCTCGGCGGGAAGTGGCGGCATGTCAGAAACCTGTTGTAAGCGAGACGATTGTAGACACACTCACGTAGACCATGCCGGTGGCGCGACGCGCAAACTCGTAGAAACGCCCGCCGAACATAAACATGACGAGGTGAATTTCGGGCAGACTCTGGCCCAGGGGACTCTCGATGAACCTCGCCACACGCCGCTTGGCGGCTGCCCACCGCGAGTGGTCGTACGGGTCCCCGCGGAGGTAGTGCAGCATGGAGGGCGAAGTAAGCGCTGTGGGGAGGAGAAGGAGTGCAACGGTGAGCAAGCGCCGCTGGAGTCAGCACCACTCTCGGTGTAGAGCTCACCCTTCGTGTTGGCGCGAGCTTGTTGGCAGTGGGCAAGATGTCGGTGTACTCTTCTCCCAGCGTCTGGCGCCCCCGCCCAAACGTGAGCATGAGGTATACGGCGCGCACGGCAAGATCGACAATCGTCTGCTTGTGGGTAAGCCAACGGGTGCCTGCGGTTAGTATGCAGATCAAACTAGAGTGTGAAGGCTCCATGCGGGACGCGCTTGGGCATTCGGGCGTGAGTGCCCACTTACCAGCCATAGATCGGAGCAGCTCGCTCACTAGCTCTGTCAAGCGGCCCACCTGCGCCGTGTCGCGCTGATACGAGCGGACTGAGGTCAGCGACTTGTCACTGCAGCTCAAGATGCTCACGGATGTGCGCCTGTGATGCCGGCTCGGGCTGAAGGCGATCAAACGCGTCTGGAGGCGTCACGGTGCCCGCCACGGCGGCAGAGGCCGTGAGAGGCTGCGCAACGCTCTGCCCCTGGATTGTATGTGAGACGGAGCGCGTCGAGTCCATGTTGGACGTGTGGGAGATGGAATGATCAAGCAAGCGCTATTGCGAGAGTTGGATGGAGCCCACTCGGCTCAGGCGGCCGCATAGCCGGACTCGGCGAAGGCAGACAGATGGTCTCGCCGGAATCAGATTTGATGCCGTCGCTGCGGTTGGGTGGCAAGTCGAGGTTGGGATTGACCCACCTCGCACTACTTTGCAACAATCCTCTTTGCTTGCTCATCCACCATCCATCCGCCCCTCCTCCCGCAAGTCTTGTCGCCGAAAAGCTCTCGCCGAGCGCTCCGGCACCATGAGCGCGCTTGTCGACTACCCCACCTTCTCGGACAGCCCGTTCTTCTTTGACAGGCGCAACTTACATATCGCGCAACCCGAGAGCGCGTTGATGCAAGTGAGCACCCTCGCGCGCGGCTGTATCTGACGACAGCAACACTCCGCCCCGAGTGTATCTTACTACTTTCCAAAACACGTCGGGAACTACCACTATGGCGTGAGTTGCGCGCTCTTGTGCGACGGCTTCGATGTGTGCTGATGCCCAGGAACGCCATCCAATGCGGCCGCATCGGCTGGAATTGACGAACAATCTAGTCCTAGGGTATGGCCTGCACGAGAAAATGGCGATGTACAACCCACGAAGGGCCACCGAGGACGAATTGTGCGAGTTCCACGACGAGGATTACATCGATTTCTTGAAGCGCGTGACTCCGGCGAACGCGCAGAAACTCACCAAGGACTATACGTTGTACAACATCGGAGACGATTGCCCCGTGTTCCACGACTTGTTCAGCTTCTGCCAGCAGTATGCGGGTGGGACGCTGGCCGCTGCGCGCAAGCTTAGCCAGGGCGGGACTGACATAGCGATCAATTGGAGCGGAGGACTGCACCACGCGAAGAAGGGCGAGGCGAGTGGCTTCTGCTACGTCAACGACATTGTGCTGGGCATTCTCGAGCTGCTCCGCTATCACCCGCGCGTGTTATACATCGACATCGACATCCACCACGGTGACGGTGTGCAAGAGGCGTTTTACCTCTCCAACCGCGTCCTCACCGTCTCCTTCCACAAGTACGCCGCCGACTTTTTCCCCGGCACCGGAAACCTCAGCGAGATTGGCGCCAACCTCGGCAAGCACTTTGCGCTAAATGTGCCGCTGCACGACGGCATCGATGACGAGAGTTACATCTCATTGTTTAAGGCTGTCATGGAGCCGACCATCACAACATTCCGCCCGGACGCCATTGTGCTGCAGTGCGGCGCCGACTCGCTCGGCTGTGACCGTCTCGGCACGTTCAACCTCTCGATCGCGGCGCACGGCGAGTGTGTCCGCTTCATCAAGACGTTCGGATTGCCGCTAATCGCCCTCGGCGGCGGCGGGTACCGCCAGTCCTCAGTTGCGCGATGCTGGGCGTACGAGACCGGTGTGTTGACGGGCACTGACCTGCCCGTCGCGCTTCCGCAGAACAACTACCTTGAGTTCTTCGGTCCCGACTACTCGCTGCACCCACCACTCTCTGGCCACATCCAGAACATGAACTCGCGGCAGTACCTCGAGCGCATCCGCATGAGCATCCGCGAGAAGCTGCGGTACCTGAATGGCGCGCCGAGCGTGCAGATGCAGGAGATCCCGCCAGATCTGCAGGGCCTGCTCGAGTCGGAGGAGCGCAAGAAGGAGGAGCGGGACGAGGAGGCGCACAACGGTATGGCCGGGGAGGATCGCAGTGACGGGCCGCAGAAGCGCAACGAGTTCTATGACACCGAGGTTGGGGGAGATGGGAGCGGCGCAGGTGCAACAGCTGCCGGCCTGGGACCGCGCGGAAAGAAGACAATACGCTTCTAGCGCGCCCAGCGCCGCAACATCTTGCTGTATTGTAATTGTCGGACTCGCGATACCCTGCATCGCCATGCCCTTGTACTTTCCCGTAGCACTAGTTCGTTCCTATAGTCGTCACTGTATGCACAAGTAGCAGCAGCCACAGCAGCAGTAAATATCCACATGATGTAGCGTGTCTCTTAAACTATACAGCGCGAGCTCATCTCTACTTCTGATCCTCTTGCGAGCCGCGGAATGGGAGCGGAAAGGCGGGTATTCGTCGGTGGCTGGGCGGCGAGGGCGCCATTGTTCTACACACCCCCACCCATGCCTTTGCCGTCAGCAGTGCCTTCCGGGTTCCTGTTCCCATGTGGTCAGATAAAACTCACCAGTGATGCCGACCTCGTCGCGGATCTTGGCCGTCTCGCTGGCGCTGAGGCGATTCTTGACACTCATGAGGAAGTTGTCGAACACGGTGTCGGCCTCGGCCTCGTTCCCAAACTCGTCCTGGCACAGCGCGTGCACCTTGTGCCAGAAGTCGGGGCTGCTGAGCGTGCGGTGGAAGTTTGCGCCGCTGACGGGCGAGGGCGGCTCGGGGGACACGTCCGAGGCGAACTCGGCGTCGATGTCCATCGAGTCCGTGGTGGTGATGGTGAGGCTGGGTGCGCGGAGGTGGGACGGGCGGGCGGGCGCGATCCTGTCGGGGCCCTTTACCTTGTCCGGGGCGACTTGGGAGGGCGCGGGCGCTGGCGCGGCAGTCGAGGCGGCCGGCGCCGCCTTGGCGAGGAGGTTGATGACGGCGCCGTCGACCAGGTCGTACTCCTTGAGGAGCTTGGCGTCTGCGAGCGCCTTGCCCTTCACGAGGAGGCGCTGGAGGTCGGGGGCGGGCGCGGCGGCATCGGCGGCCGCGACAGCCTTCTTGAGGTCGGCGACGCTTTCGGACAGCGAGACAGTCAGGGGGATTTGGAGGGCCGGCTTGAGGCTCTTGATGGTGATGGAGATGGAAGCGTCTAGTGTGAGCGTGCTGTGTGTGAACCGTCGAGGGCGGGGGCAACCGCGGAGCGGAGCGCAAACAAATAGTGGAAGCACAACCTACCCTGCAAAGACTCAGCGGCGGCCACCTCCGGTGGCGGGACGACGGGGGTGTGCAGGACCGGCGTCTTGCGCGGACGCGCGTCGAGGGGCGGTGCATAGTCGGCGGGGTACTCTACGGGGCGGGCGTCGAGGGCGGCTACATAGCGCGCCGCGAAGGCCTTCTCCTCGGCAATGCGTTCGCCAGCAAGGGGAGTGTCCATGATGTGAGATGTGGGTGAAAGAAGTGGGAGGAGGAGTGTTGAGAATGAAGAGGATGCGGGAGGCGATCAAGGCGACCAAGTCGCGCTGGACGATCGGATGCCGATGCGCCGCGCCGGCATTGTCCGCAGTGATTAGGAACGGGAATATTAACGTGTCGTCATCTTCATTAGCGGGAGCATATGCCGCATGGCTGATCTGAGCAAGGTACCAAAACACAACACGGCGCGAATGACTTCTTTGACATCCACCAACATGGCCACCCGCCGCTCCCGCCGCTCATCCGGCCTCGGCGCCGTCGAGCACGACGAGCTCGCAGAGTTCGACACCTGTAAGCCATCCATTTCCTGACCCCCACACGTACACGCGATCCTGACCGCAGTCCGCCGCAGACACGCCCGCCAGAACCGCGACATCATCGCCGAGAACATTACGAGAAAGGGCCTCATCCGCTCGCTGCAGGACCAAGTTGCGTCGCTGCAGGCCGAGCTTCTCTCTGCACAGCGGCAGAACGCGGCGCTGACGCGCGAACTCGCCACGCTGCGGGACACGAGCGGCGCGTTGGACGCGATCATTGCCGCCGTTCCGCACCTCATCCGGCTGCGCGGCACGCTCGTCCCTGCGCCCCGCCGCGCCAGGCGGAGCATGCATGCCGCGCCGCGCGCGGCGGCGTCCGGCCCGCCTCCGCTCGGCGTGCTCCCCGAAGTGGACGAGGACACGCCGCGGAGGTACTCGCACGCGAGCCAGGCGAGCACGGACTCGTTCGCCAGCCCGAGTCCGCGGCGCACGCCGCGGCGGCGGCGCAGGCGCGAGAGCGGCCTTTTCCCGCCCCAGCTGGCGGCCACGCCTGAGCCACACGATGAGGAGGAGGTCGAGGCCGTCGTCACGCCCGTCAAGCAGATCAAGAAGAGTCCTGTCGCCGTGGAGAGCACGACGCCCAAGGCGTCGCCGCGACGCAGGAGGCGCAGCCCCCGCAAGAGCCCAAGAGGTGGGTCGTTGGCGAACGCGCTGACGCCAGCGAGCACCACGCCCGTGACCTCGCCGCTCACGCCTGCGCCGGAGGAGCCCGGCGCAACGACTTTGCCCAGTCCACCACCCAAGCCTATAATAAGCTCCGCCCCCTCCTTCTCTTCGGCCGCCTCAGCCCTCGCAGCAGCGTTCTCACCATCATCGACGGTGACATCCGCATCCGACAACGCGGGGGTCGCTCCTGCGGCCGCACCTGATACTCATGACGCGGAGGAGCCTCCCGACCCGCCCTCGCTCGCGAGCTCTACCTCCTCCGTCACGCCGACGTCCCCCACAGAATCCGCACCAGAGGACGGCCGGGCGCGCCGAGCCCGCTCATCAGTATCGTACAAGGAGCCGTCGTTGCGCACCAAGATGCGCAAGCCCGACGGGGTGTCGTCCGAGGAGGCCCTCGGATTACGGCCGCGAGGGAGCATGCTCGAAGGCGTGCGCCGCAAGAGTGCGTTGCCGCGATCCACGGCCAAGCTGGACTTCCGCGTCGAGAAGGACGAGGAGGCACCGATACCGGAGCCCAAACCCAAGTCCCCGACCAATCCCATAACCACAACAGCACCGCTCGCACCCTCAAGAATCGTCAAGGAAGCACCGCTCAAGGAGGGGAGTAAGAAGGCACCTGTGAAGCGGCGTAGCAACGCTATTGCCACGACGGGTGCCACTGGCGCGACCGGCGCAAAATAGAGAAGCATCGCAACACCGCGTTCACATCCTGTTGTACTTGAGTGACCGATGGATCAGCTGTACAAATATGCGACTGCTCACATTCTGGATGTGCGTGCGGGGTGAATGTACAGTACATGACTCTTTGCAGACGGGGTGTGGGGTGTGATCTATGGGTGCAAATGCTAAATGCAGGGTGAGATGCGACATGCAGGATAGAGGTGATGCAGTTGACGTGAGTATGAAGCTTGGCATGCAGAAATGAGATTGGGTGGTCTAGGACGGACGAGGTGGTCGCCGCCCGCTCGCGACGTCGTCGTTTACGATTGCGCGCACGTTGACTGGCGGTGGTCCTCCCTTGGGACGTTGGACGGGTTTCTGCTGTCAGCCGGTGCATAGGGGAGGAGACGGTGACCCACCTTCTTCTTCATGAATAAGGCGTCCTCGCCTGCGGGGCGCTTCGGTGGACGAGGGCGAACCGGGGGTGCGCCAGCGGAGGGGCCTGAAAGGCCAGGAGGGCGTGGAGGGACGTTTGCATATGCAGCGGCGGCTGGAGGGCGCGTGGGGAGTGATGGGGCCACTGATGGGCGGCCAATCGGTGGGGGTGGTGGTGCTGCTGTCGGCTGGGGAGGCGAGGGTGAGGATCGCCGACCTGGTGTCGAAACGCGTGATGTTGCCGCTGAGCCAGTGACAGATGGCGCGACTGAGCCGTTCTTCGAGCTATTGTTGGAACCCTTGTTCCCAGTCGGCGCCGAAATTCGCGGCTTCTTGCTGGCCGGCTCCTCCGCCGGCGACGATTTGCGTTTCTTGATGGGATCGTCGAGGCCCTTAACCGTGCCGACCTTTGGGATGACGACCCCGCGCACAGGCGAAGCTTCGCGTGGCTTGAGTTTCCCGTTGGTGGCGGGCAGGGCATGCTTAGGGTTGGAGAACAGCGTGGGATCGTACTGAGTGTCAGCGGGCATCCAGATTGAAGCAGCTAGACCGCCTCCACTCACGTTGACGAGAAGACCACGCTCACGAGCGTCACCGACGATCGTGTTCCAGCGGGGATCGCTGCGCTCGAGCGTCGATGCGTTGCCCAGAACGAACAGCGTAGACTTGGCACGCGTCAAGGCGACGTTCATGCGGCGGAAGTCTTTCAGGAAACCGATAGTCGTGAGGTTCGGTCCAGAACGGACACATGAGAGGATAATAATGTCCTTCTCCTGGCCCTGGAAACCGTCTACGGTGTTGAAACTGCGCATCAGCAATGTCGAGCGCTGCCACCCACTCAATCTTCTCCACGATCTCGTCGCCGAACGCGTTCCTAAATTGTCGCTTGAGCTCGTTCAGCTGCTCCTTGTACATGGTGATCACGCCGATGCGCATTGTAAAGTCGATACGGTTGCCGTATTGGGCCTCAAGGTTGCGGTACAGGTCAACAGCGACCCTGGCCTCATCGGTGTTGCGCGTAGACGTGCCGGCCTTCGTCTCGTGGCCATTGACGTTGACGAAGTGGTATGGCCCGAAGATCGGGGTCTTGTGCCACATCGCCGCGGTCTTCTCGGCCATCCCAGGTCCATCCTTGAGCCGATTGTCGTAGAACAGCTTGGACGGCAGCTCCGAGATCTCGGGGTGCATACGGTACTGAATACTGCATGTCAGCGATTGCGGTCCCCTTAGACTTACCTGAGGAGATTCATGTGCGAGTCCCTATTCTGCGCGATGCGGACGAACAAACTCTGGTTGTATTTGTTCTTGTCCGCCTCGATGCTGAACGTAGTGGGAGGAAGCTGATTAGGGTCTGGAGTCAGCTCATGCGTCGCGTTAAAACTCACCTCCGACCATGATGCACCGCCTGGCACCGTACTTGAGCGGGATGAGACAGCTCATCTCGATCGCCTGTGCGGCTTCATCGATGATGACCGTTTCGAACTGGTAGGCCTTGAGCACCTCCTGGCCGGCACCAGACAAGGTAGCGCAGATAATGTCCGCCTCCTTGAGCACAGCATCACGAGCGGCACGACGGGCACCGTTGAGGTGGCGTGTGGCATCACGGGCAGCGTCCTTAGCGCGCGATTGCTGCTGACCGAGCTTGGTGCGTTTCGCGTTGAGAGTGTGGAGCTCAGCTTCGATGGCCTTGAGTTTCTGATCGTTGCCCTGTACGCGCGAGAGCTCCAGCTGCTTCTCCTTGATCTGGCTTTTGACAGCATCGAGCTCGGTTTGCACACGGGCGAGTTCTGAGCCTCCGCCATCTCGTCTCTGTGACTCCGTGTTGACACGTGCCTCCACAATGTTGTCGAGCGAGACGTCCTTGACGGCGACGTTGACCGATGACTCCATACCAATCCGCACGACCTTGGGGTGGATGCGCCCGCCGTTGGCTGACGGAACTCCGTCCATAAGACGCTTGCACACCTCGTCAATGGCCGCGTTACTGGGCGCGCACACCAGAATCTTGGTTTTGGCTGGAGCGTCGACATGCGAGGCGATGGGCATGTTGCGCTCAGATAGAAACTTGCCGACGAGACCACTGATAGTCTTGGTCTTACCCGTACCCGGAGGACTAGGATATCAGCACCACAAACGATCGCGCAACCCACCCCTGGATGAGAGCAAAGCCTTGCACGGCGAACGCGCCGAGAATGGCCTTCGCCTGTGGCTCGTTGACCTGGAACTTCTGCATGGCGTCCTTGACGTCGGCTTCTGAGACGGTGGGCGTGGCCGCGCTACGCGCAGCGAGGATGTCACGGAGGATGCCCGGCTCATAGTAAGGCAAGCCGCGAAGGGCACCAAACTCGCGTAACGCGGTGCCAAGTCTGGCATCAGCACACGCTAAAGGTAGGTATACTCACGTGGTGCGCTTCTGCACGACAAGCTTGCCCTTGACGCCGACGTTCGGGTCCATGTCGTTCAGGATGCGCAGCTTCATCGAGACCTCCTTGAAGCGGCGCACGAATACCATGACCTTTGCGAAGACCTGTCGGCCGCCTGGCACCTGCGGCTGGATAGTCACAATGTCCGAGTCGTTGAGGCTGAAGCCCTGCGGCAAGTTTCCAGCAACGACGGCCTGCAGGTCGATGAAGCTGTCCTCATAGTCCTTCTGCATGACCTCGACGGTCACGGCGCCCGACGTCTGCTCGTCCTTGATGAATTGGGCCCACAGCTCCTGCAGGAACATGGGGAGCATGACCTTGTCATAATGCTCTGCGCTGCTAAATGCCGTAGGCACAGGCTGTAAGCTGCCAATCTGAGCTGCCACTTTATCCTGGTACGGAGGCATTGTACCAGTGTGCGCCGGGTTCCAGCCCAGCACGTAGCGGTACAGCGGTGTCATATCCGGGTTGAGACGCATGCGATTCGCGTGAGCTCTCCGTCGCTGAGCCTCGCGCTCGCGAATGAGGTCGATGGCTGCTCCGCCCATCTTAGGACGCGACTCCGCAATGGTAAAGCGCTGCGGAGCAGCAGGAACCCTCGTCGCAGGCTTGAGCACGCCTTTCTGGCGTGCAAGTAGAGCTGTGAGACCCTTGTTATCGTCGTCTGACGACGAGTCCGAGTCACTCGTGTCGGAGGAGGCCGGCGCCGGCTTGGCAACTGGCCTGGGCGGGCCGGTGTATGCGCCAATACCAGTGCCAATGGCTGCAGCGTTGGGCAAACGAGTGACCGGAGGTGCGCCCCGACGCTGCTCAGACATCTGCGCCTTGTGCTCACGGCTCAGGTCACGCATAAACTTCGACTTGTATGATGTCGATGAAGGCTTCTTCTCCGGGTAGAACTTGGGCACGACATTCAAGACGAGCTTGTCCTTCTTTGGCTTGGGCGCCTCGGCACGCTTAGCGCTCGTGCTCAGAGCTCGGCGCTCCAGAATGTCAAGGTCATGGGCAGACAAGCTCTCGAGGAAGTCGTCCTGTTCCTCGAACTCTTCCAGTGTCATTTGGCGAGGCTTGGTCGGCTTGGTCGGCTTGGGGCGACTGGAGCCTTCGGTGGGCGTGTACGTTCCGCCGGCCTTCTTCATCATCATAGCAAACGCATTCTTCTGCTGCGTCGCGGAGATCGATGGTTTGACGTCGCGCTGGTCCTCGCGCTTGTCCTTGATGGCAACAGCCTTGAGCCTCGATGACATCGGCTCCACATCAGAGCTGCCAGCCTCGGGGGTCGTGGCTTTGACCTCCTTAATAAACTGAATGTCGTCGTCCATGGCCAAGTCGAACTGGCCAACCAGCTCGGACAGCTCTGCGAGCATGTCATCCGAGATACGACTCTTGTAGGCATTGGAGGAGCGGCGACAGAACTTGTCAAGCTCGAGAAGCGTAGCCTCAAGTTGCGGGTCGGTGTTGAGGTCCGGCTTGGACTTGCTGACGCGACCCAAGATCGTTTTGAGCAGCTCAAAGGCTTGGTGGAGCGTTTCCGCACTGATGTCAGCAACAGAAACAGATGGCTTGTTGGACTTACTCTGTCAGACGCAGCCACCCGACGAGATCAGCAAGGACAACCTGCAGCTTCTGGACGAGAGTCTTGCCAACTTGAGACATGCGCGCGGGAGACTCTGAAGGGTCGTCTTGAGGCACTTTCGCGTGGCTTAGGATCGCGGATTCGAAGATCCGGATGTTGTCAGTGATCATACGACCGAAGATGAGCGCGTCTCGCATCCAGTCGACCATGACCTCGTTGTCGTAATACGGTGCCCAGTCGGAGGTACGCTTGAAGATCAGAGCCAGCGAGTCCGTCATGAGCTGCCACAGGTCGCTCACGCGGCGCGTCATGCGCCGATTGTTGGCGTACTTTGACAAGAACGCGTCCGTCTGGAGCAAGGCGGGTGACAGGCCCGACGATTCGCACAGGGCATCCATGACGTCGGTGAAGCAGCGCACAAGCCATTTGGCGAGCCCGACCGCTTCTGGAACCAACCGTGCAGTCTGGATGAAGGACGAGAGGAAGGCGTAGAGTCCGTCCATGACCTCGACTGAGTGCTGGTTCAGAAGGGTGCGGATACAGTCCCCTCGGTCATCGACTTCGGTGTAGGATTGTTGGATCAGGTTGATAATGGGGTCGTGGATCTTCTCGACAGGCGACAGAAGAAGAACCATGACTGACTGTGCTACACCGGGAACTTTCCACAACGAACCCAGTACGAGGGGATCGAGCTGCGCCGCCATCGACTCGACAACGCGCGGAAAGTCCTCGCGCACAGTGTCGAGTGCCGTGTTGACGGCTCGCACGCTCAATTTCCATTCTTGACGTTCAACAACCTTGCCGAGATCGTCTGGGTTCCATGCCTCGTTCAAGTTTAGCTTTTCAATGTGAGCAAATGGCGCGACAGCGGCGATGATCAGCGCCAATCCAGAGGGGTCTGTCGGGTCGAAGGCTTCATATGCTGCCCTCCAAAGCTCGCGATGGACCGAGACGCGATGAAGCTTTTCGACACGGACGGCATCTGGAACAGGATTGTTTGGTTTGGCCCGACGCGCTCGTCTCAAGCGACGACGCTCGTTCATGGCGATCAGGGCCATGCCCAGAACGTTTTCCACAATCTCGCGCCCGTCCACCTTGAACACCACAGCGGTCAGATTCCGCGCAGCCTCGCGTGCCGACGCCCATCCTCGATCAGCCTTCAAATGGAACGCGACGCGGGCGATGAAACTGGCGTGTACTTCGAGTACAGACTTGATCGCCACAGAACCTAGGTCTGTGCCCGAGACATTCTCCTGCAGCGCAATAAGAGTCTGCACAACGTCAGCATCTCCCATCTGTACCTTTACCCACCTTGAAACCAGACTCCGCGACGGCGGCTCGCACCTGCACCTCGAGACGGTCGTGCTGCATTTCGGCGAAACAGTAGTTCATGACTTTGGCGAGGGCTTCGGAGAACCCCGAGCCCTCCTTTGCCTTCTGCGCGTCGAGGACAGAGACAAGGAAGGGTGTGATAAAGCTCAGTGGGCCTGTATCTTCTGTGCCCTCCTTGTCCTTGCCCTTAGGGTTGGATGGCCGAGCGTCGGCCACCAGGGCGTCAAACGACGCGTTCCTCTTGATGTCAGAGAAGAGTGTATGGGGAAGTTCCGGCGAGGTGTCAAACGCCCAAGCGTGGCGAGTGGGAGATATGCGCAGGATGGAAGTGAAGAGTTCGAGAACGGCGGGGAAGGAATCTGATGGCGTGCCGAGCTGGCGCGCGACAAACGCCATGACGGACTTGTCTGGGCGCGCCGCATCCTGCGTGTACTGCCCCGCGAGGAGGCCTTGTTGGATAGCATCGGGCGCAAAGCGGTCGGCGGAGACGAGTGTTTGGACGGAGGAAAGGAGCTCGGCTTGGGATCCGGGGAAGGTTGACCCGAGCAGCGCCAGCACCTCCGCCCCCACGCCGCCGTCCCGAAAATCTCCAAAGAAGACGGGCTTGTGCGAGATGAACGCGATCTGCGTGCGCGCCCACTGCCGGTGCTCAGGCTTGCGGGATGACAGCAAGTTGACGAGTCCGGCGGAAATGTGGAGGTCGGCCACGGAGGTGCGCCCGCTCCCGGCTGCTGCAGTAGCCTTGTCGAGCGCGCCAGCAATGGTGGGAAGGGCGAGAACGGCGGGCTCATTGAATGCGAGCTGCAGGAGCGCAGGCGGGAGGTCGAACAAGCCGCCTGGCTCAAGGTGAGGTGAGATCAGCTCGGCCAGCCACTTGTCGATGACCTGGGCAAAGTTCTGCCTCGTTGCTGCGGGGTAGGCGGAGAAGTAGCTGATGTCAGTGGGGAGGGGGTTAGACGGCGACGCGGCAGAGAGTCACTCACAGCCGCTCCCATGTCCGCCGAGCGCTCGCGAATCCGCGCGCGCACTTAGCACACGACTGAAGCACATTGGCGAGCGTGTCGATCCACGTCTTGCTCGTGCCCTGGCGCTTGAACGCGAACAGTACTATGAGGTACGTCGCCGCGCGGCGCTGGAGGTCGCCTGCAGCGGGGCAAAACCAGTGCGACGGGGCATCGGGGGTGTCAGCAAGGAGGAAGGTGTAGACGGGGGCGAGGTCGGCGTCGCCGGGCGTGTCGTGCCGCCCCTTGCGGCGGTCGAGGATGGCTTCGACCTCAGCGGGTGTCGGCATGGGGCATGAGGAGATGGAGAGATGAAGGGAGCTAGTCGCTGTGGATCTGTGGAGGGTGGTGACGGTGTTGTGGATCCTGGTAGATCCTGAAATTGCATGTTCGCACCAACGCGTCCCTCATCCCTCATGACGGTGGCGCACAACGCGTGGTGGCAAAAAACAATCCACATCAGAATGACGAGGAGCAGTTGCAATGCACTACGACCGGCTCAGATCCAATCTACATTCATAGATCTATAGATCTAGCATGTCTAGTCCCAGCACGACGTGTTTTCTCAAATCAACATGCAGTGTCCCTCCTCACTTCCCCACTCCCTCGCTCACTCCTCACACCTGTCGCTCGCATACCCAATCTCGACCGCCTCCTCCATCTCGCGCTCAATCTCCGAGTCGCTCAAGTCGCACTCGCTGTCCTCGCTCACCTCCTCGCGCTTCTCCCACAGCTGCTTCCACACGTGCTCGTCGAGCCGCTCGCCGCGCCCGTTGCGCTTGGCGCGGCTCCACATGCCCACATTGGGGTCTGTGATGAACTGCCATGTAACGTACGGCCAGCTCTTGTGGCTCGGCAGCGTGTCGTAGTACTCGGGCGCGAGGCGGCGGAGCGCAGGCAGCCGTGTCCACGGCACCGAGGGGAAGTCGTGGTGCTCGTTGTGGTATCCGACGTTGTAGCAGAAGATGTTGAGCCAGCCATAGTAGCTCGTCGTCTCTTGTGCGAGGCTCTGCACCGTGCCCGGCTCGACGGGGTTCATAAGGTAGTGCTCGGCGATGAAGTGCGCCGCCATGGGGTGGAGCGAGCCGGCGAAGAAGGATGAGAAGAGGAGGTAGAAGAGCGGGCGCCAGCCGGCAAAGTGGACGAGGACGGCGTCGAAGCCAAGCACGGCGGTGAGGTTGATCGCGTGCCAGTACGTGAACTTTTGGCTGCGGATGAAGCCGGGGCGCAGAGCGTAGAAGAGCAGTTGGAAGGTAGCGAAGAATGTCTTGCCCGCGACATTGTTGAGGATCATGGCCTCGAGGCGACTCGGCAGGTCCGTGTCGATGCCGTCCTCGCCGAGGAACTTGTGGTGCTCAATGTGGTAGCCCTTGAACGCCATGGCGTAGGGTACGGCGATGGCAAAGTTGGATACGATGGCAAGGAGCTTGTTCGCGCGTATGCTCTTGAACGCCAGATTGTGCGTAATCTCGTGGACCGCCAAGAACGTGTTCTGGTTGCAGGTGCCGCCGATCACGTACGCAGTGAGGAGAGTCTGCCATGATAGTGTCGGGAACCGGCGAAGGTAGAGCGCGAGGGATACCTGGAGGGATAGGACGAAGATGACAACGGGGAACGTCCACTTGGTGGGGCCCATGAGCTTGCGGACCTGGGTGTGAGTGCAAGAACAGTGGGGAGCAAGAAAGCACTGAGATATCCGCGCCAGTTGCTAGCACCCTCTTACGGCCCAGCGACGCCGCCAGAAGCACAACTCACCTCGGGGTGGTGCTTGAGGATGGCCATGCGACGGCTACGATGCGGCTCTTCAGTGTACATCCACAAAAAGTCGTTGGGGTCGCGGTCGCCGTTCGCGGCCGCGGCAGCGGGATCCGGCTCCTCTGACCGCTCGCTAAGACTCGGGGCGGACGAGACGGGGGGCGAGGGTGTGTCGGCGTCGACCGTAGGCGCCTTCTTAGCGCGAGGCTTCAAAGGGCGCGACGCGAGGGCGGTCACTGCTGCTGTCGACATTGTGAGGAAAAGAGGGGGGCTGGGGAGCGGGGGGAGGGGGGGAGAGGAGAGCGGTCGGAGGTTGGAGGTTGAGGGAGGAGGGAGGAGGTGTCCGTCAGTGTCTGGTACTCTGGTGCCGGTCCGAAACGTGAGACGATGGGTCGATCAAGGCCGCTGATCGGCTTGTCGGCGATCGGCGATGGGCGATGGGCGACGGTGAATCGTTGGCAGATTGGCGATTGGCGTACGGGCGTGATGATGTGAGTGATGGAGTGAGGTGTAGTCCAAGATATTTTGTGAATTGGGAACAAGCCCAAAGCAAAGCCCAAGACAAGAAAGAATGAGAGGAGGAGGGTGGTGGTGGAAACGGCGTGGTGCGTGGATGGTGAGGGCTGAGGGAAATTGCGGCGCGTGGGCACAACCCAGCGCCGGCTTTGTTGGGGGGTGGAGGTATCGCCTGTATCGCCTTGGCGATCTGCGCAGCGTCCTGAGCTGAGACTGAGACGTCAGGCACATTATAGAACAGCCGCGAGAACACGACGGAACCATTAGGTTTAGGCAGTGTACCCCTCCACGTCCACCGACAATGAGAGCCAAGCGAGGGACGTGAGGCTCAAGAGTGGGTGGGTGTAGGTGCCTTGACTCTGCCTCATGCCGTGAGGCCTGCCGTGAGGGCCTGGCTGCGGCGCATGTGGCGCACAACACACGCCGCGCCGCGTGCATACCAATCAGACGCGTCAAGCGCGGGCGTCGGACCCAACGCCATGCCATGGAATGCAAGCCTCCACCACCGCCTTGTGACAATCCTCTGGCTTCTCACAACCACACCACTCCACCCGTCATCGAAGTAGATTGCATAGTAGTAGTGTATAAATGTGCGAATCGATGATTGACGAGTTACACTGGTAATGACAACAAGCTGGGTGCGATTGCAATAAAGGAGAATATCTACCACGCTCTCCCTAGAGGTCGCGGGAGACGCGTAGAAGCAGGCGCAGCCTGCTTGGAGATCGTCGGGGTCGTCACATTGGTCATCGAGCTGCTGTTCTCCGACATGGACATGTCGTCCGATGCCAGGTTGTCGGGCGGCCAGTCGTCCTCGAGCAGCACTTCAGGTGCGCCCCACCCGTGCACGAAACGCTTGGGGCGAGGGAGCACGTCGCGAGACGCGTATTTCTGCTCAACCAGGGCAGATAGCAGCGCTACGGTGCCGTGCGTAGGCCTCGAGGTGCCGAGCGAAGTGGATGGGCGCTCAGAGACGCTGGGCGTCGGTGGTCCACCGGTCTGCGAGTCAGACGCGGTCGAAGGGGAGGTCTGGTTGGAAGCAAGGCCGCTGCCATAAAAGTCCGAGTGGCGATGCAGGTAGCCGGCCGGCAGGGAGGGGCGCTTGGACAGCTGACGCGGGGGCGGCATGCCGCTCTTGCGCCTAGCGATGCGGGCAACTGTGCGCGAGAACTCTTCCTCCTCGGACTCGCTGCCACTCCATCCAAGGCCGTCACGCTTTTCGTCGTAGGTTGCTCCCGCTCCCGACGGCTGCGTCATTTTGACGAGCAGCCGTGAAGACGACGGAATTACGCGCGAACGCAGCGCCGCGTTGAGTGGGGGAAGCGAGAGGTCTGACGGCGGGTTAGCTCAAAGTCCACGTTCCTCGGACCTAGGCACTTACCGAGGTCACTTTCGTCAGAGTCGGCATCATGATCATCTCGCTCGCGGCCTGGACGGGCACGAGTAAGCTCTGCAAAGGTTGGGCTTGGTGCTCGCGACACCCGGAAGCTGGATCGCACGCTGGATGGAGTGCCCGACGGTGCCGGAGCGTCGGGGGTTGCAGGCTGGGGCGGTCCTGAACGGGGAGAGTCGCGTTGCGCCGGGGAGACTAGTGGTTTGGGGCGATGAGAGGAGGAGGAGGAGTTGGGAGAGTTCCCCTTTGCTGAAGCTCGACGCTGCATGCGGAGATCGGCGAGCGAGTTCTGGAGACGGAGTAGACGTTCGCTTGCGCGAGGGACAGAGTAGGAAGATGGAGCAGACGAACCAAAGGATGCGGGTTCGCTGTGTCGAGGTCGGAGGCGCAGGGGCGCATGAACGCGCGGGTGGTGAGGGTCCAAGGGGTGACCCTGGGAGGTGTCACGCTGGTAGGAACCTCCACTTGCTCCTTCTGCTGCTGCGCGCTTTGCACGATACCCTCCGTCGACCAACAATGCAGCAGAGTCAACCTCGCGCTCCGTCGCCGCAGGCAGTGGCGAGACAGGAACACCATCTTCTCCAAAGGAAGGAGCAGTCGGCATCGCGGGGAGGTACCTGTCGCTTGGTGATGGGGGCGACAGCAACAAGCTCGTCATCGAGGGCGCTGTCAGCGTCGACGCGACCGATGCGCGGTGACTTGACGAGCTGAGCGACGGGCATGTTGACGACCAGGAAGGGATGGGCGAGCGAGGTTTGCGTGCTTTGCGCGAGGACGTCGTTTGTGTGCTGGCACGGTTGTCGCGCTCGGACTCGCGGTCCTTTGACGCAGCCGCCGCGGTGGAAGAAGCGTGTGACGGTGAAGGCGATGCTGTGAGTTTAGAGGTGGTAGCCTCGATAGTGGCTTGTTTGCGCCTGATGGCGCCGGCGGACCAGGTGTCGGCGGCGCCTGTCAGACTAAGGCCGCCGTCACTGAGGCGTGCGAGTGCGGGAGACACGCGAGGGTACCTGAGGGTCTGCGGCCGGAACGCGTCAAACGCGTCGTAAATAGAAGTTGGTGGCCCCGGCGTTGTTGTTGATTCCGAAGCACGACGCGCCGAGCTGAGAGGAGTGGAGGAGGATGCACGCTTCAGGACGGGGCGTACAGACGTCGCCTTGCGCACTGCGACCTCTGCGTCTGCAGACGGCCGCCTGGAGGGAGTGAGTATTGGGGAAGGTGGACCGTGCGATGTGGGTCGACGTCGGGGTTGTTCCTCGAGCGCATCGACCTCATCGCGGAACGAGACACGGGATCTGCGAGGGCGGATACGGGTGGTCTGTGATCCGGATGCCAGAGTCGAGGTCTGGGTGGTAGGAGGAGCCGACTTGCGAAGGACATTGTCGCTGGCACGGGGGAAAGGAGGAAGTGGAGGGAGTGGAGGGAAGGCGATGGAGTGGCCTGCATGGCCTGATAGTGGAGACGACATGATGGGTGTCGTCTGAGGGAGTCTTGGGACAGCTGCTGCTGCAACTTGTGCGAGCGAGCTGAGGTTTGGAAGGGAGGGTTTGCGGAGGATGGAGACGGGGTGGATGATGGGGGATGGCCTCTGGTCGTAGTAGGAGATGGCTCGTGTTGTTGTCGCTGGGAGTGCGGTTTTCTGTATTGACAAGGGAGAGAATGTGAGAATGTGTTGTGGTGGATCGGCGGAGTTTGGTGTTCGCGTTGGCGCAGCGGCGGCGAGTGGAGGAGTGAGTAAAGGGGGTGGCGAGCGAACGAGGGACGAGGAGAAGGAAAGGAGTATCACAGAAAGAGAGAGAGAGAGAGAGAGTTGAGAAGAACGGAGAGAGCGAGCGAGAGAGAGAGAGAGAGTAAGAGTGACGACGAGAAAAGCGACAATCCAAGGGAGGAGGAGGGAGGGATGTGATCGATGTGAGCGACGGCGGGGTACGGCGCGACGACGAAGATTGAGAATCCGAGGACGGTGGATTGTGCGTAGGGGTGGATGTAACGCAAACGTATAGGTAGGTTACAGGATGAACGAGGTCAGTGTCCTCATCCCACAAGACGTTCTTCTTCTTGAAGAACAACTCACCTTGTTTGCAACCCGACAAGATTGCGAGCTTGCATCAGCCGCGGTAGTCGTTGTCCGGCTCGTTGTCGCCGTAGCCGCGCTGGTACTCGACATTTTGATGGGGAATGATGGCTGGCCTGCTGGCCTGGCAGCAGCTGGCTGGATGCAGGGTCGGAAAGACGGCGGAGGCGGCGGAGGCGGCGGCCGGCCGTGCGGCGTGTTGACGTCTGAGTTGCAGGCGTGCGCAGGTGTCCAAGGGTCGAGGATGACCAAATGGAGGCTTATGGCGTCTTGAGGGCTCGACAGTATCGGTGGCGCCGGAGCTCAATCACCACGACAGGGTATGCCAAACAATCCGTGGCGCGTCCACTAAATGGTGAGACAAGTGAGATAGGCAGACACCAACAAAGGGCGCCCACGCCGACAAACCCAGTCTCGGACTTGTGTTGTGGGATTAAACTCTGAGGCCGAGTAGGGGGGGGGGGGGGGCGCCAGACTCGGCCGGTGTTCGGGCTGCGAGCCGGATGGACGATGGCAAACGTGTGGTGCTGCGAAGTGGAGTCGCGCAGTCGAGGTCGCTGATGAGCTGATAATCGATTACACGAGCAGGAGAGGCTGGCAATGGTTGGTGTGGGCGTGTGCGTATGTGCGTATGTGCGTGAATTTGGGGTCGTGAACGTCGTCTTCGTCGCTGTCGTTTGTCGTTTGGAAGGCAGAAGTAAGTAGTGATGGAGAGAGAGAGAGAGAGTAGAGAGAACGAAAACAGACTTTGCACGTTCTCGTGATGCAGCTGCAGTGTGAAGGATACCAGGACCAAGGGCGCGTGGGTTGCCAGTCGTCAGCGACTGTCCAGACCCGGGATGGTGGATGGTGTTTGGGTTGGACGGTTTGCTGTACGACTCTGGCAAGACGACTAGTCGCTGGCAGGGGAGAGGGTAGAGCGAGGGCCAGAGAGAGGGCTCAACGTCAAGCCTGGTGCCGCAGTGCAGTTTGTCCCGCATCCAGAAACCAAAGTTAACGTCACGCGGGTCCGACCCTTGATGCTGATGAGAGCATGCTGCGAGCAACAGCAGAACAAGAGAGAAAGAAGAGCAATGAACGGCATGAAGTGAGAGGTCAGTCACCAACTCACGCACAAAGCCCAGAGCCGGCTCTGCGGCCGGGATCTTTGGCGCACCCCCCCCCCCCCCCCCCCCCCCCCCCCCCCCCCCCCCCCCCCCCCCCCCCCCACTTCCCTTTCTGTTTCCTCTCGCCGCATGCCCCCTCTTCTACAACTTGTGCTCTTCTGCATGCAAGGGCCGTACTGTATACGGGTCAGGCACACTGCACCGTATCCTCTCCTCTGGTACTTTACTTTGCCGCAAGAGTTGGAACGTTGCCACTTTCCGCGTCTTCTCTGTACCCAGCGATCCCCCGACCCAGCACGCCCATGCGCCCATGCGCCCAGCGCCCAGAATCGCGTCAATCACGTCGATCATCTACGGCCTCCCATTAACCCATTCCATCACATCAGCCGCATCATGGTGGCGCCGCCGTGCGGAACCTGCGGATCGCGTGCCCGCGTCATCGCCGCGGGCTCTTCCATATGCATGCACAGTAACGCTGCGCTTAATGCACATGGACGCTGCCGAAACAAGTGCGTTTCGTCCCCGTCCTCCATGTCGGCATCGATGGAGGGAGCCGTTCATCTGGGCCAGGGGAGCGCCAGGGAGACTCGGCGACTGAGTTCCAAATCTGACTAGGCCGTCATCCCGCGGCCTCGGGTCAGTCGGGCCGGCGCGTCCACTCGGGGCACTCGGCACTCGCCTCGGGGCACAGAGGGTATCGCGTACGATCGGGATCCTTGGCTCGCGGACAGAAGCTGGGCCGCATCAGCCTCACCCCACACGGCGCCCAACCCGTTTGTGTCGTTGGGTCAGCCTCATCCTCGAAACACCAAACGCCAAACATGGTCGATACAGCCTCTCGTAGTGATGACCACAACGTGGGAAGATGAGATATGCATACGTCCGCAGCAGGTAGTACGTACGGCGATGCGATGGTGATTTGAAGTGTTTGCTTTCGTAGCTTGGATCATTGTCTGTTTCGGCAGCTCACGTCAACTCGGGACGGCGAGGGTCCCGGATGCGATTGGGGTCCTGTCAGTTTGTATGGTAGCAACTCGAACTCCGCGTCGAGCTACCTCGGAATGGCCTCCAGCGGCTGCCTGATGGATAATTCGCAGGAGCTCGCCATCGAGTAGCGCAGGGAGAGCTCGGACCCCATTGCATCTCCCTATGCAAAATTACTGTACTATTAATTTCCGGAGTAGGAAGAAGACGGCCACAGAATGCAGGTATGCAGGTATGCAGGCTGGCCGGAAACCCTTCTCGCCGCGCGCCTTGCTGGTGTCTAACAGTCACTCAAGTTGACCGCCGCACGCCGCCATGACATCGTGAGAGTCTGCTACCGATACCGGAAAAGTGCCTTGTCCCCACAATTTGGCCCGCTGTTTGGATCTCGGAAGCTAGCCTGGGAATAGCTGCCGCTGGGCCTCGGAACGGCGGCTCGGACTTGTGCGCGCGGCCTGCGGACGTCCACACACTTCGACGGAGCCAGAGAACCGGGCCAACGTAAGTTACGGCAGGCAGCATCAAGCCGTCTAGGCCCGTCCGCGACACAGTCGCAGACAGCAATTCATTCTCGCATCACCTCTGGCCAGGTCCTCACCACGATCTGCAGGCAGCAGCGGGAACGGGCAGAGATGCCAATGAGGCGGCGGGAGACGATGGCAGCGGGAGACGATCGTCCAGTGTTCTGGAACCCGCGTGATACACGGGACTCGCGGCCGTAACCGCCACACACATCGCAAATCCATCAGGCACACTTTGACCCGAAGAATCTCCGCCTACGTCACACCTCACAACTTCCTCCACCTCCGTCTCTCATCACCACCACCATGCCCCGCCGCCGCCCGTTCTCCGCCAAGCAGAAGAAGGAGCAGATGCTGGCCAAGCGGGCGCGCAAGCGCGGCGAAGACGCACCCGCCTTGCAATCCCAGCGGCGGCGCACGCCGGCCCGCTCAGCTCCAGGCCCATCGCGTCTCGCCCTCGAGTCGCGCTTCGTCGCCCTCCCACCCGGCTTCCTCGAGCGTACACGCAACCTCGCGTACGCCGAGCCGCTTCCTCGCCCACTGCCCCCGTCCTCTGCCCTTTTTCCTCTTGACCTCCTCACGCGCCCGTCTAACCTCACCGTCCCAGCCCGCCCAAAGTTCAGGTACGGGCAGACGAAGAAGGAGGTCGAGCGGAACGAGGAAGGTGTGTTCCGCAAATGGCTCGCGGCGACGCGGGGGGAGGTCACGGAATGGATGGAGAAGTCGCTCGAGGACGAGGAGGGCTGGCCGCGCAGCCCGAGCTGGTTCGAGACCAATCTCGAAGTATGGCGGCAGCTGTGGCGTGTTGTCGAGGCCTCTTCCATCCTGCTACTGCTCGTCGACGCGCGCGCACCGCCGCTTCACTGCCCGCCTTCCCTCCGGACGTATCTCCGCGCCCTCAAGCCACGGCGGCAGTTCGTGCTGGTCCTCACGAAGGCCGACCTCGTGGACGCGGCGGCGCTCGATGGGTGGAAAGCGTGGCTCAAAGAGTGGTGGGCAGGGGATGGCGAGAACGAGGAGGACGACACCCAAGTCGTCGCAGTGACCAGCTACGACCTCGAGCTTATGTATGCCGACAAGCGGCGGCACCGTCCCGCCATCCCCTCGGCATCGCGGCGCGCACTTGTCGACGCGTTGCAGCGGGCGCACGAGCGCCTCCTCGCTCCGCCAGAGTGGGCACGCACAGACCCAAAGAAGTTGGAGTCTTGGCGGCCTACTGTGCGCTCGAGCGTGGACTGGGCCGAGTTGTCCGCGGAGCCGCTGGAGCCAGCCAAGAGGGGCAAGCCGCGGCGGGCGGCCGCTGGTGCGGACGCCGGGGAGGATGTGGAGGGCGCCGAGGGCGCTGACGAAGGAGATGAAGATGAGGCAGAGACAGAAACGGAGGACGAGACGAGCCTGCCCTCGCGCGACCCCGAGTCTGAACCCCTGACGATCGGCCTCATCGGTCAGCCCAATGTCGGCAAATCCTCCTTGCTCAATGCGCTGCTTGGCACGACCAAGGTCCGCGCTTCTAAGACGCCGGGCAAGACGAAGCACTTCCAGACTATTCTGTGGGGCGAGGCGCGCGAGGTCAAAATCGTCGACTGCCCCGGTCTGGTATGTCCAAGTCCGGTACCGATGGAGCTGCAAGCAATGGCAGGAAGTGAGTGTGTTGGCCGGTGGCCAGTATGGCGGCAGCAGCTGACATCAGTCCTACCCATTTCGCAAATCCCTTCCCTGCCCGCATGCACGGCGTTCGTAGCCCGTCACATGCCGCTCGAGGAGGTATTCCGCATCCCGCCTCCAGAGAAGGTTGTGGACGACATCGCGGCGCGGCGGACATGGCGCGGCCCGCGTCCCGACACAACCACTGCCACGCCAGCGGAGCCCACGCACGAGCAGTGGACGGCGGGGGAGATCATGGAGGCGCGCGCGCTCGACCGCGGGTTCTGTGAGTCGACAATAGGAGACAATCTGACAGCAGTAACGGCGAAAGGCGGGCGGCCGGACGCGAATCGTGCCGCAAACGCAAGTGCGTGCTTTTGAAGGCAGAGCTGACAGCAGTGCTGCGGACGGTGGCGGACGGGCGGGTGCGGTGGGGGTTCTGGCCGCCGGGAGACGTCGAGGCGCGTCGCGGTGTGGGGGTGTGGCTCGGAGGAAACCCCGATTTCGAGGCGCTGGGTGCGGAGAGCGAGAGTGGGAGCGAGAGCGAGGTGGAGGAGGAGGAGGAGGGTGAGGGTGAGGCGAGTAGTGAGAGAGACGAGGGGAGTGAGGGCGACGGGAGCGAGAGTGAGGGCGGATTCGCGAAGCAGAACCAGCGGAGCTTCTTCGCGGCGCTGTCGCTGGAGGATGGGAGTGAGGAGAGCGATGGGAGTGAGGAGAGCGATGAGAGCGAGACCTAGATGCTAGACTAGTTACAGGGCAGCGTGGATGAGTCTGCAGTGCCAGCACAGCTGCACGCCTGTACACCTGTATGGGGTTTGTAGCTGGTCGCAGGTCCCAGCAGTAGCGCGGCACCCTGTGCTGTACATATGCTTGTAATGAAGATCTGATTTGAACACCTGCGATGCCACGACGCTGCGCGCTGTTGTACATACATCCATCTAGATCTATCTCCCGCCATCCTGGGGTCAGTCCGCCCTGCTCAGCGACTAACACGCCGCGGGGTCGGCAACGTAGGTGTTCTTTTCGAGTTCAGCCTGCAGCAGCCCCTTGAGTTCCTCGACATAGACGGACTTGACGAGGACGTGGGATTCGTCGACTGGCGTGAGTGAGATAATTCGGCCATCTCCCTCCTCGCTTTCATCGCTCTCCTCGCCCTCCTGCCTTGTCTCACGATCTCCCTCCCTCTCTTTCTCCACCCCCC